ATGGCCGTAGATGACATTCAACAGCATCGCTTGAACCAGCCATAGCGGAGTATTTTGCACAGAACTATCGCGCGCATAGCTGGCTCGCCCGAATGCTGCTGACATGTCTACCTTACGACGTTCCTCAAGGTAGATTTGAATCATTTTTTTGGCAGCCTCAAAGAGGTCTTTCGATGCAGCGGTGTCAAACTCGTAAAGTGCACCAATAGCGGCCATGGACAGGATCAACGAGCCACCACCGCCAGCGACACCGGTCGAGCACAGGTTTAAATGTCCACTCGGAGTTCGGAGGTTATTGGTGTATTCAGGAGCCTGGAAATCAAGCGTGGGAATGTGGAGGAATGGCATTTGCGGGTGGAAGTAGGTAATGTAGGCGGAGATATAACGCTGCATGTCCAAGGTGCTTGGCAGCTGGCCGGAGCTGCTGAGGCTAGAAGGGCGAGAGAAGAGATCACGGTATTGTACCATGCTGCTGGCAGGTTGAGAGTATTTGCGATGAATCAGACCGGTCGGATGGGCCATGCTGGCTAATAAAGCCTGTCGGGTGGAGTCTGTAAAGGTATCCGAGGAGCTTGGGGCATGGTGAGATCGTAGGGCACTATTCGCGAAAGGCAAGTTGAGAGGATTAGGAGATTCTCCGTTGGTTGCCATAGAGGATGGGAACATACTCTGCGAGTGTCCTCCCATGATGGGCTGGCCCACTGAAGTCATGGACGGAGGGGTGGCATACGTCTCGGCAAACGGGTTCTGCGCCAGCAAGGACTTGGGAGAAACGGTATCTGGAGGAATTCCTAGATCGTTAAAACTAGTAGGGTAGTCAAGAGAGTACTGGTTCGCAGAAGCGGCGGTTGTATGGGGCGGGAATGGATTGTGCCAGCTTGCGGACGAGATGGAGTAGCGATTCGATCCGTCCATCATGGCCTCGCTGATACCGCTCTGACTTCCGGTGCTCATGGCCGACGGAGATGACTCGTCGATGGCGGAATCGTTGCTCTTGCGCATCTGCATCGACGGGTCGTAGCCGTTCATCCAATCGAAGTGGAAATCATCCTCCATCATGGGATCCGTGGGCGGCATGTGGTGGACCGCATGCGTGTAGGGCGACGAGGGTGAGTCGTTGCAATACGTTTGTGGTGAGCCGCCAAAATGCAGCTGGGCGGGGTTGATGGTGGTATTATAGCTCATAGCTAGGTCTGGGACACTAAGGTCAAAGGTTCCATAGACGGGAGCCGTCCGCAGACCCCCAGACAGGTCAATCGGCAAGCCCGACGTGTCCAGCTTGGTTAGTCCGTTCACCGGGGGATGATGTCCTCCTGCGGAGAACCCACGGAAATCCATGTTGGATCCCACCGAAGCAGAACCAATGCTCGGGTGATAAGCATGGGCCGGGTGACCGGAGCCAGCGGTCGGCGGGTTGGTTGCACCGACCAAACCCAGCGAAGCACCGTCAATATGACTGATGGTATTGGCACGAGGACGCATCGTGCTGGGATTGCTGACGATGGAGTTCTTGCGAACTCGGTTCGTCGTTCCCGTCCCCGCTGTGCCGGTGCTCTCCCTGCGCGCATTCCGTGGACGTGACGATGGCGTAGTTGTCATATGCAGCTTTTGCTGGTGTCTCAGAAGCAGATCGCGACGAGCAAAGCAGCGAGCGCATTCGGGACACTCGAAAGGCTTCTCTTTGGTGTGCGACCGCTCATGGCGCTTGAGATGCTCCAATCGCGCAAAAGAGCGACCGCAAGTGGTACAACCGTGTGGACGTGGCTTGTCAGTCTTCGGAGGAGGAACGGACCCGGCAGCAGCAGTGTTCGCACCATTGGTGTCCTTCTTGGTGCTGGCTTTGGAGGGTGCTGGTCTTGTTAGGGATCAAGAGAGCCATGAGCGAGACCTGTCACTGTAGTCACTCACCCGATAGGTCACCCGGGACCTCGCTGATGCTGTCCATCTTGGGGCTCGTGGCCGGATCTTGGCCTACCATTGAGGCGAGTAGCATCCTATCACCTGATATTCTTGTGGTCACCAGTGTAGTCACTGGTTTCGGAAGGAACCTTTGATGCAGGAATGGGCCTCTTGGGATGATGAAGGGATGAGAGCAGGGCGAGTGGGGTGAGGCGGCGATGAATGTATCGAGAGCGTATCGAGGCGATAGGGAAGGGATCACTGAACAGGGGAATGAGCAAAACCCGACATTGACCGCATGCTGATTCAACGGAATTGAGGTTAGCTTTGGACTATTATTTGCTCGGAATTGACGAGGCAGCGATTAGAGTGCGGGCAACCGACGGAACTCACAGAACACAGGAGGAACCCAGTAACTCTAAGTCAAGGTACAAGTAGACAATTAGGGAAGGAAGGATGTCAGAGTGACAGAAAATGAGATGGGTCGAAAGGGCGGAAAGGCGAAAGGGCGAAGAGAAGAATTGGGAGGAATATTGTGAGGTGAAATAGTACAAAGAATAGCGAGACGAGGTAGGAAGGTGGGTAGGGGAAGGTGGCAAAGTGGTTCTGTTCCTGGGGGGGTGGTTGATCTCGGGGGTCAGCGCAACTTTAATCAGCAGGGGGGGTGGAGGAGGACATTCAACAGTCAACTCTCTTCAAGGTCCAGGCTTCCCAGGGGGAGATGGAAAAAAAAGGTTTAGAGTAGAAAAAGAATTGTAACTCACCAGGAGTAGAAGAATAATGAGAAGGTAATGATAAGATGACGGAAGGGACTGAAGAGGTCACTCCACAGCTATCGCATTTAGTAGTTGTAGTTGATGACGGGAGAGGTGGAAGGGGAAGGTAGTGGAGGTAGTGGAGGTAGTAGTGGTGTGAGTGAGAGACACAGAACAGACACAGAGCGTAGGGAGAGAGAAAGAGGAAAGTGGATAAGCCGGAGATAACCGAATGGGGAATGGGCCTGTCTGGTTCTCGTTCTCGATAAGCTGGGGATGACTGCAAACAGTACTGAGTACTGAGTACTGGTAACCCGCGTATTCTAGACTCAATCGTTCAATCGTTCAAAGAAGACAAATTCACCCGCCCAGATTCTGGAAAACTGTCCAAGAAGAATGGAAATGAAAAGGAAAGGGATGGGTGGGGAAGGTAAGTGAAGGAGGGAAAGAGGGAGGGAGAAGAAGGGAGGGAGGAGGAAGAAAGGTGGTTGTTGTCGTCTGAGCGAGGCTGTAGCCGACAGCCTTGGAGTACACAGTCAAGTCAGAAAGGTAGTAAGTCGTAGGGATACTACTTCTCCCTTTCCTAGCACAAAACAGTTATGAGATCAACACTGGTTCGTTCTTTCTTTCTCACTGTCTTGCAGCAGCAGCAGTAGGAGCAGGGCAAAAATTATCTTTGGATGTTGCAGGGGAAATCCCAGGCAAATAATAATAAATTCAATCTTTCCATGCCTCCGAGGCGACACCCGACCCAAACGTCGTCAGCAAGCCGTGCTCCGACCAGACTGATCCGGGTGAGGGATTATTAATAATTCCAATTATAGGAGGGCAGAGAAGACAGTCAGTAGTAAGAAAGTAATTAATTAATTGCGATCGCTCGTTTATCTCAGATGACAGATTAGGAAGATGAAGGGAGGGCTCGTCTTGCTACTACTCGTAAGCTGAAGGGAAGGGTAACCAGGTTACATAGTAACATACACGCATACAAACAACGAACCAGCTTAGTCACGCCAGCTTGTCTTCCAATAATCACAGCCGGATTGCAGCCAGAGTGGAGCAGGGCGGGTTCAATCCGCGGTCAATTTGGAGCCAAAGCATGGGCCATGACAGGAAAAGACCCAAAGGTGCGTGCCAGCCAGGGCCCCACTACACTACTGCTTGATACAGTCAATCACTCAGTCAATCACTCAACCCAGTCACGGGGAGAGACCCACCTCTCAAATTGCAATCAATCATCATACCGTTTCGTGACGCCGATACCGTCTCACCCGGACATCGGGGATCGTACGCCGCCTGTCACTGCACCGGAAACCACCCACCAAGACGTACAGTACAGTACGGTGGTCGTCAATACTACCCTTAACAAGTTAACTGAGTAGACGACGAAACCACCCCACGTAGACTACCTATAGCTATGGCTAGATAACCGACCACTTCACTAAATCTTCGTACGGTCTTAAGTGGCTGCCTCTATGACGTGGGGGAAAGTTCTTCAGCAAATCATCCCGTCCTCCCCTTTCCTAACTCCGGGGACTCTGCTCGGTGACGGGAAAACAGCACAGTCACTATGGCAGTCAATTAGACTTTACCATGGGCTACAGAGTACATACATACAGACGGGAAACTTATTATCTTCCTGGAAAGCGACTCTGTCAGAACATCGCCCAGCTCACCCCAGTAGGCCTGGGGCTCCCTGCATCGAGCAATCCCAAATGCAACCAATTCTTGTCTCTTGCACGAAATAGGCTTGCACTGGCGATCCTGGTCATATTCTGCAGTGTAAGCTCGGATGCACCCCGATGTTGACCGGAAGGTATCGCTTGCCAGGCCAATTCCTCATCGGAACCCGGCTATGACTCTGAAAGACTGAAAGGACCACGCGGAAATGTGGCCCATCAACTGCACATCCCTACAGTTGGTGTGCACAACGAGGGAGCCTGTGGAAGGCGAGAATGAATGCAATGAATGAGCCCCCTGCCTGAGGAAGCCGACATTCGGTCAAGACATTGTTGCGCTGCTGCCTGCTTGTCGCGGGAGTATAATCGGATTTCCCGTTTCCCAGGCTCAAGGGACTCAAAGCAAGCATGCAACGACTTTGACGATGGCCAGGGTGATAGTCACGAACAACATTCGAAGGACATGATGACTCCGCCGAAAGATAATCAGTGAACAGCCTTGACAAACAATTGCCCTCGAGGCTAACTATCATTTCCTTATCGTCGGCAATTGTATTGTATGTTAAATTACCGGTGAGTCGTTGGAGGCGGTCCGGAACTAGTCGCAGTCGCAGCAAACTGGAAAACCACTAGCCCAACTAGGCAGTTTCACGGCCTGCCTTGCACCGAGCAAAAGAGACAGGTCCCCCAAACGAGTATATTATCGTGGGCAGTACGGTAAGACGGCCGATTGCAAACCCTCCAAGACTGTAAGACGTGCGTTGTACGCCAATGTTGGTATGCAGTAAGATTACGGTCTTGGCCAGGATCAATCCACCAGGTCACGGGCCGTTGATGGTGCTCCTGGTCGCATCGACTCCTGGGAGACTGAGTTTAACACGAAATCCAACCCCGGACCTCGTGACTCGGCTGGATCAGCCAGTATTGCTCCCGAGAGCGCAGTAGGCACGGGGGTGAGTTTCACTTTCGCAATCCCCCTTCCCCAGCAATGGTACGAGCATACAAAGAACTCACCGCGAATTTCCCGTCGGCTAGGGGAGCTTTCAACAAGGAGATGGGAAGCTAGAAAGTTTGGAAAGTTTGGGGTTCTCCAAAAATCCATGGACCGAGGTTGCTTGCTTGCTTGCCTGCTTCGGACTGGTGAAGATAGTGGCGGCTGGCACCGCCCGCTAAATCCTCCCAATTCAGTCAGTTGCAACTGTCGCGAATTCACAGTGGACATTCCCAGGACCCCAAGGCCGGCCGGACCGCAGTGGGCAAGCAAGCGTGCGCCATTTTGTGGGGGAGAGGAATGGCATTGGAATGAAAGCAACTTTGCGGTTTTGTGGGGGATTTCCCTGGATCCGGCGGGTAATGTCCCAATCGTCTCCGTTCGATCCGACCTGGCGGGTGGATCCATTCGGTCATCACTCCTGGAATAATGAGAGGACTTTTCACTCCGTAGGTACAGTACACGCTGGCTCGCTCGCTACAAAGAGCTGGGGTTTTAAATCTCTCCCAAGGTCCGGTAAAGCCGCAGCTGCCTGGATCTTAGCATCGGCCGGTCCCGCAAATTTGACTGCCCAATTTTTCGGGCGTGGGCAACATTCTTCTAAATATGTTGTCGATGTTTCACATCAACGTCCACCCACTGACGGGTGATCGTTACACCCTGTGCAAGTCTTCTTGACCCTTGTCGGTGACTGAAGAATTAGCATTTCGACTCGACTCTACTAAAAAAAAGTTTTGAAAATATCCCGAAGCACAATGGTAACACTCGCGGAAAGCATCGCAGTACAGCTCCTGATTGGGGCTGTGGCGCCGGGCCTGGTTGATCCGCAGACGGGATGGTGGCTTATCCATCATTCCTCTCGAGACTGGCTAGAACCGAAACCTGGAGAGCCGATGTAGACGAGAAATGTGTCATTGTGTACCTGCCTAGGCGTAACCTGTCGTGGCTCGAATTTCTGGAATGGATGGCCAACCAACACGAGCGATCGGTCAATCGCCGCGTCCACGTTGCATTGGCCCATTTGACTTCCACGGGGTTCGATTGGTGTTAAGGAAATGGCCCACTGGCTTTGAGTTTGATGGTGAACAGTCCGAGCAATAGACTAAGGGAGATGCAGAGCAGGAAGGTTTCCTAGTCCTGCTAGAACATTGCCCGTGGCGAGCCGTGCGGGTACCTGGCCAGTAGTGGGCTACTGGTCGCTCATCGCACTGGCAGTTAGCGAAGGTACTGTACCATCTACCTCTTTGGGCAAATAAAGGATGTATTGTACATCAGAGTATATTCTTTGAAGTTCGCGAGCCCCGTATCTGCGGATTGTGTACCGCCGGCGGATGCGCAACCCCGATCTCAGGACACATTCCTGTTGATGGACTCGCGCCGTTTTCTCCCGGATGCATCAATTGCATACTCTGTACCACTGGAATAGCAGTACGGTAAGATTGACAACGTGTACGCCGGGACGGAGTCGAGCAGAGACCCTGGCGGGTGAGGATCCACCGGTGGTCCATGCTTGGAAAATGTGGGGGTTCATTGGGATCAGTTGCCGCTGTAAGCTGTTCAAAAATCATTGGGCTTACACGAAACGCCAACCATCACTGGCCCGGGAGCGAGTATATCCGTCGAAAGTCGGGTTGTGTGCAGAGTACTGTGCACCTACATAGGGAGTAGTCTAGCTGCACAGGTGAGGCACCCAGCGATCAAGCCAGGATCAGCCGCCGTTGATGACCATCCCACGGTATGACGTCCTGAGGCAGAAAATGCTTACCTCTGCAACCAATATCTGGACAGGTTAGCCTATGCGTGCTATATATAGGCCATATGAGTGACACCATTCCACGATGGTCATGGTCAACAGGTGAAGTCATCGCCGATGGGTGACAGCTCGCTCCGACATGAACCGAAGGTCCGGCTTTGAAGGTGAAGAAGTGGCAAGGAGACCGGAAGACGGACTGAATTTCAGTTTCGCCATCCATGCTCAAACACTTCGATGGCTGAGAGGGAAAGAGAGAGCACTGTAACAAGTAACTCATTACTCCGTAGTTAGTGAATGAATGGGTGAGTGACTTGAGTGACTTGGAGTGATTGTAGCAGAGTTCAAGGTTAGTTTACTGGCAGTAGACCAAAGTAGACCAAAGTAGACTAGTTTATCGCACGGGCCGCGACCACAGAACAGACCCTCGGGGGCCTCGACACCTTAGGCCACATTAGCGCCGAGTCGGCTGCTGCCCACCATCTTCCTTCTGTACTCCGTCTGCACCCATCCATCCCAATCCAACGAGGCACTACTTACGACTTGCAACTTACAACTTATTCTCCTCTCAGCCCCCAGCTTGACTTAAATATTCGGGAGATCGGAGCAAGATCCTGATCGCGGGCGTGCTTTTTGTGGAAACCCTGGTGATCTGGAACTCACTCATACTCTTGTTAGCTACCTAGCTACCTAGCTGTTAACCTGCCTCGCAAGCTAGACTCGCACGACCCCCGTCCGCTATTGAAACAGCTAAAGCTCAATCGACTAGCGAAGTCAATCCTCTCTCGACCCATCTGAGGTGCCACTACGGATGATCTCCGGACGATATTCATCCACCGCCTGACAATCTGACAAATGACATTGTGTCGCTGCCAAAGTGGGCGATCGTAGCACCGTTCAACAGATCTAAGAATGTGACCTTCACAGACACCTGCCAACAAGCTCAGCACCTAAGAAAAGGAAGTGGCCAGGTGTGCTGTCTTGACTATACACAGAAGCATACTAGATTCTATGCTACCGCTGGCCGAGAACGCCCCTGACAGCACTATCACATAGTGCAGTTTCTAGCACCGAAGAGTCATCTCCTCGTCAAATGAGGATAATAGCGGTTCGGTGGCCTGCAGCTGCTGATGCAGTCTTTATCGCGACTTCGCTAGAAGGCTAAGACAAGGCCACAGCCGCGGGTGCCACGGAACGCTATGATCCGACGCAGGATAATGCAGTGTGTCAGGATTCAGCCTGCACTTCTGGGCAGACATAACACAAGACAATCGCTTTGTAGATCCTATGAGACGCGAGTAACGAGCAGAAAATTCTCCGAGCTCGTGCGTGGACAAAATATATGCAAGATGGCATCATGGGAGGATGGTGATCCCGTACCAACACGCTATGTCCCACACTGCTCGGAATTTCAACGCCTTCATGAATGTGCCCGGCGATCGATCTGTTCTAGAAACAAATGGGCTGAATGGTCTTCGTATCGCGGGAGGCGATGTCTGAAAGCAAGACGCTGACTCGGCTTGGTACTTGCATGACCAATGTGAGCTCGATGAGGCGTTTTCTCTCAGTCACACACACACTTGGTATTGTACCTGCTACCTAGCAGTACAGTACTAGTTTACGCCAGTCCCACCCCAGACCAGACGGAGGTGTCATCACGAAGGGGACTGTGATTGGGTTGTGCTTTTCTCAAATATAACTCAGTGCTGCTTGAGTCATGCTTGACTGGCCTAGCACGCCATCCACTATCTTGATTACTGGCACTGGTGGAATAAGAGTCAGGGTCATGATAGGTGTTGCTGTGATGTTGAACACTCCGATTCCGTGTTAGCCACTGGGAGACGTCGCTGGACGCCCCCCCGACCCACCATTGGAGCTCTGACCAGTCACTAATTTCCAAGGTGTTACGACGGCTTCCTCGTGCATCCTCTGGTCCCGTCGATGCTGCCGCCGAAGGTTGGGATCGTGCTATAACAAGATACTGCTATAAGGGATCCACAATAGCTCATGTTGTGGACCTCGGACGATAACGGTCAATGAGCCACAGCTTGTTGGGACTGACTGACTGAGGATGTCTTCACCCGTTTCCCGGTCCTGTTTGACATTTGTGAGTCCTGCTGGTCTCAGCCAACCTGCCCTCCAACCCACTATTTTGGGCTAGTCCCTTGGAGTAATGACCTCTGGGCTTGGATCTGTGGAGATTCGCTGTGCGCCAGCTGTTGCATGATACGTATCACCAGCAGAGGTGGCACCGAACTAGTCCACACGAGCCCTCATCCTGCCAAATGACGGGCCGCGCAAAGCAATGTGGATGGTGGTTACCCCAGCCACTGGATCCTAGCCTGGCAGGGATCCTCCCTGACCAGACGGGTGTTTAAACCGTTCCTGGTGCTACCGCAGGCGCTAAACCGGTAGGACGTGCATAAGTGCATGCACAATCCTCCACTAATGCTGGTGCGAGAATAACTGACTCTGAGTCTCTGGCAGTATGTACGGTACGCCGTATCGCGACCGCACTTTATCACTCCGTCTATAACATCTTAACTTCTTACACTTCTTAATCTTCTGTCATACAGGGTGTTGCGCACGAGGTGGAGCCGTGCTGCGGCTGAGCCTTGCCGATCCTCCCATGAGGGAGGATTGTGTCCTGGAATTGCGACGCGAGATAACGACTACATTGCCTGGGGCAGTGGGGATGCAGCGAAGAAGGTCGGAGGATGATTCGCCGGCAAGTCCGTGATACCAAATGCTGCAATTAGACTGTTGATGCAGGTCGCCCGGCACGTCGACGGTCCCCGATCTGTGGCCTGGACGTCCAATTCTGCGAGAAATGACAGACAGGGTGGCATGGTGGCTGGAGTTATCAGGGTGATCGGAGGCAGGCTGCCGCTGATAGGTAGCCGTGATTCCCGCCCGCCCTACCGCGCGAGGGTTGACAATTGCGATCCCAATTATCTAGCAGTGCGCCATCTGCCCACAGACTGTCCCCACGGCCCGCCGTGCAGAAAGCGTTGATGATTTTTTGCTTGCTGGCCCCATCGATCACTTCAAGGTTGTCAATTGTCCGTAGGGTGGCAGAAGCACAGGCCGAGGGGTGGTCCCTGCAGCCGCCCATCCCAACAAACCACCTTTGCGCTGGCTCGTGGACTGTTTGTTGGAGCTTGGTTCATGTCCGACACCAACCTGAGCGTGACCTGAACATACTACTCAGTACCCGGATGTAGGATTGTTTCATCCATCTCCAAAAATACAGGGTGGCAATCTTTAAATAGTGCTACACGCCACTTGAAGGTTTTTGGTGGTGGGCACGGTGACACTACTGCATGATAAAATCTCCTGCGTCGGTGTACGGAACAAATCGCGCGATTTCTTCCGAAGAAAAGCCGGCTTGCGACGCGTTGAGGCTGGACCTGCCAAGCCCAGTCACTTCATTATTCTCGCCCGCGATGCAACCTGCTTGTTTGCCCCTGCCCCCTGTCTCGTATCTACTTGAGTCTGGAGGCTTTAGATCTTATCCTCGTCGCTTTCTTCTGATTACTGTATCTCGCTTATTGCATCGGATGCTCGTGCCGTGCATCAGGCACTGCCGGTCGAGATTCGTGGACTTGACGCCGGGGTAAGCAGCCTATGTATGCTATCCTTGATTGTATGCAAGTGGTATGTCGCCTCTGCATGAGCACGAGTGCAGATGGTTGGCTAGGATGCAGTGTTTTCTTGGTGATTGATGGGCTTGCCCTGTGGTTGTTAGTAGTAGTAAGAATAGTTGTCGTAGTATGGGGGCTAAATATAGTACTCGGTCGATAAGTGTTGACCCCGGTTGAGTCGCCTTTGGGCCTACGAGCCGAGATAGGGTGCTGACTCTGTATATGGTCTGGGGGGCCCATGCGCTCCCTCACGGTTGTGTTGTAGGGGCTGTATCCTTCTAAGCAGGATATCTATGCCTGACTTACCATCTAAGCATCGAGCATATGCTCTTAGGTGCACTTCCTTAGAACGAACTGACGGCCAGACATCAGAGATGAAAGACGAGAGCCTCGTAGATCTAAAATACCCGTAGACCAAGCCCATTTGTACAAGCTCTATATTCTGCACACACACACACACCATCACCTCATCCCAAGACATCAATTTCCACAGAATCAACGAGTCCCATCTCCCAACATCAAAGACACCGGGATCCCAAGCATATCAGACGGTATACATCACCTAGGATCTCATATCAACCCCCCTAGCCCATACCCGCCTATACCATACCCGCATACCCCATAATCCCCTCCCTCCCCACAAAATCCAGAGAAGCCCTACAACTCCGGCCAAAAATACACCCCGCGATCCAAATCCTCCCTGAGCGTCCTCTCAACAACCACAAACCCCTCCCTCTTTAGGTCTGGCACAACCCCGCCGATCAGCTCGGCCACGAGCCCCCCAAAAACCACACTCCCCTGCGCATTCAAATGCGTCTGATCATCCGCCACCAGGTTATACGTCCACGCGTCCGCCGGCCCAATCGCATTCAGGTACCGGGTACTCGCCGCATTCAAATCAATCCACAGCGCGCCGGTGGCCTGCGCCGCGGCGATCGTGGCGGCGCGCTGATCGGCCAGGTTCTCGACGATGAGGGGCGTGCCGGTTGAGTTGTCGTAGCCGCGGCGCGAGAGCGGCGTGACCAGGATGGGGGTGCCGCCGGCGGTGCGCACGTCACTGACAAACACTTCCAGGTTGGTGGTGTACTCGGCGATGGAGATGTTGGCGGCTGCCTTCTGGTCGTTGTGGCCGAATTGGATGGTTACGTAGGGGTTGTGCGTGCCGGAGGCGTGGGCGGTGGTTACGCTCGCGAGCACGGTGGCCCAGTAGCCGTCGGCGCGGTAGCTGACGGTCGTTCGGCCGTTGACGCCGTAGTTGATTCCTGTTGCGTTGTGGTGGAGGGTTGTGTTCAGGAAGCCGTTGCCCCAGCCGCCGCCGCCGGTGCTTTGTTTGGCGGTTGTGCTGTCGCCGGCGAGGAAGAAGATGGGGGGCACGGGGGGGGCTTGGGGCTTGCGGGAGGGATGGGCGGTGGTGTGCTGGGCGAGGAAGGGAAGGAGGGTAAGGAGGGGGAGTTTCATCGTGATGGTTAGATTGTGGGGATTGTTTTGTGAGAGTTGGGACTGGGAGGGTGGTCTGGGTTTCGTGATGCTTGTCGGGGTGGTGAATGCACGTCTTATGTGTTGACTCCCTGGGGAGGGTTGTGCTGGTTCACCCCACCAACTGGAAGAATCCAGCGTCAGTTCCAGCAATCATGGCACAATTGACATCCTTCTGCCAGGAGTGAGGGTGGGTGGGCGTGACTCTGCATCTTGCTGCCACGGGCCTGCTGCTCGATGGTTCTGCCACTCCGTGACGCAGAGAGGAATTGACGCAACAATCATCGCCATTACCCCGCGTGGGGCAGATCCCTGAAGAAGTTTGTCTAGCTAAAGTCCGAGGGTCTGGAAAATATATGTCCGAAGGCAGTCCGCGCCTTGGTTGAACAGCTGATGTGGATGGAGTGTGTAGCGGTTGCTCTGCTCGGCTAAGCATCGCCCGAGATTAAATTGCCGTGCGGGGATGCTGGTTGAACCCGCAGCTGCCGGTCGAACGGATGTGAAGAAGGGAGGAGAGAGAAAGAGAGGGAGAAAAGAGATAGCCATGGATGCTGGAATGCTGTTGCAAAGACTCAGAGCTTGCTGCGTCACAATCTTATCTAGGGAATGAGTTATAGACTGACTGACTGCTGACCGGTGCGGCAGCGCTGTGCAGTTAGGGCATCAGCAAAGTCAAATGCAGTCGAGCCACCTTCCCTGTGCCAATCATCCCACGTGACTGCGTCCCAAGAATGAGCCCAATCAGGCAAAGACCACGATCCTCACCAACAACCTGCTTATCGCAGCCAAGATATCCATCGCCCTCTCTTCCCCCATCGGGACAGGAACGAGTGATAGCGGGAAGATCTGATAAAGACGCCGCCATCTCATTCGAACTTCTTATCATTGTCTCGACAATGCCTTCCCAACGAGCCCTATCGCTACCCCAGACGTCCAGATACACTGCCGAGATATGGGGTTTATAAACGAGCCCCTGCGGCAATGACAGCCATGAAGGCTATGCGACAGCGCAATCATGAAGAAATCACCGTCGGTCGTCGATCTCTCGCGTGAGCCGTCCGCTGCGGACAGCCCCCCCTCCAGCCACCATGGCACCCTCGTCGAGCTGAACCAGACCCAACGCGGTCTCTCCTCTCGCCATGTGCAGCTGATGGCCATCGGAGGCTCCATTGGAACTGGTCTATTCGTCGGAATTGGCTCCTACCTCCGCGATGCAGGCCCCCTCTCCGTGTTTCTGGGATTTCTCTTCTACGGGGTCTTTTTCATCTGGCCGGTGAACCTCTGCGTGGGGGAGATGTGCGCATATCTCCCTATTCGAGGGTCCATCTTCGAACTCGCTGCCCGATACATCGACCCTGCCTTTGGATTTGCCATGTATGTTCTTTTCCTCCGCCACTCACCTACATCCAAGCCCACATCCGAGCACATGCTAAAGGACACAGGGGCTGGGTCTACTTCTACGGGGGCCTGATGCTCGTCTGCACGGAATACGCCGCGGTGGCGACGGTGATGCAATACTGGAACACGAGCGTCAATCCGGCGGTGTGGGTGGCCATGGCCATCGTGGTGTGCTTCCTGCTGAACATCGTCGCGGTGAAATGGTACGGGGAGACGGAGTTCATCATGGCGTCCACCAAGATCCTGCTGCTGCTGGGCCTGGTCCTGCTGACCTTCATCACGATGGTGGGCGGCAACCCGCACCACGACGTGTACGGCTTTCGCAACTGGACGCACGGGGTGATGTTCGAGTACTACAGCGAGGGCACGACCGGCCGGTTCCTGGGCTTCTTCTCGGTGGTCGTGTACGCGGGCTTTTCGGTGGCAGGGCCGGACCTGCCCGCGCTGGCGGCCGGCGAGATCGCCAACCCGCGGCTCACGATCCCGCGCGTCGTCAAGATGACCTTCTACCGCATCGTGGGCTTCTACGTGATTGGCGTGCTGGCTGTGGGCATTATCTGTAATGCCCGTGACCCGCGGCTGCTCAGCGCGCTGGACTCCTCGTCCGCCGTGGGCTCCGCCGCCTCGCCGTGGGTCATCGGGATCGAGAACCTGGGCATCCGGGGCCTCCCCGGGTTTATTAACTTGTTGATCCTGCTGGCGGGCTGGTCCTGCGGCAACGCCTACCTGTACAGCAGCAGCCGTACGCTGTACTCGCTGGCGCGGCGCGGCCAGGCCCCCCGCGTCCTGTGCCGGTGCACCGCGTCCGGCGTGCCGATCTACTGCGTCATCGTCGTCTCGCTACTCTCCTGCATTACGTTCCTGGTGGCCAGCACCTCCGCCGTGACCGTGTTCTACTGGTTCGTCGACCTGACCACCTGCGCCTTCGTGCTGACCTACACCAGCATGGTTGTAGTCTTTCTGGCGTGGTACCGCGCGCTCAAGGCGCAGGGGTTGGACCGCAAGACTTTCCTGCCGTGGGCGTCGCCGGCGCAGCCCTACGCGGCCATTTTGGCGGTGGTCATCGGGTCCGTGGTCACGCTGTTCAACGGGTTCACGGTGTTCGCCCCCTTCAGTGTCCAGGGGTTCGTGACCTCGTACTTCGGGATTGCGTTTTGGGTCGTCATGTTTGCGGTCTGGAAGGTGTGGAAACGGACAACCTGGGTCAAGCCGGAAGATGTCGATTTGTTGGCGGGCAAGGCGGAGGTCGATGCTGAGTGTCGCCTGTGGGAGGACGGGGGGCTGGAGGAGAGGAGGAGGGCGGAGCTGGCGAGGATGCATTGGGCGAGGAGGGTTTGGGAGAAGATGTGGTAGCGCTGGGTGTAGTTTCTGCAGATATATTTCAACACGTATCATAGAATGACAATGATTGATGAGGTGCTGGGTTTGTTAGAGAGTCTGCAGATACAGCCAATATGCCCTAACTCTTACCGACTGCAGTGTACGTGCCTGAGCTGCATCGTCCCAACCTGCCTCCCTGTGTAACACGAGCTCGACCAGCTCATGCCCTCTCTGCTCCAACAAAGCCCCAACCAAGCTCCTGCCTGCCGGAATGACAGCATGTCCCCGAAGAGAGCCAATCAGTCGAGCTGGCGGACAAAGCACGATCCAGCCAGGCTGTACCCGGGCCCGAGAGCTCCCACCCCGAGCAATGCAGCCCGCACTTCCAGGCAGACATAGCACCGAACAACCTTTTGCAACCCAGTACAGATGAGACTCTACCGACACTCCCCAGCAAAAGCCTTGAGACCTCGGCTGCTGCAACAAAGAACCCACCACTGGAAGCATCATCAAAGCAACCGTACTCGCGCAAACGAAGCTGAAAGCCTTCTTTGTTGGACAACAATCCTTTTGTCTACCTACTCCTTCCACCGCTTTCTCTCGATTGCACCCCCAGAGAATTATGCACTACTTAAGCCCCATGTGTATCCATGGATCATCCCCATCATCAACCAGATTCTCAGCCCGAAAGCCAGACCAGTGCTGCTAGGTGAAACGTCCAGCGTACTGCACTGTCGATACCGACGAATCCACTAAATCCAATCTGCAAGGACACCCCATAATATCCATCATGCCTCACCATTGGTACGTTCGATCCCATCTTCTCTCCTTTCGCCCTTTTCTCTCCCCTCCCTAAACCCTACCACTATTCGAATATACCAGAACCAAGCTAACATCAAACAGCACCGTCTGCAAAGACACCGTGAAGTTACACTGCTTGCGCCGCGGTCACGTGACCGAATGCACCGAGCTCTCCTGCAAGCTCCCCTACCAGAGCTCCCGCGAGAAGGACTGTCCCTACTGCCGGAATGCGCTGCAGAAGCGGACGGCCCGCGAGGGGAGTATCCCTGAAAATGAGGACGACGATGCAATGCTCGAGTCTGCTGGCGGGGACGGTGACAGCGACAAGGAGAACGACTCTCCTGGTGGAGTGCGAGCCCAGAAGCAGAGGCAGCCGCAGCCGCAGCCGAAGAAGCAGAAGAAGAAGAAGAAGAAGAAGGGCAAGCATGTGCGGGAGACGCGCAAGCTGAAGGATATTCGGCGCAGTAGGCCGGGCAAGTTGAAGTAGCCCCCGCTTGGGGATGCCAGCTGCGGGATTTGTGCTTCTGGTGTTGATCCTCTGGTGCTGAGAAGCGAGAGTTGAGGCTCGGGCTGGCTCCCCTTTCCTTGGTGGATCTTGGTGTACGATTTATGGCCGGTTTGAAGGCCGGGTCTAGTGTTTTCTTTTGTTCGGGGTCGGAGCTTGTGATTGGAAACAGAATGGCCTGTTGGGAATGCCAATATCAATGGGGATTTTGATTCGGTTACGGGTGAAGATGGTAAGTCTGCCATGTTAACCTGAACCCTGAGGATGTATCATACTAATCTCAGATCTGTGTCGTGTACAATAGTAACTCGCGAGATAGGTTGCATCACGATGTAACGGACTCCGGTCCTGTTCAAACTCCCAGTGCAGTGCATTCGTCGTCGTAATTATCATAGTAAATGAGACAATCCAGATTATTTCCCGCAGGGTCGTGTACACCCGAATATAGCAACACATTGATTCTCACGCACAGCTCAAACATTGTAAATCGACTGCGCCGGACACATTCCCACCAACTTATCCGTCTCCACGCTGGGCATGAACTTGACCGTCTTGCCCGCGCTCTCCGCCCCCTGCGACCGCTTCTCCACCTCCGCGAACGCAAACTTCTTCTCCGGCAGCAGCTCGTACACCCCCTGCGCGTACTCCGGGGCCACCCGGTACAGCTGCGCCAGGTACTTAGCCTGGATCTCCGGGTACTCGACCACGCGCAGCAGGCGCGCCGTGTTGTCGTGCAGGTGCTGGCGCTGCGTCTCGTCCATCACCCGCCGGTACAGCTCGCGCGGCTGCTCGTACTCCGAGTCCTGGCCCTCGTGGTAGAAGTGCGACTTGCGGCCCACGTTGCGGTCCGCCACCTGGTAGGGCGCCTCGGCCGTGTCCGGCCGGAACTTGTTGGCGAAGCTGTTCGGCACGTACTGCGGCTTCATGCCGTGGTTGGCGTCCACCCGCATCTGGCCGTCGAAGTTGAGCGAGGAGTAGGACTGGGTCATGAAGGGGCAGTTTACTGGTTTTCTTAGTATGAAGTCGACTGAGATGAGATGCAAAGAGGGGCGGAGCATACCAGGGACTTGATGCAGATTGATGCCGATCCGGTGGTACTGGGCGTCCCGGTAGAAGAACATGCGGAACTGCAGCAGCGGGTCGGGGCTGTCTTCGATGCCGGGCACCAGGCTGCCGGGAGAGAAGGCGGCTTGTTCGACGTCCCGGTGGAAGTTCTCGGGGTTCTTGTTGAGCACGAGCTTGCCAAACTCCATCATCTGGGTGGCTGTTAGCTACTGCCTTGCGCAACGCTGATCTCGATTCGCCTACTGGGAACTTGTCTCGGGGCCACACTTTGGTGACATCGAACGGGTCGAATCCCAACTTTGATGGATCAGCGTCCTCAGGCTGCATGATCTGAACGTGGGCTGTCCAGGAGACCTTTTCGCCGTTTTCGATCGCTTTCCAGAGGTCGCGCTTGGAAAAGTCAGGGTCGATACCGCTGTGCTGCTGGGCCTCGTCGGCGGTGAATTGTTTCTGGCCGCCGTCGGCAAGGAAGTGGTATTTGATGTAGACGAAGCGGCCCTCGGCGTTGACCCTAATGTATGTGAGATTTGCAGTGCAGAGATCCTGCGTATCACTTACCATCGGAAAGTATGGCAGCCGTAGCCGTGCTGGTTCCTCCATCCCACGGGAGTCCCATGGTCGCTGAAAAACATCATTCCTGCATGGTTACTGGTGACAGTTAGCAGAGTCATTTTGCGGTCGGAGAAAGACATACCCCTCTGGAGTGTTCGCAAGCAGATCGAACAGAGAGTTGTGGTCCAGCAGGAAGTTCTGCGGGTTGCGATACTGGGAGCGGATCACATCTGGGCCTTGGATCGGGTCGCGACAGAAGAAAACGGGCTGGGAGGGAATTAGTGGAAGTCTTCAGCGAGGTCTGCGTACGAGCATACAAAGTTCAATCCTACGATGTCATAGTTGCCCTCGCCGGTGTAGAATTTGACGGCGAAACCGCGGGGATTTCTGGCGAGATCGGGGAACTCTCTGCCGAGGGTGACGGTGGAGAAACGGACGAAGACGGGGGTTCTGACGCCGGCCGATCGTAGAAAGTTGGCCTGCACTGTCAGTCACGCTGGCCGAGTCGATCAGAAAAGAAGAATTCACCTTGGTGAGAGAAGAGACGTCCTTGGTTGTCTCGAAGTATCCGAAGGCACCACTGCCACCTAGTACATATGAGTGAGTGATTCCACAACAACAACAACAACAACCAGTGAACAAAACCCACAAGGATGGACCATGCGCTCCAAGTTCTTGGAACGATTGAAGTGCTGCTGTTTCTGCAAGAGAAAAGTATCGGAAATGACCGGGATGCCGCCCGCCGTCTTGCTGTGAGCGGGATCGGGGAAGGGAATGCCTTCGTTGTTGGTGAAGTAAGAAGCATCGTCGGCCCGCTGGCCGATGGTTTGCACTCCGGTCAGTTTGGCGGCGGTCTGGGCGGGACCCTCGTGCGCTCCCTGGAAGAGCGAGTCGGTCGGCGCCATCGCGCTCAACGCCCCGCCTAGCACTTGTAGCGGCCGAGTCGTCATCCTTCAGTTGAGTCACACAATCACAGTCTCGTTCCCTCTCCTAATTACTGAATTGATATCTTCCTGTTTACCTGTGAGCCAGTTCTTATAGATTGATTGCTCACATTGTCGCAGGCCAATCAAGTCCAATTGATTACCATACGGTCAGAATGACGGCCAGACTCCTGTCCCCACTCACGTCACCAATATCACATCGACTCTGCTGCAGCTTCACTTCTACCCATGTATGTTCCCATGATCAGTCATGACAGGTCTAGCCCCGCGTCTACTGTACTCACACCTGAACAATCTTTTTCGACACAAGGTTATCGCGGAAAGTCAATTGCGTGCTGAGAATCCTGCTACTCATCACTTCTCTGCGGGGGCAACTGTGCGCAAGATATATAACTTCGATGAGGAATCTCCCTGGCGAGCCAGATACTTGACACCTTAACCAATCTATTCTTGCTGGCTTCTCCCGCTCGAGGGTCCCATGGAAACTCGGCTCCAGCTCGCTCTGTCTCCTCGGGCCTAGGCAATGTGCTAATCATGACAATAACTACTTCAGTCCCGCCCACGCCTTGCTAATCACCCACCCAGCACGAGCGAGACCAGCCCGCTACCAAACCCGCATCATCCGGTTGCTGCCTGAGGAATGTAACAATCGTTACCCGTGCAGAAGTGGGATGGAATGCTGCCTCCCTGGTCTCAATTGGCTGGAGTTTTCCCCAGCCATTTATCTGCGGGGATGCGCATTGTTCTATGTCGATGTGGATGTCCATTTGACTTCCGCTAATCACATCCACTGTAGCACACAATTTGTCCGTCGTGTCACATAACACACAGCCTGCCTGTGGGCCGCGCCAAGGGCTTTCGAGTCGAAGGGTTGAAGCATTCAAGGGGGATCAAGCCCTGGCCCCCTGCCTGCTCCTTGGGTATGGCTTGAACTCTATTGGGTGTTCTTGTCATTGGTGACATGTGATCTTGTGCGTAGCAGCGTAGTGCTACTGAGCCTAAAGGATATCTCTTTTGATAACTGGATCATAGGAGACCAACTTCCTCTTCTAGTAGGGTCTTGTTCACCCCCGTCTCATCAGTTAGTTGAGAACCCCAGCATGAATTGAGAAGCAAACATTTCTTGAAGCCAGAAACGAAGACTTTTGCGGATGATATACATCTCGGAATGTCGGCGGGTCTAGAGCAGTGGAGATTGAATTCTGTCATCTATGTTTGTTCTTTCCTGAACCTCAAGCCCGTCCTTTCTTGGTAAAACGTTGCCCGGTCGATATTTAGCAGCAACGATTGGGATCCACAGCACGGGCGCTAAAGCGGGCTACAGCGGGCTACAGCGGGCTACAGCGGGCGCCTGTTTTTAGCGTAGTATGGGGAATGACGGCGCCCGGATTATTGATGCGGTCCATCGGCGCGCTGTAGAACCCATCCACACGAGCAATCACAACGGAACATTCCATTTCCAATTGGATTTGAACCTTTCACTCACTCATCCGAGCACGAGTCAGGGCCTTGTAACCTCGTACCTGTCACTTACCTTCTCCATCTCAATTTCTTGGATTAGGCTCATTCACAAGCTTGTAAGTTGTTTTCCTTCTTCCAGTGTGTCGGGTCTTCCGAGTAGGCCGGAATGACCGGGAGGCGGAAAAACCATAGATTCCGCAATGTAAACATGCCGGTCCTCCTTCATCTTCCACTCTGAACTCACACGCAAGGCACTGTCTGTGGTACCTTACTCTACATAACATGACAGGTGAAGTATTGATCGCCGTCGCTCTTGCTTATGCCTAGATTATCAAGCCACCTTCCTTTGCCAACGGAAACCAATAACGTTCAGCTCGCTGCAGCACTCCCCCCACACCCAATGCGGATTGCTGATCGCCTCGATCCCGAGAGCTCGCGACTCAAAACCTCCACCAGTCCTTCCCGAGAATATGTCTCTCCATCTCTAGTCAACAGATCAGACTGAGCTCCGGAATTCAGTCTTCTGTACGTACGGCAAGTGTGAGATTGTGATGTGCTCCATGGTTGCATTAATCATTCCGCCAGAGCCGCACAGGATCACAATCCCATTGTCAGTACTCGGAATGCCAATATTACAACTCCACAGATCGCTTTCCTCCATACGAAACGGACCAGTCATGTTGGCATCGACGCCAAAGCATTCTCGCGAGCACTCGAGTTTCAATCGAGTCGAGAACATCGTGACGGTCTAGCCCTGAACCAGCCCGGCAACATCACAATCCAGGTTCTACTCCACTATCCTCTGGAGGGGTATCTGGCGGATATGATATCCCCGTTCTCTGAGCGCATCTTGGTGGAGCGCTCAGCCTCCATGAGACCCCATCTAACCCCCCCCCCCCCCTTGCCGTCTATGTCTCGGATAACGTTTACGGTCCCCTCCGCTGCTCGATTGGCTCCCGCAGTGGAGCGTTCCGTAGTGAAAAGGTAGAACTTGAAGAAGCCTAGGGCACTGCAGTCTTGGAGCCTTACCGGGGTACGACTTCGTTGAGTCCTGCGCTGGCTCACGCAGTAATCGTGAAATTAGGTTCATGCGCACATGCGACAGGCATGGACACTCGACTCAGGTGGTAATCGATGTGAGCGAGGGAAAGTCAATCCTAGAAGACATGACTCGTGTACTGCCCATAGAAAATGACAGACGGACGGACAATTCCCTTCTGCGACCACGGAAGCACACATTCCACAAGCCCGTGTTGTGGCCTGAGTCGGTTTGGCGACCGCAGCGAAGAGCAAGTCTTCCTTGTATATATCCTGCCCGGCTGACTTTTCCCCGCGTACCCATTCGCCCAGAACATATGACAACCTCGCTCGGGGAGAAATTCCTGCCACAACCGTGCATTTCGGCGACGATCATCCTGCTGTGATGGTGGTGTACGTTCAAAATGGGCTCGGGCCTTGTTTATGAACCTTCGATCACCCTCCCTTTACCCATGATTCCTGTTTTTCTGCCTCTACTCTTGTGGCTGGATCATTTTCCGGCCTATCATCGACTGTCTGTGTGACCAAAGCTGATCTCGCACGGTGCGCATAGATGGCATTCGTCACCCTCGGTGTCCTACAATTATCGCAATGCATCCGGGTAATAATTCGCCCATTGATGAGGAGATCTTTATCCCCGAGTCTCTCTTGGCAGCTGCCACCACAAGCGAGTCCTGGTCGCAGAGTCCCCGACAAGAGATCCCTCGTCAACTTCGAAGTGGTCTACCTTCGGATGAGGTTCGCGTGCGCAAACGAAGACAGGCCACCACCAGTTGGCCGACTGCAGCTCAGAATGACCCGACATCCCACTCGGTGGGCCGTCCCTTGAGCACCAATTTCACCAGAGGCGACGAGATATACCCATTGTATGAGGACTGTGTGGTAGTGGAGACCCCCAAAGGACCTCAGGCGGTTCCTCATTCAGCGGTCGATGGTCTTATTCCCATCGCGGAGCTCTCAAGTCACCCCATCACAGAGCTACCTAGTCACCCAACTCCACCACCCAAAGCACGCACAGCCCGATATTCGCTGGACAATAACGGTATCCTCAACAGATTCACAGTGTTGTCTCCTTTCCCCCTACGTCAGACTATCAACTCCGCAGTCGAAAGAGCCCGTGACAGCAGTCTTGGGACATTGTACGACAAAGCTAATCTTGTCCAAATCAAACATCAACGCAGATACTGGGTTCGGATACTGATTGAATATGGAGCATATACAATACTCCTCTTATTTGTCTATTTTGTCCTCGTGGGCCAACCTCTATGGGGAGGGGCGATTTATTGGCTATACTGGATAATGCGCAACAAATTTGTCTTCCAGGGTGGCTGGGCCATTGTCATCAGTCTAATGATCTTGTAAGTCGGCCTTTTCGGGAGGAGAATGCGATCCCCGTATCGTGACTCACGATCGCACAGCTACTCATTTGCACCGCTATTGACTCTCTTCGAGAAGGATCTTCCCGACCCCGAGTACTACAAAGATCGGAACATTACCCCGGGCGCCCCAGACACAGCCCTTTTAATCCCCTGCTACAGATCTGCACCGGTCATTGGGCAAACGCTCGAGGCCGCACTGAAGATTTTCCCCGCATCGCATGTGTACGTTATTGCTAATGGAGACTCCACCAACCCCTTAGACAACACGGAGGAGATTTGCCGCCGCTACGGAGTCAATCATATCTGGTGCCCGGTCGGCTCCAAGATCATCGCTCTATTTGTCGGGTGCTACGCGGCTAAAGTCTTCCGCTATGTGCTCCTTATTGACGATGACTGCATTCTCCCCCCAAATTTTCCTGTCGCCATCTCTCGGCTGACTGATAACGTGCGTTGCGTGGGCTACACGATCAAGGTGGTGGGGCCCGAGTCATCCAAAGGCACATACTGCCAGCAAGCTCAGGATCTCGAGTACAAGCTCGCCGGGCTACAGCGCACCTTTGCCGGTCGCATCGGCAGCGCCACCTTTCCCCACGGGGCAATCTCGCTCTGGGAGCGGGCTTTCCTCAAGGACACGCTTCAAGATCACCCGGGATTCTCCATCAGTGAAGACTGGTTCTTGGGCAACAGCTGCCGACGACTAGGCGGACGAATCAAGATGTGCAGCATGATCTTCGTGGAGACTGCGGCGCCACCTGCGTTTCTCTGGGTCGACAAGGACCAGAGCCGAGGAGGCTTTGGGGAGATGACAGTCTTCAAGCAGCGATTCCTGCGCTGGAACTTCTTCATCGTTAACGGCATGCGATACAACCTGGCCTACATTTTTGGTTCATGGAAGCTGGGTCGGTGGGAGATCGGCGCGAAGGTTTTTGTTATGCAAGAGGTATGTTCATGTTATGTTGGGTATGTAAACGAACCTGCGTGCTAACTGGGGCATAGGTGTACGAAACCGTGCTGAGCATTCTCGCGCCCTTTATTTTGCCCATCTCGTTGGTCGTGCGGCCTTCATTCTGCATCAGTCTTTTGATGGCGACCCTAGGACTGTATCTGCTGAACGCCGTGCTTTTCAATGAGATACACCTTCGACTGAAGAAAGAACGCGTTAGCTGGAAGGTCATCATCGCATACTATGTACGTTATCTTTATATATGTGTTGTGTTATATCTAACCATCTGTGCCAAAGATGCCCTACAAAATGCTCATCGCCGTAATCAACGTGATCAGCTGCTACTGGTCTCTGATCAAGTATGCGAAGTATTTTGCGCAACGCCGACCGAAGCTGATCGAGGACCACAAGGCGGTTGGGATCGTGCTGAAACTGGAGGAAATCCGACGACACCAGCAAGGTGGACTTGGGCGCAGTATGACTGTGCGCACGGTCGGAGTGCGCAGCCGCACCAGTAGTGCTGGATGAGCTCGGAAAAGAGGGGCATTGTGCCCTTGATGGATATTGAGCGCTGAAAGGCTCATTTGCTCTCGTTGGTCTAGAGCATGGTCGGAAGACTGAAGACTGCCATACATAAAACAACACCGGCTCAGAATCCCGCTGCTTTGGTCAATGCATCCGGACAGACCGTTCTCTCATCACACCTCCGACTGCATCGCTCTGCGGTCTGCTGCTCGCGATCGAACCAGTTACCAGCACTGCACCACCAACTCAATCATCCAACCCTCTGTCCAAAAGCTATATCACTCCAAACGAGGAGCTCTAGCGACAACTCGCAAAATGGTTTGAGAGACGGGCTCTTCGGCGGGTTCCAGGGGGTTCAACCTTCGGCGAGTTTCCGGTGCTTGGAATCCCGCCGACCGGGTCGGCGTTTTCGGCGTATGGTTCAACCCCTCGGCGGGGTTTCCGGCGGGTCGGCGATCGGGGTCGTCGGGGGTTCAACCTTATCCATCCCGCATTCGAAGGGCCCTTACCCTCTCGATTAGGACTCTGTTGGTCTTCTGTTTACCGGATGTAAGGCTGTTAGCAGGCGAGATTCTGCTTTCTCTATTGTTCGAGTAGTTTATGCATGTCCTTGATCCAAGGAATCGGGAGGAAGCAGCCTGGTGGATCGGATAATCGGCTAAATCCTTCCGAGTATGAAGATATATTTCCCCGGCGCAGGGTCTTATCGAACTTACGAGGAGACTAGGCAGATTAGGATAATCAGATAGCTTACACCACTCTATATTTCATACGGAATATCTCAATCTAAGTAACCTAACATTCCGTTTGGGGGTTCAACTTGACCGAGGAAAAATTCGGGTACTCACGATCTACTACGTAGTGAGCTCTTGCACCGATGCAAAACTTCCAATGTGGATTTAATGCGCAGCGAAGGAGTCGGTATATCTCCTTGGAAATGCTGTCTTTTGAGAAGATACTATCCTATAACGCTAGCCGGTCTCGCTAATTTTCCATGATACACATCCCCTTCCCCCTCTCTGTGGAGTTTTTATTGGCTAGTCGTGCACATAACTAACCCTTCCGAAGACCTTGAGTTGTCAAGCTAAGCCTTGATAATGAAATGAATATCGAAGAAAGCGAGTAGCAGAACAAGTCATCTACCCCAGTACTCCGAAGCAAGTAACTATACCTAGGTAGCCAGAGGCTGCTGCCGTGCGAGAGACAGCGATCCCGTGATGGGTTGGCTCCCAAAGGGTCACGGCGCTATCCAGCAGGGCACGCAGCCTGCAGTACGGAATGGCCTACCAGCGATAGTTGATCAGCTTTTGCGATAAACATTCGCATTGTCATCTCTATGAGTGGAAGGACGAAAAAGAGGAAGTCATAGCGAGAGCCAGAGGGTAGGGAATGAGACCACATAGAACAGAAAAACAAAAGAATTGTGCTCCGATAGGGGGAATCGAACCCCCGGCTGCCGTGTGAGAGACGGCGATGTTAGCCACTACACCATATCGGATATTGTATGAGAAGAATCTGTAAGAAAGACCATTATGAGCCAAAAGAAGCCCATACGGCAGGGAGGCAAAAGATCTGCCATTCGAGCAAAAGAATTTGACCTCCGATAGGGGGAATCGAACCCCCGGCTGCCGTGTGAGAGACGGCGATGTTAGCCACTACACCATATCGGATCCTGTTGCACGCAAGAGGTCTGTTATGTCCTTACGGCGGCAGCGCAGGGAACCGAGTCCCTTGGCATCAGCCGCGCCATTCCCATTCGCTCCGTCCTCTCTATACCGACGTGAGTAAGATAATCAACTCAATATTCATATGCTTTATGTATAGTATAAAACACTTGAGATATGAATTTGTTCATGAGGAAGGCTGGGGTGATTCGTCGTCAATCTGCCCTGATTGCAGTGTAGATGGTCGGTGGAGAAGCCTTATGAACAATCTCCTGCCTCTGTGAAAGACGAAACTTCGCGCTTCTGATTGACCGGAAGTCATCCCTCACGGCAAGCTCCTCGTATGGCTATCTCCAGGCAGCCATCGAGTCAAATACTCCTCACATTGAGGACGTCATAGTCCTCAATCCAGTTGTTAGCGAGCACCCTTTCGAATCGGCCAGCATGCATCAACGCAAAGGAGGGGGGAGGGGGTATCTTACAATCCGAGGGCAGTCTCGGTGGCACAGCATCATCCACAAAAGCGAGGATTTGATCTCGTATTTTGCGATAACCGGCGACATGCGAGCCGGCGAATTTATTCAAGCCGTGGTGATCGGTGGGTAGGGCCGCCTGGCGAACGGAGACAATGCCTGGCCAGGCTTCGCTGGATTCGACCAGCACGCCCGGCTTGGCCGGCCGCTTGAGCGTCAGAGAGTTCCGTTTGAACTTGGTGTCGTGGATTTCGTAGTAAGAGACGGCGGGGATGCTTCGGCCGTGGTCGTCGATTGCTCTCTCCAAGCCCTGGCAGGTATTTTTGAGAAAGGCCCTTTGAATAGGTTCCAGAACGTTGAGCAGTCGCGTTCGGCTCACCGTGTCGGCGTATGACAAGCCATACCTTGCCTGGCTCGTGTGCACAATATGGGCGTGGTAGGCTCGCCATCGCTTTAATCCGTCGGCATCGGTTCCGCGGAACGGAGTACCGAGGAAGATCAGGCCGCGTAGGGAATCCAGAAGCCATGCTTGTGCGTCGCGCCTGCCTTCGGCTTGGATGAGAGCCTGTGAAGGTACAAGGGTTAGCATGACCAGCCTCATGTCCTAGGGTTCGGAATTGAGATAGAGGGTTGCCGACCCTGGCCAGTACTAGCCCACCAAAATCACACGCAATGACAACAGTGGGTTTTGGCGTCCGAGTCAGCGTCTCCTGCCACGTATGCCTGAGCTCAAAACCCCGGAGTCCTAGCAGTCCTCTCATGCTTTCGTTGCCGAAAGGCGCACTCCACTCAAATGTGTATATCCTGGCTGTGGGCAGGGCTTTCGGAAGCATGTCGGGATGTGTAAGCCAATTGACTTCAACACCGCCATCTATGTGAGTCCAGGTTCCGTCTGCTGTGTTTTCCATGCCATGGATGGCAATGATGCTGCAGGTAGTCATCAGACATGACGCGGCGCAATAGGACTGGAAAAAGGCCGTACTCACTTCAATGTGTGGTTTTCTGGCACCACATGCGCCTTGAGGACGCTCGTGTGGCCCTCGAAACCGGACAGAATGGGGCCTGGTGATTCGGATCGTTCGGACCGCGAAGGCCGCTTTGCAATGTACTTTGGTTTTCGTGCTGGCTCTCTCATCACAGTGACTCTCGGAGCTGGACCACTGCCATGGCTAGCTCGTGTAAAGCCAGAAAGCTTGTGATGAGAGACTATTTGTGAGGACGCATCTGCAGCCTCTGGCCTGCCATCTTGTTTCGGATCTTCGGCTGCGTGAGACCGCTTTGCTTTCTCTTCGTCAAGAACCGCGGGGTTGTGACGAGGGGCCTGCGCGGACGTGGAGCCGGGCTTTGAATGATGTTGCTGGGCCAGATTTCTGCCGTTCGAGCTTGATGTTTTATGCCTTGGAGGGTCTGTATAACTCAGAAACAAAGGCCCTGTGGGAGAAGGTAAATTAAGCTCAACAGTATGAATCTCTGGAACTCCTGGCCTTCTGGGAGTCGGCCGAGAATGGGTTTTGCCGCCCGGTAATGCTACTTCCCCTTTTGGAGCAGAAGGAACCTTCCCAGTTCCAGAACTTGGGCGACCCAGCTGGGGACGAACTTTGTCGCTCATCCTTGCTATTCCATTTTTTGGATCCTTTTTCAAGTCTATGGACGACGTGAATCGACCGGGCGTAGACCCGTTGCTCGAATCGTCAACCCATTCGACATCCTCCGCTGCGAGCATTTTCACTTCGCGATTTTGAATCCAAGCCATTCCCAGAGCCGCCTCTGCAGATAGGCGCTCATTGGAGAAAGGCGAGATGAGCGTTTTGACGAATTCTACACCATCTAGACCGAATTTCCCCTGAAGCGGTTCGTCGGGAAAGGATACCCGCCCGTCACAGAACCTTCGCACGTCTCGACGCGTCGGAAATGGGTCTTGCTGAGTAGCGATTCTGAATACTACGCAGCCCAAAGACCACATGTCGGCTGCATTGTCATAGATCGATGTTGGTTCGTCGGTATCGAGATCTCCGCTCACCTCTGGAGCAGTGTACTTTGAGGTACCGATGGACGTATATAGTGCCGTTCTCTCATGGTTCACTCGCTTCGCGATGCCAAAGTCGCCAATCTTGACCCACCATCGGGCAACCGGGGGTTTTCGGGCCACGAAGATGTTGCCAGGTTTGAGGTCTCGGTGGGTGAATTGTTCAGCGTGGATAATCCGGAGGCCATTGAGGAGATTGGTGGTGATGTCCTTGACCTCCTCCTCGGGGATAGACTCTGATATGTGACTTTCGAGATCTCCCAGTGGGAAGAACTCCATATAAAGGTAAAGATTGGAGGGGTCATCTAACCAGCCGAGAAAGTTGACCAGAACCTCCTGCTGTTGATACTGCGGTTTCGAGAACTTGGCCAGCGCGAGAATCTCCCTCTTATAGTCGATGGTATCCCGTTCCATCAGATCCTTATCCACGACCTTGACGGCTCGACGGCGTGTATCAGTCTCATCACTCTCCAGCCAGACTTTGCCGTATAGTCCCCATCCCAAGGGGTCGGAGCGGCGGTACCATTTCCTCTTCACAAGGCGGATAGCGTGACTCTCATCGCGCTCGTATTCGGTGTGAGTGGTGCAGTCGTGGTCGAACACGGCGTCGTATTTGAAGTGCTCAAGCAGATCGTCGGCTTCTAATCCCAATCGCAAGGTTCTGATCTTGTCAGCAAGTTCTGAATTTCCCTGCACCAAGTGTAGCAAGTCAGCATATTGCGACGACGAAATGGACATGGCGCTCTGCGTCGGGTAGCATCCTAGCACTCATAGCACTCTGGGATCGCGATCTCAAGGGAAATGGGATCAGGAGGACAAATGATGGAAGAAAAGGAAAGCAAGAGAAAGGCAAGAAGCTGAACGAGCCACAGAAGGTGAAGATGGGGAGAAAAAGAAGTTGAATTGGAAGGACGAGGCTGGAGTGAGATGACTTGGTCTACTTTAGATGGCGGGGAGACGATCCAATGAAAAGAGTCGCATCAGGGGTTGGTTTCTTTTTCCAGCGCGTAAGTAAGTGCGGAGTCACAACAAACCAACAAACACCGCAGTTCGCATTTCTCCCTTTCCCTTTTCTTTTCTCCTTTCTCCCCTTCTTCACTCAGTTGTTCGTTCACACAACTTGCACAAGATGGACCCGGCTTCATTTGCCTTTTCCGTCGCCTCCATGGTGCAGTTATGCATTCAGTGAGTCTTTTCAGTACTCTAATCTCTACCCTTTCCCCCTTCGTCTCTATCACGCTGACCACATCAGCCTCGGAAAGAACTTGTACGCACGCTGCGAAGCATACCGTTCCGCCGAGAGGGAATTGCAAGAATCCAATCTGAAAATCCAAGGTCATTGGATCAAGATCGAGCAACAATTATCCGCACTTCAAGCTGTATGGGAGGCCCTTCCGGATGCTTTGCAGATCCATCAATTCCAGGTGCTTCAAGTCCTCCGAAGCAAGCTCAAGGCCGCGATAAAGAGCATTCAGAGTCTGAGTGTTGACCTAGGAGCTGAGAACTCACTCGATAAGTCCATAGACTCTTCCCTCGCTCGGATTCTGCTGAAAGTGTCCCGCACCAAACGGATCAAATACGCCATCTATGCCAAGGAATCTCTCGAACACATCGTTGAAGAGTTGGAGCAATGGCAGAGGACATTCGACCCATCCTGGTTCTTCTTAAGTCGTCTGACCATCCAGACAATCGATCAAGAGTTCAGTGGAAAGAGGGCTGCGGAGAGCAAGGCCGTTTCGACAGTGGTTAATTTGCGTGAAGTCCATCGAATCTACGACGAGGAGAGCTCCGCTTCGATATTCTTGGGGAAAGATTTTGCCATCGGACGTTACACGACGATCACTTCGTCTTCTTCATGGCTCGCTCGCACCAATGAAGGCTTGGTAGTAGTCGACCGCATCCCGATTAGGCGACAAAACGACCTTCGTCACCGCACCAAGGACGTTCGGGACCTAGCACGCATCCTTTCCAAAGTCGATCCGGACACATTTGGCCTTCTGTCGTGTCGTGGCGTACTCAGGACGGAAAAGACTTTCGATCTTATTTTTCCTATCCCCGGGAGTCAGCAGCAAGAGCCTATTGCTAGTCTTCGCTATACCCTCTCGAGACGTGTTGAGCGCAGCTTTACTCTGAACGAGCGAGTGAAATTGGCGAATTCTCTGGCGCGGTCGGTCGTGTTTCTACATTCGGCTTCATTTGTCCACAAAGGCATTACACCGGAGAATATCATTCTCTACAGACTGTCAAAGGACAGTCTGGGTATTCCTTTTCTGGTTGGCTTTGATCAATTCCGCCTGGCAGAAGGACCGACCTATTTGAGTGGCGACACAGCTTGGGAGAGGAACCTTTACCGTCATCCACGACGTCAGGGAATACATCCCGAAGATGAATATATCATGCAGCATGACGTATATAGCCTTGGGGTCTGTTTGCTGGAGATTGGACTCTGGACTTCCTTCGTCGAGTACTCGGGAGACTACGGCCAGCCTGTTCCAGGATCACCACTATCAATCGGGGAGCTTATTGTTGAAAGAGACCAAAGACGAGCGGCCTACCAGATCAAGAAAATGCTTGTCGACCTGGCCAGAACTAAGTTGCCATCTCTGATGGGAAACATCTTCACCGAAGTTGTCGTGTCATGTCTGACATGTCTCGATAAGGACAACGAGTTGTTCGGAGATGAAGAAGAATTCCTGGACAATGATGGAATTCTCGTCGGTGTTCGCTATATAGAGAAGGTATGTGGCTAGACGCTTGGCACGTGACGGGGCTAACTTGTCTATCTCATAGATTCTGTTTGCGCTCCAAGGAATTGCGGTATGAGGCCTGCGATACCAGTGTCCTTGCGAGCCGACTATTTTGGGTAGCGTAGAAGCGTAAAAGTGGGCTGGGTCTTAGCTCTCTTATATCCCACCTGGCCGACCTTCTTGTGGAATGAAGGCTATCACGTCTAGATCCGGGCGCGCTGCTGAAGAGGTCAGGCTGCGGTCGTAGAGCTAGATAGCATGGTCGACGGCTCATTCACAAACCGCTGAACCATTGCGATGGCGGTGCGATGCCATGAAAGAAAACGGTGGAGACTGTGCCGAGAACTGCGACGCCGGTGTCTGCGCGTCCATGCCTGCTGGGTGAGGTGCCCTGTTGTAGCATCTGGGCTAGACGATGCTGCAAGCTCCGCCTTCCACGTAAAGGTTCAGCCTCGAGACTTAGTTTTGGAGAGAGCCAAGGGAAGATGCTGGTAAACTAGAGTGACAATCACCTTATCATAGATCCTGCCAGGGGGGTGGTATAATTTTGGTTACATTTAGGGCGCTGCAGTCACCCCGGTTGGCCATCTACGGCTTGGGAAGAGCCTCGCAGAGCGGACTGTGTGCGTGGAGAATGCTTAAATAATGTATCAATCAACGAGTCGACCGAGGCATAGTACCAGCATTCCCGAGTAATCCGACCACGTAATCGACGCAACTCACTAAACAAGGTGCCCACGTAGAAAACTTAGATAGTACAGTACAACATCATCAGACAACAAGCAATATGCGATTCCCAGATCGGAAGACGCCTTTTGGGCCACGATGACCCAGAACTGCCCCGCCAGTCATCCCTGTTTGCTTGACAAATACCGTCAAGTTGCACCGTATCTTCTCCCCGACGGCGAATCCGCCATCCTTGCACCGTACATCTGCCACAGCGACCTCAACCCCGCAAACATCTTCGTGGCCGACGGCGAGATTACCAGCGTGATCGACTGGCAGGGCATATGGGGCACACCGCCCGTGCTCAGCGGACGGCATCCGAGCTTTATCCGCTTTGAGGGGGAACCGATCCTCACCCTCCCCGCGGATTTCGCCGAGCTTGACAGCAAAGAGTAGTCTGCCATTGCAGCCCAGATGGAACAGACCATAATCTGCGATTTCTACCAGACACGAGTGGCGGAAGAGATCCCCCTCCTGAATCGCGTGTTCTACCATGAATTCGGCATGCTGCGATCTTGGCTCATCCGGTTTGTGGGCGATACCTGGGAGGATGATATCATTCGCCTGAGGGAGAGTTTGATCCAGATCGAGAACTGAGTTCACGCCGCTAGTTTTCATGGCATGATATTCCTGGTCTGCGTTGTTCGCTAACTAAAGCCCGTTCCAGGCACTGGGAAGATGTGGGCTTTAGGTTTCCTTGCCCCCTACATTTCACAGAGAACGAGCTTCAGGTCCACGATGAGGAAACGATAGCCTGGAACAATATACAGGGATTCTGGGACGCAATCTCTCTTTTTGTGGCAAGGAATGGCTTCGTTTGTTCCGATATGTATGAGGAGGTTGTTCACATGTTCAGATACGTGCGGAACTGGGGCTTGGAACGGGTCACGGGCAAGGTGAAGGAAAGGTTTGAGCATGCGACTCTGATGGCTGCGGATGTCTAGTTTGGTGCAGTGACTAAGTTGCAGGTTCTCAATATTCGACTATTTTATCTTGCTTACAAAGTCAAAGTTCTTGCTTGCTCTACTAGTGTTACTAAAATACTGACAGTCCAAGATGGGCTGTATGGAACGATTCCTTGATCTCTTGGTGGTTGAGATGTTTAGCCTAGACGAGAGGCTAGGTGCGAGCCTAGGTGACAGCCTCAGGCATAAAAACGCTGGACATGGACTCGAGGCTGCAAGTGAAGGAGATGGCGCAGAGGTCTATCACATGACTGGCATCCAGCTGCCAGAAGCCCTCATCTCATCGAGGCAGTAGTCATCAACGACTGGCAGGAAAGGAATATCTCGCCCGACACAGGGGAATAAACCGTTTTCCTTCCATCACCATCTTCTTCTTCCCTAAACTTCAACCCAAGACCAAAGTCATCAGTCATCAGCCCATCCACGTATTCCTCTTCACCATGGCTGAGAAGAACACACACATCATCGACCCGGAAGGAGACCTAATACTCTTCCATATAATGGATGGAGAAGAGCATCGGATCCGAGTATCGACCAAGCACCTGATCCGAGCATCGCCTTTCTTTGCGAGAGTCTGCCCCGGGAGAGAACAAGAGAGCACCGTACCTTCGTGCAGCAGAGAGTGCCTGCCCGACTTCGAGGGGCTGAAGCTCGAATCTGTGCTCATACTGATGCGAATCATACACGGCCAAGCGTCTGTGCTGCCTGAAGTAATCGATTTCTCGACACTTGTCGATCTGGCGGTGCTGGCGGACCGCTGCCAGTGTGCACCCCTCGCCCGGTACTTCGCCCTACAGTGGGTCGACAACCTCACCACCGCAACGGAGCGCCCCTCCGAGTACGGCAAGGAAGTGATGGAGTGGATATATGTGGCGTGGGTGTGGAACCTGAGCAAGGAGTTCGAGGCAAACACTCTTGTGGCCGTCGAGACAAGCTCTGAGATGGTGCACTCGCACGATCTCCCCTTGCCCGGGAGGGTTATCGGTCCGTGAAGCTTTTCTTCCGATCCTGATCACAACACTGACGGTTCAGCAGAAAGAATCAAGAGGAACCGAGAGAAGGCCATTGCGAAAGCCCTAGCCAAGTTGAAAAGAGCAGAAAGAAAGTTTTTGAACGGCACTGGCGAGTGTTTTTCTCGCTTCAGTTCCATCATGTTGGGGTACCTTCAGAGGAATCTTTACGATGCCGGCATCAAAGACCCAGTCTGGCCGAAGGCTCCATATGTCGGCGAATCGTATCAGAGGCTGGTCGAAGAAGTCGAGTCTTTCGTGAACCCCGAGGGTGAGGACGGAGAGTGTGACAACGACAAGTATGACTTGCATAGATTTCTTAATGTCCGCAATGTTTCGGTGGGTCTGAAACTGGAGAACTTCACCCACAGCAGCTATGTCAACTCTGAATAAACCGACAGAGTTGCTTTGTTGTTATGGTAGTTTCGGGCTTTGTCCTGCATATTCTGGAATAAGGTTGTTTCTGTATTTTTGTTCGTTCCATACTTCTGCATGAGAAGACAAAGGTGTGCGGGGCCATGCATAGGCGAATATGATAAGATTCATTTGGCAGATATTCACTCAGTGTAACTAAAATTATGTCCAAGATCACATAGGAACGGCACGTGATCGATATAAAGATGAAATGAAATGAAGTGAGAAGAAACGAATCAACACAACACACAAGAACTCTCCTACACCATCGCGTTCTTCTCTGATCCTTCTGATTTCTTTGAGCTCAGCATCGTACAGCCGTACATCATGTCTGACTCCGTTATCTACAGCTTCCATCCGGAGGGAAGGGTCATCTTTGTTCTGACGGAGCCATCCACACCCTCAGACTCCCCTCATGGAGAAAATCACGATGGCGACTTTGGATTCGCTCCAGCGCGTTTGAGCACTGGTGTTTCGCAGCGTTCGTACATCGATCCGGCCGAACTGGCTTGTGAAGATGATTCCAAGTTGTCGTCGACAACCACTCTTATCCTAAAGGTAAGCCCCCACGAATCCAACGTTGAGATCCGATACTCAGACAGATCTTCCCCAGAATGAGATCCGAGAAAGCAAAAAGAGTCCCTCTGCAGCCGCTCAAGCCCCCAACAAATACCTCATTCAGGCATCAGAGAAACATCTCGTCCTGTCCTCGCCCGTGTTCAAACAGATGCTCTGCGGCCTGTGGAAAGAGACCATTGACCTCGGAACAGAGGGGTTCATCCGGTTCGAGATCAAGAACTGGAATCTGCAGCCCTTCCTCGTCTTGCTCCAAGTCATGCATGGTCGACCAGCACCCAAGGGTCTCGACGTCGACACAATCGCTGACGTGGCGCTGTTAGCCGACTACTACCAGTGCCTGGAAGAGTTTCGTCGTTGCATGCGTGGATGGCTGAAAGAGGCCAAAAGAACCCTGCATCCATCGCACAAAACCTATACCAAATGTCTCTGGGTCTCTTGGATATTGCGCAGTGCGACCAATTTCAAGGACTTTGGCAATCTCGTGGTATACTTTGCGGAAGATCTGATTGAGGGGGATGGACTGCCGTTCCATCCTGTCGTGCTGGGTATGACTCCAGACCCTCCTTCTCCTGACCACACGAACTGACTGTCATGCAGACAAGCTGAACGCAGCCCGGAAGAAGGCCCTCACTCCAATCATCCGTCGCCTACCGATGCACTACAACAGCGAGAGGCCCGCGGAATGGGTTCACCGGGGCTTCTGCGGCGAATGCGCCACACTGCTGAGCGGATTGCTGGAGCTGGACGTTAGACAGGCCACGCGCGAGGCATATCCAGTTGCACCATTCTCTGGCTTGAGCTTTGCTAAGCTAGTCGTTACGGAGTGTCGAGGACGCCGGTGCCAGGATATGGGGATCATTCATATGGAGCGGATGTACCAGACTGTGGACCACAGCGATGCTGGGTCGGTGTCTCGGTTTGTCCGCAAGCTGAATATCAAGCCAATCACTTTGGAGGATTGCCTGAAGAAGATGGCTAAGTAGGTGTGGATGATTTCGTTGGTAACTGCTCTTCGCCACTGGCCAGGATAAGGTGTGGATGACTTCTCCGGCAGCTGCTTTTCAGCCTTGGGGTTGATGCGTGGACGTTGAATGTCTTCTTTGATTGTTGTTTTCTGTGCTCTTGGTTTTTCTGTACCTTGCTCTGCTTGCCCTTCTTAGTGATTCGTTTTTGATGTGACGATGCAGGAGAATGATATGTCAGAACGCGATAGTTGCAAATCACAGTTAACTTGACTTCTATCCACGTAGCCAGGATACTAGACTTGAGCGACCAACGAAATGGCTCGTCCCGAAGACCGTTGAATCCATAATGGTTGCCAATCTATATCTATGTCGAGCTTCGTGGGATTCCGCGATATACCCAGAAACCAACAATGGCGTCAGGCCTTGCTGGCCAGGCTGCTGGCTGCCGGTCGCGCCTATCTTGACAAGTCCGCGCTCAGATAACTTTGCCTACACTAATTCAGCACTGATTGATGTTCTCGAGAGATGGATTTTATGTTCCTTTGCAGCGCAACATTAGAGGCTTCCGCCAAGCTCCCAGTGCGGGAAGGACAGAGCAAGAACAGCCCTAATAATTACCCGTTGGCTGTCAAGTACAACTGGAAACTATCACAAAAGAAAGCAGTAGACAAGGACAAAGAATTTTATTCTTGGAAAAGTTTTTGATTTATCACGCCCATGGACCGGCCAATCTTCACGCACAACTCCTCTTATAGCATAACAAGAGCGATTCACACAGGCTCCAGGCACCGATCAGAAATGCGTAGAATTGCGGCTGCGCAACCGCGGTCACAACATGTACTCATTCTCTGCACCGACCTAGAACTCTGAGAAACGCAACCCTTTCCCTCACCCACCCAACATCTCCCTTTGCCTTACATCTCCAATCGTAAGCACTCCCTATCTGCTGCACCGCGATGATCGTCCTCGAGCAGAACGTGTCCCGAGGATGGGTTGCTATACTCCCTGCCAAGACCCGTACGAGGGGTGCAGCTTCGCCGAACTCGAGGCCCAGCTCGCTGAGGTTGACTGGCAACTGTCAAGAAGAGGATAGGCCAGCCTGGGCTGTTTAGATCAATGCTTGTGGGGTCAGCTGAAAACCCAGGTGGTGGAGACAAAGTCCATGAGTCTGGAAGGCTACAAAGATTGGTTAACCATTCGAACAGATTTAGGGATGTATCTCATCTGGTCTTGTTTGTTGTCAACCTCGCAGCCATGATATGTTACGGTGGAATAAGGCTTTGTTGGTGATGTTGCTAAGATAGGCGATGGACACATTGTGCGGCGTACTTTAGTTTATTCGCTGAGATTTGCGCAAACCAACAAATGACCAAGGAAAAAGACTGCTGATTTCTAAAATCACGCTCACGCTACACCGCCTTGCACGTACATACACCCCTGTACCTTACCAAGATACCAAGTATTCTTAAGAAACCAAGTTCTGAACAGCTACAACCGTGCCTCCTTCTGCAACCTCTTCACCTCGCGCCTCAAGATCTTCCCCGACGGATTCCGGGGAATCGCATCCACAAACCTGACCCCACCTCGCAGCTGCTTATAACTGACCACTCTCTCCTTCACATACGCCTCAATCCTCCTCCCCAGCTCCGCAGTCCCCCAAACCCCCTCCTTGACGACCACATACGCCCGCGGCAACTCCGTCCCCGCCGTGCCGCTGGCCACCCCCACCACCGCCACATCCGCCACCACCTCCTCGACCCCCAGGATGATGCCCTCCAGCTCCGCGGGCGCCACCTGGAAGCCGTTGTACTTGATCAGCTCCTTGACGCGGTCCGTGATAAACAGGTTTCCGTGTGTGTCGACGTAGCCCACGTCTCCCGTCTTGTAGAACCGGTGTGTGTCGTCGGAGAACGATTCCGCGTCTGCCTTGGGGTTGTTCAGATACCCCCTGAACACGTTAGGCCCCGTCACCCACAGCTCTCCGGGGAGGGACTTGGTGCCTGGCGCGTGGTGGGTGGGGGATTCCGCGCCCGGGACAGCGGCGAAGGTGGCGGTCATGTTGGGCATGAGACGGCCGACGGAGCCAGGGTGGGTGAGGGCTTCTTCGAAGGTCTGTCCATTTGTCCGATGTTAGTGATGCGGATGACGACAGGGGAGGAACGGGAGGTACCTGGAGATGAGTGCAGGGCGCACACTCGCTCATCCCGTAGGCCTGGCGCACCGGGATGTCCAGCTTCTTGCGCAGGGCGTGAATCAGCTCGAGGGCCAGCGGGGCGGCGGCGGAGAGGGTCATGCGCAGCGAGCGGAGATCGTACTGCGCCACGCGCGGGTTGGTGACCAGCTCCAGCACGACCGGCGGCACCACGTAGGCGTAGGTGATGCGGTAGCGCTGGATGGTGGTGCAGAAGGGGTCGAATTGGAAGCGCGGGAGGACGGCAATGCTCATGCCGATGAAGACGGTGAGGTTGAGGAGGTAGGTGATCCCTTTCATCGTGGATCGTCAGTTGTTGTTGAGGTGAGGTAGGTAGATAGGGCTAGGTAACGCCACCGTAGATATGGAAGAACGGCAGCACGGCGATCGCGCGGTCGGCCGCCGTCAGGTTGCCCCCGTCGATGGCCACGTTCTGCGCCAGGTTGGCGACCAGATTGCGGTGCGAAAGCATTACGCCCTTGGGCAACCCCGTGGTTCCAGAGGAATATACCAGAAACGCGAGGTCTTCGGGGGATGCGACCGGGGGCTGGTGAGGGCGATCGCGCGCGGGAGAAATGGTGTGGTCGACCACCAGCGTCGGCGAAAACGCATCCAGCACCAACACCCGGTCGCGCGACAGGCCCGCGCGGTCGGCGGCCTCAAAGACCACGGGCGCTTGTGCCTGAGTGGTCACCACGGCTTTCACGCGCGCATCCGTCAAGGGATGGCGTAGCTCGTCGGCGCGGTAGTGCGGGTTCACCGGACACACCACTCCGCCCGCGGCCAGCGTGCCGTAGATGACTTCAGGAAGAGCGATCGAGTTGGGCGCAACCACCATCAGCACCTCTCCCGGTTGCCAGTCCCATTGCGTCTGGATCGCCTCGGTGAAGGCGAGAGAGCGCTGTCGGAGTTGGCGGAAACTGAGGCTACGGTCGCTCAAGGGATCCGAAAAGAGTGCTGTCGCAGTGGAGTTAGCAAGTAGCGCCGACTTCGGTGATGGTGATGGAAATGTTTCGCTCACTGACTTTTATCTAAAGCATAGGGACGGTCGGCCCTCTCGAACAATAAAGTCCAGAGGTCGACACTGGGTATCTCAATCGAAGGACAAGGCGACGCCATGATGATACTGACTTGCAGGAGGGGAAACAGATAGACAACTCCGACAGCACGACCACCAACAAACAAGAAATGCAAAAGTCAAACGCTGAAAGAACCCGAGACTAGACTAGTTAAAACAACAAAGACATCACGGAAGGATATCGTCATGGAGCAGCAACTCCACCAGTTCCTGTTCTGTTGTTCGCATATCTTGAATCTGCCGTGACGGAAGGTGCCCTAAAAAGACTCCACCCGGCAATCTTGGATAGCATCGGGGTGGCATCGCACCAACCGACGAGCTCCCCTGCCGTGCCGGAACCCACAGCCCCCCCACCGATCGTCCTGGAATAACTTTCACCATGTGGTTCGCGATCTGCACTCACTCGATTGGGCTTTTCCGATCGGGACAATTGGTCCAAGATGCTGGGTCGGCACGGGAGGCACGGACAGGGTTCCCACCCCAGCTGAGCTCGCCCAGCTGCCCTGCTTGCACCCTTGGCAAGCGTTTGCAATCCAAAATATCCGGGCCTGCTGGGGTCGCTTCGGATGTGACCGGATACTGACGGGAATTTGGATAATGGATAGTTCATGCCTCCTCCACTGATCGGCCCCTGCATGGGTCTGTGAAACGGAGGGCAGACGTGGTGGCGGGCTGAGAGCAAAATCCCTGCCCAGCTGGACAAATCAGGCTCGGCAGCGAGGCTTATCGAAATAGATTGCGATACGAGCAGGAGGTGAGATCGACAGGAGATGGGTGCTGCAGAAATCGATGCCGTCAGTGGATGACATGAGTTGCAGGGCCAGGGCAATGCAGGCTGGTACTGCAGTGCCCAGCGCCTATAAAGATGGGGGGTGCTCGTTCGGTGCTGCTGGTCAGACAGGGCTTCGTTTTGCTTTTTCCTCACGCACTTTTTGCATTTTTCTGGGCCACCTTGTTTGCGATTTTCTTTTCGTTCCGTTTAAAGTCTCGTTGTCGCTGCACTCCCATCATGCCTCATCTCCCTGAAGCTCCTACCCATCTGTCCACAGCCCACCGCACCTGGTCGCGGTTACAAGAGCTGCGGGCCAACCCGGCCGTGGAGCTGGATGGCAACAGCCTGGACATTGCCTCTGTTGTTGCCGTTGCCTAGTAGGTTGGCCCAGCCATGCAGTAAATCACAGACCTTCATGCTGACCTCTCCGCAGCCATGGCTGTCTTCCCAAGCTGTCCTCCGACCCCACCGTGATCGAAGCCATCACCGACAGTGTGCGGGTGTTGATGGATCACCTCGACCACGGATACTGCGTCTACGGTACCTTTCCTCCCGCCACCCTCCACCCTGATGAGAGTTAAGCGTTCTAACTCTACTTAGGAGTCAACACTGGTTTCGGGGGTAGTGCCGACTCACGCACCGACAAGGCCTCTGCTCTACAGGCTGCTCTGCTGCAGCTGACGCAAGCCGGTGTGCTCACGGCGGCGGACAAGACCACGGGCGACGCGCGGGGACGGGCCTCGACGGCCTCGCCCACGGCCATGCCCAGTCCTTGGGTGCGTGCCTCCATCGTCGTGCGCGCCAACAGCAACGCGCGTGGCCACTCTGCTGTCACGCTCAACGTGCTGGAGGGTCTACTGGACCTCCTCCGCCACCGCATCACTCCCATCATCCCCCTCCGCGGCTCCGTCTCCGCCTCGGGAGATCTGATGCCTCTCTCCTACATCGCCGGTGCGGTCGAGGGTTCCCCCGACATCTACGTCCAAGTTGGCAGCGCAGACCCCGCTATTCCCCCCCAAATCATGTCTGCCTGCGACGCCCTCGCCGCAGCTGGGATCCCCCGTCGCGTCATGGGCCCCAAGGAGGGTCTGGGTCTGGTCAACGGCACGGCTTGCTCCGCCGCGCTGGCCAGTCTGGCACTGCACGAGTCGCACCAGCTCGCCATCACCACACAAGCCCTCGGTGCCATGGGCGTGGAAGCCATGCTGGGCACGGCGGAGTCCTTCCACCCGTTCATCTCCGCCACGCGCCCGCACCCGGGCCAGATCGAGTGCGCGCGCAACGTGCTCGCCCTGCTGCAAGGGTCCCGGCTCGCCGTGGGCGTCCACCGCGAGAAAGACCGCAAACGCTCCGGCCTGATCCAAGACCGCTACGCGTGGCGCAGCGTCCCCCAATGGGTGGGGCCGCAACTCGAGGACCTCCTCCTGGCGGACCGCCAACTCACGACCGAGCTCAACTCCTCGTGCGACAACCCGCTCGTCGACACGGCCAACCGCGAGATCTACTGCGGGGCGAACTTCCAGGCGGCGGCGGTGACCTCGGCGATGGAGAAGACCCGGCTGTCGCTGCAGATGCTGGGCAAGATCCTGTTCGCGCAGGCGACGGAGCTGGTGGACCCGAACTACAACAACGGGCTGCCCACCAACCTCGTGGCGGACGACCCCTCGTGCTCCTTCACCATGAAGGGCGTCGACATCAGCATGGCCGCCTACATGGCCGAGCTGGCCTACCTGGCCCACCCGGTCAGCGCGCACGTCCAGACGGCCGAGATGCGCAACCAGGCCGTCAACTCGCTGGCCTTCATCAGCGCGCGCTACACGATGCAGGCCGTCGAGCTGGTCAGCCTCATGTCGGCCGCTTACTTGTATATCGCGTGCCAGGCGCTGGACCTCCGGGCGCTGCACCTGCGCTTCCTGGAGACGGTGCGCCCGCGCATCGACGCGCTCATCCGCACCTCCTTCTCCCGCTTGCCCGGGGATGAGCTCGAGGCGCTCATCGAGACCGTCCTGGCCACCCTGACCACCAGCTGGGGCACGACCACCCGCGTCTCGCTGCCGGATCGCTTCGCGCAGACCGTGCAGTCCGTGGTGCCCATCGTCGTCGACCGCGTCGCCGCCACCGGCAGTGGCAGTGACAGTGGCGCACAGATCTCGCTGGGCGATATCACGGCGTGGAAGACGCAGGCCATCGCCGTGCTAGGCGACGTCTACACCACCACCGCCGCGGCGTTCAAGCAGAGCCCCCACACGGCGGAGCTGCTCGGCGCCGGCTCCACGGCGTTGTACACGCTTGTCCGGGAGCAGCTGGGCGTGCCCTTCCACCAGGGGTTCGTGGAGCACCCTGTCCCGGGCGCCACGGAGCTGGACGGCCGCGACAAGAAGACGGTCGGGTCGTGGGTGAGTGTGATCTACGAGGCGGTGCGCAGAGGCGATGTCGCTGGACGGTTGTTTGAGAAGGTTATGGGCTAGCGTTTCTTTATTTCACAAATCTGGTTGGTTTGGGGTCTGGATGGAGTTCGGATAGATTATGATAATAGACGTGCTTTTTCTTCTCTTACGATTAACCACCGGTAACAGAGTTGTGGCGTTCACGACTGAGGGTAGTAGACAGACATTCAGTCTTCGAAGTTGTGGTTAGCATGACTTGCACTTAGTGGGCTCGTTCAAATGCCTCTCACCCGCCAAAACAACCCCAAACCCCAAACTCAGTCCCCGATATCACAGTACCTGACACCAAACTCCAACTCAATCGACAATCACCAAATTTAGCCCTGCCCACCGATCGTCCGCCCGGGATTATCCCCCGATTGGTCGATCTGGACCCGTTCGCGAAACCAGATCGTTTCGTCAAGATGCCCGCGCCCTCGGGGGATGTAGGGAGGTATCAGATGTGAGCGCGGTTCATGCAGGCTGCGGTTGCGGTTGCGGTGCGATGTGACACGGATCAAGGTGACACGGCACTGCAGGCAGAGGGAGATGTGTCATATGTCAGCTGCTGGTTGGATTCGTACTGCAGAAACTTAGGGGGTGAGAGGGAGGGGGGTGTTCGTCATTGTGCAGGGTGGCTGGCTGAGGGGGAGATCGGCGGTTGGGGTGATGCTGACTGCAGCTGATGCAGCGCGGTGAGGGTTCGGACCGAGGCTGCTGTGATGTTTCGTGGGATAAGAGATTCAGCTGATGCTGATCATGGGGATGGTGGTGGTGATGATGATGATGATGATGGTGTTGATTGTCGGTGTTCCCGAGGAGTCTAGCCACGTGATCTGAGGGATGTACCTTTAATCGCAAAGCATTGAACCTCCTCTTGGTTCAAATGTCTATTGATACCAGTAAGATTAGATACATATTCGCCAGCCAAGCCAAAACTTTACCAAGGAGGCACAACACACGACGCGTAGTACAGCAACCGCCCTATTTTTCTCCCACCCTACTTACGTCCCCCACCCCCCCTCAAACGCCGGAAAATGCCGACGCAACACCCCATCCAACTGCCGCAAGATCACCGGCTTGACAAAATACTCGTCGCCGCCGGCATCCTCCGCCGCCGTCTTATCCGCCAGCGTATCCTGGCCCGTCATGACGATGACCAACGCCCGCGCCCAGTCGTTCTCCTGCTCCAGCGCCCGGATCTGTCGCGTCGCATTGACGCCGTCGCAGACCGGCATTTGGAGATCCATGAAGATGAGCTCGATCGGCGGGAGGTCGGGTTCGTTCTCCGTGATTGGAGAGGACGAGGATGACGACTGGCGGCGTCTGAAGGTCTCGACGGCCTGGAGACCGTCGGTGGCTGTCAGATGGGGCAGTCCGCGCTTCTGGCAGTACATTTCCATGATGCGGAGGTTGACTATGTTGTCGTCGACGATGAGGGTGGTTGGGCGGGAGGAGGTGCGGGTGGCCGAGGGGCCGGGGGATCCGGCACCGGTTGTCTCTTCGGAGGAGGATTCCCCCGGGGTGAGAAGGGTGTTGGAGTCGGGTTGCAAGTCCGAGTCGGAGGCGGAATCGTCGTCGTTGGACTGTTTCAGGTGCATGGGCAGGACTATGGGAGCGCTGAGTGGCGGGTTCGACGGCTCCACCGGCGTTATCTCCGCCGCGAGCGCGTCGGCGCGTTCGAGGACTGAGGCCAGGGTCTGAGCAGAGAAGGGTCCGCTGGTGTGGATGACGTTCTTGGCCGATGTCGGTTCGAGAAGGACAGGCGCCTCGGAATCCGCCGGCAGGCCGGAGGCAACAGAGATACAGACCGTGCCCGCCGGGATCTGGGACAGACGCGTGTGGTGTTCCTCGGTGTCTGGTGGAGCGTCGACGATGACGAAGGAATGGTCGAGAGAGTGGGATGGCGTGAATCCACTGCGCGTGAGGATCGACGCGAAGTGGTCGGTTAGAGACGTCGATAAACCTGGAGACCTGGGCCTCGACCCAGCGCGAGTCGGAGACTTTAGAATATAGAAACTCCGGGGAAGACTTTTCAACGTCGAGGCCAGCGACGGCGGCGTTCCGTCCGCGTTACAAGCATACTCGAGGTCACGGAACGTCGCCCGGAAGTGCGAGCCCCGTCCAATAGCCGAAGACATCAACGCCACCGAGCCGTGCAAGAGCGTCGCGAATCGGGATGCCAGCGTCAGACCCAGTCCCGCTCGCGCGGAATGCGCGTCGACCTTCTCGTAGGCTTCGAAGATGCGCCGTTGATCGTCTTGCTGAATCCCCCGGCCCGTATCCCGAATGTCAATGGTCAATTGCTTGGATTCAGGATCGACGGTGGAATGTACGGAGACAATCCCATCCGGCGTGTGTTGTATCGCGTTGTAGACGATGGGGAGGAGACTGTCACGGAGGACATCGATGTCCATCCAGAAGGTCTCGAAGCCGGGCGGGACGTCGTGCGTGAAGAAGAGGGCACAGCTATACCGCATGTCGCCGATGGTCAGGGCGGAGATGGCCGTGCGGAGCTCGGTCTCGAGCTTGTCGATGCTGTGCATGGCGTAGTGTCGGTCGGTGAGGGCGATGTCCACCCATCGGTTCAGAGTAATCATGTTATTGACGATTGCGATGAGATCGCGGCCGCCCATCTTGATGATATTGAGATATTTGGAGTATTCCGCGAAACCCATGAACCCGGTCTTCAGGACTGCCGTGACCGTGGGCGCCACGAGGGCGTCATCCGTAGCGCCGGCCCCGCAAGCTTCTTGCAGTTCCTCAGCGAGAAGATCCGCAGAACCCAGGATCCCATGAATTGGCGTGCGAAGCTGGTGCGAAATCCCGCGCAGGAATTTTTCTTTCGCGTTGATGGCCTCCGCCAGTAGTCGATTGCGCCACAGTTGCGAGATCAGGCCCGCGCAGCTCTGCACGAACCACGAGTCAACGTCGTCGAATATGTGCTGAAAGTCCTTGCTTCCCACCATGAGCAACGCTGGGCCATTGGCGCTCTCGCAGGGGGCGGCCATGACGCGCACGGTTTTGGTCGTCGGGAGAGGCTGGTGGTTCGCCTCTGCGATCAGTGTATCGAGGTACTCGATGTCTTCCCAGAGGCCGCCTTCGAGGTCGGACATAAGAATCGGGTTCCGTGCTTCCATTTCGACATGCGTTGCTGTCGTGAGCTGCGATTTGATGACGGCCTTGGGATAAATCGTCTTGAGGATCCGAAAGACCGGATCCGCCGAGACCCCCTTTTCTAGTTCCATCCGCGCCGTCGTAAGCAAGTCGGACATTCGCTGCCGTTCGCGCTGGCGTCGTGCTCGGGTACATTGCACCAGATCCGAGACCACCCAATCGGCCAAACGGACCAGCGCTTGCTGCTGGTCTTTCGTGAGAGGGTCCTCGGCTTTACTCGACGTCACGCAGAGCGAACCGAGCCCAACCGTGACGCCGGACTCGTGCTGCAGGCGGAGCGGCACCCCGGCGTACGCGTAGAGGCCGCCTTGTTCGAGGTATGGGCATGACCGGAACCGCCAGTCCTCTTGGAGATCCGGGAGAAGGAAGACGCTCTAGATGGGATAGTTTAGTGGGGATTCCTATGGGAAAGGTCTAGCCTACAACCTACACCAGGAGGTTGAGTGACGGTATGTGCACAGAGGGTCTCGCCGCGGGGCAGGATGCCGAGTTGCAGGCCGTGGGTCGCCAGGCGAATATAGACATCAATGTCGAGGATGCCAATCACCGAGAACTGCCACCCGGTACATTCCTTTGCGAGATCGGCCTTCTCCTGGAGCCCGGCGAGCAGTTCGTCTTCGGCCTCTATCCCGCGGGTGTAGTACCACAGCATGGACAATCTAAGTCTCTCATTGTCAGCGAGAAAGGCACGCAAGTACCGATCATGGTGATCAAATCCCGCTGGTATGTCGCAGATCGTGGAGGTGGAGGTGGAGGTGGAGATGGAAGTGGGTGCATGGGGATGCGGAGTAGTAGTAGTCGTAGTCGTAGTCGTAGTCGTACTAGGCAGGTGAGGGTAAACAGTCGCCTCGATGTCGGGGGTCAAGGCGCTGATTGGCTTATCCAGGTTGTCGGGGTCGAAGATCGGGCCAATCGTCGTGGGCCGCGGCTGCTGGAGTGGTGCTTGTTGCCTCAGGAATCGAAGGATGCCCGCATCCACCTTGGGGAGAAAGCTCGCGGTGGTAGTGCGTTGAGCGGGCATGATTTTCCTCCCTATCTCATTCTCTCGCTGTCCCTCGTCCTGGCAGAGATTGTGAGACTGGGAAAGGGGGGATCGGGCAACTTTGTTGACCTTTCGGACACATTTGATCCTGGCTCAGCCGCGGATGCCAAAGAAACAGGTTTTTCCTCCCCTGCACGTGATGCTGCAAAGAGTGTGTTACGAGAAATGAAGCCGGATGATTGGTGGTATCGGATGCCAGCCCGTTGCAATCTCGCTCAGAAGGTTCTTGAACTAGGAAAGCCTGTCAACGTGCCGTGCCTCCCATCACTTAATTTGTGTATGGAATCTGAAAGAGTAATGCATCACCTTTGTTTAGAATTGGACTAGCCTGATACATATCACAATTCTCTTTTTTTTTTCTTTTGGAACTTTTGAGAGATCCAAGTTCTGTTACGAGAACATCAGTAATTGAAAATTAGGTCAATTCAGATTCATATTTTCTACAATATTGATCATACTGTACCTAGAGACTATTGCTACGGGACGAGTAGATTGTACTAATCAAAATGTGCCTTGAAACGGGCCATGTTGGTACAAAATCCTATTATGTGTGCTAGGCTCTACTTTGTTCAAAAGTGCTCATGGCCTCAGGCATCAATGAGTGCCCGAGGCGGCGCTCTATATTAGAGCCGTCAGTCCCATAACAGTAACCTACTCAGTGGAACATGTGCACATCTCATTAGATGGTAGTAATTGTGATATGGGTCTTTGTGATGTACACATGTAGTTTCCTCGTGACAATAGACTGTTCATCACAGCCATTGGATTGGCCACTAGTTTGCTCTTTCTCATTGTCTTGCTTGAGAACCCATGCCTTCTTACTCGATTCTCTTCAACACCATGGTTTTTGCAAGTCCTATATGCGGTGCTCTACTTATCTAGATGAAACTAATTGAAGGGATTTGAGTCTTAGCTTTTATCTACTATTTAACTTTCTTGCTCTTATTTTACTACTGTAGTAGTGTGCTGATCTAAACAGAGTAAAATATACAGCCCCTATTGAGAATCCATAGTGGACAGATTTAGTAAGAGGGCTGTATGATACTGCCTGACTACACCTGATACTGCGCGGTGAGGGTTCAGACTGAGGTCGCTGGAGTTCTTTACAGAAATAAGGGACCTAGCTGATACTGATGATACTGATGATGTTGACCCCAACTCTTTCTCTTGGTTTATCTTGTTTTGGTTTCTTGTCTTTCTGCCTTTCCCTCGATCTATGATGTTGCTACGCTAGTACCTCAAGTTAGACTCAAGAATAAGATATAGGCACTGCTGCGCATGCACATAAACCCCCGATACACATGACAGTGGGCGTTAAGATCTGCTATAGAGCTTCATAAGTGCAATGGATACTCAGACCGCCACAACGTCAACTACCACTGAAGGACTAAGTTTCCATTGCTCAGTCAGATCGATTCCTGCTCGAAGGCCAATCTGTGATCGCCAGCTGCCCATGGTGGATGCAGTCACGTGACGGAATCGAATATCCCAGCCCGGCCTCGCTAGTCAAAGGACCAAAATAAATGTCAGAGTCATCTTGCAAATCTGTACTTCAAAGGGGGCGCTTCAATTCCAACAATCCTTCACAACAAACTTGTTCTCGCATCCCGTTCCGTGCTTCGCGGCCTCGCAATCAGAGCAGAACATTCCACTTCCAGGTCACTGCCCCCCGGCAGACCCTCGACTGCGATACACGTGCAGACCTAGTAGCAACGAAGTCAACAACAAGCGCTTCCCTCATATAGCCTAATTATAACTCTCTGGACACAGAGGGTAAACGTACCGGCTTAGCGTCCAGAAAAGCCGACTTCGACACAGCGTTCACAGCACCTCAATCGCGTGTGTCGGTCAAGAAGATGCTGAGTTCGATCACGCAGTCTAAGCTCGAGCCAGCGGCTGTGAGAATGATATTGAGGTTCAGGAGGACTTGCGCCTAGCATGTGGTGAATTCATCAGTAAGTTGGGTGTGATAGGGACTTACTGCGCGGGATTGGATACTTCCTGCCACTAGCCTGCCTGTCTTCGGGTCGATGGGGAGTTGGCCCGAGCAGTGGATTACATTGCCGACCACGAGAGCTGGGGACAGAAATTTCGATAGCATCGGGGAATCGGGGGTGGCAAGTGCGGTTGGTTCAGCGGGATTCATGTTCTGATGAATTTGGGGGTAGATTTGGTGTCGGAGACGGGGGCCCCAGTATTTCGGTTGCTAGAGACGTGTCTCACTTGCCTTATCAGGTAAGCATTGTGTTGGCCTGCTTGGTCACTAGTCAATGAGCACATTCTGAACTCTCGGTAGATAGGCCGGCCTAATGCACCAATTCGTGTCCCAGAATGAATATCATCAATTCCCACACATATGTTCATAAATAATACTCTCCACTCGCTCGGAACAACCGAGAACCTCCAGATCTAATCAAAAGACTCGTTAGCTCAAATCGCGGAAAGTAGGCAGAATATAGATCATCCCAGCGTACCTCCATACGGCAGTATCTGCGAAGCAATGATACCACCGACTCCATTCTCCCGGTCTGCAAACCAGAACAAACTCGGCAGCCCTTCCCAGGACCCCGATCCTGCTGCTCTCCCAGTCGAGCTCTTGGTGTGGCTGAGCGCGAAGGATAGGCCCCATCCTTCGGTGAGGTCGTCCGCACACGGCACCAGAGGGCAGGGGTTGGCCAGAAGCGGCTTGCCCGACGGCGTATACTCGTTGCAGTATCGCGGCATGGTTGGGATCTGATCGGTGAACATCTCTAGCACCTAGTTGCCGATGTGACGCAGTGGGAAGAATGAAGCGTACCTTGAACTGTCCCAGGCTGCAAAAGCTTAGTCCCCGTGTTGGGACTCGTGCCGTCGTTCAGAAGTGTCGCGATAATCCCTACATATCTTCCAGCATCCTATCCAGAACAACAGATCGGTTTCATGGACATACGACAATACTCCACCGGCTTTCCAAAACAGCCCGCCCCTCCCATACAACACCGCTTACCCCCCTCTTCCGGACTGCAAGGAAGCAAAGGATACCGGTACAGATGGTCTGTGACACTGAGCGAACCGTCCTTGGCACGCTGGTGCATATACGCCGGATTAGCCTTCATGTCGTCCGTCGGACAGAACGTGATATTCTCCACTCCCAAGGGCCGCAGAATAAAGGCCTGGAAGTATTCTTCCAGCGAGATCCCCGTCACGCGCTCCACCAACTGACCCACCTAGCCCATGCCCACCCCATACTGGAACTTGGTTCCGGGCTGGTTGACTAGCGGCCGGTGCAGCACGTCGTGGGTGTTTCCCGAGAAATCGTCCAGGCCGACGGGGCGCGACCATTCGAGCAGCTTCAGGTCTTCGAAGGCATAGCCAAAGCCAGCTGTCCTTCATCAGCATCGGCGCTGAAATCTGGCCATGGGGCGAGGGGTGCTTGACTTACAAGGATGATTCAACAGCATCCGCAGTGTAAGTCGCCTCTCTTTTGCGACCATCTTGGTCCCACCATCAGCGCCCCGCTCCAAACACCTGCACATCCCGGAGCTCAGAGGCCAATGATTGCAGCTGGTCACTGTCGTCCAGCGCCAGCTTTCCCTGCTCGACCAGTTGCATACAGGCGATACTGGTGAGTAGTTTCGTGCAAAAGGTCATATAGAAGACCGTGTCGAGGGTCATGGGGTCTTCCTGGCCGAGTCCCGTTTTTCCGGATGCATGGCTGAAGATTATCGCTCCTGTCCGGTCAACGGCTGCATACACAAGCCCTTGTATTTATCTCTGCTTGAGCAGCCGTATTTGCGTGCGTTGAAAGGGGTTTGGTCATGATGGGTAGGCTTTATGTGGGGTGGGGTCCTAGGAAGGTGTCTTCGTAGTACGGGTGTGATAGAGGCGGAGAACCTGGGTGATGTCCGGTTATCAAGATCTCTTTTTGGAGTTTGTGCGGGGCTTAGAGTGGCTTGCATTTGCCACGTGGACTGACTTTAACTAGGTAAATTCGAGTAACAACAACTACCTCAATAGGCAGGAGAGCCAAGACGCACGATGCAACCGGCGGGAATTCAGGGCAAGTCTGAATTGCCTCGGTGAGAAGAACAGACTTTATATAGTTTCACGCCTCAAATGGGAGCCATAGTCACTAAAGTCAACAGTACATATAGTTTAAAAGACAACATACACACGGCCGCACCCCAGAATCAGCTCGACCCTAATAGCCCATAACGACAAATTCCAATGGCAGCAGAAAACATTCAAGTACAGCCTACTTGGCGGACCAAGCACCCTACCCAACCACACTTAAACACCCCCGGAGGATTACCACGCCCTCTACCAAGAATCCATCACCTCACCAGAGACCTTCTGGAGCAAGCGAGCCAACGACCTCCTCACCTTCAACCGCGACTTCCACACCACCCACCCGGGCTCCTTCGCCACCGGCGACAGCGCCTGGTTCCTGGGCGGTCAGCTCAACGGCTTCTTCAACTGTCTGCGCGCACTGGGGGTCCGCAAGGGCGACATTGTGACGATCTATATGCCCATGATTCCCGAGACAGTGTACGCGGTGCTAGCGTGCGCGCGTCTCGGCGCCGTGCACTCCGTCGTGTTCGCGGGCTTCTCGGCGGAGGCGCTGCGGGACCGCGTGCTCGATGCGCGGTCCGCGGCGGTTATCACCGTTGACCAAGGTCGGCGCGGGGGCAAGGCGATTCCCACGAAACAGGTCGTGGACGACACGGTGAAGGACTGTCCGACCGTGTCCTCCGTGTTGACATTCAGACGAACAGGTGCTGAGATTGCCTGGACAGAGGGTCGAGATATCTGGTGCGACGAGGTGATGAGAAAAATTCCCGAGTTACATCCCGCCTGAGCCCGTCGACTCGGAGGACCACCTCTTTCTCCTGTATGCACCCGGATCGACGGGGAAGCCAAAGAGTGTACTGCACAGGACGGCGGGGTGCCTGCTTGGCGCGGCGTTTACCGCGAAGTATGTCTTTGATCTCCACAAGCAAGGCCGGTTCTTCTGTGCTGGCGACATCGGGTGGATCACCGGACATACGTATGTGGTTTATACGCCGTTGCTGTTGGGTTGCACCACCGTTATCTTCGAGGGCACGCCCGCGTATCCATCGTATTCGCGGTATTGGGAAATTATGGAGAAGCGTGCTGTCACCCGTTTCTATGCTACCCCGACGGCACTGAGGTTATTGAAGCGAGAGCAGGCGCAGAATGAGGTCGCCGGATTTGATACAAACCAGTTGCGGGTGCTGGGATCTTTGGCGAGCCGATCGCGCCGGAGATCTGGAAGTGGTATTATGAGGTGATGGGTAAGGGGGAGGCTTGTGTGACTGCCGTATGCCCTCCTTCCGTATCGTTTCATCTGTTGTTCTGCACATTCGGGCTCTCAACGCCTGACAAATCGAGTATAGACTTACTGGCAGACGGAAATAGGATCACATATCATCGCCTCCCTAGCCGGAGTCACCCCTATGAAACCCGGTAGCGCCTCCCTACCCATGTTCGGGATCGACTTCGCCATAATCGATCCTATATCCGGGGAGGAGCTGACAGGGACCGAGGTGGAAGGGGTGCTAGCGATCAAACAGCCCTGGCCCAGCATGGCTCGCACCATCCGCAACAGCCATGATCGCTTCACTGAGACATACTTCAACGTGTATCGAGGTTATTACGTAAGTCCACCATAGTACTCCCTATCACTCACTCTTGAAATAATTAATGCTGAACCGAAACACCGAAACAGTTCACCGGAGACGGCGCCTTCCGCGACAAGGACGGATACTACTGGATTCGCGGCCGAGTCGACGTGGTTCAACGTCTCGGGCCACCAGCTCTCCACCTCCGAGATCGAAGCCGTCCTAATTGAACATCGTAAGCCCTGCCTCCTTTCTACGATGAAGAGACCTGCTGACCCGGAAAGCAACCAGCGTAGCCAAAGCAGCGATCATCGGGGTCCCGAACGATTCGACTGGCCAAGCGATCAACGCCCTCGTCTCCCTCAAGACAACGCCCAAGCCAGAAGATATCGAGAAGGAGCTGACGGTCCAGGTACGCAAGTCTATTGGACCTTTTGCCGCTCCGAAAAGAATACTTGTTGTGTCGGACTTTCCCAAGACACGGAGTGGGAAGATTGTTCGACGAATCTTGAGGAAGATTCTCACCGGTGAGATGGATTTGGGGATACGTCTATAGTAGGTTCCTATCGAGCTACACTGATAATTAGACTGGCTGAAATTGAAGTAGATGGCTGAACCTGGGGTGGTAGACGAGATCATTCGAGTGGTGAATGTGGCCTAGAATCACCTGCGAAAAGGGGAAAGAAAAGATTGGCTGTCTACGAGAAAATGAGCTTGTATCGAGTAGTATTAAGATTGTCAAGGTTGCACATTGCTCATTCGAACATAATCCAAATTGTCCACAGACATGTCTGCTTTACTCTGGTGTAGCCCTAACAATGAAAATACTTTTCAAATCGTTGCTCCTGTACGTCAAGTACAATGAAGACATGCTCCTCTTGTGAACTACGACATGACAAAACCCTACAAGCACCATTCTATATCAAAGCATGCAACAGTATAATGCAAATGCACGGAGTATTGCCAAAGAATAATAAAAAAAATACCGACCAGTCCGAGAGGCGCACATCCCTCTCCAGATCCACACCCCTATACCCGAAAACGCTTCAAGCCCTCCACACACCCTCACCCTAGTAACAACAACCCTAAGAATGAAACAGCGCCGCCTCGGCTGCGATTTCCGCCCGCATCCCCGTAACATTGATCTCCTTGACAACAACTGTGCACGACGTCGGCGTGTGGCCCGGAACCCGCTGTTGGAACACCCGGTGCATCTCGGCTTCGTGTTCCGGCGAGGTCAGATAGCTCACAACCCGGTAAGCCTGATGCAGGCCCCGCGCCACCCCAGCGTGCTTGAGCGCTGCATCCAGACAGTCAAAGATGGCGTTAAATTCGGCGGTGACCGTCGTGTTTACCAGGCTGCCTGTGGCGAGGTCGAGGCCGATATGGCCGGTCGTGAAGACGAGAGAGGTGGTGCGTGAGACGGGGACTGTGGCGGTTGTAGAGAGGGAAGTGGGTTTGAGACAGTCCCCTACGGGGCCGGGGAGGTTTTGGTAGATGGTTGATTGGGTAGACATCGTGTGATCGTGAGGGAGAAGGGTTGAGATGGTGGGTTTGAGGGGGAACCGGACGTGGGTTGTAAGGCTTATCAATCTTCCTTTCCCAGGATATAAAATGAACTTCCAGATTGAAAAATAAACTCATGGCGCAAAAGGCACCCAAGCTAGCAGCTTGATCATACCATATTCTCGGTTGCCTTTTTGAGTCAAATAGATACGGGGTAGTGGGACCCCAGAGACGCCCCGGACTTTCCCAGCGATACCGCCAATCTACCCCCTCAATATACATAACCCTAATCTCCCGCCATTGTTCGACCCACCACAGCTATCCCCGGCCCCTCACGTCTTCTGCTTATTTATACATTGGAGCATACTACACACATGATCTCTAAGCCTGAAAATTACTCCCTGTACATAATGTTTCACTCAGCAACCCGAACACTCAAGACCCAGGATGGCTACACCTGGACTCACGCAACTGGGGTAAAAAAAGGCAACCTCCGTTGCAGAGGGGTCATCAAGCCCAACAACAACCGCACCGCCCCGGCAGCAGGTCATCTCTACGAAGTAATTGTCGTTGGGGTGGGCTATGCAGGTCTAATCGCCGCCCGCGATCTGGGAGAGCAGGATGAGTGCCCAACTACCTCTCAGCGAGTTGTCTGACGCCCAGAATTCTAGGTCGATCTGTGCTGCTGCTAGAAGCGCGTGATCGTATTGGTGGGCGGACTTATACAGTCGAGGAAGATGGTATGGCTCTACATGTCTCGACAAAGTCGAACGAATATGTGATGCGCCACTGACAAAAAGAACGGATAGGTCTCCTCTACGAAATGGGCGGAACCTGGGTGACCCATCACATGGCCTACCTCTTCAAGGAGATGATCCGCTACAAGATGGACCGCGATCTCACACTGACCCACAGCCGGGAGCACGAGAATGACTACTACACCATGAACGTGCCCGGCGCCATGCCGCGCAAGGTCACCCACGAAGAGAGCGGCGAGATCGTCTCCTGGGCGTGGGACCTGTTGGTCAATGTCGACGGCCAGAACTGCTGCCGCGTCTGCCCACTTCCACACGCTCAGTTGGGCAACATCCTCGTGCAACGGGAGGAGGTCGATCGACTGGACCGAGTCTCCTGCCGGGAGCGGTTCGAGTAAATCAAGCATCTGCTGACGGCTGAGGAAGCGGGGATGCTCGTCGCCCTCCTGCTGCACATCTCCGGCGGCAGCCTAGACAACTCGAGTCTGTGGGATATGATCCGCTCGCATGTGCTCACGTCGTACAGCTCGGAGAACTTCGCGCCGATTTGGACGACCTTCAAGCTGCGCGAGGGCCACTCCGAGCTGGTGCGACGGATGTTCGACGATGCAGTCGACCACGGGCTGCAGTACTGCTTCCGTACGGCGGTGCGGACAATCGCTGACCGTGGCAATTCGGGGCAAGTCACCACGGCATCGGGCACAATTTATCAGGCTCGTCGACTCATCAGCACGATTCCCCTCAATGTGCTCCGGCATATCGAGTTTAGCCCCCCGCTCTCTCCTATTCGCCAGGAAGCGATCAATCTCGGGCACGTCAACTTCATGACCAGGGTCCACGCCGAGGTAGCTGGCCCGGGGCTAGCCTCGTGGAACGGCATGCGGTTTCCGATTTTGTTGATGTTTGGGTACGGGGACGGGCTCACAGAGAGAGGAAATACCCATATCGTGGGGTTCGGGAAGGATGAGCGGGGCGAGTATATCCCGGAGCGTGATCCAGAGAAGACGATTGTTGCTTTCCAGAAGCTGCATCCAATGGAGGTGAAGAAGATGGTAAGAGTCCCTGATATCTGAGGCTCGGGTTTATTTTACTCACCACAGATGCCAGGTCTTTTATAACTGGTGTACCGATCCGTGGTCTCAGGGTGGCCCCGCCTGGTGGCGTCCGCAGTACATGTCCAAATATCAGGATGAACTACAGTCTCGCCACGGCAACGTGTTCTTTGCCTCAGCAGACTGGGCGCATGGATGGAGAGCGGCGCTTGATGGGGCCTTGGAGCAGGGCTCGTTGGCCACGCAGGAGGCGGGGAAGGAGGTCAAGCAGTTGCTTCCGTCGGTGCTCAGGGGGAGGATCTAGTCTTGGGTCAAATTACTGTATATACGTTGTTTGTTTCAATTGAGCTTTCATTTTTAGAACTGTTTAATTCCTGTGTAGTGCTAACGAGAGAATGACAGGGAATAAATGGTTAACAGGACATTAGACTTGACTGGATCAGCAGGTCAACACGGCTTGTCAAGGTCTATTTCCATTCCAGTAAGATGGCTCCACGTCCGTTCTTTGATCTGATGAATGCTCTGACAGCGCTCAATGTCGATAAGTTCAAGTCATTCGATGTCATCACCACGCACTACAAACAGTAGGTGGGAACAATCAGCCAATTTCCACAGATATCTTGATTCCCAAGTCGATAGTGCGGCAGCAATAACCTAGAAAATGCCCCGTTATTGTGCAACTTCACGGTGGACTCCTGATAAGTAGCCCATCCAAACCCTTCCCATAATCCAAATCACTTATCCATGCTCGACTTCAAGGTCCCCTTCTACACGGACGTCTACTCCAAGCCTATCGTCGGCGTGCCCAGCGTGCCAAGCCGGGTGATAGACCACCTCCTCAGTACCCGTGGAGCCCCCATGGTAGTTACCGGGCTCGATCGATCCCACTGTTCAGAACCTGCAGCGGGGAGATTTGGTTAGAGGACTGCATGAGGCTGCTGATCGCGGCACGACGTACCCCTTCCTCACGGACGGGGATACCAATCTGACGGAAGGGTCTGGGTTTAACATTGTGATTGTGAAGGATGGGGTCTTGTTCACGCCGCAGCGCGGGGTGCTGGAGGGCGTGACTCGGAAAAGTGTGATCGATGTCGCCCGCGCCAACGGCCTTGACATCCGAGTCGAGTTGGTGCCCGTCGAGACTGTGTACAAGGCAGATGAGATCTTCATGTGCACGACGGCGGGAGGCATCATCCTATCACCACCCTGGATGGCCAGCCAGTGAAGGACGGCAAGATTGGACCCATCACTAAGAAGATCTGGGACGGCTACTGGGCTTTGCACTACGATCCGGCCTTCAGCTTTGCCATGGCCTATGAAGACGAGAAGAGAAAGTCATGGCTGTGAGGGGCCAATTTTTACCGCCAAGCTCATGTATCTGTGATGAATGTTTGATCACTCAATCTTTGCACTTAGATATTATTCTTTTCTAGCAATATCATTTTCTCTTTCTAGATCATCTTGAGGCTTCTTTATAGACTTTCTCAACGCCTCTTGGACCCCATCGATCACCGAGTGCGATTTATATATAGCCAACAGCCTGACAACCCACTTTATTGAGTGTCCAGTGTTCCTTCAGAGTACTTACGTATCTATGTCATTATATTGTGGGTACAAGGTCATTTTTATTGAGTTTGTTTCTTTTCGAATGAACTTAATACAATTAAACCCAACTCAAGTCCATTTAAGCCATGTTCTACTACCCTAACTGTAGCCCGCATGAGCAGAAAAATATTTTTTTGAAAAAAAAAAAGGAATTCTCAATTTAGCATGTCCTGGTTTCGATCCAGGGTCCTCCGGGTTATGAGCCCGGCGCTCTTCCCCTGAGCTAACATGCTGATTTGATGTTCTGCTCTTTGACTTTTGTTTATATGAGGCTTGACCAAACGAAGGATAAACGATCTAGGCGAACATAGATTAGGTCCGGTTACAATTGATCTACCGTGGACCCCATCGCGATATTTCAATGGAGGCGGCCAACATCTTGAATATCCGCTCCACCAACCACAACAACCACCCATCTTCACTCTCCCACTTTAATCAGTCAAGAGAGCAATCAATTGTGATGATGTTACATTTGGGGTCTGTCACTATCAGACAATCTTCCCTTAACAGGCAAGAGAAATTCGTGACGGAGTGGGTTAGTGAATCAAAGGTACTAACTTTATACTCAGAGGGGAAACCGAGATTAGGGCATCACCAAACCCCCTCATCAACATCTTTCCAGGTCAAACATACAATATCATAAACACATGGGATCCTCACAATAAGATAAACATCTACGATCCACTATCTACTCAATACTGCCCGCCGATTTTCTCCATCTTCACCCCTCAACTCTCATATCTCCACCCACAATGGCAGCGACCTCCCAACGCCCCGAAATCATCGCCCTCTCGCAGGGCCTGCGGGGCATCCCGCACTGCGAAGAATACGAGCGCATGATCTCCGGCATGATGTACCCCCCTCCCATCCTTCCCTCTGTGCCCCCAAGCCCCCGTGCCCGTAGCAACCCATCCCAAACAACAACGAACCTACCCCAAAAACAAGGTACAACCCCAACATGCCCAAACTCCTCGACGCGCGCCACCGCTGCCGCGGCCTCGCGCGAGCCTACAACAACCTCGTCACGACGGCCATCCCATCGACCCAGATCTTCGAGACCCGGCTCGCCCTGCTCCGCCAGCTGGTCGGAAAAGTCGGCGAGGGCACGTTCATCGAGCCGTTCTTCAAGCCAGATTACGGGTGCAAGGTTGTCATCGGGGGTCATTCTTTTATCAACTGGGAGTGAGCTATCCACTCCCCTCTTTTTGATGGCGATAGGTGGGCAGGGAATACTAGGGTTATGTTGCTGACCATGCGATGCGAGCGCAGCGTAACGGTTCTGGATACCAGTCTGGTGTTTATCAGGAACCGCGTGCAGGTTGGCACCGGGGTGAATATCTTCACGGCGAGCTACGATACCAGTGTGCTGTCGCGGCAGAAGTTTGTCGAGTTCGGGCACTCCGTCTTCATTGAGGATGATTGCTGGATTTGAGGAAATTTGATCATCCTGCCGGGGGTGCCGATTGGGAGGGGTCGACTATTGGCGCTGGGTCGATTGTCACCAAGGATATTCCGCCTTTCTCTGTGGCCGTGGGTGCGCCTTGTCGCGTGCGGAAGACGATTCAGTCGCCGGAAGAGGAGCAGGATTCGAAAAATCCGTATCGTGATTTGGTTCGTGAGGATCAGTAGAGGTTACATGGATGCATTCTCGGGGGAATTCATTATGCATGTCAATCATGACAAGGCTAACACTCAATGCTATCTATGGTACATCCAAGCGAGTCAATATATAAACAATCGATATATACAATCCATCATTACCCAACAGCCAATTACTTCACTCCCCTAGATCGCATTGCTGGCACAGGAGAAGCTCGACTTGGACGAATCGTCGTGGATGGCCTTGCCGGAGACATACAATCCCAGACCGCACTAGTAAGTATTAGTATATAAGTGAATGCCATGAACCAAGTCGGAATACTCACAATGATGGCACCAATGCAGAAGATCAGCATATTGATGATGGTCAACGCAATCTTGCGCGGCGAAGACCACCACTGGCCCCAGTTCATGTGCAACCAGTACACACCCGACAGCCCGTATGTGAACCAACTGGCAAACAAGGAACTGATCAAGCTGACAATGTTGCTGAAGGAAGGGATGCCCTCGGCAATGATCCAGGCAATTACCCAGCAGGTGACGCCAATGGCAATCCAGGAGCCAACAGCGACAAAGTCACGCTTGCCCATGCGGTCGGAGTGACGGAAGATGCGCACGTAGATATATTTCAAACCAACGTGACCGTTCACGACACCGGCTCCGACAATCTAGGGTTTTGTCAGTACAGATTATGAGAGATAGGTAAATTCGCTAGGTCATACCGTCGGAATGGCAATGCCATAAGCAACCTTCTTCAACACGGGACCAGCAGAGCCAAGAGCCGGCGAGTCGACCCCGTTACCGACATAGTAGTAGATGACAATAGCCGCGGTAATGTAGAGAGCAATCTCGAAACCCTGGAGCAGACACAAGGCCTTAGGGAAGTCCTTGGGCTCCTCCATCTCGGCAATCAGACCAAAGAAGGCCACGTGGGCGCAGTAAGCGAACACGATCTGCGTGACTCCGTTGAACGCGTGGTACAAGTTCGTATCGGTGGTGACACTGATGTTCTGGCCACCCTTGTACTGCACACCCACCCCAATCATGGTGATCATGACTGCAGTGAAAATACTCAGGAAAGCTAGGCAAATCAGTTCTATCCTGCTGATATTCACCTGGAGTACTCACAAGCACAAGAAATGTAGGTCAAGTTTTTGATCGTCCGCGGCAGCGACAAAACCAGGCAGATCACGAACGCCACAACACTGAACACCATAGAGCAGGTACCGTGGTCGGTAATCGTGTTCATCATCACAGTGAACGTGACAATGTGACTGCCCATGATGAAGATCGAGAACAAGATCTGACCGAGACCGAATAGCTCGCGACCGAACCGACCCATGAGGATCTCACCTGCATCAGCCAAGTTGTGGATCGAGGGGTGGCGTTCGCGGAATTGGCCGATGACATAGCCGGTGTAGAGCGCGAGGATACCGAGTCCGATGATGAGGATGATGGCGCTGTGTCTGTGAGCATGATGTGGAGAAGGAGTCAGGACAGCGGAACTTACGGCACCAGGCCCAGCGCGGTCAGTGTCGCGGGCAGGGACAAAACACCCAGGGAGACGGACTCTGCGATCATGACTGTTGCGATTAGTATTGATCTAGCCATTGATCTGTCGCACACCACATACACAATCCACATTGCCTGCATGGTTTGTTAGCTTGATTCGTCAACTGCGGGCACCGCAGACAGTACATACCACCACTTGAGCGTCTTGTACTTGACCTCCGCATTAGCCTCGTCGCCAAAGGCATCGGGCTCCTTGCCCTCGTCGACAGCCTTCAAATCCTCGAGATCGTAGGGAGGGAGATCATTCTTCTTGATCTCTTCGCCGGTAGTCGGAGTCGCCATGTTGTCTGCACGTTGTCGATATGTCACGGGAAGGAGTCGCAAAAGAACAGGCACAAGCCGCGCAGCAGATCTATCACAATCGGCGGGGAGTTGAACAGTGGCGCGCCGCAGCTGCAGGACAGAAAATTTCTGGCGGGTTGGTGGGTCAGACAGTGAAACCTCCGCTCCTCCGCTGCTGTTGAGGTTGATGCAGACTTGAAACTGAGTTCGACGGATGAACTAGATAGTCTCTGCAATAGCACTGACACCAGGACACAACAACAGAGGAGAAGAGAAGGAGGAGCAGGAGAGAAAGGTAAAGCAAGACAGACAGATAACAACGCAAGTGGTTTTTCCACGGGAAATGAGATCTGGACTCCGTCGTAGCTACCCTGTTCGGAGATCAGCCCTGGCTGCTGCTGCTTGCGGCCATAGCGGAAGTAACGCGGTGATGACTTCCATTGGCGCGTTGTGTCCCACCTCTATAGACGCGGGTGGGGTGGAGAAAAAGCCTAGTCCAATTGTGGCTGTCCGCGGTTAAAATTAAGTAATGGATTGGCCCCGCCCACCACACTGTGCGCCGCTTGCCGACAATAACCGCCTCTCCGCTGCTCGCTGATTGGTGCGGCCCTGGCAAGGTTTATGCGGCTCGGTGGGATTCCGTTCCCGCTTCTAGAATTTTTTATTCAGGTTATAGAAAGCTGGTGACTGCTGATAAGTTGGCTGCCACGGCAGTTGACTGTTTTCCATGACCATCCATTAGCTGATAGAAACTGGGGAAGGCGTGATGATTTGTCGCTGCAGCGCTTCTTATCGCAAACGCACGTTGGTTGCGGCTCACTACTCCAGGTTTGGGGTCGGTGGACGGCGGTGCCGGCATCCGAGCCATTCTTGGGCGTTTCGGTCTTGGCAAGAAAAGCTTTGGTTCGCCTTCCAGATTTTTTTTGCTTGGCTTTGGTGGCTGTCGGTTATCGGTGTTTTATACGAGAATGTTGGGCCGTGCAATCAGATCAGCTGCTCAACACTGTAGAGCTGTAGGCTTACGTCCATCTGCTTGATTACTCGCACCGGGCTTAGTACATTGATTGATTTTCTTACTGACTCAACAAATTAATGCTGCCTACGGTGCATTCATCTGTGATTATTCTCTAATTTGTCTACTGCGGTTCGTCCGGGTACATATCCAGCTACTGAAGTATACATGAGAAGTAAGGTCCCCACTTCGGCAGAAATTTTGCCGATGCTGCGATTTCCTGCAATCTCAGTTTTGGAATGCAGTGATTGGAACGTGGTGCCAGACTCGATGATCAAAAGCACCATCGTCGCAAATTGGTGTCATTTTTACCACGCTCAACATCTCCTACTCATTTTCCGATCCATAATAATAGCTTGAAATAACCCTGCTACGAAAGGTTATCTGGAACATGATATACATGGTTGGAGAAAGCTTCAGTTTCGTTGATTGATAATCCCTCATGAATTCCAGATGTGGCTAGTCTTTGTAGAAATTCCATTACATTTCTTTTGTCCTGTGTTTCTTCCCTGGCGCGCCTTCGCCCTTGACGCCACCTCCGCGCGAATATAGGGTGGTAGAAGTTAATCGCAGCATCTTGAAAGGAGCGAGGCTCTCAAACAATGCATATAACCACCTCATCTGTCCTGGCTGGAGCGCGCTGCATCACTGGATGTACATCACTTCATAACTAACACACAGAAACCACAACACTCCGAATCAAGAGACCTGGAGTAGCCTTGACCACCCACAAACTCCGAGACTGAGCCTCCTGGTTCTGGGAAAAGCAGCCCTCTTCTGGGAGCCTTACGCCTGCTCGTTCATCATGAATCTTCTCGGGTCCATTGCGCCAAGCCCTCGGAATAACATATCCTTCCATGAAAATTATCAACGACTCAACAGTCTCACCCCTGTTTGTTCAATCACCAGTAACAGGCTTTCTACGAGATTATGTATGTCACATTGCACCAGTCTCACCACGTCCATCCGTTGCGGGTCTTGGGTGCTTCAATAGTGCTACATTTCTAGTTTGAAGCTCAAATATCACTCATGTGAAACCACTGATGTGATTCCCGCCCTAATAAATAACAATCTTGGTGACAGGCAAAAGCAAAGCTCCATGATCTTCGTAAAATCCAATCACTCAGAATCCAGCCAGCGTGGCAAAGCAGTCCGACCGCCCAGCGCCCTACACACCAAACCCAGCACATAAAACCTCCCCCGCACCCCCCAACTATCCCACAGAATCTCATACAGTCCTACTAGCATAAGGATACTCCCTAATCACCCTCCAAGTCACCCCCTGAATGACAATCGGCAAATCCAACGCGGCCTTGAGATCAAAACCAGTCGGATTCTGCCACCCCTCGATCTTCTTAATCAGCCCGCGATAGCTCTCCCCGATGTACGGTTCATCCTCCTCGTCCTCGTGATCTTCCTCAAACTCCTCCCGCAACCGGATTCGGCCCCTGTGGCAGTTGATATCCAACGCCCCCAGCCGCGTAGCATTCGTATCAAAGCCCTCGTCGCGAAAATCCTCAAGAAACTCTCTCCTCATATGCTTCAGCGCCCTCCGCACGCGCAAGATCGCCCTGCAGCGCCAGTGGTTGATGCTCTCTGCTCCCCAACTATATCAGCATCATCTTCAACCTAACTCAATGATATCAAGCATGAAACAATGACAAAGGGGGGGAGCGGGCAAGGGGGTGATACCAATAATCTTACAACTGACAGGCAACCCATACACGTCCGCCCGCACCTTATCCGTGGCATTCTCGATTGCCATCCGCGTGCAGCACCGCAGCACGTCCTCGCGGCCGTACGCCCACGCCACGAAGATCCACTGCATCACGGTCTCCTCGGTGTACCGGCGGGGCAGACGGCGCTCGAGCCTGTCTAACCACGAATTCACGTAGAACTTGACGACGGGCACGCAGCCGTAGTAATCGGCCATGATGGTTAGGTCAACTAGCGTGGCGAAGTCGATTTTGTCGGGCCATGGGTATGTTTGGTGGTGGATGATCCGCATGAGGAGGAGGAAGGGGGGCAGTGGCCAGTCGACTGTCAGGGTGAGGTGACCTGTTTGGGTCAGGGTTTGGCCTTCAGTCCAGTGCGGGCAGCTGAGCATGCGCGAGAAGAAGGGGGATGCGCTTGCTAGGTGGGTTTTAGAGGTGTGGATTTTGTGGATTGTGGGAAGCGGCGTGAGGTGTTTGTGTTTGTGGTGGTGGTGGTGGTTGGCTCTGGTCTGGGGATGGGGGTGGCGATGGGAGTTGAGTTTGGGTTTGGGCTGCGTGCTGAGCGTGGCCTGCTCCTGGGTAGCATGCGAGTGCTTGGTTCTCTTCCAAGGAGGGCACTCGGAGATGGCGACGTTGTAGAGTTGCATGGCGAGGGCGTCGGAGTTGTTAGGCTCAAGTTTGATGGCTGGGGTTGAGGTCGATGTGGTGGTTGACGCGGCGGTGGGCTCCTCTTGGAGGAGGAAAGTCACCTCTCCGCCTTCGTAGATGTTATGCTCTGTCATCTGGCACATCTTAGGATATATTGCGCGTGTTGTTTGATGGCAGTTGTGGATCAATGAGGATGCAGGGGGGATGGTGGGTAGGGGCATGAGGATGGCGAGGGATGCAGGAGAAGAAAAGAAGTGCCTTTGGGCGAAACAGGAGAATCTATTTATGCCTCTCATGTTCGCTGCCTGAACACTGTTGCACGACGCGGCGATGCAATAGTTCCTGTCATTCCTTTTTGTAGTTGGCCATGGCATGAGCATTGGTGATCTTCTGGCGGCTTGACGACCTGCAATCACCACTGCTCAGAGAAATGTGACAGATGCTCGTGCTCTCTTGGTATATACACTTATTCATTGATATCGCTTTGACTATTGCCCTAAAGGAAGCATACCCTCAAGGAAACTGGTGCTAAAGCATCAGGTTAGACTCGATCTTCCAGTAAGCAACCCTTCAAGAACCATTCACTCACCTCCAGGCGTCTACCCAGACCGACAGCTCCAGCTCAGCAGCAAGCAGCATTACTTGGCCTGCAAGACTCCGATACGGCAACACCATCATCAAGAACTCGGGAGCATTATGAACATACCATGGAACAAATCTGTCTCTCGATAAATTACACAGCCCTCGGAGCTTCCAGACACACGACCAGGCAAAGGCTAAGTCGCAGACTAGCGCGCGATAGCAGGAGCTACACCAAAGGTATACTGAGAACATCTACCAAGTCTCCTTGAAAACACCGATAAGTTCATTCACATGCTATGCCGACCGACCCTTGTCCGGAAAAAAACACGTCAAATCATAATGCTAGCAACAACAAAAAGTATGTCAAGCAATATATACAAGAAGGCGAAAATTAAATCATCTGTACAAGGGTGCGTCGTCAAATGACGACCACCACAGAGTGCTGCTGCTAGATTACCGTCCACAGTCAGCACACAACCACCCCTCTAGTCCTTCTTCTTGTCCTTCCCCTTGCCCGGGCGTCTATAATGATACCGCATCCAGTTCTCCGTGACCCACCACTCGGCGACGTGGGCCGCATCCCGCACCCAGCTGACCACGTCGGGACTGTACTCCGCCTCCAACGTCTTGGCCAGGTCGACCAGGTTGAAGTTCTTGACGGGGTGCAGCTCGATCGGGTCCTGCGAGAGATCGGTGAAGCGCCACTCGACGTCGTCGACAAGCGGGATGACCAGCCGGTAGGCCGGACGGGCGGCGGAGCGCACGGCCAACCATGACCCGCCGGTATTCATGACCGTGAACTGCCAGTTCTGCCGGCCGTCCTTCTCGGGGATTTGCGGGCGGATCATCGACTGGCCCTCGTACATCGACAAGAGGTCCTGCGCGGCGTGACTGCTGTCGGGACCCAGGGAGTGGGACTGGATGAGGAGGTCGAGGATGGTGGGGATGATTTGTTGTGAGATTACGGGAGTGGTGACCTCGACTTGGGGAAGGTGGGGGTGGGCGAAAAGCAGAGGGACGTGGAAGCTGCCGACGTGAGGGTTGTCGTAAGGTGTGACGCCGCCGTCGTTAGGAAGAGAGAGACCACTACATTGGTTAGCACGGTGTCATATAGTAAGAGATTTGATCTGGACATACTGATCACCAGCCATCACGATCAAGGTCTCGTTGATGATTTTCTTCTCATTCAAGATTCCGATAATCTCCTCCAGCCACTCGTCAATGTAGCCGATGGTGTTGAGGTAGCGGTTGAGGTCATTGTTAGATCCTGAGCTGGTCGAGCCCACGATCGACTCGTAGGTGTCGTTGGGCATGCCCCAGTGGTGATGGGTGGTTCCGGTTAGATGGGTGAGGAATAGACGGGTGTGGTTCTTCTCCGCAGCATCGATGGCATCCCGGACGTAGTCTCCGAGAACCTTATCCGGATAGCCGTAGTAGTTGACCTCCTTTTCCTTGACGGGGTAGTGCTTCGCCTTGGGGTTTTCCAGCGTCTCCTTAGTGATGACATCATAGTACCCCAATTTCGGAGTCAGTTTGTCCTGATTATCGTAGGTCTCGGTGACGGACTGCATCCAAATAGAGTGCCAGGGCCAGGTGCGGTAGTCATTGGAAGCGGGGACGGTGTTGTTCTCGCGCACATCGGGGAGTTGATTCAAGGTGGTCAGCACATGCGGCATGCACGGCTGGTAGATGTGATGCTCGTACTCGCGGTTGAAGTCCGCCACCAGCGGGGTCACACCGCACAGGGTGCCCACCAGACTCTTCAGGGTGTAGGTTCCCGTGGTGAAGGCGTTGCTGGCGCTGATGCCACCGTACGACCGACGTCCGTAGTCCTTAACCATGTCGTGCTTGAACCCAGCATCAAAGCCAGTCAGCCACTCCGCCGTCCGAGTAAGGTTGGCAATCCGCTTCTGCACGTCCTTAGGGATCTTGTTGTCGGGGTAGGTCTCCGCAATACGGTCCCACATGAAAGTGCCGTTCTTCAATGGGAAGACGTCGCCACGAGTGCTTTCAAGCTTGAGCAAGATAACGTGTTTGATGTTGACTTTACCGCCAGAGAGCGCGTCATGCAAGGGGTCGAGTAGTGGGCTCCGAAGGTTGGAGATGTGGAGAGGGTCCCGGTTGGGATCGTAGTGTCGCGGGGGTGGATGGAGATTGTCGGATTGATTCCAGTCCCCAAAGCCGGGGAGGGGCTCCTTGGGTAGCCACGACCATTGTGGAGGCCGCTCCAACGCAGTCTGTCCTTCCAACCAGCCATAATCTCCCGGCAGCCCTTCTGCTCGAACCGGAGACACCCGGTGGTGTCCCAGAAAGGGGGCCACGGGCAGCGCTTCGGAGAGAAACATGTAGGCGGGATCCCACGGGCGGACGACGCGCAACAGGAAGAGGCCGACAAAAGGAATCCAGACGGCCAAGCGGCGTGCCAGCGAGTGACCCCGCTGCCGGGGCGGGGCGACAGCTCCGTAGGGCTCCAGCAGGTGAATGGACGATCCGTCGTCACTCTTATCGTCGAGATAGTCGTCCTCGGAGAGATGGTCGTATCGCTCCGGGTCAGACAGAGAAGTTGTCTTGGGGATGAAACCGCGCACACAGCTCGCACAGCATTTGAAGGGTTGTGCCAGAATATTCAGGATTCCACCCACGGCGCGATGCAACGGTGCAGCGATGAACCAGGCGACAGTGAGCATAATCCCCTCGACGATCAAGAAGCCGGTCAGGCCGGTCAAGAGGGTGCGCATGGCGGCAGCATCGTGGTGGAAGGTGGTGGCTTGTCTCCAGTGGATTTCGGCTCCGGTAAAGACATAGAAGGAGGTATTGGCGGCGGTCATTCCGGACATGATTAAACTATGACCACCGGATTAGCAATGTGGCGTTTCCCCAACCCAGGGAAATCAGTGAGGGGAGTGAGGAGTGATCTTTACCTGAACGGAATAACGATCAGCGCGGAGATGGCGGCGACCGACCGCCACGGCAGTTTCTGGGTCAAGATGCGCACCAACAGCACGAGGACCACATCTTGGCAAAAGAAGGTGACTCCCCAGAGGAGGAATTTGGATGGAGGTAAGGAATGGATGTGAGCGTAAAGATGCAGGAGCTTAGCACCAAACATGGCCATCAAGGTGAGAGCGAAGAAGTAGCGGCGAGTGAAGTCCCAGAAGTGATCGAAAGCCTCGAAGGGCGAGGCGCGCAACCGCACCCAGGCGGCCAGGCAGCAACGAGCCGGATTGAGGTTGACGAGCTTCATCTTGACGAAATCCACAGGAACTTGAAACAAATCACATGGCACACGAGTAGGAAGACGAAATCATCAAATCACTCCATGAGCCAGCTGGAATGATTCACCGGGATGCAAGGCCGGACGAGAGAGAGAGGAGGAGGAAGAGGTGGTGGTGGGATGAGGGAAGAGGGAAGAGGGAAAGGGAAAGATGAAGAAGGAGGATGTGAGTGTGAGTGTATAGTAATCAATCTTATGGTGGGAGAATGACCGAAGAGGGGAAAGGGGAGACACGGTGGTTTAATGTACAAAGAACAAAAGGAACACAGCTAGCACATCATAATGAGATGATGGCCGTATGGCAGCTCCCAAGTGGAATAAACCGCCCAAAAAAAAAAAAAAAAGGGCTGAATTTAGGAGTCTTAGATCGGAGCCGCAATTAATTCATTCATTCTTTCTTTGACTAGGATCAACTAGTTCACAGCAAATTCACAGCTAAGAAAAAACCGGGGCCGAATTATTGACCGGGTTGGAGCTGCTTGGGAGGCTTAGCGTGGGTGGTTGACTCCATAATGTTCAGAAATCATCTTTCCATCGTCTCGCAAGCCCCTACTGGATGTACTCAAAGGGCCGAAATGGACCCTGAGAGCCCATAGACCCTGGCTTGCTGATTGGTGCTGTCTCTTCATCCGCGGTAATTTTAGAACCCAAGAGTGGAGTTGGAGGTGCCGTTGGGAGCCCAATCAGCCACCCTGCCAAGGCTGCAGGGTCTGGACATCGGATGGACTTGAGACAGGGGCAATCATTCCCGTAAAACCATTGTGCTCAATCGATGCGGTTGAAGAGTGTGCTGTGAACACCTATAAGTCGACCAGTACATGATACTATATGGAGGCATGGTAGTATAGAGACAGTTATAGAGACAGTAACACCAGCTCCCTGGCTACAGTCTCTCCTCTGGCTACAGTCACTCCTCATCTTTTGAGGCAGCCCCTGGCCAGACAATAGTACCATCCACCTCTAGAGTTTTTCTTCTCAAACGCCGGGCAAAATCACTCAGGGTCCCTCCCCCCCCCCGGCCCACTAACCCCAAATAGGCAATCTGACAGTCAGCGAAAGGTCTGAGCAGGTGACCTCATTCCCCTTTTGGGCGACGGCAAATCCCTTCACCGCCCCCAGCCGCCAATCACCGCCTTTCAAGTGGGGATTCTCCAACTCTCCCCTCGCTGCAAATTTCCTGCCCACGGCTGCTCTGCTCTGCTCTGCTCTGCTCTGCTCTGCCCTGCCCTGCCCTGCACTCCTGCACTGCCTGTCGGTGTCTCACTCATCAGTTCTGCCTGTTCCTTACCTCCTCCTGCTGCTGTCACACTAACTTTGCCACATGGAGTCCCCAACCTGAACACGAGGGAAATGCCCCCTTTTTGCCTTTGGGGGCTTTCCCTCGCTCAGGGTCTGTCCAAAATGCAGCTTGCAGCCCCCCGACCCCTTCCTGCTGTTGTCGGACAGTCTTCCTGCCGCGGCTGGCTTGCCGCGGCACGATCACTTCCAACGGGATAGCTTGTCTAACGGCTGCTTATCTACTTAGAGGAAGTCGATCCGGATGCACTGGCCGACACCAACTAAGAGTCGATCCCGTTCTTCCCAAGCATATTCGTGGCAGTATCGGGTATCCGCTCCCAATTTCAGCGTCACCTATCCACTGCAATATTGAGACTATTTGTGGTGCTGGAGTGAAACTCAGGCCGGAGATCACCGGGAGGGGCTTCCCTAGGCGGCGCATTGGCGGACCCCAGCTGGCGGTGGCACATTTGCCTTGGCTTTCGTATTGCCGGACTCTGGCCGCCAGACTCACTCTCTGCCTGTTGGGGGCAGTCAGCCCTTTGGTATCTGTGATGAAACACCCGCCAGGGTTGACGTGCTGTCGAGTGTATCTCGTGACTTCGGGCTCAGACCTCTAGGCCATGCTGCAGCTACTGCTAGTCGAATGCAACCTCAGGGCTGTCATTAAAAAGGTTCATTTGCAGGACGCATCTCCGATCGTAGAGAAGATCCATTATAGTCAATACGTAGCAGCTGTTATCTCAGATGTTGTAAATGATGTACTTGATATGTTGATACATAGTCCAATGGACTGTTTGCGTTGTTGCCCAAACTGGCAATCCGACTCGTGACCGTGACTCCCACGAACTCCCAGGAATATATTTCCGCCGCGACCGGGGTCTCGTCCCCGCATCATCTACGCCGTACTCCTCACCGGTAAACAACATCACCAACGCGATCATTCATCATTCTGCTCAGACCTTCGCAACCCGAACACTAGGAACCTAAGAGCAATAGAAGCTATTGTATTGGTTGACACCTAATGGTTGCTCCATGATTTACCGAATTCCATGGCCGATCGCGCCACCGTCCTCGCTAAACTCCACCGGCACTTGAAACACCCTCCGCCCGCTCGTTTCTTACACCCATGATCATTGTCACCACCATCAATCGCACCGCAGCCAAGCCCATCCAAAGCCATCGTATTCGATCGTTACCGCCATCAGCTCGTTCCTGAACACTTGTCGTTGCGCTTCCTTCCACGATAAAATCGCCCCAATGTACCTGCGTCAGCTCCGCTTGATACTGCCCCACATTCTTCGGCCAATGATCCACATTCCGTCCGTCCTCGGTCTTGTACCAGCTGCTACATCGCGCATCCAGGATACCGGTTCTCATACCATGTCCCTCCATGACCGCTGTTCTTTTCCAAAATGAGGTAGTTGGTGATGGGTGTGTGACGGAGGAGCTTAATGGCCATACAAATGCCTATCGATTAGCCCGGCCTTCGATCATACATTGATACCTGGGTCAAACATACCTGATACCCCTGCTCCTATGATGACTACTGAATAGTGACTAGAGCCTTCGCATACGGGGTCTTTATCTGTCCCGTATGCCATCCTGAAGGTACATGAGATGGTATTATATCCTAGACCTCTGCAAACTGCTATTGCTTGCTTCTATGAAGAAGTGTAACGCCGACCTTACGCGGCAAAGTTGCCACCACCATTGCTGCTCGGATGATGAATGTGACTGGAGCACGCCCTCCGTGATGGTGGTCTGATATCATTCTGGAATCTCATTGATAGATTGTAGTCATGACAGGGCGCCAGTCGGCTTGTTCCGCGGGTCGATTCAGCCACAGAAACATCATGGCGCGGTGATCGTTGCAATTCCGTGAAAACCCATTGAAAAGACTTTTGCAGATGAGCAGCCGTGTAATGATCGAGCTCGCTTGGTGAAACTCACCAATCCAGTCGTCCTTGCTTGGTTGCAGCTTGCAGGTCCATTCGACAATGACAAGAAAAAGCTCAACCAGGACTATCGCCCCAGTGGCTAGGGGGCTCGAGAACTAACATATGCCTGAACGAAGGCTGAAACAGAAGAGCACCAGTAACTCGCATTACTGTAATGTCGTTCCGAGGAATTATCTAAAGACAATCTGATTAATTCCCTAACGCGTGCGATACTCGAACAACTAAACTCTTTCGACAGTGTCTGCTCTGCACCTCCTCCGAGTAATGACCCTCACTATGCAGCTATACCATCCACCCCATCCCGGCCTCGTGAATGACAATGACTAGCTCTGTGACAAGCCCCTACATCTGCATGTCATATGCATCGATGGCGTTGTCGTATGCATCATCAACATCACCGGTTCCCTGACGGATGGTCTCCTTGTCGGCCCCGGCCGCCTTGGCCTGCAGGGCCACGGACAGACCATCGGTCTTGACCCGAAGCGCATGGAGGTTGGTCCGGATGGTGCTTCCGACGCCGGCGGTGATGAAGAGATTCCGCTATACATTGGTCAGCATCATGATCGGCCACTATAGGAATGAATGAGATATGGAAGGTGAAAGGACGTGAGAAGTGCATGCATGAGCTGACGTGACTGACCTTCAGGACCAGAGCTGCGATGGAGCTGCGCATGACCGGCTCCAACTGGGTCAGAGCCTCAGTCACCCGGCTACTCTCCGAGGCCGTGAAGACCGCAGTGCCGTTGACGTCGGCAGAGGCCTGGTCAAGGGAGCGCTCGACAGCAGCCTCCTGGGTCTGGATCTCAAGGGCTGCGGGCAAGCCTCCGGAGTAGCTGTAGACGGCAGCACTCAGAGAACCAATGTCGGTGTTGACCTGAGTCAGATCCTGGATGATGGTGGGGATATCACGCCTGATGACGCGAGCCGTGGCCAAAGCCAGGAGGGAGAGGACTGACGCGGTGGCGAGAGTGAAGCGCATGGTGCTGATGTTGTCGGTTGGATTTGTGGTGTGGATGCAGATGGTTTGGTGATTGCTGGTGAGCTCTGAGAGAGGAACGACTCAGCCTTTATATCCAGTTTTGAGGGATAGGCTGGGCTCCAGAACCGTACCCGTTGCGCGTGTGTCGCTCTGGATGTCCTATTCTGACAATGAATGTTATGGTGCGGTGATATACTCCGTGGGGCTTGTGTTGCCATGAGTCTAATGTCATACGTGCGCTTCGGTTTGCTACAGATCGGTGTTTACGTGTCTGACGACAAGTGCGACAGCTACGCGCCGGTGCAGCACTGAGGCATACGCTTGTACAGTACAGTGTTCTGGTAAGGACCCATCGAACTCTGGACTCATTATGGGAGTCTAGTGTACGAAAGAAAGAGAAGTCAACGCGATGGAAAGACCAAAGATGGCGACGATGCACCGGGACCGACAGTCGACGTCAGGATTCTGCAAAACCGTTTGCCCAATGGAGATCGAACCGCGACAGGAGAAAACCGGACGTATGCAAAGATGAAACGCACGTAACTTCCTCCAGTCTCTCTGGGTAGGGACGGGTGCATGACTTGGTGTTGTTCCACCATTCATCTCACCACCGTGATACTTGCGCAACGGCGGTCTCTGGAAACCCACACACGCAGCCTTCCCATCTGCACGATGGCCAACCGCAGGGTGACACGGTACCTGAGTGTGTTATCCGCCTTGTGTTTCGACTGAGCCGTGGCCTGACAATATTCTCTCCGTTATGGGAGAAGATCGGAGGGGAGTCACTGAGCGATAGACACGCGCGCGAACAATGTCCGACCGCCAAAAAGCTCGCTTTTAGTAACTATGTGCAGCTGGGTGTCACACCGGCAAACCTTCCGTTGGCCCAAAGCAGGCATCGAAACGAGGAGTGACTCGGACCGGGAGAAAGCCGTGACCGGCCCAAGGCAAGACGTGAATCAGTCAGCAGTGCCCGAAAATCGGATTGGCCCCTCGGGAAAGACGGAGAGACGATGACGATGAGCAGTGCTGATTGGTAAACCGAAACTAAAAAGAGGGGCTCCAGGCTGACCGAGGCTGCAATTTGGGGACGGTGAAGTGGGAGGAGGTCAGGAGGAGGAGAGACATGGAGGGTGGTTGCGTAACTTGATGCTTGATTTTGCAGACGGTACTCAAGTTATCAGTCAGTCAGTCAGTCTATCTTGACCAGATCATGCCGACTTGCCGAGGGGCGGTTCACCGATGATTGCATCAGGGAAGGAAGCCACCAGTTCGATCGGCAATCCTGCTTTGGGTCGCCATCACCTGACATCACCTGATTACGACATGTCACCTGATCAGGCGTTTACCCCCCGGGGTGCGGAGATGACTCAGCATATTCCCCATATCGGTGCACCAATCAGATGTGGGTGCTTGCATAGCCGGATTTTAGGCTAAAGTCCTCCTTCCTCTTACGCCACTTCATCTTGGGAAGAAAGCTTGTCCGAGGCTTGTTTTCCGTCTGCGGCCGACTTTCCAATCCCCCAATCCCCACGCTTGCCAGCCAGCGGAACATCTGCCGACTGACCATTCAACATCGGAGCATGGAGATTCTCCATATCCATCCCTCCATACATTCTTCTGGAGAACTTTCGCTGACCCACCATGCCCACCCATTGACCATTCGGTCATCTGTTCACCGGAGAATTCAAACCAGGCCAGCAGCAATGCCAGCAGGAAACGTCACCGGCGGCTAGAAATGACTTGGTTCTGTCAGCTTTAAAACTCTCCCCTCCCAGAGATAAGCCCATCGGTTCCTGAATTCTCTTCGCTTCTCGTATCTCGTCTGGTTCTTCCTGCCCGTTATGGCTGCTCCTATGAACCACAAGGACTTGGAGAAGACGGAGCAGCATGAGTCGCTGCCCGTCGTGGTGACGGCGGAGGAGGCACTTACCCGCGCCCGCCAACAACCGAACGTTGCCCTGCCGCTGCGCATCACCTTTGACCACCATGACCCCGACAATCCGCGCTGCTGGGGCTTCTGGCGCAAGTGGTACATCACCGTATTCGTGAGCATGCTCAATGTCATTACCACCTGGTGTTGTGGTTCCTTCTCGTCTGGCGCCACCCAAATTGCCGATCACTTCCACGTTTCGAGTGAGGTCACCACCTTGTGTTTGTCCCTTTACGTCCTGGGCTACGCCGTTGGCCCTGTCCTACTCGCCCCCTTGTCGGAGTACTTCGGCCGCCAGCCGATCTACATCGTCTCCTGGTTCATCTTGTGTATCTTCCAGTTGCCCTTGGCACTGGCCCCCAACATTGGTACCATTCTCGTGTGTCGTCTGATCGCCGGCTTGGCTGGTGGTGCCCCCTTGACCAACACCGGCGGTACGATCAGTGACCTGTGGGAGCGAGACCACAGTGGTTGGCCCATGGCGGTGTACGGCCTCAGCAGCACCGCGGGCCCTCCCCTGGCGCTCGTCATGAGCGGTTACATCGGTCTCGACCTGGGCTGGCGGTGGATCTTTTGGATTATGATGGCCATCAGCGGTGGGTTCTGGATCGTGCTGGTCTTCACGATCCCCGAGACCCGCCATTCCATCCGCCTGCAGCGCAAGATGGCCAAGATCCGTCGCCAGATGGAGAAGGAAGGACTACGGTCGGCGGAGTCGCTGGACGACATCCATGGCGACAACCGCAAGGGACTGCACCAGCTGCTCGCCATCACCTTGACGCGGCCCGTCCGCTTTCTGTTCACAGAGCCCATCACGCTATTCTCGGCCATCTTCAACGGGTTCCTCTACGGCCTCGTTTACCTCTTCAACGAAGCCTTCCCTCTCGTGTTTGGTGCTCCCCACGGACACGGCTTCAACGTCGGCCAACAAGGCCTCTGCTTCCTGGGCATCGCCATCGGCCCCTTCATCGCCTTCGCTGCCCACCCCCTGCAGGAACGCTACTACCGCCGCGCCGTCGCCGCGCACGACGGGCTCAGTGTCCCCGAAGCCCGCATGTGGATGGCCCGCCTGGGCGCGTTGCTGATCCCCATCAGCCTTTTCTGGTTTGGCTGGACCAGCTACGCCTCGGTGCACTGGATCGTCCCGATCATCGCCTCGGTCTTCTTCGGGGCGGGACTGTATATCGTGATCTTGAGTATTCTGAACTACGTGGTCGACAGCTACCAGACGTACTCGGCCTCGGCGCTGGCGGGGGTCATTCTAGTGCGGAACGTCGTGGGCGCCGGGTTCCCGCTGTTCGCGACGCAGATGTACAACAAGTTGGATTACGAGTGGGCGTCGAGTCTGCTGGGGTTCATTGCGATTCTGCTGGTTCCGATCCCGTTCATCTTCTTTTATAAGGGGAGGGCGATTCGGTTGCGCAGTCCATGGGCCCGCGAGCATTTCGATTCGAATGACGATAGTCCTCATTAGTTTAGATGGGCTTGATAGAACTGAATTGCATCAGATATGTTCAATGTTGTGCATGAGGCTTCTTGGTGAGATTTGATATGACAGTAGTTATTGGATAGTAGCTTTCTACCCCTGCCGTTGGATGTAACTAGGTAAGTGGGCTTTGAAGCGGAGCTGTGGTATAGGGTGAGTCTATGTTTGTGATCATCGCCCAAGGAAGTGATACATCAACCACGGCATCAGAATTTGACTCTGGTGAAAGATGCAGTTTTGTCAGCTTTCTGGTCGGTCGATAGCCTTATTCCATTCTTTCTCCTGTTATCCGATCATCCCGAGGAGGGTCACCTGGTTTGCACACTTATGTTACAGCCACAATCGGGGTGATTAACACGGGAACTGCAATTCCAAATCATGTTCCCCCGAGGCTCTAATATATCTGATATCATGTTGACCAGGAATTATGGGGAAATTCGTCAGACGCGCAGGGCCAAGCCTGGCAAACGTGTATGCGCATTGCATTGTACGCATTGTTGCCTGCCCATCGCGCCCAACTGCTGACTCATCCATACACTGCAGAAGGAAACCCCCACCCGAGTATTTGAAATAACCTTCTTTTTAAGTTAGGCAGAGCCTCTGGCTGACGACCAACACGAGGGTGAAATTGCTAGGCGCATCTTGGCTGGCGGGGCGGACGCCAAAGCCGGTCGACTCAGCCTCGCCCCGGTTTCTTTACTAATACGCTCCCTCCTCCCTTCCTCCCTCCTCCGCCGCCCTCCGACAATCCACATTCGCACTGCGACTGAGCACAATCCTCTGGCGCTTCTCTTCGTATGCCCCATGATATGGCCAATCAGTCATTACAAGTGAGCGGATACAGACTCCGGAGAACACACGAGAAGTCCCGGAATGGGTGCCTGAGGTGCAAGCAGCAGCGGAAGAAGGTTCGTGGGCGCCCAACCCTAAGGCTCTGCCCACACGGTGCTGATGTCAATCCCCCAGTGCGACGAAAAGAGACCCAGTTGCTCCCGATGTACTAAGCGCTCGTATACTTGCCGATATCCGTTCCCTCTCAGCGATGACAATTTGTCAGAAGAGCCGGAATCGGCGGCTCATTCGCCCGTCTCCGACTTGCATGTAATCTCCGGGCCCGAGTCTCCCGTCTCGCCCTCACATCATCTTCGTCTCTCGGATTCCACGCCTGATCGCGATGCACAAATTAGCTCCCAGTCACGCTCCAGTACCGATGAAGCAAGGCTGGACCCCTGCCGGCTGGGGCCGCAACCCCCCGAATTCCTCGATGCGACCGAGCTGAGTCTCCTAGCACACTATCTCACGCACACCAGCCATATCATCCCAGTCGACCAACTCGACCTCTACGCACTTTCCGTCGGCGTGCCCAACCTCGCCTTCAGAAGCAAAGCGGTCATGTCTTCACTGCTCGCCTTGGCAGCAGCATGTCAGTCCCACGACATCGCCAAGCAAGCCCTGACGCCGCAGAGCCTCCTGCAGATCCGCGAGTTGTTGGGGCTAGCCGAGCGCCACCACCGCGCCTCGCTCCGCCACATCCAGGAGTCCATGCAGAGTCCGGAGATGTACGATCACGTCCTGGCCAATGCGGCTCTGATGGTACTGTATGCATCTGCCAGCCACTCCATCCGTGTCCACCTGGCCGCCACGGCCAAGCAGCGGGGACAGCGGCTGCCTGGGGAACTGCTGCCGCAGCACTCGCAGTGGATCTCATTCACTCGTGCCGCGCATACGGCATCTACTGCAGTGTTGAATGACATTGTGAACGCCGCGAAGGGAGCTAGTCCAATCATGCCTACCGAGGCCAGTCTCTCTAGCACAGACCTACATACCCCTGGGGTCCTAACCCCACAGGACGGCCCCTCCGAGCACACGAAGCGTCTTTTCCTGCCCGTCGTCGCATCAACCTACACCCAAGCCTTCGAACGTCTGCGCAAGAGAGCAGAAGCCACGGTCACTTTACTGAAGAACTCGAATCGGTCCTGCAACATGGCCCAACTCCACGCATCCCTAGAAACAGTCTCCATCCTCGAGCACTGCGCAGCAGCAGCTCTGACTTCCCGCCAAACCCCCGCAACCAGGCCCCGAACCCAGGCCCTAGCTTTGCACAAACGCGCTCGCGTCTCCCCCTGGGTCGCGAAATACATGATCAGCGTGACGTCGATGGAGGCTCCGCAGGTCCTCCGCCGGATCATCATGTCGTTCCTCAACAAAGCGCCGACTGAATATCTCGGCCTCGTGCAGTCGGTTCTCGACTCCTCGTCGACGGGGAGGGAAGGCTCCGCCACCGCCGAGGTGGGGGCGCTGACGACGACGCATGTCCTGGCGATGGACATCTTTGCCCACTGGCTGGTGCTGGTCATGTTGCTGGACGGGGTGTGGTGGATCGGAGGGATCGGGCAGTGGGAGCTGGGCCAAGTGTTGGCCGTGCTGAAGACGCAGGATCCGCTGGGCTTGGCGGAGACGGGGGAGACGTGGTGGCCCGAGAGTATGTACTTGGTCAAGCGGGAACTGAGCCCTAGTGCTCCGTGATTGTTACAAGAGGTAGATAGGTTGGGTGTTTGAATTTCAAATACGTGTACATAGCTGTTTCAAAGCGTTCGCATGCCTCAACATCAAGCAGAATGTGCTAGACAACGAGACCTCGTAACCACAATCTAGTCAGCAAGATATTCATCTGCAAAATCCGCCAAGCGAGGGAATCAGCGACTTGCCAAGCATGATTGCATGCCAAGTCAGTGAGACGCAGGCATTGCGCTGGCGAGACGTAGGGCTGAGGGGTGAGTGGCGTATTAGTAATACGCTCCATCCTGAGGCTGTGGCTGTGCTGGCGTATACAGACGCCCTCCGACAATGCGATTGTATATGCGCAGTGAGCTGGGATATCTTGGCCATGGAGCGTGGACACCATGCCAGAGGATTCAGAATCAATATTAGGGACTCAACAAGATATAAAGCAACGAATCTCCCATCCATCTCCACATCATCAGCCTAGCATCAACAGCACAACTACCTACCGCGTCGAACAAACCATATCTCATTCTATATCAACCGCTTCACCATGTATCTCATGTCTACCTTCCGCTCCATCCTCGCGATGGCCCTCACCCTCGCAATTTTCGGTCACGCAGCACCATCACAGTCACTCACCTCGCGCGCAACCTCCGACCTGCCTCTGACAGCTCAACTGAAGCTGGCAAACACGTACTTTCCCTGCCCTGGCCCATAATCCATCGTCATAAAAACTAACTCAAGCAGAGCAACCGAGCGCTACGCCCTCCTCCCCAATGACAGCGACTTCCTCTACGACTTCGCCGCCAGTACCAACAACGAAACCGCCCTTCCCATAGCCAGCAGCCAGAACTGGCCCGCCCTCGTCGGCGTCGGCCTGTCTTTCAGCATCTCCCAGCTGCCAGGTACATCCCCCCCCCCGGGGTTACTCAGCACCTAATCCCACCCCCACTATCAACCCCAACTAACCATACAAAAAGCATGCACAATGTCCTTCCTCCACTTGCACCCAAGAGCAACCGAACTCTTCGCTGTGACGTCGGGCCGCATCCAAAGCTACATGGTGCCCGAGACAGGCGTCACCGATGCCCAGGGAAACCAGCGCGTGGTCAGCACGGAGCTGACGGCGGGGATGGTCACGATCTACCCGGCGTGGTCGTTCCACACGCAGGTGAACCCGGACTGCGAGGCGGCGAATTTCTCGGCCGCGTTCAACTCGGAGGAGTTTGCCGTGGGGTTGGTCTCGGCTCGATTGTTTGCGTTGCCCGATGAGGTGGTGAGTCGGGCTCTGGGTGGGGTTGGAGTGGACGAGGTGCAGAGGATTAGGGGGTTGGTGCCGGATGAGGCTGCGCTGGTTGTGGAAGAGTGTGTGAAGAAGTGTGGGTTGTAAGGGTAGGGTTGCTTTGGGAGGGGGAGGGGATTGATTGAGGGTGATAAGAATTACTGGGTTGAAGGGAAGGAGTAAAGAAGATGAGAATGAGAGGACAGGGGATGGGAGTGGGGGTGGGGATGGCTTTCTTTTTGTCTAGGATATAGATTTGGGGTTTCTTGTTATCGACTGTGCATTTTGATGGGCTTTCGCGCTGAATGTTTCTATTGATTGGTGGTAATTGCCTGTGACTTAGAGACCAAGCTCGGACTGTGTACAATAGATGGTTAGAATGATTAGCAACAACATGATGTCCCGTTGCCCCCTATGCAATTATAGGCTCGGCTTGATGGATCGGAGAGTATTAGGCCATCCCCTTCCTGATCTCGAAGAATACGTATGCTGTGCGTCTTGCATGTGTTTATCTCCTATAGGGTGTTCATGCACATCCCTGGCTAACCCCGGACTACATACAACCTCGCAGAAAAGGTTACACTTCTCCCCGTGTAACTCGAGACTTTCCCCTCGAACCTCAATGGACAGATAATCGAGCGATTGTCTGGGATTGTAACTATTGATCAGGGTAGCTGAGGTCTGATGGTGCGAGCATAGCGAGGAGGTGCTGGCCGTGTTCGCAACCTACTTTACCCAGCACGCTCGATACCCTGGGCTGGAGAGGGGAATCTTCCTTCCGAGCCCCATCCCCGAGGATCTGTACATGCCGTTCCGGCAGTTCGTGGAGAAGTACAAAAACCAGGCTGCGGTGCCCACGATGTTCCTGCTCGACGCGGGGGTATGGGGTCTCCTATCCAACCCGGTGCTTGAGGTCTTTCGCGCGCTACCGCGCCATATGGTCGAGGGGGTTCTGACATCCAACGTCCTGACCCCAGCCAACCACACCGTCATCGAGCTGTACAGACGGGCTGAAGCCGAGCTGTCATCGACCTCCAGCCTCTTCCTCTTCTCCGAGGTGCTGTACGCCTACCGCGAGCCCACCACCACCAATACCACCGAAAAGAACAAGATTCCCCTCCTCATGCGAACACACACCCCCACAGAAACAAAGCTCACCCTCATCCACGCCAAAACGCTCCTTATTGCCATCCGCAGGTGTCGGGGGAGGACATTAGGAATGGGTTCCATGAGAGACTGTATGCCTTGCAGGGGCAGATGAATGCGTTTTGGATTGGAAAGACATGGGCGGCGGATATTAGTGGTGAGATTTGGAAGGTGGCGAGGGGGGTGGTGCTGCCGATGCTGGTGGGGGAGTTGTAAGCGGGATGCGTTTGTACTGTACTTCGGTCTTGTGTCTTCTTTACATGTGAACAGGGAGAGGGTGTCATGCAGCGTGGAGGCATGATTCAGTCCTTCAGAGGGGTTCACTTTATAGTATCACTGGGGCACTTCGTCAGCCTGTAGGCAGCCCCCTTGCCAATTTTTCCGCAGCTTCCATCCCAAATTCTCTGGCCATGGCAAAGGATACCGAGATGTCTAGACCGAGGCATTCAATCCGCAAGACCGCCCATTCTGACTCTTCAGCGAGAAAACGAGAGAAAACGAAAAGTAAGGTGTTGGAATTGAATGGTCTTGTTTATGCTTGATGTTCTAAGTCGGGAGCGGAATCGTTACTCGTGCTATGTCTTTTTCTCCAGTTCTTTAACTAGGACAACCTCATTGAAGGCATCATATAATACGCCACACCACTGGCAGCCCGGCATGTGGCTACTTGCCGTCGTGAACTGCGACGGCGAACTTGGAACGCTGTCGGATACGGCCACCGTACTTGGACAAGAGGAACGGCGCAGGAAGACAGAGCAGCGACAGGAAGGCTGGAACACTGCTTGCCCAGTGGATCCCAATGCCCTCGTACATAGCGGTGGTAAACAGGGGGAATGCAGCGCCGCACAGGGAGCGCAGGACCGTCGCAGCCGCCAGCGCCGAGGCTGCATAGGTCACATAGCTATCGACCAGGTAGTTGACCAAAGCCAACGAGACGCAAATGTTGCCGAATCCAAAACAGGCGGTGCCCAGCATACAGACTACCCAGGGCACTGAGGGGGCATTGGTCCAGGCGAACAGGAAGAGACCGCCGGGAAGAAGAACCGCCCCGACCTTGCCGGACTGCAGACGTGCTTCCGGGGCCAGCTGGCCGCTCCCCGACTTTCGACACCGTCGTGCATATTGGCGGTTGATGACAACCATGAACGCTGTGGCACCCAGCATGCCGATCGCGATGGGGAGGAATGCGAGGCCCCCCACCCCTGGGCTCCATCCGCGGACGCGCTGGAAGACAATAGGCAGGGCCGCCAGCAGTAGGTAGGTAGTACCGTAGATGAAGGACATGTAGACGGCAAGGACCACGACAATCGGCTCGCGGACGAGGAGTCGGACAGGACGGGTCATGGAAATGCGAAGTCTCTCCGCCAGAGATCCGGGAGGGTTCTGGTGGTCGACGCTTGTGATATAAAACTTCCCTGTCTGTCTGGTGAGCGCGGCGGCCCGTCGCCGAAGCACCACATCTCCAACGGTCTCGGGGACCAAAAGAAGCCCCAGCACGAGCATCACTCCCGCGTAGATGGCGAGCAACCCCTCAATGGATCTCCACCCTCGCGTCTCGCCGAGAAATCCGCCCACGATCGGCCCCAGCACAGGCCCGAGAAATGTTGCGCCCGAGTAGAAGACTGCCGCCAGGCCTCTCGTTTCCGCACTGTACAGGTCGGCTACAATACCGCCGGAGTTGGTGAGAGGGGAGCTGCCGAACATGCCGGCCAAGCATCGGAATGCAACCAACGAGGCGAAGTTGGGCGCGACGGCTGCGGCGACATTGAAGAGGGTGAATAGGCTGAAGGTGGTCAAGAACAGGACTCTCCTGCCGAACGCTTCCCCCAAGGGTGCCCACAGCAATGGTCCGATGGCGAACCCGAGGACGTACAGCGACAGCCCCAGGGTGGCAGCCTCGTCGGAAACGCTGAAGTACTCGCAAATGGAGGACAGATCTCCCGAGTAGGCACTGGACGCAAAGGCAACTGAGAGCGTTGAGAGCCCTGACAAAACCAAGATAATGGCCTTGCGCGAGGCGGCGAAGTTCCGGGCATACAATCGGTCAGTCGAGGGCCACGATATGATCTGTGGATTCTCACGAGTGCCATCCCCGGGCCAGTCGTGTCCAACATCTCCAGCAATCATGCGGATATTGCTGGTGCCTAGCAAGAGAAAGCACCCGATGGCATACAGCATCCTAGGCTTCTTGTGTGGGTAGTGCATCGGGTTTGGTATAACTGTCTTGGTAGACCCTCGGATCGTGAGGTATGCTCACAGCAGGGCGTGCAATGACCCTTTTACTTGACTAGCTGTGTCTCGCTGAGAGAAGGAGAATCACGCAGACCGACCCACGGTGTGTTTGGCAATCTCAAGCGAGCCAATCGCGGCCAACAGCTTCGATCGTCGATCTATCTATCAGTACTTGTCATCCTGTGAAATTATGCCCGGTATTAGGAGTTAGCAGACCAAGCACCGATACGTGTGGAAAGCTTTTTCGAACTTTATAGCCCATTTGCCGCCATTCTTGCTGAACTTGGTTCAACCGGGCCGTTGCGTGTCATTTTAGGCTAGTCCCGTAAGCGATCAGATCCGAACCCTGGTGTCAATCAATTCATGACTGCCATCGGGTCAAGAAGAGAAGAAAAGGAAAAAATAAAATAAAATAAAAATAAAATAATAATATCCAAGGCGAGCCATGAAACTCAAAAGGATGAAATTCCAATTTTAATGGGTTTTGACTTGTCTGCAGTGGGAGGCAGATGACCGAAGACGGTCCTTTCCAGAACCCCCTGGTGAAATATTTAAGGTACTGTATGCTGTCCGGTGCCTCGGATCAAACACTTTACATATATTATTCACCTTGGAGTCAAGTTAACGTTACCGCCTTACTAGCGACCTACGGCTTGTGACTCGTAGAGCATGACTTCCTCACTTTCCAACGAAATCACCACCACTGCTCGAGGCTCGGGTGCATCGAGCGAGCCATCATCTGCGATGGCCCCTGATTCAAAACCCAGGACCCAGGACCCGCCAGATGGTGGCTGTCGGGCATGGCTCCAGGTCGTTGGGTCTTTCTTTCTGTTCTTCAATACCTGGTAGGTGCTACTTGTGCTTGGCTCATCGTTGGAAGCAAGACTGATCATCGCGAGGGGTCTGATCAACTCCTATGGCGTTTTCGAGACGTTCTACGAGGAGACGTTGCTCCAAGGAACTACTTCATCGACCATTTCCTGGATCGGCTCGCTGCAGTCCTTCTTGATTATGTTCCTCGGCGTCTTAACCGGACCCATTTACGACGCGGGGTTCGTCATACCCTTGCTGTATATTGGGTCGTTTCTCGTCGTCTTCGGCCACATGATGCTCAGTTTATGCCAGAGCTTCTGGCAGGTTCTACTTGCGCAGTCATTCTGCGTGGGCATCGGCGCCGGTCTCATTTTCGTCCCCAGCATTGCAATTCTCTCGACCTATTTTACCACAAAGCTGCCCCTGGTCATTGGCATCGCCGCCTCGGGGTCGAGCATCGGCGGCGTGATTTATCCGATTCTGATCCGCGAGCTGCTTGGCCGCGTGGGATTTGGCTGGACGATCCGCATTGCGGGCTTTGTGGCCCTGTTCGGACTGGGCATCTCCTGCGCGGTGCTTCGGGTCCGCGTTCTCCCTGCCCATCGTCGGAAATTGATCGACTGGTCCGCGTTCCGCGAGGCCCCTTACACGCTGTTTGCCATCGGGCTCTTCCTCTGCTTCATGGGTCTGTATACTCCCTTCTACTACATCCAATCCGTGGCGATCCAGAATCATATCACCTCGGAAAACCTGGCGTTCTACTTGGTGCCGATCATGAATGCCGCATCGACCCTGGGACGTCTGGCACCGGGGTATCTGTCCCGATGGATAGGATCGCTGAATATTCTGATTCTCTGTGCGCTGAGTTCTGGGCTTCTGGTCCTGTGCATCATCGCCGTGCAGACACAGGGGTCTTTGTTAGCCATCTGCGCCTTGTATGGGTTCTTTTCGGGGTCCCTGGTCTCGCTCATGGGTCCGATCCTTGTCATGCTGTCCCCTCACCGTGGAGTGACGGGGACCCGGATGGGGATGTGTTTCACGCTGCTGGGCGTGGCTCTATTAATCGGGACTCCCATCGCCGGCTCCATCCTGGGTTCCCATGGTGCGAATATGGTCTGGGTGTATAGCGGCGTTCTGACCCTCGTGGGAGGAGCGACGATTGGGGCTGCTCGGATGAGGTTGACCGCCGGGAGGATTGTTGCAAAGACCTAAATGTCGGCCGTGGGGTGGGAGATGGATGTTGTGGACTGGATTGTTCTGAATCGCACATGTAAGCTCGATTCAAGAGGGTTGGCAAACCCCCTCGTATGTTGAATTGAGTTGAGTAGAAAAAGCAGTCGAATGAAGTACCACTGGACCCATTTGCATACTTGGGTAGTTGCCAGCCGCCTCCAGGAGCAGTAACTTGCCCTTGAGTGTTGTGTTGAGAGACTCTTGGTTTTGATCATACCAGAAACCCTTTCAGTACAATTTGAAGATCCGCCTTGAAAGCCGCATGGACAGAAACTAACTTTGCTTTACATTGGGTCATTGGGTTGCTGTAGGGGAAATTCTATTTTTCTGCAACGCTGCTCTGCAAAGAAATTGGGGCAAATCTTAGTCGTCGAGGGGATTCTAACCGGTTAAGTAAATACGTTAACCAGATGGGGCTAGCGGCGTAAGCATTATAGAAGCTGGACCCATGGAAGGATTGCTTGCTGCCTTTCTGCCTTGCTGCTGCCCCCGCTTCAAGGCATCGACTAAGCGACGGTTTTGCCGCCCCCTCCGTCCGCCCAGCATCTCTTCTCAACGCCCTGCCCTTCCCTGCCCTTCCCTTCCCTTCATTCATCTTCTATGTCCAGTACACCACAAAGCAGCGTTTCACAAGCCTACTTACTAATTAGCACCGCCAAAAGAAAGGGGGAAAAAGAAAAGGACAAAAAAAAAAAAAACAAAAAAACAAAACAAAAAAAAACAAAAAAAAACAAACCTAACTAACTAACAATGACAGACTCTAACGCTGCTGACTTGCTCCACCTAGATATGAGGGCTGAGAGACGTAAGATACAGAATCGCGTGAATCAGCGCACTTATCGTAGGCTTCCCCCCCTCGGCTCGCACCAGTCCGTGTTTTCTTAACCATGTTATTGTTAGGCATGAGGCAAAGTGTGCAGAAGAACGAACCCGCGCGACCTCGGCGGTGGAAAGTCATCGGCTCGCTAAGCAGTCACGATGCCGCTCCCATCCAAGGAGACCGTGGCGCAATGCAGGCCAGGCGTGCTCTCCATCCTGCCTCCTCGCAGAGTTCCGATCATGCCCTCTCCCAACCTAGCGAATTCCAGCGGGATGCCATTGTTTGCCGCCTTGCGCCCCCCCACGGCAGTGAACGGGGCCGCCAATTCGAGCTGGCCGCGTACCGGCATTATATGCAGGGGACTCCCCAAGTCGACCATCTGCTCACTCTGGTCAAACTGAATGTCTACCGTGCATTAACCGCCAACCTGAACGCCCTTGGGATGACGGACATCCGGGGCTGGATGCACCCGGATGCAACATCTGCCTTTTCCACCCTGCAGCCGAGCGCAGCCCTCGACCGCGCCCTGCCCAAGCATCTACAGCCGACCGCCATCCAGCGCGCGGTGCCACACCACCCCTGGTTGGACTTCTTCCCGCATCCCCGGATGCGCGACCGGCTGATCGTGGCCGGAGATCAGTACGACGACGAAGAACTGTGCGTGGACATCATGGGCTTCTGGAACGCCGGGAAGGAGGACCCGGCGCTGATCGTCTGGGGCCCGCCGTGGGACATCGCCAACTGGGAGATGTCGGACGCCTTCGTCCGGAAATGGGGGTGGACGGTCAAGGACTGCCCGGATCTGTTCCGCGCGACCAATACATGGAGGGCCCTACGCGGGGATAAGCGGCTTTGCAGCCGGTGAGAATTCTTCGCTGCTATTGCTGGTCTCACTCGTTTCACTCGGGGCAGAAGGATAGAACTATACAGTATCTCCAATACTCCCAATGCCGTGCCGTGACGATGTATTTGTATGGATTGGATGGCAGCGCCTGCATTATCTCTGGCGTGCACGTAATCGAGGGGGGTGGTGTGAACTGCTCTCCCCTGGTGCGCCTTGACTCTAATCTGGCGGATTGCCACTCGATGCGTTCATGGCCGTTTCGCTGCGGTCAGAGCTCGTTACAATCAGCGTATGGAGATGGGTCAACGTGGTCTAGCATTGAGACACAAAACAAACACCACCATGTGACTCTTGCGGCGTTCAGTTTACTAATACATAACGATATCGCGCCCGTCCATGGTCCATATCCAAAATTACCTGGTTGGCCTCCTTCATCGGTCGTTCCTCGATCCACGGCTGCACGCCTTTAGCCTCTGCCAAAGCAAGCATCTCGCGTATCTCGCCAGGGCTTCCAATCTTCGACCCACAGAGTCGAAGACCGCTCCCAATCAATGCGCCGGCGGCGATGGTGAACGGACCGTCCTCCGGGTTCCCCACCTGTACGAACGCACCGTTGGGTCGCAAAAGCTTGAGGTAATCCGCCAGGGGGAGCGTGTTGGAGGAGACGGTGCAGATGATGAGATCCAGGCTGCCGGCGTGGTGGCCCGCCCAGTCGGACTCCTCGGCCGTGGCCACGTAGACATCGGCCCCGAGTGCCTGGGCGTCGTCGCGCTTCGACGCCCGGCGCGAGAAGGCGACAACCCGGTCCGCCCCCAGCGCCCGCGCAAAGAGGATGCCAAAATGGCCCAGTCCGCCGACGCCGACAATCCCGACCCGGCGCCCGGGCCCGCAGCCGTACTGCTTGAGCGGCGCATACACCGTCGCGCCCGCGCACAGCATCGGCGCCGCCGCCGCGGACGGGATGCCGTCGGGGATCCGGATCGCGAAGTGCGCCGGCACGCGGTGGAAGGTTGCGTAGCCCCCGTACGAGACGCTGCCGTCCAGATACCGTCCCGCGTACGTGCCCGTCCACAGCCGGGTGCAGTACTTCTCGTTCCCCGTGCTGCACTCGATGCAGTGGCCGTCCCCAACGCGCCCGCGGCAGGAGTCGCTCTGCGGGCCCACGCCTACGCGATCGCCGACCGCGAGCCCCTGGCCTTGGCCTTGCTGCACCTGCGACCCGACGCGCACGACGATCCCCACGATCTCGTGGCCCACGCAGCACGGATACGGGGTCGGACGCTGTGTTGGAGAGAAGAGTCAACGACTGGTCAATTCCGGAAGGGGGGACAAACTGACCCAACCGCTGCGCAAGACACAGAGGTCGGACGCGCAGACGCCGCAGTGCGTGACGCGGATGTCGACGTCCGTTTCCTCCCAGGGCTTCGGCTGGAACTCCCGCCACACCAGTTGCCCTCGGGCGGCATTCGGGTCCAGGCCCATCCACCCCTCGAATTTGGGGGCGGTATCCGGCATCGTAGGTGTTCAAGGAAGATGTAGGTGACTGACGGGGAGAGGGATGTGGAATACTGTATTCGAAGTCAAAAGTCTTCGATCGGGGTGGGCGGAGAGGAGCATTGGATCGTTTTATATGACGCGGGGGCAAATCAATCACCCATGGTAGAAGGCTACGAAAAAGGCTCAGTCGGAGTTGTTTACGTTTACGTTATTGTCAGCATCATGCTCTTCTCTGTATTGTACTGCCGGGTCTGTCCACGGCCTCCGAAGTACATGTAGCTACTGGGTAAGCTGTCTGGGACTTCGCCCTCAATGGGTTAGCTTGTCAGCGTGCAGGAAGTGGATCGGATCCACTGCAGACCCATTCGCTCATGCGCAAACGCAGTGCCGACATGATGGATAGCATGCTCGTTGCTCGTTTCTTACATACCTGGTAGATGGAATTAGGGCAGTTGTTACCCCCTATCTCCGACTTCCATTTCCCATTCGAAGAAGATTCGATTCTTCTGGCGGTAGTGATGCAGACAATCGAATAAGTCTCAGGCGCAAACCACCCCATTCCGCCTCTAGTATGCACACGTACTCGTGCAGCACGTCATTGACACCATCAAAACAACGAGCAAGCACGGTAGTTTTCTCTCGGACTGGCTGGCAAGTAAATTCAGTGGGGCTGGACCCGAAGGGAGAATTGAATCAGACTCAGAGTCAAGCATCCAGTGTACTCTATCTGAGCTGGCTATTCCATTCGAAATTTTGGTGTTGATCCGTCAAGGGCAGGCGTTTGGAGAGGGGGCCTAACTACGGCCTCTACTAGTCAAGATACTACTGCGAAGGAAGCAAGAAGCAAGCAACAAGGAAAATCCATTCTAGCTTATCGACCATCCCAGGTCCTTTCTACCGGGAAGGGGCGTAACCTCCCCCCAAGAGCTGAACGCCTACTCGCTCAGAGAGACCGTGTCGACGTAAAGAAACGGCATCATACTGCTTGGATGCCGGTCGCCTTGCACCTCAGCGGCCTGGATCACCTCATTGATCTCTTCCAGGTCCTTCGGGCCCAATCGAACGTCCAAGCTCCCCACGTTCTCTTCCAGGTTCCGAATCTTCGTCGTCCCCGGGATGGGAACGACCATTTTCACCGAGGCGCAGAGCCACGCCAGGCTCAGCTGGCCGACGGTGCACTTGTTCCGCGCCGCCAGCGCCTGCAGCCGGTCGACCACCGCCAGGTTCTTCGGGAAGTTCTCCGCCGAGAACCGCGGCAGGATACGGCGACGGTCGGTCGCATCGAAGTCGTCGGCGCTGCGAATCTTCCCCGTCAAGAATCCGCGGCTGAAGGGCGAGTAGGGCACAACCGCGACCCCAAGCTCCTCGCAGGCCTCAAGAAGACCGTTGTGGAAGGCGTCCACGGCAAAGGGCGAGACCTCCACCTGCACCGCCGCGACGGGGTGGACGCGGTGCGCGCGCCGGAGCGTCGCCGCGGAGCACTCGCTCAGCCCCAGGTATTTGACGAGCCCGTCGTCGACGAGCTGCTTCATTGCTCGCATCGTCACCTCGATCGGCTGGTCGGGATCGATGCGGTGGCAGTAGTAGAGGTCGATCGCATCGCCATCGGCGAGACCGAGACGGGCGCGGCTGCGCAGGCACGCCTCACGCACGTACGCTGGGTCGTTGTGGATGCTGGACGGCTGCCCCGGTCGCTGTTGAATGCCGAACTTGGTGGCTAGGAAGATGTCCTGTCGCTTGCCGCTGCGTTGGAACCAGCTTTGGTAACTCATGCGGTTAGCGGGCTCTGGGGAGCTATGCGAGAGGGCTTCGTGGTCGTCGTTCAAGACTGCTGGCTGTACCTACCGCGCGAGAATGTCTTCATTGTCGGCGTAAACGTCCGCCGTGTCCCAGAATGTGACCCCCCGAGCATGTGCCTCGTCGAGAAATCGCAGTCGGTCCTCATCAGGCATGGGCACTCCGTAGAACATGGAAAGACCCATGAGACCAAGACCTAAAACCATGCAATCAGTATTGTGCGGGGATGTAGAATAACAAAATTGCCGAATCCTGCTCACCTTGCGCGGACACCAGAGGGCCGTTGGCGCCCAGTTGGACGGTGGGAAGCATTGTTGAGTGGTAAGATGATGTGGACATCAGTACAACTGTTAGCAAGAGAAGAGGTCCGATTGCGTGCCGGTAGAGAGATTTAAAGTCTTATACCTACGTCCATCCACGTCAGCCGAGCCTGGGTAGGCTCTATGGGTTCAGCTTTAGGGTCTTCTACCCTTCCATCCTCGGCCGAAAATGGCTAGTCACATAAGCAGTCGGGTATGATCCCGTGCGTTAACGTTCACGGTTCCAGAAGTTTTAAACTATGGACCCACTACAATCTGAGGGATGACGAGCGGCAGCTTATCGCGGCATCGCGGCGTCGGGCTTCTCCAAGGCTTTATCCCCGGATGGTTGGGGTTGGCCAAACCATAGTCAAGCCCAGAACCAATTCCCAATTCGCTGATCAAAGTCAACTAACAAGAGTTAGATGCAACCCTAGCCTGAAGAGTGAAGCACCAAGCCATAGATCTACAGCACTTTGCCATGGCTTTCTTTCCACGATATCCACACGATACACGGGGATTTTCAACAGTTTTCAGTTCGTCTATTGAACACACACAATTGTGGCTTCTACGCTTCTACACCTGGACCCACCCATTCGACTGCAATCAATTTCTAGTTGCACTGTGGGCAGGCAGCATAACCATGCACAATCATGTCTCCGGGTCAGAGATGTGACACCTAGATACTTACCCTATTCGACCATCTTTCTGGCACAATCGGCGGTTCATATCGTTGTTAGGATGTTTGATTGGGAAGAATCACCACAGACAAAGCAGCTTTTCGGATCAAATCCAAACCGTGCTACTTGATCTACTCTCACCGATGTTCCTAACACCCCTCTATTACACCTGCGCACCCATTTCTCGCGATCATACGCATCATTCCCAACCAGGCAAACCATCTACTCAAACCACCGATCCACCACCCACCACCACCACCCCCCCTGCCTTTTGTTGAATCCATCCCTAACCACCCGCTCATACTCATCCACCTCTGCCCTCAACGTGCCGACCCCCAAATCCGCCCTCTCGGGCCGCACCCACACCGTCCTCCGAAAAGCCTTCCACCCCACCCCCAGCACCACAAACACCGCAATCATAGCATAATCCAGCACAAACGTCTCGGTACTCCACCTCCCATGCAAGAAAACCTCCCACCCCAGCACCAACACCATCAACCCGGTCCCGCACACCGCAAACCACCCCGCATACGGCTGGAGATATCCACGAAACGGGAGTGTGGTGCGATCGACACCCTGCGCCTTCAGCGCAGCATAAAAATGCAGATACGTTACACACGTCCCGAAGTAGTTGAGGAGGTATGAGGCGGTGATCACGCTGACCAGCCAGTTCAGGACGGTCGCGGAGGCGTGTTGCACCTGGAGGAAGGCGAGGCAGCAGAACGCCATGGTTAGGACTATCGCGTAGATCGGGAGGCCGCGGGTCGTGCATCGCCCCAGAATGGCCGGGGCTTTGCGGGTCAGGGCCAGCCCGTGCAGCGTGCGTGAGGCCGAGTAAACTAGATTGTTGCCGGCGGAGAGGACGGAGGTCAGGATTAGGAAGTTGACCAGGTGCGGGAGGACGGGAATCGAGAGGTTGTTCATGGAGATTACGTAGGGGGATCTGTCGCGGTTAGTCTTGGGCTTGAAGGGGGCCGGGGTAGTATGGTTAGGGTGAAGGCAGGGCTCACGCTGCGCCGGTTCCGCTCCCCTTGCGCGTTCCTGCGATCGTGGCGGCGAGCGTCGGGTCGTTGTACGGCAGCACGATTCCCATGCATAAGGCGCCGGCGATGAAGAAGACCATCAGGCGCCAGACGAAGGAGGTGAAGGCTCGGTGCATGACGACCCGTGGCCGCTCCGCTTCTGCGGCCGTCATGGAGATGTATTCTGGTCCGACCATGCTGGAACTCGTTAGAAAGTGTTGGGGTTTGTGGCGAGACTTGGGGCTTACGTGAAGGACGCTTGGATCATGCATGCGAGGACACCACAGAAGCGACCGGTATTTTCGGCAGTGAGGTACGAGACGAAGGCGCCCTGTGATATGGTGTGAGCGAGTGGTAGGTGGTCTGCTTGTTGTTAGGGTTGGACTCACTGGGTCCTTCCAGTAGCGGAAGCCATATACATCGTGATGAGGATTCCCTCCGACCATCGTCACGAAAGTGTAGCCGATCAGCCCTATCATCAGGATTATTTTGCAGATGGAGAGGTAGAACTCGGCCACTCCGAAGTAGCGGACAGTCAAAACGTTGAGGATGCTGCGAGGGTTAGCACTCGCTGTCAGACAGACGGGGATGCTGTACCCATATATCACCATGACAATGACAACGACGGCCGCCACCGGGATGCGATCCGTCCAATACGTAAGAAGTACATTGATTGCGACAATCTCGTAAGGGATTCCAAGAGCTACATCACAGTCAGCTGGTGAATATGCTCCCTGCAAAATACGCACCCATTGTGAGGAAGAAGTTCCACCCCATAGCGAAGCCTAGGGCATCGTCGACCCAGTGACCTGCCAGCTGAACAAACGGCGACGGTATGGGCAGATAACACACCATTTCCGCTGACGATAAGTTATCAGCGCCAGTCCTCTCCTGCTAGTGTGTGCCTCACCAAAGCATTGGTTCACGGCGAGAATAATCGTGCCATAGGCCGCAAATCCCAGAAGCAGCCCTGCTGGTCCTCCTTTCGGCAGCACAGCGCCCATCTGCACAAACAAGGCTGTCCACGTGAGCATCACCACAAAGTATCAACTGAATCGGAGACTTACAGGTCCCGATGGCGCCGCCGACCGCGAGAAGCTGCACCTCCCTACCCCGCAGCTTACGGTGCAGATGCTGCGACCCCGCGGAGAGCACGCGGGCCTCCTCGACCACCGTATCGGGGACCTTTGTCGTTGCTGATTCCATTCGGAACTGATCTTGCATTACAATCTGGACTTGTGTGACATTTCGCACGATAATTGCTTTGTGGACATTTATATCTGCGTTTTGTTCTCTAAGCGCGAGGGTGGGGTGCGATAGCGGGGTTCGGCCTATGAGCAGGGATGCGGTGGTCGACGTGCAGATGCTGTCTTGGAATGACTTCACTTATCGCCTCCAGTTGACTCTATCGTTATTTCCAGGAATAGAATGCAGTTCTAATGACAGATCGCTATAACATCATGATAACAGGACCAGCCTGCTGCCCAGCCACCACTCTATTCATCATCGCCGAATGGCATCGCCACCCATTCAGCCTCCTCGACCGGAGGCTCCTCACTCTCACACCTTGAACACCGACACACAAATCGAAACAGTGTCTGCAAACGCTCTCGTCGAGTCTGGAGGTCCGTGAACTGTGTCAGGTCGAAATACGAGATACAGCATTCTTCCCCAGCGGCGATGTCCTTGGCCGCCGTGAAGATCATACGGCTATGCTGGTCGGGCTTATGCGTCATCTACCTCCGGGTTAGCAGCCATAGACATATTGACATTGAGAAGAACTCACATTCGGTCCGCAGGAGTGATTTGCGATGGCCGCACGAGGATACACCGCCGCGCCAAACTGGTCGCCCCGGTCGAGGGCATCCGGCGGCACGGGATACAGCCCCGTCTCGCGCGGGTACAGGCCGAACGAGTTGGCCTCTTCCTGACAGATGAGCTTGAGCACCTCCCTGTCCGGCAGGTGGTGCGGTAGCACCGGCCCATGGCGCAGATACTTCTTGACGAGCGCCGTCCACGCGCGCACCTGCGCATGCGACCACGAGTCCTCCGATCCGCAAAACGACCGCATGGCCTGCCAGCCTTCAGCGAATCCCCTACCATCATCAACCGGATCATCCGGCGTCGTCGACTCCCCACCCGCAGCGGACATTGCTAACTGTCGCGCCGCGAGAATCCGCACAATCAACCACAGCATCCCGAACTCATACTCGCCCCGTTTCTCGCGGATGGAGGCCGCAAACCGCTTAAGCCAGGTGCACTCGAACGCGTGGCGGGCGTGGTCCGCCGCTTGACAGGCGGTACTGCACCACATCACATCGCCCAGACAGCCCTGCGGACAGGCAATGCGGTCCGCACTGCACGACATCCGTCGACTGCACGGGGGGTGACTGCACAGCAGCGCATCGCTCGTCCGGGGGTCATCGACCGCGGGGATCACCGCATAGGGCATATCGACCAGCACCACCTCCCCCTGCGGGATGGGCTGGGCCGCCCGCAGCTGCCGGCCCTTGTAGGGGTCGACCCCTTGCTCGAGATGGGGGTGGATCCACGCCGTTGCTTTGGCGGCAGTGACGTCTGCGACAGTAGATTTGGTCACTGCTGCTGGTTCTAAGGGTATTTCCCGCCCTAGAGGCTGTAATAAGGGCATTTTTGCGGTGGATTGTTGCGTGCGGGCACCAGATCGGTCTACCGGGAATTCACGTTTGATCCCAATTCTTGTCGAAAATTTGACCCGGCCTTTTTTTTTTTTCTTCGGGATTACACTATCGCATCTCTTATCGTCTGCAGAGCTGTGGGTCCTGCGTGCGCTGGAGTCGTCTGGGCCAATTATTCGGGCATGAGGGGTTGGTTAGGCCAATGGAATGCAGGGAAATGTGATGGGTCTTATCGGCGGATCGCGTGGCAAAGCTTGCCCTTTTTTTGCGGTCCGATGGACTCCTCCTTTCTCCGCAAGAGAATCTGGGGACATTCTGGGGGTTTTGCTGGAAATACACTCGAGGTTTGAATTCATGCAATTTGTCAATTTTCGTGTCTTCACAAAGTTAGGGTTGAACAGCCCATTCGAGTGATGGATGCTCGATTTGGACTACGGATTCAAGCCCCAGGGCATGCATGTCAGTCAGTAGCTCGGCACTATCACAACTGTACACGCACGATACCAGCTGCAACTGATCATACAACGGTCCTGATGACGCTTTGAGCATGCACTGATTGTGTCAACGACCACGTACGAAGCGTATGCACATACCAGTCCACTACTTGGTCTACATGAACTGAGGCCTAATGACATGCACAATTAGTAATCGGTCTGTGTGGATGCATGATGAATGCATAAGATTGGTTGCTGTCTTGAGAAGAATCGTCGCTGATCCCAAAAACAAGATTGTACTACAAACAACCTGCAGCATATATTTTGTGTTGAATCAAATCTGACCTTGGAAGTCATCCGTGAGGGTGGAAAGCACTTCCCGGGCTCAGCCCTTCATTTACACTCACAGTACAGCAGGAAATAGAATGCGTCAATGTACACAACAACTCAAATTTGACAGATAAAAACCATAACCCATCATTGACTGACAGCAGCGGCCGCGACCAGCGCATCGCAGGCCGAGCTCTGCGTCGAGGCATCCGCGCTCGCAAACGGGCCCGACCAGGTCCCCCCCAACCCATCGCCGTCGCCCCGGTCCTTCTCCCAGATACTATCCGCATTCTTCAGCAAGAAACTCCGGATCTGCTCACTGGGCGCCGCCTTGTAGAGCACCGCCAGATTGCGCATGAATACCCCCTTGAACTGCGGCGCGTCGCCCGTGCAATTCGGTTCGCACGGTTCGGTCAGCACGCCGTCCGCATTGCTCAGCGCACTCATCGCCGCGCCCGCGATCTGCTGCGCCGTCGACACGTACGAGCCGTCCCCGAACAGCTGGGCCATCTCAACCAGAGCCCCCAGGATCACGCCCTGGTTGTAGGACCACACCGTGCCACCGTCGTTGCGGCAGCTCCCCAGATCCAGCCCGTTGTTGATCGTGTGCTGCTCGTTGATCAGCCCGCTGCGCGCGAACCAGCTCCAGCTCTGCGCCGCCCAGTCCTTGTAGTATCCCGCCTGCGCGGGGATCCGCCGGCCCAGGTGCGCCGCGACGCTGAGGAACAGCTCGTTCTCGATGGCCCCGTTCTGCGTGTGCGACTTGTCCCACCACAGGCCGCCGCAGGTCGCGTTCCAGCCCGTGGTCATGTCGGAGAAGATGCTCGCGGCCGTGGTCAGGTAGCGCGTGTCCTGGGTGAGGTCGTACACCTGGATCCAGGCGAGCGCCCACCAGGCTTCGTCGTCGTAGTAGTCGTTGATGAAGCCGGGGTAGGAGCGGCGGGTGAGGCGGCGGGCGCGGGCGTAGGCGTCTCGCTTCACGGCGCGCGCGGCGGTCGACCCCTGGGCGCGCGTGAGGGTGTTGGCGAAGACGGCGGCGTTCTGGCTCAGCTGGCTCGCGTCCAGCGCGGTCAGGTCCGCCAGCACCGTCAGGCAGTTGGCGCTGTTCCACCAGCCCGTCGTGTCCCACAGCCCCGTGCTTGGGTTGTACCATTTCTGCAGGGTCGTCACCGCCGCTTTGGCGTTGGTTAGGTAGTCGGTGGCCGCGACGGCGCCCTGGAGGCAGAGCAGGGAGGTTATCGAGGTTTTGATGATCATTGTAGTGGTTGATTCAATGCTCAACGGTCAGATGAGTTGTGATAGTGAGTACGTTGAGAAGCGGCAGGGATGCGCAGGGTATTTAGCATTGTTGTGGCCCGGACGGACGGTTCTTTGTCCCGGGCACAAATACAGCCCACCAACATGTGTCCTGGTTGATGAACAAGCAGCATGGCGCATGATTGGGCCGTGCTTGTGTTTGAACCACTTCTTCGGCCAGAAATAGAGCTGCTTTTTTGGGGGCCTGACGGGCCCAAAACTGGGAGATGGGCGGTGATTGGGAGAAATCACCGGGCTTCAAATCTTAGTGCGACGACGATCTTCCGCACTGCCCGCAGTCTTTGGCGTGCCCTGCCCTCCTTAATACGGGATTGTTGCCTTCCAAAGGTCCAGGACTGCATTTATGGGGCACATTCAATGGACCCTGCTTTATCCCCAGGATTGAAAGGATTGGAAAGGATCAAGGGTTTCTGGTTCTGAGCGTTGGGGCTAGGGTCTGTCCTTGGTTGTTGGGTGTTATAGTGGTTCGGCACTGCTCCCTTGCCGAACTGGGCTGCCCGCCCTAATTTGAGCACTCCTGCAGACACGAACTAACATCCTATCGTAGTAGTGGTAGCTGTTGTAAGCATGATAGCAATTCTCGATTACCTGGTTCGTACCTTCACACTCACGTCCACAAAATGCCACAAAACCCCGATGTAGAGTGATTGCCTCAGTAAATCAGGTAGGTAGTGAGTGGCACGTATGAGAGGCCTAGGGTCATGAAAGTCGAGCGCGAGAAAGGAATGCGAGCTGTCACAGCTGTCTACTGTCTTATCTACCAGCGGATTTGAATATCCCCACCAAGTAACCAAGTCAACGCAACAGGCGATGTCACGTGAATATATCTCCCTGAATGGAGTCCATGTGCAGTAGAATTCTTTTCTGCAAGATCAAAAACAAACCCTAAAAAGCCCGCCATTCTGCTTATTTGTCTGCCATCCAAGCTACTGACCAAGAATCTTCTTCTTCGGCCTCTTGGCAGTTTTCTCCGACCGAGATGAATAAGCACGTCGAAATGGGAGCTGAATCAGCTCGGGGTTGAGCTTCACCCCGAGCTTTCGTAATGAGGTCACCGCCCATGCGACACGACCCAGACCCTTGTATTTTCTTTTTCTTTGTCTCTTGTCGTCTTTGTCTCTGTCGCACTTGCTGCTCTGATTTCAAAGCTAGCTTTGTCATTATTCTGTGCTGAAGAGGGACGATTGTGACACACTCTGTTCAAGCTGCGTGCGGGAAATATATAGCCAGCACGGTGTATCCGACAGGGAGAGCCAGCCACACTCATCATTTCGATACCATGGCAGCAATCTTAGTGACAGGCGCGACGGGCAAGCAAGGCAGCGCGCTTATTAAAAATCTGGTCGCCAAAAATGCACCCTATGAGATCCTTGCCGTGACGCGAAACTCCAATTCCGGAATCGCTCACCAACTGCTCCAACTATCATCCAAGATTAAAATCGTCGAGGGAAATCTGGACAACCCCACGGGAATTTTTGATAATGCGCACAAAGCCACTAAGTCCCCGATCTGGGGCGTTTACAGTGTCCAGGTACGCTCACATACTCCTCACCCAGTGGTGACCGCAGTCGTGTCTAACCACACCTCAGGTGGCCATCGGCAACGGCTCCCAGGAAGAACCCCAAGGCAAAGCCCTCGTCGACGAAGCCCTGAAGCAGAACGTCAAGTTCTTCGTGTACAGCTCCGTCGACCGCGGCGGCGAGGCCTCGTCCACCACTCCGACCAAGATCCCCCACTTCCAGCACAAACACAACATCGAGCGGTACCTCGTTGACAAGTCCAAGAACACCGAGATGAAGTGGTTCATCCTGCGCCCGACGGCGTTCTACGAGAACCTGGTCCCGGGCTTCTTCGGCAAGGTCTTTGCCACCTGCTTCAAGATGGCGCTCAAGGGCAAGCCGCTGCAGATGGTGGCCACCAGCGATATCGGGTACTTTGGCGCCGAGGGCTTCCTGCACCCGGAGGCCTGGGAGGGCAAGGCGCTCTCCTTGGCGGGCGATGAGATCACCTACGAGCAGATGGTCGAGATCTTCCAGAACAAGACGGGACAGCCCATCCCGTCCACCTTCCGGATGCTGTGCTCCATGTTCATGGCCTCGATGAAGGACATGGGGTATATGTTCAAGTGGTTCCACGATGATGGGTACAAGGCTGATATCCCGGAGTTGCGGCGGATGCATCCGGAGCTGAAGGATTTTGGGACGTGGTTGGAGACGGAGAGTGAGTTTGAGACGAAAGAGTGAGGGGACATGGCAAATTGTTCTGTTGATGGGGGCTTGGCGCTGCTTGGAATTCTACTTTACTTGAAGATGGATGTAAACTAGCAATCTGTGGGATAGTTACTTCTTATTGTAATAATTTTATGCTGAGGATTTGGTGAATTATGCAGTGCGGAGCTAAGGCGGATGCAGGATGACTCAGCGGACCCATCCGCCGCCTCTTGTCGATCATCATCGCGGCGAAGATAACTTCATCCCTTCCCTATCCCAAACAAACACTACCGTTCTTTTCGATCTTCACCGGCGATATACCTCTGCATAATCTGATCATACCCCCCTGATAACTTCTTGCTCCGTGACCCGGTTTCTTTGAGTACATCTACTACTCCCCGCGTAAGGATGCCGCCCGGGTCTGACCGGAAGACCGGCGGATCCAAACGGAGCTGCATTCGGTGCAACCAAAGAAAGGTGGGCTGTGATAAGAAGAGTCCCTGCGGTCGATGCGCCAAGGCTGGCCTCGAATGCATCCATCCTGGAGAAAAACGCGCCCCACGCAAGCTGAGACGCCCGCCAGTTGCTGAGATCTTGGCCCACCTCAAGGAATTGGAGGCCGAAGTTGAGAGGTTGCGCTCGGGCGCGAGGCCAAAAGAGCAGTCGGATCAAACCTCCCAGCCTGGCACTGAGTCTGGCTCTCGGAGCGACAGAGAGGAACTGGCTACGACTTCTCGCGGTCGGCTGGTCGTTCAGGGCGGACGGACCCGGTATGTTGGGGATGAGGCCTCGGTAATTCTTGGGGATAAGGTAGGCTCATTCTTGTGGATGGATAGTACGCATGCTCACTGATTCTCCCAGATCCGCGAGTTGCAGGAGGTGTGTGATGAATCCTCGGAGGAGGACATTGACCCTCGACTGCGGCCCAGCAAAACCGGCCCAGCCCCTGTACCGTCCATAGGAATTTTGGGGTCCGATCACGCAGCAGCAGGCCGTAGTCCGAGCGCGTCGATGACGCCTCTGCCAGTATCCCAGTTACAGGCCCTGTGGGAGATCTACCGCGTGAACGTAGCTCCTATGATTGCCCTTCTGCATATACGCTCGATGGAGGCCATGATACAGCAAGCGACACAGGACAACGACAATCTAGATTCCGAACAAGGAGCGCTGATCTCGGCTGTGTGCTTCGCAGCCGTGGTGAGCATGACCCCACGTCAGTGCATCTCACTATTCGACGAACCTCATGATGCGTGCATCGAGAACTACAAACGTGCCACGGAGCACGCCATAGCAAGGGCGAACCTGATCAGCACCCAGGACATACGCGTCTTGCAGGCCGCCACCTTATTTCTCCTATGTCTCCGCCGAGGCAGCGACTTGAGGCTTGTATGGGCGCAAAGTGCCATAGTCGTACGGGTTGCACAGCGGCAGGGGCTGCATCGTGATGGCCAACGCCTGGGCCTGAGTCCCTTTGAGATTGAGATGCGTCGTCGACTATGGTGGCATATCTGCATTCTCGACATGCTCTGCTCCGAAGACCAGGGCACGGATACACAGATTCGGCCGGAGATGTTCGACACGCAAATCCCCTCCAACATCGACATCGAGGTGATGGCGCCGGAGTCAGCCACCATGCCGCTCCCAAGCTTGGGCTTCAGCGATATCACACTCTGCATTGTGCACTGCGAAATGATGACCTACCTCTACTGGCCGAGCAAGTCTTTCGACGAGAGGGTCGGTGCGATGTCCTCGGAGCAGAAGAAAGGTCGATTGCACGACTTAGAGGCCTATCTGGAGACCAAGTATCTACAGCGGCTGGACCTGGACAGCCCGATACAGTGGATCACGGCGGTTATTGCCCGGCTGACGCTGTCGAAAGCATGGTTGGTGACGCGCCTCACCGCTGCACCCGCGGAACCCACCGCCACCAACGATGAGATCTTCCGCATGGCAGTCGAGACGGTCAAATTCGCCAACCTGCTTCACAGGGACGTGCGCATCTCGCAGTGGGCGTGGCTCAGCAAAAGCTACAAGCACCGACACGTCGTGGCATACCTTCTTTCCGAGCTGTGCAATCGCCCCATCTCGCCCGACACGGATCATGCCTGGGAAGCTGTCACCCAGATTTACGACCAGTGGCAGCACGACGACGTCGAGGCGAACGATATGCTGCAGAAGCCATTATCGCGGTTGATGGAGCGTGCAGCCCATTCGCGGAGGAAGAAAACACGCCAATCTACGAGGTATCTCCCCATCAACGCGAAAAGCAACCCGCTGCAGGCGAAAACTGCCCAGTGGAGACCAAGCTCAGGGGCGTCGGATGAACAGGACACCGGCCTCAGCACAGACGGCATGGGCCTGACCCCGTCACCGGAATCAGCCCTGGATGTTGCACAAAGTCTGAGTGAATTCTTTGGTGGCTCTACGTCTGCCATGGACTGGCTCACAGGATCATTGCTCTGACAAATAACGAGGGATAATTCATCATGTCCCGAGTGGCGACTGAGGCAACTAACGAGTAAACCAGAGTTTGGATGGAACCCGCCCGCCAAGCTTGGCTTCGGGGTTGAGACTCAACCCGAGAATTAGTAAACGCTCTGGTTGTCAAACCTATAAGAGGGCAGACTGTTTCTCAACTTACGATGAAAATCATCTTCTATCTACTACACAATCTCTCCAACCAGTTCCTAACCTTCATAATGGCCATTACTGTTGGTATTGCCGGTATCACCGGAAAGTTCGCTCGCCGAGTGGTCGGCCACCTGCTGCAGCACTCGGACATCTCCATCCGCGGCTATTGCCGTGACCCCAGCAAGGTCCCCGCGTCCATCTCCTCATCCGAGAAGGTCACCCTGTTTAAGGGGGATGCCTTTGACAAGGAGGCGATTCGCTCATTTGCAGAGGGCTGCAACGTGATCGTGTGCTGCTACCTGGGCGACGACAAGCTTATGGTGGAAGGCCAGAAGGCTTTGATTGACGCGTGCGAGGAGGTCGGGGTGCCTCGCTACGTCGCCAGTGACTGGGCTTTGGACTACACCAAGCTCAAGCTGGGCGAGCTCTTCCCCAAGGACCCGATGATCCATGTCAAGGCCTACTTGGACACGAAGCAGAAGGTCAAGGGGGTGCACATCCTGATCGGCGGGTTCATCGAGCCGGTGCTCAGCCCGTTCTTCAACATTCTCGATCCCCAGACGAACACGTTCCGCTACTGGGGTGAGGGCGACGAGTACATGGAGGGGACTACTTACGACAACGCGGCGGAGTTTACCGTCGCAGTGATCCGGGATGCAGAGGCCACGGGCGTTGTTCGCTGTATGTTTTGCTTGTTGTTTGAGATGAAACAAGGATACGTGTGCTGATATGTGTTCAATCTAGTCCTCGGTGGTCGTGCCACGATTCGTGAAATTGCGCAGTCCTATGAAAAGGTTTACGGTGCCAAGGCCAATCTTGAACGACTGGGCTCCTTGGACGAGTTGTACAAGACCATGCACCAGAAGCGGGCGGAGAATCCTGCTGACATTTACGGCTACATGTCGCTGTATGTTCCTTTTCCCCTCTTGTCTTAAAAATGACCGTACTAACTGTGGTCGGCTCGATTTAGCTTCTTTTACTACTACTGGGTGAACGGAAAGACTTTTGTTGGACCTGAGACGGATAATGCCAAGTATCCGGATGTCAAGCCAGTTGATTGGGAGGGGTTCATGAGGCAGTGGCCGTTGCAGCAGCTGCCTACTGCCTACTTCGCGTTGAATGCTTGATCCTTGCGTTAGTGGAGGCTTTAGTGAATGAAGGCGTATCTCTTTAGCGTGAGCGTCAAGCAACAGGGGTTATTGTCTGTAATCTGTAAAGTGGAATGCTACACATCTGATCTACCACAGAAAACAGCCAAGATAGATGTAAAATGACTGAAAGGGAATCTAGCGACAGGTTATCACTTTAGAAAAAAGCAGCTATGCGACGAAGCGTATGTCACACTGCAGGCGGAATCTAGGCAGCGCCAGGCACCAGCAGTCAGGTGACCCGCCTTGCATCCAGGTAGAGATTGGGAAGCTTCCACTCCCAATTCACCTCAGTCACATCAACACAATATCTGGCCATAAATCCAATCCAAATCCTGCTTTCCAATACGAACTTTCCAACTCACATTCACATTTCATCTCACGTTACCTGGAGCAGCTATCCCATTACAACCACACGCTCTCGTTGTCTATCCTCACCATGTCCGAGGATTTCGATCCCACGCAAGAGCAAAACACCAACAATGACGATGAGCTCAAGCCCAAGCGCACCCTCGCCGACTTGGAAGCTGATGTCTCTGCAGCGGTGATCCGTGTATGGGAACCCCCCCCCCCCCCCCCTCCCTCAAGAGTCACTCCAGCAAACTGACAAGCCCATGAGTAGGACTGCAAGGTAGACGCCTGCGTGGGGTGGTTCAGCGAGAAGATCAGCTCGCTGAGGCGATCCGCACAGGTAAAGAAGACAGAAGATTGGGTCAAGGGTTGGCCGGACGTGATATCGCTCGCCCCGGAGACAGCCGTGCAGGTGGAAGAGCTCAAAAGCGAACTCAAGCGGAACCTTGCTCGTCTCTTGCCGGATGAATTTACACAGGACATGGACGTCGCTACGGATCATCCAGATATCCTGGCACGGCTGGAGAAGCTACGGGACCCATGGAGTAATGTCACACAACCCCCTGCGCTCGATCGCCGTATCAAAGCTCTCCTGGATGGGCTGCTTCGATCGCACGAGGTCCGGCTTCCTAAGGCTCGGTCTGAGGCTGAGAATGAGCATCCTGGCCTGACGGAGGAGGAGGCTACTGTGACGCGCGGGTACTTCATTGAAGCCTGCAAGCGGCTCCGAACCGCCATCGAGGACGAAAATTCCTCGGCCCTGTTCGCCTGCGGTGGGAGTATCCCTGTCGTCGACCGTGGCCAGGCCAGCTCGGGAGACAAGGCGACGATCACCACGACTAGCCCCGTGCATGTGTACTGGTCGACCGCTCGCAGCGACTCCGCCGCCCGAAAGCTGGTGCTACCACTAGATGAACTGGTCCCGCAGTCCCGCTCGGCCGCCTTGGATGATCTGGTGGCAGACTGCCAGCCCGCGAGTTTTGGCCGCAACGGGGAGGAGATCCTGGATCCCAGTTATCGTTTGGCCGGGAAGATCGATCCGTCCCACTTTGCTTCCAGCTTCCATCCAGCAGACTTTGGGATCCTGCAGATGGTCGAAAATGTTCTGCTTCCTGGAATCAGCGAGAAGGATCTCGTTCGTGAGGATGATGGTTCCAAAAAGAGGAAGGACAGAGCTGCCCGGCATTCCAGAAAGCTGCACGCTGAACTTTACAAGTTGAATGTTTGTTCCCAATGCTCCCTCCAGGCGTGTAAGGAGAGATTACTGATGCGGAAGAATGATGATAGGTGTACTCCGGCCCATCGGGCCACTTCGCCACACATGTCGACACCCCCCGCTCCGAAAGTCAGATCGGCTCCTTGGTGGTCTGCCTGCCCTCAGGATTCTCCGGGGGCCGGCTCACGGTGCGGCACGGGGGCCAGCAGAGTGCCTTCGACTGGAGCGAGGCCAGCCAATTCGCCATCCAGTGGGCCGCGTTCTACAGCGACTGCGAGCACGAGATCGAGACTATTACCGAGGGTCATCGATTGACGCTGACCTACAATCTGTACATCACGCAGGCCCCCACGGCAAAGATCGACGCATCCAGCCTGGTCCTTCAGCCTCAATCGTTCCCGTTGTATAACGCAATGCACGAGATCTTCTCAAACCCTCGTTTCATGGAGCAAGGTACGTGACCCATCACCATAACCCAGCGTTTGTGCTCACAGAAGAAATCGTAGGCGGCGTCCTCGGGATGTTCTGCTTCCACGCGTACGCGCACACCTCCAACGACGCACACGTGCGCCTGCCCCGGGCGCTCAAGGGCGCCGATCTCGTGGTCTACTCGGTGCTGAAGAGCCTGGGGGCCGAGGTCAGCGTGCTGCCGGTGCTCGGCGATGATGACCGCGCAGTCTGGGATGACTGGGAAGAAGCGTATTACAACGCCAGAATGTATCAGGGCCTAGAGACGTACTTCAAAGAAGGCGGCGAGCTGCCTAAGATCCAGACGAACGAGTTCCTGGGCGCCGAGTATGGCCGAAAATATGATCTGGACCGTCGCTGGAAGCTACTTCTTCTCATCCGGCGGGTTTCGGCGGTGCGGAGCGGAGCTCAGATCTTGCACTCTATTGATAGCGAGAGACGCAGAAAGGGCAAAGATGAGGAAACCGCCGCAGATCGAATGGCCAAAGATGAAGCAGAAGCGAAAGAAGCAGAAGGAGTGGTGGATTGGTCCGACGGTCACTTCTACAGAAACCGCGGGACGCTTGTCGCGCCACGCCTGTGGCCGTACGGCACTACAGACTATGGCGAGCATTCGTCCAAGGAACAGGTGAGTTCGGCTCTCCCACCCGCGAGCGAAAGAAAGAGGGTGTTGGAGAAAGTCCATTGCTGACCGATGCGTCAAACGTTCCATAGACCACAATGGCTGCGTGGCCTTTTCTCTACCTCCCAGGTATCACCTGGCTGAATCGACCCAAGCATGCGGAGATGGCGTTTAGTCATATCACGTATGGTAATGAGGCCGGAGTCGGGACCCAGTATTCTTATGCGGCCATCTTTGCGGTCATCCCACCGCTCGAAGAACGAAAGAAGCATTTGGCTCAGTGAGGGGAGAAAGGCTGCTTGCCTCTCAGACTGTCTTCAATCCCGCTGACAAGATGCAGCTCGCAGGGTAATGACTCATCTCTTCTTCTGTATTTTGATTCTGTCGTGCGTTCTTACTGGAAGTCTCTTGCCTTTTACAAATGCAACACAATTTGGGACCCTTGTGATGCTTTGTGTTTTTGCCTCATGGAGCTCAAACAAACACGGACAACACGTTCCAGCGAAAGGTAAATTGAACTCCACCATTCATCTTGAGCCTAGTCTCTCTTTCCGTGCCCATATCGCGAAAGGATAGTTACTGGGATAAAATAAGCTACTGGGTTCGCTGGAGTTGTTTTATCAGCACTCTGAGCATATTTTCCACCCCCGCCAGCTCCCGCTCGACTACGTAACTTGTCATCCATCTTGGGTTGATGTTGATATCAAGTATCTTGAGGTTGATTTCCTTGCTCTCTGTGCACCATTTACCATTCTAAAAGTATATTCATTTCGTTCAAACACAGCCCTTTACTTGAAGAATAAGCCACGTATCCATCTCACTACCGATTGATCATAACCTCATACCCACCAACCCACCGCCACTCCCCTCAACTCACGCCAGGAAACTCCCTCCTCAACCTCTCCGAATGCTCCACCTCCCACGGAAACTCTCCCTCAACGTCCCGAATCAAGCGCTCATACTCCGCACTGCGGGGCGTAACCCTGACCCCAAACGGCGCGGGATGGCTAATCGTCCCCGGCAAGAACTCCGGACGCACCTCGAGCTCCTCCCCATTCTCCGTCAAAGCCTTCCCAATCCAGCACGACGCCAGCGTCTGCGCCACCGTCAGGAAGATATTCGAGTCCGCGAGCGTACGCCCGGGGCACACGCGCCGCCCGAACCCGAAGGCCAGGTAGTGCGGATCGCGCTCCGGGGAGGGGCCCAGGAAGCGCGCGGGGTCGAAGGTCATGGGGTTTTTGTAGGCGGTGGGGTCATGGCAGAAGGCCCTATACTCTCTAGCGTCAGTATTGGGATGCATGGACGCGATGTTTGGGATTGGGGGTAGAGTGAAAGGGGGCAAGCTGACCAGATATTCGGGAGGATAATCGAGCCCTTCGGGATCAGGTATCCCCCGCAGATATCGTCCTCCATCGAGCGGTGCGGGATCCCCATCGGTCCGACGGGGTGCCAGCGCAGCGCTTCTTTGACTATTGCGTCGATGTAGGGCAGGTTCGGCCGGTCTGTGTCCGTGGGCAGTCGGTCTGAGCCGATCACGCGGTCGATTTCTTCCTGCGCTTTGCGTTGCACGTCGGGGTAGAGGGCCATCGCTAGGAAGAAGGTCGTTGTTGTTGACACGGTCTGTCCCCGTTAGCTTCAGCAACTCACCTCAATTACTCCGCGCTGAAAGAGGGAGGGTACCGTATCAGCGCCGGCGGCATACAGCGTGGCCGACGACCACTTGATGACCGTCTCTTCCTCGGTCCCCGGAGTCAGCACCTTCCCCTCGAGCAGGTTGGACGCGTAGGAGGGCGCGTAGCCCGGCTGCGCCATCTGCTGGTGCACGAAGGCGAACGGGATGTCGGCCACGGCCTGGCTTTGTTTGCGGAAGAACTGTGCCGTGCGCTGGAACCCGGCGCCGGGGAACCACGCGGGGATATGACGAACTTTCGCCTGCGTCAGATGGATGGAACAGTTACAAGGGAAGGGGACGGGACGACGTACGGAACGGCAGAACATCCACCATCCACGTTCCCGGGCGTACGGCCAGCGAGAACTGCTCGACGGCTTCGTCGGCCAGATCCACGAGCGGATCGCGCTTGTGCGGGTCGATGGAGTATCCGTAGGCGATTTTGAGGATCACGGCGCCCGCCAGCCTGGACGGTCAGTATTTCCTGAGATATTTGGGTGTACCATGATACGTACTTGCGGATGTGTCCCACCAGATCCTCGGGCTTGTTGATCAGGCGGAACAGGAATCGCCGCACTTCCACCTCCTGCAACGCGTTGAACCGGGCCACGCTCGCCTTGGACCCGATCTCGCGGTGCAGGCTCTTGCGGTAGGCCTTGAAGCGGCTCGAGTATGGAAGGATCACCAGGCCGTCGCCCCAGCCGGCGCTACTTTGGTTAGTTTGCGCAGAGCATCGGGATAGTTGAGCAGAGAGGTAGACTCACAGTTCGGCAAATGGCATCTTGGGCCGGTCTGAGTGGATGGCGGATCGCTTTTCCAAAAGCTCAATCGCGAGGTTGGCATCGTTCAGGATGATGAGGCGCTGTCCGAGAACGGAGACCGTGCTGATGGGTCCTGGATTGGATGTGAGCATGGCTGCTCGTGACTTTATCGGAGTTCCTCCCTACCGTAGGCATCCTTATGCTTGAGCCAATGCAGCCAGTCTGGGCTATCTGGAGAGGGAAGGTCGCGGATGTTGCCCACCAGTGGCAGAGGCGAGGGGCCTGGAGGCAACGGTGCAGAGGCACGGCGCGTTGACGAAATGAACCGCAGCAGAAGGTAGAGGCCGAGGAGGCCGACGAGCAGCGGTAACAGGTACATTGCGAGGGGCTTTGGTGGTGTCCTCAGGCGCTGAGCATCCTAGACTCACGGGATTAGGGCTGCAGAGCGCGGGAGGAAGTGCGTGAAAGTCGATTGAGGTGACAAGCGGGGAGAGAGTTAATATATCGGTTTTTGCCTCCGCGATGGCGATCTTTTCACCAAGCGAGCTACGCTACGGGCCGTCTGGCCTCTGACCGCGTGTCATGAAAAGAAGATGTAAAATGTTGCCAAGAGGTGTTACATTGACTAGCACGGGTGTGGAGATGATAGCATTACTCGGACCCTTGCGAATCCCAATACCGCTCCGGGTAGTATAGGTGTTACCCTTATAGTTGGGTCACTGGGCCATCGGGCAAATGCCGCGGTACCACCTCACTGGGTCCACTTGATAGGCCGGGCCTGAGCCGTCCCATGAAGACTGAAGACTAGAGGCCCTGGAAGTGGCACTAGATTGACGATACGAGAGAGTGGAGACCCACTAAGGCTTGGAGTGGGGAGGCGAGTTTCACCATCCGTCCCGGTTGTTGCTGATGGCGAGAACGTGTCGTACGGGGAGCACAGAGCCTATCATAAAGGCCTCATTAGCATGCATTGGACTCGATGCAACCTCGACCATGAACCCTGGATCAAGTTTCAATTGCGCAACCTGCAGGCTTATCGATCTATGGGTTTGTTCGTGGCTCCACGCTGGGTGGGGATGATGCATCGCTAGCGGCCCGGGGTAGTTGATGCCTTAGGCATTGATTCACGGACATATCCATCTTGCTCAGTATACCATCCCTGATATCGCCAATAGAGCTCTAACATAGGAAATCTGAGCTACTTTTAGTCTTTCCAGACTCTCCGCCCGTGCCTCCATGACACCATATCGCGGTGGTGCAGTATGCGACGGCGGCAGAAAACCGTTATCTCGTATCTGCAGGCCCGTGGGCAACGTGGATACAGCAGATGCAGGTGCTTGCACTGCCCACCGAGCCGCCAGTGCGGCTCGTTGATAAATTCCGCCGATTGAGTCTGAGCCCTGTGTCTCTCTGCCAAGAAAAGCAACACAGACAGTCCCTGTTAGTAGGTAGTGAGGTGGTGTCGCCAACGCGTCCCCCGCGGCCTGAGGCCCTACTGCCTGGAATTGCATGCATGTCTCCAAATCAATGCTAATACATTATTAACTACTCTAACATATCCAGACAGTACAGATTACTGCTTCCTAACTACTTCCCTCGCAATAGCATCCTCCACCAGCTGCACCACACTCCGCCGGTCAAACACCTTCCGCGTCCACTCCAGGACCACCTGCATGTACCAGGGAATCGCCCAGCGCAGCGGCCCCAGCCACCACGCCTTGGGCGCGACGATCATCGCGGCCCCACTGGCGGTCTGCGTCGCCATGAGGGTGGCCCCCAGCCCGGGGCTCATCGCGAGCCGCTGGCCGTGCACCGCGTCGACGAGGGACAGCATCCCCAGGAAGAAGGCGGCGTCCATGTCCGGGGGAAAGTCGCTGGCGAAGGTGCCCGTGGGCGGGCCGGTGTGCGTCTTCGGATGGCCCCAAATCAGGAGGGTAGTGTCGGTGTGTCGACCTGCAGGAAGGGTGCTCGCGTATGTCTGGCCTTCGGCGGTGGACCAGAAGGGATCGTCGGGTGATACTCTGCCCTTGTATTAGTATGGTTGTATGAAGGAGGCTTAGAGGCAACCCACGGCCAGAAGTTATGCGGGAGGTATGGAGGGATCACTGTTACTCCGTCTGCTGATCGAGCAGGAAGTGGTGGTGCACCGCCGCTGCGAGAGGCAGTCTGAGGGTATGCTCCCCCGGTCGTGTGGATGGTGTCGATTACATCGTATGTGGTTGTAGTGCCTGCTGCACCGGATTCCACGATGAACGACTCGGCTTGGTAGAAGTGGATGTGTAGTGGAGGTGCCTAATGGGGAGTTAGTGTCTGCCTGCATGAATGAATGCACAATAAGGCAACCCACCTGAGGATGCTGCTTCCCCAGCTTCGTCAAAGCATGTCCGCCGAAATAGGTCGCCCGCATCAAGACGGTGGCGTCCAAGTCGGCGGGTACCTGCAGGAACTCGATGACGAAGGAGCCGTCGAACATCTTGTGGGGGCCCCCGAGAGGGGCAGGCAGCCGGGGTTCCTTGCCTGTGGGACGGAGGATTGGCATTTTTAGCGGAATTCGACGACACGATGGAGCGCAACCTGGAACGTCGACGGGGGTGCTGACGCTGGCAGGATGCTGGCAGGATGCCACGGCCGCTTATAAGGGTTGATGCGCGAGGCTAGCGGAGCCAACTGGGCTAGTCCGCTGCAATCCAGCCCCAGCCGTAAGCTGATGAGCGATACGAGGTTTGCAACCCAACTCCATGGGACGACCTTAGTCATGGACTTGTAGTCTTCTTTGTCAGTCTGACAAATGGAGCAAGATGGGTTCATCCTTATTATGATGGTGGGCGTGTGGTGGCAACAACATGTGGAATTGCGGGCAGCAGCACACCCTCGGGGTCACAGAGTCGGGGCAGGCGATGGTACTGTACTCGTCGTCCGTGATCTAGAGATTACAGTAACAAGTCTGCAGGTCAATCAAGATATCGAAGAAAGTCTAACAAGCAACGACCCATGCGGGAGTTGTTGAATTGGCCGCTGCCTTAGGCTGCAGTAGATTATCATTCGAAGTGCGCCACTTCCCTATCCGGACTAGCGCCTCCGGTCGCGGCGGACTAGCCCGCAATTTCCGCTGGCGGGCAATTTCGCCCCGATTGTAGCACCAGAATTCCGTCCACACCGCTTTTGAACTAAAAACTACTCGCAGTGCTAATACAAGTGGCGGAGTGCAACAATCCGGGCTTTATGTGGGCTTCGTAACAGAATTGGTATATTTGGCGGGAGCAGTTCCCTCCCTCCGCTGTTGTCGCAGACACGTGCAGCGAAATGTCAAACAAGCTGCCATCTGCTTGGTGGTCATACTTCTTCGTTGGACATGCACCAACATTCATATCCACGGATGCATCCTCTCATCCAACAACCTCCGTAGTCTCTGGCTCTCTCGGTCCCTTTCTGAGCCCCGGGGAATTTAGTGTCATCTCAGGCTGTGGTACGATTGTGTATCGTATGCGATGGTTTAGGAACCACCTGGATCAATTAGTATGGACTTGGATGGAAAGGTGCACGGAACGAGGGAATGGACATACCATAGGGCAACACTCAACGCCACGACTGCCGGCACCCCCAGTCCCACACTCAGCCCGATGATCAGGTTGTTATGATCGCCGTGGTGCTCGTGGCTTGTCGTGCTATTGCTTCCAGTCGCAGAACTGCTGGTCGAGGGGGTCGTGCTCGATGGAGGGATATAAGACACCGGGCTGCCGGAGGTCGCGAGCAGGGTGCGTGCGCCGGATCCGAAGGGGCTGGCACTCGACAACGAGGCGAACGTGTTCGTCGGGAACGTAGCGGCTGCCCCGGACGTCACGGTCAGGACCGTGGTCAACTCGGTCTCGACCGACGTGGTGGTCTGCAGCGCGACCGGACAGTTGACGAGACCGCTGGACGCGCATTGCACGAGGGTATACCGTGTCACCGTGGACAGCGTCGTGGTCTCAAGGCCTCCGTCGCGCTGCGCGAGCGTGGCCGACGGAGTGGTCGTCGCTGAGGCAGTCGTGGTCTTGCTGCCCGCGCAGAGGCTGGCGAGGGTGGTGTAGAAGACCGGCACGGTGGTGTTGGGCGAGGGCCCCCATTGATACGTATCCACCGCGACGGTGGCTCCGGCCGCCGCGCCCACCGCGAGGGTGTATTCGGCCACCGCTTGGAAAGCGCAGTCGGCATCCTGACTGGTCGTGCCATTGACCTCCAGTTGGAAATCCGCCACGTAGGCGAAGACCTCCGCGCCAATCCCCGCACTGAACTTGACGGCTTCGAGCACGGAGAGCGACTCCGCGGGCGCGATGTCGAATCCCACGCTGGCCTCCAGCTGTAAGAGGGCCTGCAGGCTGCCGTAGCCCTGGATGGTGATCGGGAGGAATTCCACTTGCCCTCCGGGACTGTTCACGTCAGTGGCGCTCACTGATCTTTTGTGTTTGGAGAAGAGAACAGCATGGCTTATTTCCAGCGCTCGGGAGACTCACAGTGTAATGTCCGACATCCCCTTATTGAACAGATCGAGCGCAAGCACCAGCCCATCATCCAACTTGATATGAATCCCACTGCTGATATCAACTTCCGCCTCTGCGACCAACACCAGCGAGACTTTGAACACCGCGCCCGCATCGAGTCCCGGGATCGAGAAGCCCACGATGGTCTCGGAGGTGAACAGATTCAACGTATACGTTCCACCGGCCGACAACTGCACATCCAGCTCCAGGTACAGCTCCAGATTGTCGAATTCAAACTCTGCGTGAACACCAGGGAAGTCCTGAGTTGAATTCAGAGTGAAGTCGAGATCCAGCGTTGGCCAGGCGGGCATGTCGACTAGTTCGAAGTGAGTTACGCCTTCGACAAAGTCCTCTGCCGCGTCGCGTGCAAAGGTCTTGAGCTGGGTAATCGCTGCATCTGTCACGTTTGCGAGCTCATCTGTGATGCTTTCCACGAGATCGGTGACGTTCAAGCTCTCCTCTACGGTCAAAAAGCCGCTGACCGAGCCGTTGATGTAGCAGGACGTGCAGATGACGGCGAGGCCGACCTCAACATCCAGGGATCCTTGCTTCGAGGTGCTGGAGGCACTGGGAGTTGAAGATCAACGTCAGCTTACGTGCGATAAAACTTCCCTACTGGGCGACTCGCGCGGTACCTCGCTTCGATTGAGAATAGAGTGGCGTTGACCAAGCTCTTTGTCAAAAAGGCTGTCTCGTTGGTACTGTAGGTCATGCCGCTCACCGCACGCAGAGCTTCTTTCACCGCGATCGCGGTACCTTGGTCGATGCCATGACGAGTGGGTCGCAAAGACGCATAGCCTGTACTAACCGCTTGAACGATGCCAAAGAATTGCAGGCAGGCGAGGGCGCAGCTGCTCCAGCACATGATGATTTCGCCGTGCGCTCAAGTCCCACAACATCACTCACTCCCCCCAGCTTGGGGGGGGCAGATGGAAGAAATAGGTGGAGCGAAGGCTTCGTCGCATTGCTAAGCCTCGTTGAGACCAACAGTAGACTACTGCAACTAGCTGTGCCGCAAGGCGAGATTGGGCTATCTTCCAGCATAGCCGACGACACCATCTCCGCGCTAGCAGGGGTAAGCTGCCCATTCCCCTCACCAGGATTCATGGGAAATTGCTCCTCTCCTTTTCCTGAATCAGGTAAGCACTAAATATGCACCCACCGTCTCCATCCGCCTAACCACAATCTCAGCAACCGAGAACTAGCGGCCCTCTCATATCGTGGCTTGCATGGCATTGCCGTAGTGAGTCTAAGCCTCCTCTTGGCTGTACAGCCCTAGGTCACAGAAATACCTCAATGAGATGGAGCGACATCGACCGTCGTCCCTACATGTATGGGGCTTATCCTGGGCTTGAGCGATGGTAGTAAGGCGCTGCCATGGCCTTGCAAGTACATCTTACTGATCCGCATGTTTGTGCGAGGATACATATAACGCTTTCAGTTACCTCTGCGATCTCGGGTTCCAGGCATAGCAAAACCAATAAGGAATGGCCACACTGTGATGAAGGCCGACGCGCTCGTAGACACTGGTAGAAAAACAACATCGCCTGGGATCCAAGCACATTTCGAGAAGTCTTAAGGGCTAGTAAACCCTGCCCTTGTCCAAGGGAATTCTCCAATGAGAAGCCACGCTAGACATTCCCTATCAAACACGAGGCGTGACGTCTCAGTCACAGATCAACATTCGCAGAGTCGTACACATAACAGCACATACATTGCGTTCCCCTTGTACGCAGCATGCAGCATGCAGCATGTATTGCGCTAAACCACCTGGACTCAATCCATCAAATCTCGATGGCGAGCCCTCAAGTGATCCAACATCGCACGGTCGGAACCGACCCTGCGGTGGTCTTTGATACCCCGATTGCATTCAAAGCATTACCAGATATGCCCGTGACTATCGGGGCTATAGTTCCAGGAAAGCTCTGAAGAAGGCCGCCGGATGCAGTCCGTGTGCTGATCTTGAAAGTGCCTAATGAAATGTGCCGTGTCCAAGGATATCTCTCTGTCTTTTTTGCAGGTGTAATGTGACATGATGTTGTTGTTTGGTTCAAAGCTTGGTACTCAGGAATTAAGTTGGATATGGTGGAAATGTCAAGATGAGGGGTCATCTAGCATAATGCGTAAATTGGATCTGCGTCGACATATCCATATCACTCACTGCATGTGCAATGACAAAATGCATGAACCGCGTCCCATGGGCGCGATGTATAAGGCCTACTGAGCATGTGAACATTATCTCATGATGGTACCAGGACAATAACCTTATAATAACCAATCAATGGTTTCGATAGGATGTTGAAGTCAATCCGGCTAGATGCCAGCACTCTACACACATGGGATCAGATCCAAGGCTTCGCTGTGTTTCTTCTTCCCTGGCGCTCTCTTTGGTTTTATCCCCTGGACTTTCATCTTAACATCTCAGCAAAGCTTGAGCCAAGCTTGACAGACTGTGTGGTTCTGTGTCCCGTGTATCGACGCAGACGAGCCACCCTCGTGAATTTGTTCAATCCTGATCTGCTTCACCAATCGCTCAGATGCCTCACTCAAATGCGATTCCATTCAAGGCGGATTCGCGTGGGTGGACTAGCTCTTGGGTATCGGGATGCTCTCCCCCGTGCCACTAGACCTGCTCACTATCAGCCGACTCCTCCCTCTCGCCATCCTCATCCACGTAGAGGGTATCCCACTTCTCTAGAAAAGCATCCAAGTCCGCGTCATCCAGCTGCGACCGGTCCCCGCCCGTTTTGGACATCGAGTTCGGATTCGGATACAGGCTCTTGAACCGCCCGCGGTCCGTGCTCTCCCACATCGCCTGCTCGAACTCGGTGAAGAGGGCGTCGGTCTCGGGCGGCAAGACTCCGCCGTTCTTCTGCGCCGAAACCTGGATCATGCGCAGGATCCCCTTCATCAGGGTCCACTTCTGGGAGAGGGCGCGCGCGAAGAAGCAGAGCTCGGTGAACGAGGTCTTGTACTCCGGGTCCGGATGGTCCAGCACCTCCAGCAGAGTGAACAGGGCCATGCTCACCCAGTGGATCGTCGTCGGATGGATGTAGTCGATCCCCCAGCGTGTGCGGTGGATGCGCAGGAGCCGCACGATGTCGAGCGCCGCGTCCACGCAGAGCTTCCGCGCGGTCGCGGCGATGGCGGCGCGGTCGCTCTCGTCGTCTTCTTCGTCGGCATCATCGGGATTGGCTTCCCCCTTAAGGAGGCCCCAGAGCATGATTATGAGGGTGTAGTAGAAGAAGCTGCATGCTGCGTTAGTCCGCTTTCCGTGACTGCGCTTGTCATTGAGAAGGAGACAGATAGGGAAGAGCGCGGAGATGAAACAGAAAAAAGGTCGCAAGACTTACTGCAAGCTAAACGCCTGCGGCACGGAGCTATTTTCGAGCGTCAAGCATTGTGGTAGTTGCGCTCTCCAATCATCCAGCCTTGGTTGGACCTCTTTCAAAGTCCGGTGCAGTTCGCGTCGCGGCACTTTGGACCCGGTCCCAAATATCAATTTGTTGGTATCCACATTGATCTTGCTCAGCTCACACCAGCTGTTGAAGACACAGGGAATATGCGACTGCAGTGAGCCGGCTTGCGGCTGTGGGTAAGGTGACCAGGTATCATCGTCGGCGTGATCGCATGGAAGCAGTGGCCTCCCTGGCTGCTTGATGGCCAGGTGTTTCATGTATGCGATCGATGCAGTCCTGGGAGCTGTGAGCCAAGTTGCGACGCAACAACGAGAATATCAACAGGAGCAGATGATGAAGATAGTGGTGCGAAGCACACAGGTACGCACGCTGCGAGGCAATAGAGACCCCAAATAGTATTGTTCGCCGCGCGGCTCTCCCGGGTCTCCACTGACGGTGGTCGATGTCGTTTTATGTACTCCTGCGCCATGTCGTTGATTTGGCTCAGATACCACCATCCGACTCGATCCTTCCCCATGGCTGCCATACTAAAGACGCTTTTTCAACAAGGGGGACCCGGTTGCAGTCATCGTGACCTGACTTACCACACATACATCACTCCAGACCCCTGGAGAGTAGGCAGGTCCAGCTGCCCTTCTACCTTCTCGTAGTGTCGTCGGGCCTCCTCATAGAAATGCGCCCCCTTCGAATTGGGATCATCAGGATCCGCATAAGCTTCCGGATAGTCGGAATGAAACTGTGATCGCATGGGGGTTTAGTGGCTGGTCCGCAACTCGGCTGAGCAGTAATCTTACACAGGCTTCTGCGAGAATGCAGTTGAACAGAAACGGCGAGCAAAATGGCGAGTTGAGTTTGCCTGCTCGCGCATCGCGAAGGAAAAGGTCGCGATCCACCCAATTGTAAAAGGGGTGACTCCAGGTGAACCAGAGGGAGACGAGATGCGAGACCAGATCGTCGGATGTGGTGACGGATGTCCAGGGCGCGGCGGGAACGCGGTACACGGGGATATCGACCAAGCGGTTGATGTCCATGGCTCGGTGGAGGGAGACTTTCTTATTGGTCGCATACAGGAGTTCATATCGATCTTCATCGGACAAATGGTGGTCCATGTAGAGCTTGAGCTCGCCCAGCGGGGCTTTGCTGCGCACCAGGTTCAGCAGCTGGGCGGCTTTGGCGTCGGAGCTGTCGCGCAGCGAGTGGACCACCTGCAGGAGAAGATCGCGCTCCTCCTCGAGTTTCTCGATCTTGCGCTTGTGGGCCAATCGCCGGCGGCCATCGTCGTCCAGGTCGAAGATACATTGCAGCTTCTGCTTGGTACACCGGTCGCAGGTGGTGGCCCCGTCGCGCACGCGACACTGTGGCGGGGATTCAGTCATGCAGACCAGAGAGGTGGTAAACAGGTGGTGCCTACCTTGGACTTGAGCCGCTTACACTCACTACACGCCATGGAGGCTTTTCGCTGTGGGGGCAGCGACATGTTGGTGGGTGGCGTCAGATACCCTCGCCCGCCCTCCTGCGCCGACGGGGCGGGGGCAAGTGGCTGCATTGAAGGAAAGAAGATGGCGGAAGGTGGCCTGGGAACGAAGGAAGTTGAGGATGGATAGATGAGGACGGTGGCCCATTTTCATACCTCCTCCAAGCCAAGCAAGGGGACAAAGGAAAGGAGTTGTTGAGTTCAGGGCTACTTAGGGTGAGAGGGGCGAGGGAAGAACAAGTCATTTTGCATGCTTGGGAGCAGGATAATTATTCCGAGCCCCGCCGGGATCGACCATAGTTTCCCCGTGAGTATGGTATTCGTATCTATCAGTATCTAATCGCTGTAAAGTGAAATCTTTATATTACCGGAAATCAGCTCCGTGGTCGAGTTGGGGGTGAGTTTTCGCCGGTCTAGTCCTGAGTGAGGTGGAAATGTTTGCCGAGTAGCCCTCACCCTTGCAGCTTAGCAGCAATCGATCGACAATCGATCGATCACCCAATGAGCTAGAGTAGAAGTGTGACGACGGCGAGACAGTATCCACAATTGAAATGCAATTGGCCGCTGGAGCGCTCTCCAGGCAGTCCGCTTGAGGCATCGGCTATTTTTGCCCCCCAAAGGCTTCAAGTTCGCTCTGCGGGTTCCCGACGGCGAAACTGACATTGAGACTGAAATGGCATAAAGGCACACAAATCATGCCCGACGATAGATCACAAGCTGATCCTTCCCGTGGCGCATCGTATAGCAAGACCGGGGCTTGGTCAGAGTTCGTACACGGATGGTTGCGAGGTGGATCTTTTCACTTCTAGACGTAGACAGTATGTGTAAGTACGGTACGGTGGTTAGTCGAGTAGGCAGTCGTCCTTGATGTCATAGCTCGGGATTTGGTGACGGTCTGGGCAGAATTTGGGCCAAAGTTTGGATCAGTACAGAGCACTCGAGCAAATCCCGATATTATGAGCGTGTACCCCTTTAGGTAACATAGTTATGCAACGACGGTAGCTGGCTGACTAAGAGGTCCGGTATGCATCTAACTCTAATCAATCATGCTTTATCTCGTATCTCGTGCAAGTGCATGCCAAGTGTTCCCCAAGTTCTAGACCGTACAACACTTGCCACAACCAGTACAGTACATGTACAATGTACGGATCATACAAGTACATCACCTGAGCTATGGCTGATATATGGGTACTGGTACTGTACATGCTCAGTTATCTCCAAACTATATGTTTTCAGCAGTCTAAAAACATTTGACATGGTCAGAGCGCAGGCGGGCCACTTGATTCACGCCACAGGTCCACGCCACAGGAGGCCGGGGCCCTCATCATCACCGTGCTTCTCACTCGCCAAGCCAGCTCTCATCTCTCAGACCTGTTCCACCAAAGGATATCTCGTCATGGAAACGACCCGATCCCCCTTCATTTCTCGCCAGCTGGGAATCATGAATCCCGTGCCAAGGTAGATCCAAACCACGGCATACTCCATCAAGAGGCCCATGAGAACAAACGGAGCGATCGGACCAGCGAGGTCGTTCCATCGGAGATCACTCGCATGGAAAACCGAGAGAAACAGATAGGTGATGCGCACGATGAGGAAGGGTAGTGCCAGAGCCATCGCTTTGAGAATCTGTGGTTGAGCGGTCAGTTCAGCCGGTGGACGCAGCTGGCGTTTCTCGCCAAGACAGGAACTCACAGTAGAGCTCATGTGCGAGAGGTCAGGAAGATGCATCCAGAAATACGCCTGCACGAGGAGGAGACACGCTGCAAAAACCACAACAATACTATATCCGGCCTTGACGAGTTTCACCCCCGTCGCGACGTCGCTGGCACTGTCGCTCCCTGAGAGGCATCCGCCGGCAATTTGCAGCCCTAACCCCACGAAGAACAGCATGCGCGAGACCATCAAACAGCGGTTGACCCGGGGGTTGACTACCTCCTTCTCGTGGGCTAGGATTATGCGGATGAATCCTAAGGTCGCGGCAATCAAGGGGAACACGCCCGTATTGAGCAGGATGATTGAGGCGACCATGATGCCCGTTCGAGGGTTGTGCTCACACAAAATCACCAGAATGCCGGCGGCGACTCTGACTGTCAGATCTGTCAGAATCATCATTCGCTTCTAGCATACTTCGAAATCCGACGGTGTTTGTCGACTTACTGAGCGAGAAGAATAGTATAATCAGCCATGACATACGCGGCCGCTTGTGACGATAGTATGCGTGGTATGCTGATAAGAAGATGGCAGGGATATAGAAGATGATCTGCGCGATACTGGCTTTGGAGTGGTCGTTTAACATAGTGGGCGCGGTCGACTGCTGGATGAATTTTGATTAAGATATCAGAGGCGATCGGGAGATGAAAATGGTCCGTGAACTTGGAGGCCAGAGAATGACCGAGATAATGTCAATTGAGGAGTAGCGCTATGATTACCCATCTTGCTGGACCATTTCTCTCCTTTTTATACATTTTCCTAAAGATCTGAATATTCGATGTAGGGCTTCTAGGGCGTTGAGGACAAGCTCAGCCTCTCGCAAGATGAACCCCCTTTTGGGACTAGCGGCGATGTTAGTCATCCACATCTGAAGAAGCGTGAAGATGGATGGATGGATTCAGGCTAACTCGGTGGGACTAACTAAGGGCCGCCGCAGGCGGTGAGCTGCCACAGCCAACCAGGAGGTGGCCCTCCACAACATCTCCTCCCATCTTTCCCACTCGGGCAGTGACTCAGCCCCAAATCAACTCCCCTGGCCATCGATCTCATGGCACGCACGATGCAGCCGGTTCAAAGAGTAAACCCAATCTGACAAGTGAGCCTCGATCTTCTCGCTCACTGGGGGTCCCCTCAGCCACCTCGGATCAAAGATCTTTTATTTTGTCTACCGGCAGCCTTAACGGGCAATCCAGGCCCCACTCAGTAAGCATGGTTGGAGTCGCCGGAAAGTCCAAGGGTTGCAATACCTGTCGAGCACGGAAAATCGCGGTACATGCCTATTCTGCCTCCTCCATCGCTTGTTCGGACACTGAATGCCTCGAGTTAGTGTGACCAGCAAAGACCGGCATGTGCTCGATGCACTCGATCTAATCGAGTGTGTGGTGGGTATGAGCGGGACAGGGTCTTTGTCATGATGCAGCCAGAAGCGAAGAAAAAATACGTGTATCTCAAGTCTTCTCCCTCGCCGTCAGAATCGCCAGCTGAGAGTTTCCCGTGCTCCGTGGAGCTATCGACATTCTCACCCCCTGGGGACGGTCAGCCAATCTACTCATTCACGGAGAGATCCCCAGCTTACACGCTGCTCCAGAGGCAGAACGAGAGCCATAACCTGGTGTTGTCTTTTCTCGCTAATTGTCTCCCAGCGGAATGGTCCGCATCCCCTACCAGATCGTGGATCACACTTCTGCCTGGCCTGTCCGCCGAAACTAAAGCCCTGGAAGTAAGCAGTGCCGCCCTCGCAGCCGCAGCAGTCGGCCACAAATTCAACGATTCGGCATTGGTCCAATACAGCCACAGCCTCTACACCCGCGGACTTCAGCAGCTGCAGCGTGCGCTGTGGAATCGCAGGCGTGCTCAGGATGATGCAACGCTGGCTGCTTGCATGGCTCTAAGTCTGTACGAGGCCATGGAATGCCCAAACGCAGGGTCCGAAGGGTATTTCAGGCATTGCCAGGGCCTTCTTGCCTTGGTGGAAGCGCGTGGAACTGCAGCCCACTGCTCCGGCCCGGGCCACCAGTTGTTCCTTGGGGTCCGAATTCCAGGGGTGAGTTCCTTGCTAGCTGGGTCTTGAGCCGACAAGCGATACGGGAATTTCTGTGAAACTCACCTCCTCGACTACAGATAATATACACCCTGGAAAACCACTCTTCAAGTTTTCTATTCGACGCTGCGTGGATGAATCAGCCGTGGGGCCAAATCCCAAAAACCCTCTCCACGCAGGTAGTCGATTGTCTCGCACAGGCGCCGGGGATTCTCCAGCGAGTGTTCCTCTTACCCAGTCTCAGCTCCGAGCAACAAGTAGTGGCCTGTTTCCAGCTGATCGCGGAATGCTGGCAAATCGACGAGAAGCTGGACACGATCTACGCGGCGATGCAGGGTGGCAGGTCGGACCCGCTCTACTGGCTAATTCCCTCGAAAAGCCCCCCTTGGGCAACAACCGCGCATACCGATAACCTCTTCCCATTCGTCTTCCACTTTGCAGACATGGAAACTGCAGCGACGCTCATCCTGCTGTGGGCGGTGCGGGTCCTGCTGTGGTCGGGTCTGTGCAACTTGTACAATGGCATGTTTCCGAACAGCTGCATGCTACCCGCTGGTGAGCCAGTGGGGCCGCTTCGAGCCCTCGGCTATCGGAGGGAGTATATCTCTATGGCCCATCATGTCTGTCAATCGGTTGAGTACCTGATGCAGGAGGGATTTCTGCTCGCGGGACCGCTGTCGGTCACCCCAGCGCTGGGGATCGTGATCGACAGTCTGCAGCATCAGCCCGGCCATGCCGCGGTGGTTGCATGGCTGCGGGCGGCTTTGGACCTCGCTCGGCAGAAGGGAATGGGGGTGTTGGAGCATAGCCGTTGATTTGTCCGGTCCGTTTGTCATCACGGAATGTATGTATGTATTGTACTACCTATGTAGCACGGGCGCATATAACATACAGGATACCCGGCCATGTTGTAGGCTTATCAAAAGACCAGCCCATTGAATATATAACCAGTAATCAACCACGTATCAACCCTACTGTTTTCTTGGTACCAATTACTTTCAAGGCTACCGAGAATAAGAGCCGTGTTGGATGTAGCTGTTGTTTGCGACAATGGGTCTTGGATTGTCGTTCGCCGATCGTGCCAGCTGCGCCAGCCCAAGAATTTGTGTGGATGACCGCGCCGGGCCGGAATTAAGACTGAGCAGGGAAACTAACTCCGCTCGCTGACACTGACGTCAACCGTTTGAATTGAGATGCCACGGAAGGCGTTCCGAAGCCCGATGGTATAAAAGGGGTCTGTCGCCTGGGAGTGCGGATCAAGCGAAGCCGTGAAAGCATAAACATCGAAGACGACATTACTCAGTTCCCTCTCTGACCATTGTATCCCTACTTCTCCTCCTCCTCCTCCTCCTCCTCTTCTACCCGAGACCGGCAAAAAATGGCGACAAGAGTCATTGTTGTGACTGGTAGTGCTTCAGGAATGGGCCTCGCAACGGCTACCAGTCTTGCCAACAGTGGACATCATCTGGCGCTCTGGGATATCAACAGTAGCCGGCTCGCGGAGGTCGCAAAGTCCCTCCAAGACCAATATTCGGGCAATATCTTGGCACAGACCGTCGACGTTTCGGACCGTTCTGCGGTCAAGGCTGCTCTTGTGGAGGCACAGCATCACCTTGGCGCTATTCATGGGATTGCTAATTTTGCGGGGACCGGGGGTCGACAGTTGGGAGTGGAGTCGATCTGGGAAACCAGTTCAGAGGAGTATGATTTCATCGTCAACCTGAATATCAAGGGGCTGTTCAACATCCTGGGCGAGGCTCTGACTCCTGGCTTTCTGGGTGAACTGCAAAGCGTCGTGCATGTTGCGAGCATGTTCAGTACGCGGGGCTACCAGAAGGGGGCCGTCTTTGCTGCTAGCAAGCATGCCGCCGTCGGGATGGTCAAAAGTGCAGCTCTCGAGGTGGGATGCAGGGGCATCCGGGTGAATTGTCTGTTGCCGTAAGTTCATCCCTCTGGTCTTACCCTACGTTTTTTCGCAGATTTCTCAAAGACGACTACAGTGGAGCTATCGAGACGCCGATGTTTCATCAGGTTAGGAACAACGCTGGACTTTCGTCCTCCGCATCGAATACGCCGATTCCTCGGCCAGGTCAACCGAGGGAAGTGGCAGATGTTGCGACGTTCTTGCTGAGCGAACAGAGTAGCTATGTGACAGGGGCGGTGTGGAATGTTGATGGGGGCGCAAATGCTTGAATGCGAGTTGTGTGTAGCGACATCGAAGGACGCTTTTCGTCGGAGTACAATTCCTTCATACCCCGTGAATTTGGAAAGGATATTGAACTTCAAGAATCAAGTCTCGTAATTGATATCATATGTACTAAGACTCGCTCGCCGACCGGTCTAAGCTTCCCACATCTGTCTAATTAATGCAGAGGGATTCAATTGCTCTGGAAATCAATGCTAGCATCAATACGTGAAGTGATCCATCGTACCAGCTAGTGGAAACATTTAGTACATGTCTGAGCCGAGAGGAGAACTTGTGCTGTATGGTAAATACACAGTACTGTATGAAGCCTTTCTATGATTGATGGGGTTGTGAAGGTGGAGACCGTCCGGCCAAACCTTCTTTTTGTTTTTTTTTTTTTTTTTTTTTTTGGCCTCGGCTGACTACGCATGATCAACCTCAGGTTATGAAGACATAACTAATTTTCCAAAGGAGTGCAGTTACATACTAATAGCATAGCATTAGTCCTCGCTGCCGCCAAATTCAATGGGACTACGGAGCACTCCGTAACATTATTTTCAACCTGATTTCACCGCAACAACTGTATGCCGATACGGAGGAGAGAGAAACCTCGGCTCTGCAGGTGAAAATGTTCATTTGCCTAATGCGGAATAATAGGCGGCCCCTCGATCGCGATAAGCCAATTGCCGGCTAGTTACTGTATGCAGCAGTTTTCTTCCAGGAAAGAGGCGAAAGCATAGATGTACAGCATAGTGCTGTGCTGCATAGCCTTCCTGTACCTATTCGCCTGCAGCACGTGGACAGTTCCAGAATCGCATTAGGCTGGTCCGCCTTTACTCGGTGGTTGGATCGACGGTTCGGTTGAGATCATCACACGGATCTCGATCCCTGGTTCTTGGCATCCCAGTACACTGGTGACGCACGAGAGTATTTGGGGCTCGGATCGTTTATCACTGCAGTTGTGTGCCGGATCTCACTACGGGTGGCTGTTTCTTTAGGTAGCCACAGGCCTTCGCAGTCATTGCTAGACCCCTTTAATATAATCTTTTCCATGGACGAGGTATATACTTATGCGATGGTTGAAGCAGTAGCGCTCGGTTTACTGACCTTCACTCAGCACACAAGCCCATCTGGCTACGGATTAAGCCTCGTAGTCTTTTCAGCATGTATATTCTATGTCGCCCTGGTCATGACATCGCTCAAACTCGCCATTCATTGTTGGCTGTCTAGATCGAGCATAGTCGAGGATCTGTGTGGTCTCGGGGCCATAGTAACCTGTGCAGGGATGCTTGCGACCATTGTCTTAGGTACTGTACTGTCTCAATGACGAAGGTTCTCCCAACCTCCACTAATCAGTCGGTAGGAGTTCTGCGGGGGATTGGCCGCACACGGGAGGAAGGCGGGATTGATTATGATGCCCTTGGAAAGGTGCGAGCACAAGCGGAGAAGATCTTGCACAGCTGACACCACCGTCCCTAGATCCAACTGGCTGTGCAGGTCCTCTACATCACCTCCGCTGCGTTGGTGAAACTGTCGATCCTTTTTTTGTACCGCCAGGTCTTTCAACACATGCGAACCATCATCAACATCACCATCGCGGCGATCGTGATCATCACCGTCGTCTTCACCTTCGTGGCCATCTTCCAGTGCCACCCGATCGGGAGGTTCTGGTTTGAGCCGAAGGCCGCACAGGGTGCATGCATATCCCATCTCATCTTCTGGTGTGATGTCGCGGTGGTCTTCCTTCTGAGTAATATCTGGATCACAGCTTTGCCTGTTCGACCGATTCTGGGTGAGTCTTCTCTAGTCGCATACAGCACTGCAACAAGCGTGGTTCGAGCATGATTTAGGTCTTCATGTGAAATGCCGTCTCAGATCCGGGATTCTCCTGCTGTTATGCTCAACGGGCCTACTGTGAGTCCCGCCTATGCAATGATCGATCTGGCCGGACTGGACTGATGGACCTAATCAGGACGTGTTCGACGGCAACGATTCGCCTGGCCTACGTCGTCAAGCTCTACAGGGGCAACGATCCGACGAGAGACATAGTCCCGATCTACTTCTGCTCCATTGCGGAGATATGCGTTGCTCTGGTCTCTTTGAGTATACCATCTCTGCGTTTGGCCGCGCGGCGAAAATGGACAAGCCCGGCCCCATGCTGATCCTCCGACTCGGCTGCATCACTTCGAGATAACATACACCATCAGGTAATCGTCAAATGGAAGAAGAGACTATTCAATAGTATCTTTTGTCAGAGAAGTCCTACTATCTACTTCGAAGAAGTTTATGCATGAATGTAAGTATATTTTCTAGCCTAGATCATATAATTCAAAGAGCAGTGATACTCCAGACAACCTCTTTCATAAAGGCGGACATAGTGGCAAGGAGGCTTGAATATCTGTTTCTTAACCGAACAAAGATTCTAAAAACATATGAATTCTTTTATGCAGGCTAACCAGACCTCATGGTACCTTCTGACCAGAGTTCTACAAATATGATGTGGTTAAGTAGCTAGGCTCTGAGGTTAATCTCTCACAAGGCTTCCTGGCTTTGCAATGAATGTCTATCGCTCCAGCCACATGTTCTCGTTCACCCTCCAAGAACGCGCAAGCTTCCTTCTCATAGATTCAGTCTCGCCGCGAAGGAGACGCGATGACGCCATTTTGAATGGATTAATCCATTATAACGGTCATAAATTGCAGGATGAAACTAATTCAACCAGTCCCCAATCCACTTCCGGACCCATTGCGGTTGCACGCCTCCACCTCTTGCAGCCGTCTATTGACCCCAGCTGTACGCACCGTCTTCTCCGACTCAGTCTGTCCGATTAAGCCCTCAAAGAACTCCAGCGGTTTGGCCGCCGGATTCCGCGCCAGAAGCAGTTGCAACTCCGTCTCTTCGAGCTTCTGACGGTCCTCCCTGCGTCCAGCAGTCTCGACGTCCAGCCGAACCCGCTGCACCAACTCCTGCAGGGGATCAACTCAAGCTCGTTAACATCGCTCCGCGCCGCAAGCTGTCTGGCGATAACAGGGAGGACCTCATCCCAGGATCCGGGGTGAAGGTTAACAGGATGGTAAACCTGCACCTGTCCCCGCGCGAAACCATCCATTTTCTCACCTAGTGCCCCGCCGAGAAGCGCCAAATCAACGAGCACTTCAGCCAAAAGATCAATTGGGACCCAGTCAATACGATTCAATGCGGGACCCAATGTATCTGGAAGGGCTTTGAGATGGGATGAACTCCGGACGAGACTTGGGAACCATTCTGCCGGGTTCTAGAGACCCGGAGAGCGCGCTGGCCTGGCTACCTGCCTGACACGGGCAAATGCAAAGGAGGGCCTTCGCTCATTATTGCTTTGCGAGTGTTGCTGCTGTTGCGCAGCGCGGGAGAGTAGATGCTCGGCGATGTACTTGCTGTTCGCGGAGCCGTTCGGGGCGGGGGTGGTGGTTGTAATGACCGTTTCAGGGGTCAGGCTGGAATCGGTCTTTGTGGCCTATGGTTGAGCTGATGGAGGACTGAGGGCCGCGAGCTGTGAAATTGATAAGTTTTACCACGCCCTGGAGGTGGGGCTCGAAGAATGTCACCTGAACTGTGTGAGAATCCCGAGGAGGAAGATTTGCTCTAGGATCTGGCGTATAAATCGTCTTCCGGTGCGAGAGAGATGAGCCTTTGCAGGTGTCGACGCCTCGAGAGACTACGTCCGACCTCTCCGACCTGCACCAAGTGCTATGATGATGCAGTTCCATCCTCTTGACGTGGCTGTGGATAGTGGGCGAGCATCTGTATATACGGAAGGCGAGCATCTGAGCGGGTGGACACCGACATGGGTAATGAGAAGACCTCGTGATCAGCATGTGCCCTCATTTTAGCTACCTTTGTCAGGCAAACTGTTTAGACCAAGCTTTTTTGCATTGTGTCCTGGGACTATTTTCGTTCCCTCGAAGACAGTCATTGAGCCCAAGGGGATGCATGTTGCACGTCCTGCTAATGTTGTGCGGTAGCAAACGAAAACATCGCCCATCAAGGATCGCATATTCGACAGACCACCCTCTGGTCTCTTGCTAGGCTAGGCTCAACGGAACTAGTTGTCTCAACTTTGGCGGACTTGACGCGGATGGAATGGGCAGGGCATGCGACGGATGCTACTGGTATCAGGCTATGCACCGCTAGGCTGGGACTCAAGAAGAGTGGCAAGAATATAGGTAACATGAACTTGCCACCCGGTATGCAGACAAAACCTGCTTCATAATTAAATGTCGATCTTATGAACGTGGTGACGGTGGTGCTTGACAATGGTGCTTGGCGGCATAGACCGAACAATTGCCCGATGGTCGTCTACGGACAACGCCCACAGTCGCGTTCCCCTCGCAGTACAGGCCTAAGCAAGTTTGCCGCCGGAACCTGTTACGATGCTAGTCTGACTGTCGTCCGGTCTTGCATGGTCAGCAGGCAGGTTCACTCCGTCTTGGATCTATGAGCGATGACGGCGCTTTTAGGCGACACGGGATGCTGGATAGTATGCTAAAGTATTGGTCCATTGTGGGACACTCACATCCGGTTTGAGACCTTGTGAGCACAGTGTTGGCATCTCGACCGGCGCCTGGGGACTCCGGCTCGAGCCAAGAGGGTGTATCAATTTAGAGGTGCATTGCAGAGCGCTATGCTGACACGCTCTGATCGAAGGAGAGAAGAAGTCACTCCCCTTCTTCGGTCGATTTAGAACAGACGAGTTGTTCCTGAGTCATACTAACCCTAATACGAGCACATGGATATATTTCATGCTGTCGAAATATGTGGTTGGGCTAGGAAGCAGTTAAAAGCCCTCTTGGCGGTTCTGGGGATGATAGGCAATGTTGCGTTTGCCACGGTGGAGGTGTTGGTGGTCAGCCGAACTCAAATCCCTATCCCTCATGTTCATGAGTCTAGCTATGTCTTTGACCAAGATTTGTTGCCTGGTATGCCTCTCAGTGTAGTAGCATTGAATGTATAGATAGTGTACTGTGTATCACGTGATTTGACGGTGGCATTCTTTACCGGCCCGGTTTAGCTTCAATCCTCCGGACAGTGAATGTCTTCGGTTCCGGCGGAAGATGAAGACTCTCGGGACCGAGTGGGAACGGATCACACTACGGAACCGAACAAAACATTTCCCCTCACTGATTCGGTGACTCGACAATCACTTAACACACAACAACTCGACGGGGATCACTTGCTGGCTCTGCAAGCTTCCCTCCTGCCATTGGGCCTGCTGAGTTCAAACTAAGAGCCCTTAGTGTGCTAGAGAACCATTCACGAAGACACACCAGCCCTGGAAGATGTTGCAACCGGCTTGGCCTGAAGCCTGTCGGCCTGGCCTACGTTGCTTCGGATTCAACCCTCGTTGAAAGGCTCCACTTCTCTAAACCTGGAGAAGCAACCCTTCGCTACCCCATGGGACGACGCTCTGGGGTAGAAATAGGGCTCCACGGCCACTGTGTCCCTCATTGCTCGTGCTGCATCAAGATTGTCACAACAAAGAACCTTTTTTTATCCTGATTGATAGTGCTCATCTGAGGCACTGTGGGACTATGTCGATGAAAGAAGCCATTGCAGCAACCGACAAGGCTGCCCTAACCCGCACCGCCCAGGCGGTAGCTGCTCGCGAATATGAACAACAAGGCTGGCTAGAGAGAAAGCTGAAGCCCAAGACCATCACCGCCCGATATCCTTTCAAGGGCGCTCCCTTGCTCTATGCGACATGTGCTTTCGGTAGTTTGGGCGATGCCTTGTTCGGGTACAACTCTGGTATGTCTCATCACCCCAACTGCCAAGCAAAAAAAACACGGCTGATGGCAGGATCAACCCAGGCATCATGTCGGGCCTCCTAGTAAACCCGGTGTTTGTTGCTCGATTTTTCAAGGACTACGGCGGTGCGGATGGCTCAACATCCGGGGTGAATCCGTCAATCACCGGCATAGCCGTGGCTTGTTTGCAGGCCTCTGCAGCGGTAGGCGCCCTCATCGCGGGACGTCTAGGCGATATTATCGGGCGCAAGAAATGTGTCCGGATTGGCGGGTTCATCTACTTCTTCAGCGCGTTCATCCAGATGTTCGCCCCCGGGTTTGGCGCCTTTATCGCGGGCCGTACCATCCAAGGCTTGGGTGTTGGGTTTCTGTCCATGACTGTGCCCATCATTCAAACGGAGATCGCCGCCCCGCATCGGCGTGGTATGATGGTGGGGATTGAGTATACCTTCCTCATTGCCGGATACATGGTTTCATGTTGGGTAGACTACGGGTTCAATTTCCTCTTGCCTGGGGAGATGTCCTGGCAGGGGCCGTTCATCATTCAGATCGCCCTTTCGTTCATCTTGTTGATCATGTCGTTTTTCCTCCCTGAGACCCCGCGTTGGCTGGCCAAGAACGGATTTATGCAGGAGAGTCTGCAGACCGTCGCCGACCTGCATGCCAACGGTGATACCGAAGCAGAGCATGTGCAGAAAGTATTCGTCGAGATTGAAGAAGCTGTTATCTTTGAAAGCAACCTCGGAAAGTCCACATGGATGGTAAGGCCCACATGCCTTTTGTCATTCAGAGCGATACTAAACTACTTAACAGGAGATGTTCACACGCTACCGCAAACGAACTATTGTCGGAATTACGGTGCAGATGTTCGCGCAGCTCAACGGCATCAATATCATCTCTTTTTACCTCCCCAGCACCCTTGCCACCGCGGGCTTCGATGAACGAAAGTCTTTGCTCTACACCGCAGCGAATGCGCTTCCGTATACTGCTGCCACAGTCGTAACATGGTGGTTGGCAGACAAGTGGGGTCGGAAGCCGTTGCTCATCCTCGGAGGTGAATTCTCTCCCTCAGCAAAGCCCCTATCGCGAGATAGTCAGCTAACAACCCTCAACCCAGGCATCGGCATGACAATCCTGCTCAGCATCGTCTGCGCCTTCACGGAAGCGGACCTGGACATCCACACTCGCGCGAACGGGCAGTACGCCTTCGTCATGCTCTATAACATCGTGTACGGGTTCACGTGGGGTCCGATGCCGTGGCTCCTCCCCGCCGAGATCTTCCCCCTGCGCGGCCGCAGCAAGGGCATGGCGCTGGCCACCACCAGCAACTGGATCTTCAACTTCATCATTGGCATGGTCTCTCCGGACGCCTTCGCCGGGATCCACGGGTATTTCTATTTGGTGATCGCCGGGTTTTGTCTATTTTCGGCTGGGCTGGTGCACTTCTACTACGTGGAGACGGCGAACAGTACACTGGAGGAGATTGCGGAGCTGTTTGGCGATACGGCGTTTGCGGGGGCGGATGGAGAGGAGATTCGCGGGGTGTCGGAGGTGAGGACTGATCATGGCAAGGATATTGCATAGTGTAACATATCTGGTCGGAAAGTGGAATCCTTGATAATGCAAGCACGGCAGCTGGCCTTTCTCGAAAACATACCTTCCCGAAAACGCAGGACGGGTCATTTTCGAGGCAACCGTGGATTACGCCAGATTTGACTGCGTTCGTGGTGTGCCGTGGAAACCAGGCATGCCGAATCCCCACCCGAATACGGGCGCACCCGAGCAACCTCACGATCGCTCTTTGTTCCCACACCAAAACCGATGGTACGGTGTCCTCTTTTGGGGGTATTCCTGGCTCCTTGTGCTATAAGATCTTAGAGGCCTTTCAAACCCAAATTACGATCCCGAGTCTTGTCCCTATGAGCCTAGACAGATCGCTCTCGTATTTAAACTTCCGAGCCACTGCTACATATATGGTGGTCTCCTTTCCCGGGAGACACGATTTTATGTATCCTACATAGTCATGTTGCGTTGTACTTTCCCTCCACTCGGTGAATCGAGCTTCAACACCAGGTTAACTCCATGACTCCTAGACCAAAGACTAATCCGGCGGCTCGGTGTATGTCTGAATCCTAAAGCACAATGGAAATGATTCGCCGGACCAGGGCTAATAGTGTGGTACCACAGCCGCAACTTGCGGGGTCTCCCGCCCAACACAGCAGCAGAAGGAGACGTGCACGGACTACCTGCTCTTCGACGCCACGCTGCAGGAGTTTCTGACCTACAAGCGCGACGCAGACGGACGACCCCCCTGGCTCGACTGGACGGACGACGGCTGTTCCTCCTCGATGGACTACCCGCTGGGTTTTAACTTCCACGACAGCTGTCTGCGTCACGACTTCGGATACCGGAATTACAAGGAGCAGGGGCGCTTCGATCACGCACCCTCGAAGAAGGCCATCGATGTGCGGTTCAAGCAGGATCTGGTGGACATGTGTCACGGGGTGACGACGCCGTGGCATCGCATCAATAGTCACTGGAACTGCGTCAATTGTGCTCATCTATACTATCGCGCAGTGCGGTGGTTTGGGAAGTTCGGCAGGCACGTCCCTAGAGTTCCTCCGTTCAGTAAGAAGCGGTAGAATCATCTACAGGAACAGATCCGTGACTCTGAGGTGGTAATACCTTTCACATGGTGTTTGTGTATGTCGCTTCGTAACATTGGGAATATCCTCGCCGGTAGTGATAATCAAGGTTGCAAGTTGCAGTACAGAGTCGGGTCTGGATAATCAAGAATACATTGAATTGGGACGTCGCTTTTCTTCGAGGGACCAATCACCTTCCCATGAATTCTTGTCTTGCAGTATTTCTAAGTTGTGGTCTAGTAAATGGCAGCACACTATAGGTATGAGCGCTTCTAAAAAAGGCATAATGATGAGGAATGCATGATGCCTCGCGGGATTAGATAGGATGTGCTTTGCATCCTAAGGCAAAATTGCGGGTGTTTCCTCATACAAGCATCATTGGTCTAGTGGTAGAATTCATCGTTGCCATCGATGAGGCCCGTGTTCGATTCACGGATGATGCACTCAGCATTTCATTTTTATTTTGTGCTCCTTTACATGCCCGTGTCCGAACACTGCACAACTCCTCAATTGCCACTGGCCTTGTAAATCACCCCGTGCTTCAGTCGAGACAATCTTGAGTACTTTCTCACCTATGGCTAGGGCGCTTATGGTGCTGATGTTTTTTTACGGGGGTCCCAGATGCTAAGCAGGATCTATAGCCATGAAGAACTGACAAACTGTATCTCACGACCAGGTGCTTTAGATAAATACCCTGGTCACATGTCAGCAAGTAGAGATCAATTTTACTTCTTGACGAACCAGTGGGTGAAAAGTACGTCGTTCTATACATGATCGTGTCATCTAAGAGCTAAGGACAGTAGCAACGCACTTGATGGAAGTTGCTTATTCGCAATTTTCCAGCTGCGTGAGAAACAGTCTCTCTTCTATAGCTAGCCTGCCGTTGCCATGGCCGCAGTAGTATGGCTTGTTTGGAAGCCAGTAAGTTTAAGACAGATTGATTAAGAATATTGACTTCCCATATTTGGTCTGTGGATTCTTACACTTTGCCTGTTTAGTCTTGAGTTAGTTAGCGGTCGTAATGACTCATCCAGGAAGTCTACTCCGAGCCATAAATTCCGTGACGCAGCCGATGCCTACAATCTACCCTTCGGCTCAACTGCCCTTTAAAAATACATCCTCCATGCGATATACCTCATAGGCGGACTCCCAGAGCCTCTTCCGTGGTGCTCTACCTGGGTTAACGCGCAGTCTCTTGGCTCACATGTATAGACGACAGATAAAAAGGGTGACCACATAAGGCTCTCACGATGTCTCGGCGGGAGCAGTCGGTGTTGTCCCCCGCATAATGAATTTGCCGGCACGTTGCTACTGGGCTTGGCGCAAAACTGAATCCTGCTCTTGAGTCCGTCCAGCCGGGGAAAATGGTCTGATCTCGGCTTGAATACGTATCTGCGGGCTATATCAATTGATAGTTATGCGTCATTCCAGGTGCCCGGCTTATCCTTTCTTCATTACCCCACACTCCCCACGCTCCTCTTCCCGCCTCACAGCTATCTCCGTTCTCGGCCATTCGCCGTACTCGGAGCTTTCGGATACAGCATGTAGCTTTGGTGTATAAATTGCCCCGTAACCCAGCCCGTCCAGGTCAATGTGAGATGTGAACCACATCCTTGCATCGAGGATCAAAGCTATTCAGTGGAGAAATACAGCACTTTCGCGAGCCATGACTCCCTGGGCGATCTTTGGGTGGCTCGGCCTTGCCTCCCTCGCGCTGGGCGAGTTGAACCCTCCTTATTATGCGGATCTGAGCTGGCAACCTGCGCGGGCCTTGTCTAACTGGTCGAACCTGACCGTTGAGACCCGGACCGGAACCTTCATCGGCATGTTGAATGACACCTATCCCAATGTCCGCCAGTTCTTGCGGGTACCCTATGCACAGCCACCGACTGGCGACCTCCGCTGGCTTCCTCCCCAGAGACTGGCGCACTCTTCGAAGAGAATTGACTCAACTCGATTTGGCCCGGGTAAGTCAAAGCCTCATAATCGGCCTCGGCAAGGATGGATTATCGCGTGACAACAACATCTGACCCTATTTCCTTCAGCATGTCCGCAGTATGTTGCTGCAGGCGAGTCCATGTGGGCCCAGTATGAGCCGCCGAACCTCCTGCTGAGTGTCGGCGAATCCGACAACCAGGGCTCCGTCGCGTGGTCGTCTTCGGAAGACTGCCTGTCCCTGGCCATCTGGACCCCGGCCTACGCCAACGAGACCTCACAGTTACCCGTGGCACTCTTCGTCACGGGCGGAGGAGGGACCACGGGGGGAATCGCAATCCCCTCTCAGCTGCCTTCCAATTGGGTTGCAAATTCGCAGGAACATATTGTGGTGACCATTAATTATCGGGCGAATATCTTCGGCAGTGAGTATCAGACTTGAAAACCTCATTCTCCCCGTGTCAACTGGCCATCTCTAACGAGAGAGTTCTCTACTTCCAGATCCCAAGTCTAAAGCTTTGAAGGAGACTTCCTTGACTCTCATGGATGTGCGCACGGCGGTGGAGTGGGTATCGGAGAACATTGGGGCATTCGGAGGAGATCCAGAGAACATCATGGTGAGTTTGCGACGAGTAGTTCCCAACAAAAATTCTCAAAATGTCTTTCATTAAGCCTGACCACAACATGACAGCTGTGGGGTCAATCCCAGGGTGCTGCCCTGACACACCTCTATACCCTCGCCTACCCCGATGATCCTCTCGCGGCCCGCTTCGGCGTAATCTCTGCGCCGCCGTCGGTGACCATCAACCTCACGGAGACGGATGATGTCTATGAGGACTTTCATATCGTCGCCAAAGGTCTGGGATGCAACTACGGGGACGATGCCGAGGCGGAGCTGGAGTGCATGCGCCAAGTGTCCTGGGTTCAGATCGAGGAGTATATCAACCGCTATAATGGCACTCCGTCTATCGCGTTCACGAACTATATCCGTCTGTCTCCCCTGCCCCTCTTCCCTTTGTCTCAATTCCCAACCTCTTCTTTAGTCTGTTGTGTCAGAGCATGGCTAACGAAAGAGGGATAGCTGACGAAAAGTACATCTTCGCCGACGAAACCGAGCGCTACCGAATGGGTCGCGTAGCCCCCGGGCCGGCGATCCGCTCCAACGCCGCCCGCGAAGATCCCATCACCCCCGGTAATGACACCGCCACCATGGAGACGACGGGAGAATGGCTCTGCGCCTCGTATAAGGATGCGCTCCTGCGGGCCTCGCTGGGGCTCGAGACCTACCGGTACGAGTGGGCGGGCAATTTCACCAATATCAGCCCCGTCCCCTGGCTGGGTGCGTTCCATTGGTCCGATCTGTTGATGATCTTTGGGACGTACATGCTGGATGTCGGTGAGATCTCGGAGCTGGAGGTCGCCACCTCGCGGACGATACAGGATCATCTGCTAGCTTTTCTCAAGGACCCCGTGACGGTCAGTACGGCGGTGGGTTGGCCGGCGTTCAATGCCAGCGCCCCGTCTGGAGGGCTGATCCTGGAGTTTGGGAACACGACGGCCGTGCGAAATGTGACGGGGGACTTTCTTGAGGCAGGTTGTTGGGATTCCAGTGCTCCGTTCCGCATCTTCGGACGCGATGCAAGAGTTCCGCTGGAGTGGAGGGGGTAAACTCTGGTGACACTGACAGCGGCTATGAGTCTGGCGCAAGATCAGAGGTGATAAGATGGTCTTCGGACAACACCCTTACCCGGCGAAGTACATAATGCTCTATTTCATTACGAGCATGTTGAACATGTTTTAGCGGATGGTAAAGTGGATGACAATGATAGAACGTCTAGAACATGAAATAATTCCAGAAGGGTGACAGCCATACTGAGGTGCCGACAACCCTTCTCTCGAGAGACTTGGGACATTCGGATGTATCGTACTGTATTCTAGATTACGTTTGCTATAATCCTGATCTGGGCTTAGTCTTCTACACTAACCGTTGCAGGCCGTCATTGATGAATTATCATCTTTTCATCTAATGAGATGATGGAGCCGGGATTGTTGGTGTGGGCAGAAACCGGGCCTCGAGTCGACTTTGCAGGAGATAGTCTAATTCCATAGAAATTCTGCATGCATCGAGGCGAACCCAAGCCGGCATGGAAGCCCCTCTGCTTATTTGTATCAACCGGCCCAAAAGATGCAATGTACTGTAGCCGCAAAGTGGTGAATTCCATCTGTCCCTAAGATGTGACCCTGCCCAAAAGCAAGCTTGTCAAAGACCCAAGAACTTGCATGCAAAGAACGCTACCAATGCAAACGCGAAGTATCCCGTTACCTCATGATGGCTCAAAGAGAATTACTTGGTCCGTGCTGAAACACTCCTATAACAATCACTGCTCCCTTTGTTGTGATGTGAAGTATATAATCCGCCCTGGTATGCTTTTATTCTACACATGTCTCAATACCCCCCACCCACCCCTTAACATCCCTATCACCCGACCACTCCAACTCACAAGTCTACACCAAACATGTCTCCGCCACGTTACCACCTCAACCTCGCCTACTACGTGCACTATCTGCCCGAGCAGCCCCGCCCATTCCAGGTGCTGGTAGTGTGCCCTCGGATGACGCATCTTCGGTGCGGGCTGTGCAACAGCGTGGAGCTGGGGGATACGGGGAAGCCGCTGCACCAGTGCTCGAATTGCTACAGCTGCTTCCATCTGGACTGTGTCGCGCAGCTGAGAATTCACGAGCTGGCCGAGCAGAAACACCCGGCTGGTCTACGGCTGCCCGAGCTGTGGCACGCCATGGTTGACTCCGCAGCACTCTGCCGAGGAACGGGAAAAGCCCACGAGCCCAGGGAACATGAAGAATAGAGTTGACCTTCAGTTCCTCTACCAATACCAGCGGAACGAGCAGAATGATTATGTGTGTACTGTACGGAAGTCGGATGGTAAGCCATGTGGGGTGACTGCGGCGTTCTGGGATGCGTTTGCGGCTCACCATGCGTGCCAGCATGAGTCCTGGCGGTGATCTCGTGGGGAGTAGTAGTACTGTTCTATGCATTTTGCTTCTGCACCTGCCTGCCGGTCGTTGCTCGCCGTACGCACAACAAGATACAAACCCAGTAAAATGATCATGTAAGGTTTTACCCGCATGAATTGCCTTTCCTCCACTCAACTCTCATCCGACATTATAATAAGCTTCTATTGCATAGAACAACCTGAACATGCGCTCAATATGTAGCAACGCCTCACCAGATCAAGCACATACGACCACAGGGTGTGGAAAACAGGGCTTCCCGTCCGCTCAGCCGTACTTAAGCCACACGCCGGGAGGTTAGTAGTTGGGTGGGTGACCACCAGCGAATCCCTTCTGTTGTATGTTTTTGTCTTTTTCCCCCCTTCAATTCCAATCTCTTTCAAGACAGGTCCATGTGAGGAAGAATCCAGCCTGCTGGCAGCTGATGTTGGTCCGTGTTGCTGAAGCTTTCATTCGCGAATACCTTCGCACCCCGCTGCACGCGCAATACAATACCGAGGCGACTCTCGATCAGTTCTGGGATGGCTTTGGGCCCGGTTTGTGGCTTTTTTACAGTTTCCCTCTGTATAGGTTGATTAGCTTATAGCAGCTTCCGGGAAGAAATACAGATCATGTCCCGATATCACAGCCCATAATGGCAGTCGCTTATGAGTCACTGTTGGCAATGGCGAGGACTTTGAAGCGGTGATATATGAGTAAGACACGCGTATCCCTCGATGTTACTAGACGAGCTACCTGAAAAGGCAGCCTTTTGATACAAATTACAACCCCGCTACCCTTTAGGCCTTGAGACGCGTGACCGATCTCCATCGAGAAAAGCACCTAATTGACACTTCCCACAGACAGATTCCTCACTTATGAGCTTCGGACCCCACCAAACAGGTCTCAATGACACATTGCGGATCGGCTCCTTCCCCGGGCCATACCGCCACAATTTGCAAGGGCGGCTCGACACGACCCAGTAACTCCTCCCACTGCCGCCTCGTCCTCTCCATCCCGTCACAGAGCAGCCACATCAGCATGTCCATGTCCACCCGCGCCAGCGTCTCCCCCGTCTCCGCCAGCACCATCTCATTGATCAGCAGGCGCGAGTGTGAGCCCATCACCTGCGCCGTGTTCGACAGGATCTTCCGGGCTGCCTCGTTGTTCCAATCGTGTAGGATCGATTTGAGGTAGTAGATATCCGCCCCTGGAATTTGTCTCATGGTTATGTCTAGAGGAATGGAGAAGAAGAGAAAACAGAGAGAAAAGATATAGGGAGCTGATCAAAAGCATGGAAAACAAATCTTACCTTTGACTAGCTGCGGCGTAAAGAAGTCACACACCATCGGCCGAATTCTCGGATCGAGTCCCGGCAGAATCCCGTTCACGGTCTCGCGGAGATTTTGAAGTATCAGTTCACAAGGCACGTCGGGGAATGCGGTCGCGAACCGCTGGAGGTCTACTCCCTGGGAGCCGCCAATGTCGACAATGGTGAAAGGCTTCAGGGGTTGCTCCGGATTGATGGGGGACGGGGGAGGGAGGCGCTCCCGCACCGGGTACTTGCTGTGCCACGGCACCGAGAAGCTCTTGTTCCGGCTCGTCATGCTATTATCGAAGGCTTGTTTCCAGACTGGGTCCGAGGAGAGCGTCTCCCAGAGGGTTTCTCGCATGGCGAAGGTGTAGGGAGCGGGGGACTCGCCGGGGGCGCAGGGCTTATGCTGGTTGAGGTACTGGTGGATCTGGCTGGCGAGGGGGTACAGCATCGAGCTTCTGGTTCGAGGCATGCCATTCCGGCTCAGTATGTAGATTTCAGAGAAAAGGGAGAATCTTCACGTCGAGGGTGGGAGAAAAGAAAAGAGGAAATGATAGAAACACTGACGTAATGATCAACCCCCCGATTGACCCTGGGTCGGATTGACAGATGGTTCGCGCGTTGGCGCGGTAGCTCTGGTAGCCGGTTTCGGTGGCCAGTCCCATTGCAGTCATCATGCGCATAATACGGGCTGGGTTCGGGCTCGGTGTTGTCAGCTGTGAAATGTGTTTGAAGATGCGAGTGGGCAATGCATGTACCGATTAGGGCTTGATCGTAACCGGACGCTCTGGCGAGGTCAGATGCCGTCACCCTTTCACCTGCCCTGGCGGAGAGAATGTGGAATAGGCCCATCTCCACCGCAGCGACGAGACAGATGTTTTGCACTGTCTATCGGAAGTATCAGCGATGGTGGAAGGCAAACTCAGAACGGGGCATTGTCGCACGTACGTGAAGCCGCTGCTTCATGAGAAACACATGCGGGGGCTCCGTGGCCCGCCGCAATTCTTCGATGGCACCCTGAATCGGAATCCAGCTGGAGGAGTCACTGGGATCGTAGGATGCAACTGCTTGCTGAACCTTGACGGCCAGACTTTTCACCTCAGACTTGTCCATGCTTTCTCAGCATAGGATTGAGTATGGGCGAAAGCAGAGAGCCATTGGGGGGGGCACGTGGAGGCATATTTATGTCGGCCCTGATTCAATCTCTGTCGGTCGCGGAAGTCATCTGGTCAGATGCAAGTGAGACATCAGCAGAAGACAAGCCACCAGTCAAAGTATAATTGATAGTCTGATGAGAGTAATGGTCTTTGCTTATGCGCCAGCGGGAATTTCCGCAGCCCTACGAACCGACCCAAGAGGGGTGTTCTATGTCTCGATGCTGATGCTTGTATGTGTTGGAGAGGTATCCTTGGCACCCGAATGGCGGTTTGTCAACACTAATATATTCATACACATTATATTATGATGCAAGGTGAGCTGAGCTGGCTGCAAGCACATAAGCTAGGCAGGATGTCTAAGATACTCGTAACACTCGTAACAACCGAGGCGCTGACAAGATATAAACTTTTATCGCGACACCTGTCTTTTGTTTTCGCATTCAGGTCAATCCGGCTAAAGGCATCATATATTGTGATACCAAGTGTTACGATAATGAACCATCTAAGCACTCATTGCAGGGACCATACAGGATTGTGAATACAGGGAGTTGAGTGACTCCAATTGTCAGTCTCATATATAGAACAGATCGTACCACTAGTAAAATTGGCGTGTCACGGATTACCAGCTGATGAGGTAGTGAAAACTTTTGACCCTATTTTCTAGCTCAACAACGAATTCTTGCGATATTGGTGTATAAAGACACAACCGAATCCTCGATAATTGATCCTCGTCACTTCTCTTTTGCTTTTGTTTCGGGTAGTGGAGATTCAGAAACACAACTCGATCACTTACCAAATCATTCCATACGCGCATACAGTATTGCGGTATGGCGGGGTGGAGGCCCGCTTCCCGTAATACGAAAAAGAAATTCCTAGATGTGTTTGTCACATACAGCCTCATCGCTGCATTGCTATCGTTGAATGATATTATCAAGCAACAAAGGATTCTCTTCTACTTGAACCATGGAGGCAGGACTGGTTCGTTACAAGAATTTTGCCAAGATACAGGCCGACCCGAAAGGGACTGCGAAATAGCCCTTTTTGCATCACTCATTTGTTGAACAGTACCTTAACAAGCAAGCAAATACCACTGCTGTATCACTTTGTCCTTGTTCTTCCTTTAGCCATGTCCTCTGATCCAACAAATGCCGGTCTCACCATGGGGCGTCTTCCAAACGAGATAATAATTCAGATTGCAGAGAACAGCTGGGAGAACGAATACCAGCGATCAAGGACTTGGTTGGCCCTGTCCCAATGCTCTCGCCGATTTCACGAATTGACCGAGTCTCTACTTAATACCGAAATCCGAGTCGGTCCCTGGTTCGCCCGTTAGGACATTAATTTGATCAAACGGCTCTGGCAGAACCCAGATCTCGCGTGTTGCGTGCAACCAATGAGTATCGAATGATGGGACTGTGACAATTGAGGACGAGCCTTCTATCAAGCTCATCGAAAGTGATGAAACTCGGAGCTCGTTGAAGAGACTCTGACTGAGATGTTCGGCTCGGGAGACGACGATGACAAAGACATACGGCGAGATCATCTGCATAAGCTCTGTCTGGAGGCATGGGTGGCGATGCTCCTCCCTCGCCTGACCAATCTGAAAACCCCTGAGATCCGTTACCAGGCCTCCTGCGAATAGGTAGGCGACCTCTTCGACAGGGCCGCGCTACGGAAACGACCATTTCACCAGATAACGCTCCCCTTCCCCCCTGTCCGCGAGGTCATTGTGGACTGCGAACCGGGAACAGTGACGGCACCTTCCGACCTCTTCAATGCGTTCTTCTGTTCCCCTCGGTGCGTAAATTCACGGGCTTCACGGTTGAGGAGGTCTGGAAAGACCCCCAGGGAGACCAAGTACTTCTCAGTACCCAGCCCTATCCGCGGTCCATCCGGTAGCTCACCGTCAGCAATCTCGTCTATAGCCGTGGTAGGATTGGATGGATGGATCGGGCGTGCACGCAGTTGGAACACCTGGCTGTCAAGATCGCGGTCTAGCAGGTGGAGTTCTATCCAATCACAGAAACGCCCATCGAGAGGTTCGGAGCTAGCCGATTTCGCCAGGGTCTTCTTGCACCGGCATTCTGAGGACGCTTCGCTTGGAGGCTGCTCTCAGCTATTATCATTTCTGGTGGCCCCCTGACGAGGAGGAGGCCTTCAGCTCATTCCACGAATTCGCAGTCCTCGAGACCCTGGTACTACGGCATGCGTTTTTTGTGGAACGGCCCGCGAATCCATCTACTCTTTATTATCGAGTGCCGCTCTTTGAACAACTGCCCACCTCCCTGAAAAGTCTGGGGCTCACAAATATCGAAGATAGCGCGTCTCTTGAGTTGTTAACAGAGCTGAGGATGCTAGTTCAACACTGGGCCTCTTTTCTACATCTGCAAGACTTGCAACTCTACGTAAAATAGTCGACGAGTCGATCCTTGTACCTCTGCATGTTGACTGCAACACGGCCGGTATGAACTTGCTAGTTGAAGTGCAGAAAGAAGAGCCCTGGGAAAGATCACTATGCCCACCCCAGGTTTTGGAACCCTAATTGGCGATAGCTGATGGTGTGAGATCATTTTTTTTTATTTCAGGAACCATGCTCTTCTTACTCAGGTACGTGATTGTGAATTGAACTCACAGTATATGTGTTGTTGATGCTATCTGTAAATTTAAACCATATCACATAATCAATGCGGTGACAGTCGACTCTAGATAAGATATGGATATTGATAAGCAATTGTTGGGGCACCAAATGGGGCATCTTATGTCTTGTGGGAAGAGTGGGCCCTTGATTCAGGAGCGAGGTCTGAGTGATAATACGTCAACATGATGCGAGTTGATGCAGATTTGGCCGAATGGATACTGAGTCGACTGACAAGGGTTGATTTGACCTAATGCATTAGGAAATGATTGTCATATGCAGCAGCAGTGCCCCTCTTCCCTTTGAGCTAACCCCGCTTCTCAGGTAGAAGTAACAAAGTCTGGGAGAGACTCTTATCGTAAGTAGCATGGGCCCATCAAGTTCATTCGCAGAAGAAGAGCTTGAATTCCACTTCATTCGCTGCAAACCAGAGACAAGTGGTTTCGATCAGCCCAAAGGATTCCTGCATCGGCGTACTTACTTTGGTTACCCTTGCAGCATGCAACACCTCAGAGCCCTACTTGTAGCAAACCGAGGCGAGATCGCCTGTCGACTTCTGGCAGCCGCAAAGTGAGTGCGGCCGTATCCACTGTGTCCGTTGATTGATAACCAAAAGGCTACAGGAAGCTTGGCATTCTCACGGTCGCTATTTACACCGAATCGGATTCACAATCGGGGCATGTTGCCACGGCGGATGAAGCAGTTCTCCTGACCGGGGAGGCCAGAGCTGCGTATATTGATGGGTGTGTAACCACAAACCCTCGCTCTACACACTACCCAGCTAAAGTATGATCTGATTTCGGCAGTGAACAGATTATCGCCATCGCTCAATCGCGAGACGTGCAGGCCATTATCCCCGGTTATGGGTTCCTGTCGGAAAACGCCGCCTTTGCCCGCGCAGTTGCCGCGGCGGGCCTGATCTTCGTCGGACCCTCGCCCGAGGCGATCGAGTCTTTCGGTCTCAAACACACGGCCCGGAATCTGGCGCTGGCTGCGGGGGTACCCGTAGTGCCTGGATCCCCGGGTCTCGTGCATTCAGAGGATGTCGCGGTGGAAATGGCGCAGCAGCTAGGCTACCCGGTGATGCTGAAGGCTACCGCCGGCGGTGGCGGCATGGGCCTGACGGCCTGCACCAACGAGGTAGAGCTGCGCCAGAATTTCCAGCCCACCAGGTCTCGCGGAGAGTCGTTGTTCAAGAACGCGGGCGTCTTCCTGGAACGGTACTATCCGGAAAGTCATCACATCGAAGTGCAGGTCTTTGGCAACGGACAGGGGAGAGCCATCAGCATCGGGGAAAGGGAGTGCTCCATCCAGCGCCGGCACCAGAAGGTTGTGGAGGAGTGCCCTAGTCTCTTTGTGACGCAACGGTTCCCGGAGCTCCGGGCCAAGCTGACAGAGGCCGCAGTGGCGCTGGCGGAGAGCATTCAGTACGGCTCCGCCGGCACGGTCGAGTACTTGGTGGATGATGTGTCTGGAGACTTCTTCTTTCTGGAGATGAACACGCGACTGCAGGTAGAGCACGGGATCACCGAGATGTGCTACAACGTTGATCTGGTCGAGCTCATGTTGCAGCAGGCGGATTGCGAGCTCGGGGGATGCAGCGGCATTCCGTCCGAGGAGCTGGAGGCTCGGCAAGCACAGTTCCTGGAGCCACGCGGACATGCTCTTGAAGCACGAGTCTATGCTGAGAATCCGGCCAGGAGCTTCGCGCCCAGTCCGGGTCTACTTCAGGAGGTGCAGTGGCACGAGCCCCCCGGAACCCGAGTCGACACCTGGATTAGGGCTGGTCTCATGGTTAGCCCCGACTATGACCCCCTCCTGGCCAAAATCATGTATCTCGCATCCACCCGATCCGACGCGGTAGCTGGAATGGCAGAAGTGCTGGCAAAGAGTGTCATTTGCGGCCCCCCAGTCAATCTCGACTACCTCACTGCGATTGTGAACGACGACCGATTCCGGAAGGGCCGTACCGTTACCAAGTTCCTTGACTCTCTGCATTATGCCCCTGCGGCCATTGATGTCACGTCCGGCGGATCATACACCCTCGTGGAGGACTATCCCGGGCGACCGTCCGTCGGCCACGGATTTGGTCATGCCGGTCCAATGGATCCGATCGCTTTTCAAGCCGCGAATATCCTCGTGGGAAACCCGCCGACGACCGAGGCGCTCGAGATTGCCCTCACAGGCCCCGAGCTTCTGTTTCTCGGAGACGCGGTGGTAGCGCTCTGCGGCCCTCCCGTCCCTGCTACACTGGAAGGTCAAGAGCTTGTGCCATGGATGCGTGTTAGTGTCCAGGCAGGTCAGACGCTCAGAATCGGGAAAATGGCTGCGCAGTGCCGTGTCTACCTTGCTGTCTATGGCGGATTTCTCAACGTCTCGAGCTGGTTCAACAGCAAATCAACCAACCCGCTGGTCGGAGTCGGCGGGTACCAAGGTCGACCCCTCCGTGCTGGCGATCTCCTGCACATTGTCTCGCGAGACCAGATTCCGGAAGCACGAGCCATCTGCATGCCACGCTCCCTGATTCCTCAGTACTCCAACAACTGGGTAATTCAAGTCATGCCTGGCCCGTACGAGACTGGGTATCTTACCCCACAAGATATTGAGATGTGCTTTTCGACCACCTGGACGGTGAGCCACAATGCTGCACGAGGTGGCATCCGCCTCATCGGGCCGAGACCAGAGTATGCGCGTGGCGATGGAGGCGATGGAGGGTCCCACCCGAGCAACGTCTTCGAATATGGATACCCCATGGGCGGCCTAAACTGGACTGGGGACGAGCCGGTCCTATTTCCGGTGGACTGTCCTGACTTTGGTGGCTTCCTGTGCAGTCTGACCGTCATCCGGGCGGACTTCTGGAAGGTCGGCCAGCTTCGCGCTGGAGACACCCTCCGGTTCCACCGGGTCGACCTCGATACTGCGCTGGCGTGCAGGCACAGACATGAACGTTACCTGCAGAGACTGGCTTTGTGTGTGGAGACTAACTCGTGGGACGATGCTATCGCTTTCGATGATGCGGCCCTGAGTTCTCTTGCCTATGCCCCGGGTCAAGACGTGGTGGCTTCCATAAGCGCGACTGAGGCGCAGCCTAAGGTGACCTACCGATCTGGAGCGGACGACTACCTTCTTCTTGAGTACGGCGATGGCAAAATGGATCTAGAGATGAAGTGTCGGTCGACAGCGCTGAAACGCGCCCTCGAGTCGGCCACCGGGGCGATCTCCACCAACCGGGACCAAGGCGGACAGATCTACAACCTAGTCGCGTGCGGTAGCTCGTTGGCTGTCTGGTACAACGGGATGGACCTTGCGCGAGCTGATCTGGTTCACCGACTGATTGAGATTGAACACACGCTGGGGGACATGCGCGCCGTGCGATTCCCCATCCGTCGCTACCGGCTCCCCGTCACCTTCCGGCACCAGAAGCTGGTCGAGATGGTCGAGCGCTACACGACCACCCAGCGGTCTACCGCAGCCTACCTTCCGGATCCCTTCGCGTATGTGGCCGAATTCAACGGTCTGACCCCGCAGGAGCTCAAGGATGTTCTATTGGCGGCCGAAACCGTCGTGCTCGCGGTGGGGTTTATCATGGCCTTGCCCGTTGCCGTGCCCCGAGATCCCCGCCACCGCATCCGCACCCCGAAGATGAATCCCAGTCGCAACTACACTCCTGCCGGCTGCTTTGCATACGGAGGGTCCTCTATTTCCATTTACCAGGTCGATAGCCCCGGCGGATATATGCCACTGGGCATGTCTCTCCCGACGCTCGATCTCTACGGTACGAACCCGGTCTTTCAACAGCAGGCCTGGCTGGTCCAGGATATGGATACGATCGGCTTCTTCGAAGTGGCAGAGGAAGAGTACGATGGGATATTGGCGGACCTGCGTGCGGGGCGGTATCAAGTCCAGGTCGAGGACGGTGTCTTCGACATGGCCGAATACCACCAACTGCTGAGAGAGACCGAGGGGGAGGCTGAGGCCATCCGGCAGAAGCAGCTCGTGGCAGCCGCCCAAGCGACGGCCAGGGAGAATGCTCTCCTGGCCCAATGGCTGGCGGAGAAAGATGCAATGGTGCCTGACGACGAAGAGGTAGCCCGCTTACTGCAGGGTGAGTTGATTGCCATTATCTGAGCCCACCGTGAGACCACCTGACTGATCTCATGCCACTTTTTTTCTAGATGCAACAATTCGAGCGGTCGAAGCCCCAACCAGCGCCAACGTGTGGAAGGTCCTTGTTGAACCGGGCACTATGGTGACCGAAGACCAGACCCTCGCGATATTGGAGGCCATGAAAATGGAAATCAATGTCGATGTAGCTGCGGGAATGGCGGGCGCCACCGTGGTAAAGGTCATGATCCAGCCGGGGGGTAGTGTGCATAGTGGTCAGCCGATTGTACTTCTGCGTCAACAAGCACAAGAAGTGGGAAGGAAATGTACATACTCAGGTGAAAACCTTGTCTAACAGCTTTCTTCGATCCAGCCACCCTACACGCCACAATTAATTCTTCGTCCCAAATTCTGAGGTACAAAGTACTGTACATAGCATTCCCTGCAAGTGATGTACCAATCGTGCCCTAATAAGCCAGGCGCTGATTGGGTGCAGGAATCCATCTGACCATCTGTCAGCTCACGTGATATAAGTAGTAGGTACTTAACTCGCTGTAACTTCTCGTCCAGCTTGTTGCCCCTCTTTCCTTCCTTGCTCCGACCCTAGACATATCTCTCATCATGGACCGCTTGCCGGTCGAAATAAAACAACTTATTGCCGACGTGGTGAGAACAGTGACGCTTGCATTGCATTAGTGAGACCTTCTAACCGCATCTACTCCCTAGATCGGCGATGTGTCGCCGGAAGCCCAGCGGGCTTTATCACAGGTGAATCATGAGTGGCGCGACGTTGCCGGACCTGGCGTCTATGGAACCCTCCCTATCCGCCTGGAGGACGACAAGTCAGGTCATTGTGACCGTGTGGTTGGGCTTCTGGACGCTACTCTCATTCTACCGCATGTGAAACACGTGGTACTATTGACTAGAGATACAAGGCGTTCCAGAACAGCAGAGAAGGACGCGAGGCTCTGCCGGTATCTACGCCAAAGTCCCCCAGAGGATATCATTGTCCCCGAACTGGGTAGATATAAGGGGAATTGGACCCCCATAATCCGCCTCGTGCAGCGGCTGACCTCGTTGAAACGGGTTGATGTCCTGACTCACAGGCAATGCCCGCCGGAATTGTTGACTGTTCTGGCCCAGACGCACCCGCACTGCCGCGTCTCGGTATTCCCTCGTTGCAGCTTCTGCCCAGCAGAGGACCTCTCGCGGGAGAAGTGGGCCCAGTCACCGGTGCTACATGCGGTTCAGATTATTTGCTACGAGAATCCTCGTGGCCTGAACGTTCACACTGACCATCCCGATCGCGCTTTGCGAGATCTCCTCCGCCAGGCGCCACACATTAAGCAGCTATCCTTGCAGATCAGGCCGATGATACCGGGCAGCACGCGCCAGAGCTACACCGAATGGCTCAAGTCCCGGCCGCCGGAGAGCAGGACTGATGCCAGCCCTGCGCGCGCGAGGCTGGAAGTCTTGTCGTTACCCTTGACTACCACGTTGACCGGGGACGGCTTCCAAGCGTGGTCCCGGGTGGCCGACCTGGGCTACCTGACTGCGTGGACGGCTGGTGCCCTGGAAGAGGAGAGCGCGTTGGCAGCCATCACGGACCTGCAGCCCTTCTGCGCCCTTAAGCGTCTCACCATCTCCCTCCAACCGCCTGCAGACTCTCTACCCTCATGGCCTCAGAATATTCAGGCCATGTTCGACTCGCTTCCGCCGCTGACGTATCTCTGCCTTCTGGGCACATATGACCCGACGATTCTCCCCACGGCCGTCCTCGACCGCCATGGCTCGACTTTAATCGAGTTGAAGCTGCATCGCGAGACGCCCCGGTGGCAGCGCGACGAGTCTACCCGACTGGCGCAAAAGGGACAGATCGCCCCGATCTTTCCCGCACATACGATTCGCCGCATGGCGGTCCGCTGCCCGAGGCTGAAGACGCTCCGTCTCTGCGTGCAGCGCCACCGGGGCTACCCCGCCGAGACGGAGGCTTACGACGCCCTCGGCCAATTTCCAGCGCTAGAGACACTAGACCTCGTTCTCAACTGCCTCCCGGTGGTGCAGGGCGACGGGACGCCCTTTCCGCCACGCGAGCTGAATGAGTACGAGCAGGGACACAACCAGGACCGCGTGCCCAGATGGATTGTCCGGGACTGCGCCATCAACTGCGCGATCGACGCCCCCCTGGCTGGGGCGATCTTTAAGCGAATCCACCCGCGGCCGCGCAGGGGCAGTCTGCGCCTGTTGCGGCTCCACCCGCTCGCAGGCCACCACGGCCAGTATCGGGTGGCCCCCGGGATTAGCAACTCTCAGGCTCTCTTTGCGCGCAGGTATCTCAACTTCCAAATGTTGGGTAAGTGGCAGGTTACTTGGGATGGCGGCGGTTGGCTGCGGCCCCGAAACCGTGAGACAAAACGCTGGGAAGGAGGCAGCTCAGCAGTGACGAGCGCGGACCTTGAGATCTTCGCGTCCATCTGGCCCTCCGCTCGAAGCACTCAGACCTGGCCGTTGGACTGGCAGAGTTGGCCTTTGCAATAGGCACGCACTTTGTTTCTTTGCTCTTTGCCTCGAGGAATCCATAGTCAAGGCATTTGGAAGGATCGAGAAGATCTTCAACCTGAGGAGTAGCATCTGTTAAGCCGGTATAGTAGTGCATTCATATTCCTAGGCTCGAGATGCCGCTGGCTCAAAGATTCATCATTAACCCCAACATCGATCAATCTCCTGCGTTAAGCCTCCTCCAAGCAACCCCTTTCATACCTTGTCTGCCATCTTCTCCGCCTCCGTCCGCAGATGTATTCCCGACCTGCTTCCCAGATGATCGTCAACATCGACTCTTCCGATTCTCTGTTCTGCGGAGTACCTTGTCGTCGTGGTGAGGCGAGCGGCATCAGGAACCGGAGCTCCGACGGGTGGTGGTGGTGCAGGCGTAGTGTCAGTAGGTTTGGAGACTAGTGGCTAGCCCTGATGGCGACTGGGATTGATCCAGTCAATCACAAGGATACACGCCATCAGCTTACTATCACCTATCTACATCTGGCCAGCTAGCATGCCAGTCGCGCAGTTCCTGCGTGAGTCACAGATCCACAAAGGTACTTGCTTATGCCCGTTCCAGTATAGACTGATTCATTCTATGTCTATTTTCTCGACCTATGTCTGTTCTTCAAATCATGATGCAAACCATGTGACTCATAAATGGATCGCCACCTGCATCACTCTTGCATCCTCACCCTGTGTGCGCTATCTTGAATCATGTGATGCTCATAGCATCTCACTCAACTTCCCATCAAACCCAGGAAAAGCCCAGCCCTAGTTCAGCACACTCTGGCAGCGATCAATTCCCAGCGCATGGATCAAGAACTCGTTGATGAACTGACACTGGGGATTCATCTCCTCCTTCAGGTCGAGCCACTTGCTCATCTTGGGAAGATGGTGGCGGTGTACGTCTCGTTGTGGGACTGCATCTTGTTCCAGTGCGACCGCACGTTGTACTTCTCACCGAACCGCGGGATGAACTCGCTCGCCAACTTCTGGTAGAAGTACTGCTGCGTCCAGTTGTTGTAGGTGGGGATCCAGGAGTACTCGAGCGAGGCAAAGACGCCCTGCGCGCCCGCGGGCAGGTTGTAGTCGTTGACCGGTGACAGCCAGTTGTCGTCTGCCTTGATGAAGCGTGTGATCACCGTCACGTCGTCGCTGAGGTAGCCCTTCGACTTGTCCGCGGCAATGTCCGGGTTCTGGAAGGGGATCATCCGCGCTGCCTGCGACTGCGCGTGGTGCAGGTAACTGATGAGATCCGCTTCGTTGTCAGGGACGAAGTAGCCCGTAGCATCGCATCTGATGTCTTCCTGCCAGTTGAACCAGCGATGGGCGAGGACCCCGGAACTGTTCAATGCCAGGAGAGAGAGAAGGGCAGTGCCCAGGTATGACTTCGTGCCAACCATGCCGAACAATGAGGATATATGCTTTGCAGGTGGGTTATTCAAGACGAAATCAGATAATTACCAAGGTGCCCATGTACCAATTAATACTTCCAACGATGAGTAAGATAAAGACTGGAGAGTTGGTCAGGGTCTTCAATGTGCTTGTTCTGGACTCGAGTACCCGGGCCCGATTGATGGTTTTATAACCTTTCTGCTGCAAGGTCTCTCTGTCCAAATCCGTCAAACTAGGCCATCTTCCGTCCCTCAGTTGATTACCAATGTCGCATTGGATGTCAAGGTCGAGGCCATTCTGATGAACAAACATTGACTCCACGGGGATTATCATTAGCAGAGACTGCCGAAAAGATCGGCGTATCCTCTGGGAACTCAAGGCTCTCAACATTGGATTTCAAATGGTTCAGGATCCAGAACTGTGAGGCTTTCAGATGCAAAGGATCAGAGCTATGCGAATAGTTATCTCTCGGCGCTGAGGCTGTTCAGCATGAAAAGAGCCGGTGAAGGAGCAGGATGACGTAGGACTGGCTATACTTGGACTATTGTTCGGCCACATTACTGGAAGACCGACCTGACGAAGATGATTGATATTCCCGCTTTGAGCTCTAATTCCAGTATTCTATTGTAAATTCTCTTCACGGCTTCCCGCTCTTCATCAGAGTGCGCACCATAGATGATCCCTGGTGGTCTTGAGCGTCGGGGTAGCGCGGGGAATTGGCTCAACGTCCAGTTCAGGTCGGGCTGTCCCTTCACGGGAAGGAAGGGGCCCTTCTCCACCGGGCTGAAGGATCTGCACCAATGCAGTCGGGACCAGGGAGTGGGATGCGGTTCTAACCTGCCGAGAGGTTATATTGCCCGATATTATACCCCGCAGTGCTCGTTGCGTCATGCTCATTTGTCCGCACTACGTATCACCAGCCCCCACTTCCCACTGTGGAGCCATAGGAGGTTGAGGACAGCTTCAACCCAAGGAGCAGTTGCTGGTCGTCGAAGAAAAGAAGAAAGGTCTCCTACGATCTTGGCCCTTGGTAATTGTTGGCTCGTGTTGATCCATGCTAGCTCATGGCGGTTCATGTATGCCGGAGTCGGAGTTTGATGAGGGACTCTGATTACAGAGAAAGGAGCATCTAGACACATCGATGGCTAATCGCCAAGTATCTAGACTCGTTCCCGGGTGCAATCACCAGGTGGAAACCCCAGACTTCTGTTGGTCCCCTTCGGTCAGGGCACGAAGCTGCCTGGATCCGAGCTAGGACCCAGCAGTCGTTCTGGATGTCAGGGCGGATATCTGTGGTTCACTTGTGGAATAGTCTACAGATCGAGTCGAATTATAAGATTGGTACCTGCAGACCAGCTAGTCTGTGAGTTCTTTCTTATAGACCTAGACTTAAGCATGATTGTGATAACTCTTAAGTTGCTTTCGGTATCTCGAGATCCCTCGCAACTCTGGGTCTCTGGTTCCGACTCCCCATCAAACCTGCGCAAAAAGGCAGTACTATTCTCCAAATGGTTTGAGAATATATACAAGAGAGATCTAACCACGCTCTATTCAATACGAAGCCGCCATGTTTAGTGGAAGAGTTGTCCTGGTCTGGGTGTGGCAAACCGCTTTATTCAGGTAACCATCTATCATAATGGCGGATTCGACGAAGAACCTGGATACATAAGACATGAATACAGTTGAGTTATCACTACAATGACCAACAATTTGTCTTTCAGAGACGCAGGACGAAGAAGGTCATCTATCACTACTAATTTGCAGAATAGTTGTTCAGCCAGCTGAGATAGGTAAGTTATTAACTGCTTCACTTGTTTCAGAAAGGACACGGTACCTATATAACAATTGTGGCTCTTGAGGGCGGAATACAGACATGCAGTAATGAGGACTATCTCAAGTCTTGCCATAAAGTTGCCTAGGGATAGACCAAATCCACGAGCAATTCTTCCACAGTCAAATCTGGAAATTAATAAGAGTCCGATTGGAGTTGAGACCTACTTCAAAGCTCCTCCCTGTAATAATATCACTTACTTGATCAGGCTTGAGACCTATTCTAGAAACTTTGCGAGCGACCATTGGGCTGTGACAGGCCTTCGCCTTTTTTTATTCAAGTGGCACATGATTCCAATTTGAAGACATTCGTGACTGGCAACCTATGCAAAAAGCTCACCCTGGTGTCAATGACAGATTCGCGGTCCTTGACGTCAGACGGGCAACTGACTCGATCATATTCATACCCAGCCTGATAAGGGAAAAGAGCTTGTTTCAGGCGCACGAGGGGGAGGATATCCTTCATCCTGAGTTGGAAGTGGTTTTTGTTTAAAAGATTTATAGTGTCGGGTGATGGAGCCGGGTGCCAAAATATAAAAGATGGTTCTACTAGTTTGTTGGGAGGCCTACCGCACGAAGCTATTTATGTACGCAGATGATCATGGCAGCTGTGACCTTATATCTAGTCATCAACAGAACAAGCTAGCAAGGAATTAGAGTGGCTTCTGTTATAATTTGATGTGAAGGCTTGTTTTAGAATATGCAGATATGTGCAGTAAAAGTATTGACTACTACAATTGCTGGAAGTTCATGTCGGTCCCTTGCGATGCGGTTTTCTCTCTGCTAGCGTTTCCGCATACTCTGATGTAAATCAAGTGAGATTCTTTGCTCTCGGGCCAGGAGTTCATTTGAGATGATAATTAGGAGTAGAATAAATTTGGGTAGATACCTTGCGGGGATGCCAGATTGATATACAGTGATTAGCAGATTTCCCATTTCTTGAGGATTAAGAGTCAAGTCCTGGTCGCCGCCTGTACTAGTGGCTAGGTTATGCAGGGGTGGAGTGTTAATAGATGTAAGTTGTCCAGTTTAGATGGGCTGCTTATTTCTACAAGCAATGCGGACCTCATCTCTCGAATAGCGGTACGATCAACGTGCTTGTGGGATCCTGCCGAGTGGTCGAGCACTTGACCGCATTGACTGGATGCCGATCAATCTCCTGGCTGAAGTGTTTGTAGATCAGGCTGTTCTTGGTTGCTCCTGGATAGTACCTGATGACCGGGGGGAAACAAGAGAATCTCCAGATTTCCGACTTTTCGGATCCCGTCGGCGAAATGAGTCACTGGAAGCGGGCCTAATGCGACCGGTCCCGATACTATCATGTTAGAAATGGTTTAATCCGCCAGTAAAAAGGCGCTGAGGGAAATCTAAGCCATGATTAAGGCCAAGCACTCATCTCAAAAACAGCCAGTGAGATGGTCCATGCGCTTGCGGGTTTTCTTCCATTGCATGGTTATATGTCACCATCTTCCTCCTTTTAGGGTTCAGTGGGTAGTATCTTTCCGCGTCCCTTCAAAATGGCTCATCAAGTCGACAGGATCTGCTGGGATGTTCTGACATCCAATCTTGTTTTCCAATCCCATCCATCAGCCGATGTAGACGAGGTTACAAATCTATACTTCCGCTTCAGGCCCCAGCAGGGCCAAGACATCGGCCGGTTCGCCGACTCCTTGGCCCATGCGATCGCCAGCGAGACCGAACGCGAGCGGGGGGAATATCCGGCGAGGTATGACCCACTCCAGCGACACGATCTCATCTTGGCCGACGAGATAGCCCAGAAGATCCAGCCCCTGGCCTATGCATGGTGCCAGAACGACCGCTGGGGATTTGACTGGAAGGTGACTAACTCGTCAGAACTGTGTCGCCATGTCGAGAGCAAAGGCTTTGCCTGCGGATGCCCGCTACCCTACAGGGAAAGACTGGGATCCGCCTTCCTGCGTCAATACCAAGACAACGATTGTTTCGAATTTTTCCAGGTCAATGGGGATGCCTTCTTCAATTTGCAGGTGGTCAACGCCCTTTTGGTTTTGGGCGAAATGGAAACTGTTCTACAACTCTGCGCCCATCCAGCGATCGATCTGCGGGAGTGGATGGAAGTCCGGGAGTGTTATGACACAGTACGTCGCGGTCGCGTTCGATCAAATCCTTTCGCGCACTTCCCCCCAAGGTTAAATCAAGCTAATTTCTATCTCAGGAACCAGAAGTTGGGTGGGATAAAGTCTTCGAGGTTACCCTGGATTTCTACCTCCTGTTGAACCTTCTACACGGTTTTCCCGAGCTGCGGGAGGGTAGTAAAATAGGATCGGATGACTACCGCGACACGAAAATGTACCAAAAAACCCTCTTCCTGTGGACGCAAATGCACTCGCAGGCCGAAGTTCCGAGCCAGTTTTATCGCCGATTCTTTGGACTGGAAGACCATTTCGAAGTGCCTCTCACGATCCAGCGGCATTTCCACCTGCCGGTCTTTGCCAAGCTTCTCGCCGAAGAACAGGCGAGGGAGCGCAACAGGGTACCGCACGACGATGATGATCCCTACGAGCCATATCTCCATCTTGATGAAGATAATTTTCCATTTGGCAAGGTCCCATTTGAGATGTTCTTGACCTGTGATACGGAAGCCCCCTATTACCGGAGTACGTTGGAGATTGCGCGGGTGGAAGCTTATTTGCGACACCTAGGGTTGCCGCAGGAGTTGGTGCTGGAGATTATGGCATGGACCGAATACGATTGACCACGCGCGAGTCTTCCCGTGCCGCATGACCCCCTGCACGTGGAGAATCGGACGGTGCTGAAGCAGTACCTGGAGGAGTGCTTCTGTATTATGGTCCGTTGTAATATGGTGGTGCAGGAACTGGGGATGGAGATACACTGGCCGTCCTGTGTGGTACACGCTCTCGATCGGCTCGTGTCGAGTCCCACGGGCCAGAGACTCTTTGTGCAAAGTCACCCTCGGATTATCTTGATGAGTGAGAATGGAGAGTTTCCTTGGACTACACCCGAGTAATGCTGCGTTTTCCTCACGGCCTTGATGGAGTATGGGATGGGTTGCATGACGACTGCAAAACGAGGCGGAGATAACCCGAGAAGGCATTTCTGCAAGCCTTGAAAAGCATGCTTGAAATCATCTCAACAATTAATTTTGTTTACAGGTAGTATATGTTTGGGTGCTGGGAAACGCTTCTAATAGGGTTATAGTAGTAAAACCAACACATCGCGAGTGTTAAGAATTTCTCTACTATCTTATTCTCAACTCCACACTCCCTCACCTCGGATCCCTTTGAATACACAGCAGTTGAACAACATATCATGCCCTCCGATCACCAATTCACCGATCGCTCAAAGAGAGTACTGATCAATAATTCCACAGCAGGTAAATGAACGATCGGCGCCCGTGGTCGATATTGTCGCTGAAGTCCTGAAAGCCCAGCCTCTGCGCGGTGGCCGCGGTCATTGGCTCGCTCCGCCGCGCAAGCACCACCTGCTTCACATGCCGCTCGCCCTCGCCGCCATAGCGAAATTCCAGGTAGCGATACAACCCGCCCGCTCCCTTGGCCAGATCCAGGGCTCCCTCGCGGGCGTGGTCGGAGAAGACGACTCGGATGTCGGAGATCCCCGTGCCTCGCTCATCGTGGTATTGGGCGACCAGCCAGACGAATCTGTGGTGGTTTCGCTTAGTTTCTCTTTCAGAATTCGATGGGTGGGGTATCAATGTAAAGGGGGAATGGAACTGAAGGGTAGAACTGCTGCGAACCTTCCACCATAGCCGGCATTAATGTCCCCGTTGTCGTTGTTGAGGACTGGGATGGTGTTGTCGGGTTTGTCACTCGCGTGGTCGCCATACACAGGCTTTGCGAGGGAGAAACGGGTTAGCCGACTGAACTCTATGGAGAAGTGTAGCGAGGTGAAGGAAAGTGAAGATATACTCGAAGAGTACCGAGCCAGCCCATGTTGAGAAATTTGTTAGATGGTTGATGTGCGAACTGGGACTGGGCCGGGGATTGCTTTGCGGAATAGAGAAGTGTTGTAGCGGATGTTGTTCTGCTGTCGTTCTTCAGTTAGACGAGCAGCTATCATCATCCTTTTATAGAGAGGATACCTTGGGTAAGGGTGGCAAGTACTCGAGTTCAGCTGATAGAACATTCGAGCCTCAGACCCTTGAGTACATGGACGGCGGGTGCGACATCGCCGCAGGGAGTTGTCTTGGCCTCCAGCCAAACAATCTATACGAGCGCCCCGTACGAGCGCCCCGTACGAGCGCCCATTATGAGCGGGAAACACTCAGTCGCGATGGAGTCCACGTGGCATGATGCAAAGGAGTACCAAGAGGAGGCTCTTCTCGTGGTGTCCGGGGTATTGCTATCAGCTGAAAGAAAGTCGGAGTCAGCGGGGTCTTGGATGACCGCCGCCGGGGTTTGTGCACTATCGGGATCTCCGAGGGCATCTCGTATTCATCGTTCCAGCTATATTTCACAGAGCATTCACGCTGCGTCTAGTATACACTTTATTATAAACAACCAGGAAACATCCCGAGTCGCGCACGGAGGGGAGTCACCCCAGCACAAAGCTTTACGTGTCCAGGACTGACTGACCCGTTGGGCCAACACAGATAACATGCCCGAAAAGAGCATCACTCGCCTCATGCAGATTGGAACAATCCTCATTCACCCAGGGATTATACGCCCGAATTGCCGAGACTCCCAACCAGGAGGGTTCGAGGTCGAACTCTCGCTCGATTGAGTCGCACGTATCCCCAGACCTAAGGGTATAGGTTCTACACCTGAACGGAATGCACAACCTCGTACCCTCGGGAATAGCGAAACAGTCGATGAGCGGCCAGCTCACCGCTCGAACAGCCGCCGAGGCAACCTGGAACTGCGCCGCAATGCTGTCGCATGTGTCCCCGGGCGAGGTGGTATATGAAAGGAGGGTCGCGCAGTACGGGTCACGCTCTATATGTGGATCCTCGGAGAGCACGAGCTTCGGGATGGCTGTGGGAAGGTTGAGCTCACAGGCACGGTTGATGTGTTCGAGGTACGACTTGAAGTTTCTGTCGTAGAGTGAGAAGGGTGAGGTTTGCATGACGCGATGCCATTGCACATTGCAGAAGGAGCAGAGTTCTCCGACCGGCATTTCATCAATAAAGGATGTGCTAAAGCCATTAATAATATCTACGCATATAATGCGTGTGAGCACCATGCCTCTATGAGTCGGGGCGGACGCTGAGAAAAGAAGAACCTACCACCACAGTATCTCCCTGTCCCCTCATCCTTAAGACAAGTCTCGTTCCAACCCGCCCACAGCTGCCCACCCCGCAGGGTTGGGAAAAGCATTTTCTCCTCTAGCGTGGCGCAGTCACGCTCAACGCTCCGAAACCACGCGGCGATGGACTCCCCACAACCGCTGTCACAGACCAGATCGCTAAGCGTGTCGTTTCCCAGACCCGGACCATGCCTCCAACGCGCCCACTGCCGCTGCAAGGATCGCGTCTTCTGGTGACAGTGGATCCTCTGCGTCATGGATGCCCTGCATGCCAAGCTGAGCTTTGATAGCGTTCTGGCGTGTATCTCGTTCTTTTCAGTCCATAATTGGAAACCGTGAAATTTGGACAGAGAACTCGATTCATCCTCTTCGGAAATGCCCAGAGTGTGTTGGTGTTGAGCGAGGTAATGACCAGCGAGCTCAGGCTGCCTAGCTACTTGGGCAACTGTAGCACTGCATAGCAGCAGCCAGGTAAGCAGAATATCGGCACCTCTCATCTTGAAGCACCAATCATCAGCCAATACGGCATTCGATCATTATCTACGCATGATCCGGGGGGAGGGGGAGCTTTTATGAGCGAGCGGAGTGCCAAATGGGAGCGAATGGTAGCATCGCCCTACGCGCGCCGAGCCGCCAGAGCGCTTAAGCGAGTTGAGAAAACCCACATTCTCCAAGCCAATGCGCGTTGATTCGCCCCGCAACTCGGAGGGCCTGTCACTAGCCTAATCGCCCCCTCAACAATCCCCTTGAAACTGGGCAACCCATCGACAGCCCGGGTCCGAGGTCTCCGGTGGATGGATCCTTGTATAGATAGATCCGCTGTCCCAGCACACTAATACATCTATCCAGAGCTTATATTCGTTTCAACTGCACGTATGTCAGCTAAGCTTGATGGAGTCTAAGGTCTTCAGTAATTAGCTGGGCAGCTTACAGCTCTAGGTGCGTGCTCTCCAATCATCTGTGTGGAGCAGGCTTGGACCAGGGCTCCGAAACCGGCTTGGTCGGAATGCCAAGTGCCGCAGACCCGAACAAGGCCCTAAGTTGGCTGAAGGCACTTCACCACGGCGAGTAAAGGACAGCTCAACTGGTCTCCCACAAGATGGATATATTTAGCTACTGAACGTAGTATCCAGCATTTGGCCTAAGCGGGGGCAGTGTACTGTACATACATCATCAAGGCCTACGCCCACGCATGCAGGCTGCAGTCTTATATTTCTCATCACACCGCCCGCAGAATCTAGCCCATCCTCTGACACGCACATGGGGAATCTTGTCCAAGAAGCCGATTATCTCTCAGAGAACGTTTCCAATGGTCGAACAAACCCTCTCTCCTAGTCTTGTGGAATGGCTGGATCAACTAGAAGAGTGGAGTTTCGGATCAGATATCGATGATTCCAGCATCGAAAGTATCACCCCTCTTGGCGCGTCACTAGAAGATCTTCTGCAGAGCAACCAGTCTGCCGCCAGCAAGGCTCCTGAATGTACACCACTTCCAGCATCCCGAAGTTCCTCGTCCGCCTCTAGCCAGGATGCCACGGCAAGTGCATCAACAGGCTCCCTTCGGGTGATCGCACGATGCGATACCCCTGTGGTGCCGTTGCACATCCCGCTTCCCAAACCTCAATTGCCACTCTCAAAGAAACAAAAGAGCCCGAGACAACAGCAACATCCTCTCACGTATCGACAGAGGTCCGCACCTGCACTGTCCTATGAGGAGATGCTGGACCGTGCTGCGCAGGCATACCAAATCAAAAATGGGAAAGCCCTGGGACCATCTCGCCTCAACAAGACGAGTATCATCTATTATGACTACTTGACCGACGACATATCGGACCTTGTGGAAATCAGGGACAGCAAGCACATTGCGCGGTTGGAGGTCATCCCACCTGAGGTGCGCCAGCGCGTGCTGTTGGTGGAGGATCTGTCGCGCGACACCATTTACGCACTGCGTCATACTTTCCGCGTCAACCCGGAAGTTTTTGAAGAGCATCTCCTCAGTTCAGGATACAGCGGCGCCGACTACGATGACGCTCCGGCACTGCAGTGGAAAACGGCCCCGTTGAAAAGGTCCCACATGAAGACGAGCATGGTGGGAGTTATGACGATCATGATAACGACAGCCATGGAGCGGTAGTTGGCTAGGCATTGGGAGCAGAGGGAATGTTACAAGTTGTCCCCTAAAGAAGCAACGCGTCTGAAGCAGGACCCATAGCGGACCACCCCAAGGCTGGGCCTCGTTTGATTACCTGGTCCAAGCCCAAGAACCAAAAGAAAACGGTCAGCAGGCTACAACAGCGAGTGCTCGTAGAGCAGATGGTTCCTCGGAAGGCCATGATGCACGATTTAGACGACGCATTTGGGAACCCAGACCTTTTGGGTCTAATTCAAAAAGAGCTGGATGAGACAAAAGATCCACCCGCACCGAGATATGCTGTATGTTTGACGCTTCTTATCAGCTGATCGCCGTGGTTGGGCCGATGTTTGAAATCATCTGACACGACACTATGGCCATACTTCGAACCTATGGCGTCGGCAATTCGAGGTCGCCTGAGTTCCGTAATCGTTATGACTATCATCATTGGCACAGTCGCCTTCTGGTTTTGCAAGGTTGCATGCACACCAAGTTAGCGTCGGCTAATGCTCTCTGCATTTGAGCATGCTACCGTACAGTACACTCCACTATCTTCTGCCCCTGAAACCCGGCAATTGAATCGGCCAAATCATCTGTTCGTCAACGCTGCCCTTCATTTCCAGCGATGTAGTTCTCTGGGGCTTCTGCCGCTTGATGTACGCTGGCCTCGTCTCTGTCATCACGGGTTAGAGCAAAGACGGCGTCAAAGCCCTTTATCATCATCAGCCACGCTGCAGCGGCAAGAAGATTCAGAAATAGCGCAGTCCATTCAAGGGCCATAGATGCAACGCCAACATGGGCCTCAATCGCCTCATACGTCAGGAATTCCGCCATCGATGCCGCCGCGCTACTGTTTATATGCTGCCAAAGGATGGCTATCAAAAGAAATGCACCCCCGGCAGTGAATGCACCCGCAGCAAAATAGGACATTTCGGTTAAGGAATCGCTTGATCTCGATAATTTCCCCGTTTTCATCTATCCCATCGATCCACCCAGGAACCGTTACAAAGGCTAGGACACCGACAAGCGCCAAGGGAATAACAATAAATCTATTCATTCTCAGCCCAATATTCCTGTGGAACTGGAAAGGCACGAGCAGATCAGACTCACATCAACCCGTCGAAAATAATGTAAAACCTAAACCCTAAACCCCTGAATGTTTTCTCAATGTATATCAAGTCCAGTGGATCCGCGCTGCTTGCATATGCGCTGTCTCTAAACGTATTCGCAAGCATGGTCGCACTGCTGGAGCAGAGCCGGATCCCATCATCGACCTGCAACACGCATGGACCCAAGTACTCAACCCTTACCTGGAGGGTGGGCGTCGTACTGCTTGGTTCGCTCACGTTGTAGACCCTGGCTGCCATAGCTGGGTTCGTCTCAGACGAATCTGTTCCGATCATCGACGAGTTTCTATACTGCAGTGATAGAAGATAGACGTTGCTCAATCCGTTGGACGAGGTGTATCCTGCAACCAGGATTGCTGTGGACGGGAACAACGACAATGATTGGATATTTCCAGCAACGTCTTAGACAAGGAGGGAAGGCGAACAAGAAAGGAGAACACAGAAGAAGACTGGAGAGTCCGACATAGTAGAATGATCGAGATCGTGGAAGTGATCATCACCGCATGGTGCCACCCGATCTTACGCCAGATATCTATGTTCAGCCACTTTGTCAGCTCATCCAAATTCTGACCCTGAACAGGGAAACAAAAAAGTGGGGAACTGTTCCAATTTTTCTTACCATGAAAGCCGTCGGAATGCTCTTTTATCCTGATGTCGGGTTCGAACTGTCGCTTCTCTTTGACTGTGACAAGACTTACAAAATTGTAAGGTAAGCGGCAACTCCGCAATCATTCGCATGTATGTTTTTAAATCCCGGGAATCAAAGTACTGGGTGGCTTATTGTCATTGGGCGGCTATTTGCTTCTTTCTTTGCTTTACGTCGGGCGTGAGAATGACCTCGGACGAGCCGACATGTACCTACTCCAACTAATGCAAAGAAAGTACAATTCAGCTCGATGTGGTTGGTGGATTCTAGCATCACTGAGGCTGTACGACTTGATAGTGCACTGCAAAGCGGCAAAGTATCCAGCACCTCCGTGCCTTGACATTTTCCTTGGGATGAAAACTCTCGAAAGTACAACAGGATCGATAGACTGTCGTAAAAGGAAGTAGATTGGAGGAACGGTACAGAGTCAATCCTCGATGTTTTACCGTGAAGCTCGGATGGCTTGCCGCCTAACCAGTAAGTTAGCCACTGGACATCAAAATGCAGTTAAGTAGATTGTCAGGATAGGTTGTGGCAAAGTCAAAGAGTGGTATAACCACATACGACCACAGGGTGTGGAAAACAGGGCTTCCCGTCCGCTCAGCCGTACTTAAGCCACACGCCGGGAGGTTAGTAGTTGGGTGGGTGACCACCAGCGAATCCCTTCTGTTGTATGTTTTTTCATCCACCCAGATGCAGTTCTTGGCTTTTTCAGGAACTATCCTTAATCTTTGCTCCTGCTGCTTTTCGCCGGCAGGTGGTTCGAGGTCATCATCTGCATTATTACCAAAGTGTTTGTGGCTGTTAAACAACATCGTCTCTGGCCATTCCACTACTCCAGGCCCTGTATTGCACAGCCTCTGTACTAATGTTCGTTTGGGCGCGTCCCTCAACACCCACAGCCACAGATGTTGCCCAATCGGGCGGCTGCGTTCGCCCTACTAGCATTAGGGGATTACAGGGCTACTTAAGTTGCCTTTAATAAGAACACCCGCCCATCCTACACGCGGATTCTGAGAAATAACCTTGGAGAGATTCTTGACCGAGTTCAACTGCCCAATCCGCGACTTCTGATGGCCGTTGTTACCACATCCTCTACCCACCAAGGTTGGGTTACTGAGCCGGATGGACGGGGATCGTGGAGTATTCTTTCAACTTGTTCACTGACTATTATTCTCTGCTGTTGGACAGCAGTTCTTCCCAATATACCCGCTCGGACTGACCAGTGGTATCACCGTCTACGGGACCGATTACACTTGGCTTTCATTGGAGTGTTGGGGCCCGAGTTTCTGCTCATGCTGGCGTTGGGTCAGTGGTCCTCAGCCCGGGCATCAGTAAAGGTAAGGCAAATCCACTGGTTTCGTAGCGCTGTATCATCTTTTTACGCTCGAATGAATGGCCGTTAAGCTCTCAGAGCCTAGAAATTCGAGCAACTGACGAGAAATTCCACGGGTCTAAATACACCCTCATGGACCCTTGCACATGCCTTCTATGCCGACATGGGAGGCTTTATCCTCGAAGACGAGGGAAATGCGATGTCTTTTCCCGTCAATGCCGAACAACTCTGTTTTTTGATAGCAAACAACTACATCAAACACCCACTCTTGACGAAAGACGACATCAATGATCGTAACAAGTCAGACAGCTTCTCACGGTGCGGACAACCTGTGCTTGGTGGTAGTGACCCATATGATCCATGGACTAATAGGGGCTCACAGTGTACTTGCCATCTGTCAGGCGTTGTGGTTTCTCGTTAATAGCGCTCTTCGAGTGGCGCAGGGATTATTCCTAACTACCCTCGAGCTCACAACCATATCTTACGTGGTCGTCTTTCTCGTAACATCGTTCTGCTGGCGTGCCAAACCGTCCGACATAACCGGTACTATTCCGATAAAAACAGGGACCCCAGTTAATATTATTCGGGCAGAGGTTCGTGAGAAACCATCAACTGTCAATGAAAGCTAGCGCACCCATCCAGCGAATACACTAACCCGATTCCATGTTCGGAGTGATAGCACTGCCTCTATCCAGACCAGCCCTGGCATGATACCCCGCTAGACTTCGTCTATGCCGACATCTCCTTCTGCGGCGTGCACTGGCGCTACTATACGCAGATACTCCGCAATCTGCGCCTCCCAATCGCCTCGCGGCCCATGACTGCTCAGCCGCAGAACCGAATCATCAGTGATAACTTCCCCGTGACCGATTTACGGGCGGACTGCATTGCCACGCCTGTGCTCCTTCTTTTCGGTTCGATGTTTCTCTTTGCCTGGGACTTCCACTATCCGACCGGCGCGGAGCGACTTCTCTGGCGAACCGCCAGTGTCTATAACCTACTCTTCACCGTGGTCGGGGGTTTGCACGCCGGCTACTGTGACAAGATCCTCCTTCCCCGCGCGTATGAGGAACGCAGACATCGCATTCCGTGGCCAGCGGCACCGTCGCCTTCACCGTCGCCAAGGGGCTCGCAGGCGGGAACATGCCCTTCAGCCTACTCCTCGCCCTCCAAATTACCAAGCCAAGGGTTCTGGACTCGTCTCGCGAACAAGATGCGCAATATTGACCCGCGGCACGATCCCAAAGCTGAGATCCCGCTACGAGTGCTCGTGCCAACCTCGCTACTCTGTGCCCTGTACTGCGTGGGACGAGCGTATATCTTGGTGGAGGACTTCATTGCTCTGCGAAGTTTGCCGGCCTCGGCTTTTCAGACCGTTAGTTGGGAGGATTATGTTCCTCACCTTTGAGAAGAGTACATGCCAGAAATGCAAGCACGGCGGTACCTGCATATGTTTCACTTTGGAGATATTCAAATATATAACGTGCAACTTATTACAGGTTCCACTGCAGGCCTATGGAGTTGAGTCACTACGAATGTACTTAGCATGATTCATTATGTTTTTTAAAATTTTTAAAGTGACTTGACGGTTAGAGAAATAGGTCATTTTTCAATTCTCCAGATAAACTGATAACACTGCCACTCACTACAGTCTACGGAGTACTACGTGTGGAGATTGTTTCGAGTGGTTCCAACTTTCGAGGCGTTTGACCTCAGCACCGCCCAGCAAATCTACATTAATAGGATATATCCGAGTGTAAGTACGACACCGCAATCAACACTAATTGCTTCATGAACAAGCAACAAGTCGTCCGATTCGTAGGACAAAGCGGTGGTACAAATGACCCGATCGGACTTACAATTATAACTTTTGTTATTAGGTACGGAGTACGTTGTCAGCATCACCTCGGAACAAAGCTGTACCGGATTCCTACTCGAGTATGCACCAAATGTGCTGATAACGATCACGTGATCGAATGAGAAGAGGGGTTAAGTTATCTGCCTGAGGCTCGACTGGCCTCCAGCCCCCTCTTTACATCAATCACCAAGGTGTACTCCTAGTAGGTGTATTGCTGAATACACGTGATATCATTCGGAAACCCATTGGATTTTGAAACATTTGAAATGGCGGGCGATCATGCAAAGCCTTCAGCACAGAGCCTGGCTCCCAGCTCACGTCGACCATTCCCGTGCGATGAATGTCCGAAAACATTCACCAGGAATGTAAGTATCATGTATTTTCTTCCTCCGCACTCTAGACCGTCTAATGCTAAACTTTGTCCTCACAGGAGAACCTGCACCGGCACAAGCGCGCTCGTAAGTTCTGAGCCTTGAAGAGCGGACGAGACCTCCAAGTAATAATTGTTGTCCACTTAGGTCATCATCGTGCCCTGAGTCATGATTTCGAATGCGATGGCTGTCATGCGGTTTTTACTAGAAGGTCTCCATCATACCTGCACCCAATGGCTCCTTCTATCATTACTAACCAGCCCCCAGTGACGTGTGGAGAAGGCACCGGGGTCGTTGCCAGGCAGAAACATCTGCTAATCATGCATCTCAGCCGCAAACATGTCCACAGCAGAGCTGCCCGTCAGTTGTTGAGACGACCACGCTTGTAGCTGCGACCGGTAACCTGACACCGGGCGAGGCGCTGACTGCAAATGCTATGCCTGGCGATCACTTTTGGGAAGAGCATAGCTCCTTTGCTACCAATCTTCCGCGAGAATACATAATGCCCTCGCCAATGTATGTCTTTACCTTTACCCATCGAGCTTGATTTCATGCCCACGGGAGGACGTGTCTGATTACCACAGCTTCACCGATCGAAGCGACTATGACATGGAAGGAAATGTCAAGACCTACTTCGAGCATTTTCATCCGTCGCTACCGTTGTTGCACCGGCCTACATTTGCAGTATCATCGGCACCGAAGCTACTGCTCAAAGCTGTGACTGTGATAGGTAGCTTATGCTCGACAGTGGTATGCACCGATGAAGAAGCCCACGCCCGGGTGCACTGGCGTCAGGATACGTGGCAAACTGGACAACAGGAACTTCGAAAGATGGTAGATAAGACATTGTTCATTCTCGGCTTCAGGTGCTTAAATGCTAATCAATTTCGAGATAGGTTTCCAATGAATGCGGCAACATACGGAAACCCTGGGTGATGCAAGCCTGGATACTTTACATGATATATGGGGTTTATGCAGGAGAAGCAGCCCAGTTCCGAACAGCACGGGACATGCTGCGACAAATTGTCGATGTTAGTTCAAGTTCCCCTCCCTTATTTGCCGTCCCGTCAGACTGTCGCTCATCAAAGCTCAGGCTGTACGTGAGGTCGGTCTCTCTCATCAAGAGATTGTCATGCCCGAGTCACGGTCCTGGCTGTACGACATCGACTATCCACGCACAGAGCAATCGCAAACCGTGTACACCCGATGGACCTCCTATATAACTGCGGAGTCCACGCGAATCGCGCTGTACACGCTCGTCTTCCTGGATTCACACGTTTTCGTACCCTGCAATTCCCGGCCCTTGATGTCTTCAATGGAACTACGATGGGAGCTCCCTTTCCCAACCAAACTCTGGGAGGCGAAAGACCCTGAAATATGGATTCGGAGATTCAGCGAATATTTCGGTGTCTCAGCTTTGATATTCACCAACGATCTTCTCCATCAGCCTCGCGGATTAGCAGCAGCTTCCTTGACGATGGCGACGCAGCAACTCATGACTGAAGCTCCGGGTACCGAGTTAACCTCTGTCCTCGAAGCATCCCCACTTGCAGTTTTCTATGTGCTAGCAAACCTGGATACTCTGGTGCGGGACTTCACACGGTGTTATTACCAAATGCCACCTAGCTATTCTGATCCAAATCCATTCCACATTCTGACTCAAAGTCAAACCAAGAGTGTTCATATGGCCATACGTAATATTGGGAAAATTGTGAAAGACGCAGCCACCACGAGTGACAGTCCCCAGTTTCTTCACTGGAGAACAAACGAGCTCTTTATTGTGTCCCTGCAGGTCAATCTGTGTCGGCCCGATCAGCTACTGATAGGAGGCATCGTCGATAACAGCTTGATTGCCGGCCTGGCTGCCTCAACGCATCTGATGCGAGGTCACTTCGTCGCGGTGAGACGATCTGCGCCTTTGGTAGCACCTCGTCCGGGCGGCAATGAGGGTGTGCTTGCCTTGCTCAGTGAGCTTTGTGCTGCACTTGCTAGCATATACGGTGAGGACTCGCCAAGGGTTGCTTTTGAAGCGCCGTGGGTCACAGTTAGCAGCTATGGGGTCCTTCTGTGCATCTGGGGAGCGCTCAGGCGTGCGACAACGGAGATTCGTGACCATTTGAATACATTCAATGAACTCCCACGGACATCCGAGCCATGTATGTTGATCTTCAACTCACTCATGGAAGCCGCCTTGCGGTACTTCCCTGCTGCTAGAGAAGATCGGGGGACTCGCGATCCACGGTTGTGGTCTACGGACCGTGAAGCCTTTTCTACTCTGTTAGAGGCAGGGCATGGGCTTTTTGCAGAACTCATCAAGACTTTCTGCCAGCAGCGACTTGTGTGGAGCATTGGGCCGTCCATGTTGGGTGTACTGAGGGAACTCCCCGACGACGCTACGTAGTTGTGGACCAGAGAGTAAGTGGAGGAGGATGTGGAGCTCCACTTGGCCAACATACACTCGTCGTTTCATACCCCGCTTGGGCTATCTGCGCGGCGCCTGCGGGCCAGGGCTCATTTAAGACAACCACATGGGCGCGAACGAATCTTCCGCATACTGCAGTATATACAAAAAGACTTTTCGACCAACAGTCACTATTTACAATTAAACAAGGATGACTCAATCTGCCCCACGAGTTGGCTGGGTAAGCTTCCACGCCGGAACTTCACTTGTATGCACGTGACTCACTCGGTGATGCCCTAGTATGGCCTCGGATCCATGGGGCTTGGCATGTCACTGAACCTCCAGAAATACTTTCAAGCAAAGGACTTGCCTCCTCTTCGGTACAGTAACAGGACAATCTCCAAGGGAGATGCTCTTCGTGATGCAGGAGCCGTGGCTGAAGAAGAGTTTGGTGCGCTAGTCCAGGGATCGGATGTCATTTTCACAATGGTGGGTGTCGCATTTCAACATTTGAGTTCAATGAGAACGCTAACAGGTTCAAGATCTCCACCGATGATGTTTTGAAAGGCCTTATAGACAAGGCTGTGGCCTTGAACATTTCCCTAGAGGGCAAGATCTTCGTTGACACGTCCACTATTCACCCGGACACATCCGAATGGGCAGCGAGACATCTCATGGACCACGGAGCGACATTCATTGCAGCACCGGTGTTCGGCGCAAGTCCCGTAGCAGCCGCTGGGAAACTCATATTCGCTGTAGCTGGTCCTGCTACTGCAGCTGAGAGAGTTCGACCTCTGATCATGGACGTCATGGGTCGCAGCATTATCGATATGGGAGAAGATGTGCGCAAATCGAGTCTCCTCAAAATCTCAGGGTAAAACCATCAACATATCCCTCATTTGACCGTCCTCAGTCCACTGATTCTCTCATCTTAATGAAGGAACATCCTCGTCATCAGCTTCATGGAGGTCATTGCTGAAGCACAGGTCTTTGCTGAAGTCGCAGAAATCGGGACCCAGCAGATGGAAGACTTCATTGGAAACATGTTCGGACCTGTAATGCAAAGTTACAGCAGACGCATCACGAGTGGAGCCTATGCACCTGCTTTGGACACAGCGCCTGGGTTCGCGGCCGCGCTCGCATGTAAGGACATGAAGCATGCTCTGTCTATTGCCGACAGTTGTAATACCCGCCTATGCACGCTCGAAACGGCGTCAACGAGGCTGAACAATGCGCGCCAGTATGCCGGCGAGAATTTGGACAGCTCGGCTATCTACGGCACCGCGCGGTTAGAGGCGGGGCTGTCATTCTGGAGTGCGAATAGTCGGCAGGGAAATGAATCTCTTACCTAGTATAGTTTATATCAACCCTTCATACAATCCGACCATGGATACTTTATTGTATCGGAGATTGCCTGCTGATTGTTTTCGTCGTCTACGGGGCAACCCCCAATGGAGCATGACCATGTCCTTTTGGGGCATGCTTCAACCTGCATCGGCTGGACAGCACTGTTCCGAGGTCTCAGATTGCGTTGGTGGTTGGTATGCACAAGTTCTATCACTTACTATATTTCTGGAACTGCCTCCCTTTTTGTATTAATTGTGAGAACTATGGTCTATTTACACATTTTCTCCAGACCAACCACCCTCTGAATGGGGTCTAGGACATTCGCGCTAAAGGTATCCACAGTACGGCTTTCCAACGGCTTTCGTCCTTGCCCTGAACCATACCCGAAGTGATGGGACACAATGGCTTTGACACCAGTTACGCCCACCTTGACGAGGGCGTCGTCTGCATGACTGAGACAGGACTGAAGCTCTTGAGCACCCCTGATGTCACCATCCTGATATCTCCTCAGCACTTCCACATGCACTTTTGGCGCAATGTTGGCGAGAGCCGCAATGATTCCATTGGACCCGGCTAACAATGCGGGCAGGAAGAAATCCGACTTCCCTCCAAAGGCAGCAAAGGAGCCTGCGGGCAGGGTGGATGAGATACGCTGCAGCTTACCGACATTGCCGCAGGTGAGCTTGCAGCCAACAATGTTGGAGTTTGACTGGGCGAGCTTGATGATCGAGTCTGAACTTATGTCGATACCACCGGTGACGCCAGGGAAGTTGTAGATCAGAATCGGAAGTGGGGAGCTGGATGCTACCTGTGTGGTTGAGGCAGAGTAAGTTAGTCTGACTCGGTCATCTGAAGCGACTCTGCAGCGAGGGAAACATACATCGTTGAAAAACCCCTCAATCACAGCAGGGGTCATGGCTGCGACCCAATACGATGAAGGCAAGATCAGTGCAAAGTCGGCGCCAGACTCTTCGGCCTCGGTAATATGTAGCAGTGTTTCTCGGACACTAGGTGCGCCACAGCCAACGATCAGCTGCATTTGCGCATACCCTAATTCATTGAGATGATCGCGCACCGCGCGCACCAGGGATTTGCGGTCGTTGTGATCTAGATGTGGTGCTTCTCCGTTACTTCCTTGCAGAACTAGACCAGTGACACCGCCCTCTGCCATGCGCTTTGCATGCGTCAAGGTGCTTGCAAGATCGAGAGATTCATCTTTGGTGAAGAAGGTCACCAATGGTGTGTACACACCGAAGTTCGGCGTCCCTGGAGCCATAGCGGTAGGCAAATGTGGAAATCAAGGGAATTGTCGTTTCTGACCTTAGAACAATTTGACGAGAACTATCGAGCCAATCCATCGTAGGGTCATCGAGTCATCGATTTATCTATCGATGCTCATGATGCTTCTTATCTCGACACGGGGTGGAGCTCCACCCTTTTCTCCACCCCCACATTCGCGATGGAGATAGGGCGCACGCCCATTCAAAGGTCAAGGATTGTCAACTCAATTTGGAGACTTTTGTTTGCGCCTCTAAATCTCTCTCACTCATTCTCCTGCGCAATGTCATCAATGTCTTCAGTCTTTGCGACCGTGGCCTATACGCCGCCGGACGCGATCTTCGAACTCACCAAAGCTTATCTGGCTGACCTAGACCCTCGCAAAGTGAACCTGGGCCAAGGTACCTATCGAGACGGCCATGGAAATCCTTGGGTACTCCCGGCGGTCGCAGCTGCCAAGGAGACTATCAAGAATTGCGACCACGAATATCTTCCAATTCTGGGCCATCCACAATTTCGCAAGCTAGTTACGGAATTGGTCTTCAGAAGGGATTCCAGCGCTATACACGACGGTCGGGTAATTATCCTAAGCTACTGCCGCAAGGGATTTGAGTTGCTGATCATCTCCATCTAGGTCGCCTGCTGTCAGGCGTTATCAGGCACTGGGGCACTGCACGTGGCAGGAATGATGCTCAGGCGGGCACTTGGTCATGCTCGAACCGTCTACATCACCAATCCGAGCTGGCCCAACCATAGACAGGTCTTTGAATCAGTGGGCTTCTCGGTGCGGGAATTCGATTATGCCTCGAGGGGCGGGATTGACATGGAATCGCTGCTTCGAGCGCTGAATGAGGCAGACCCAATGTCAATATTTGTGCTTCATGCTAGTGCACACAATCCGACTGGCTGGGATCCTAGCCCAGAGCAATGGCGACAGATTGGTGCCATCATGAAAGAGAGACAGCTGTTTCCCCTGTTTGATGCGGCCTACTTGGGATTGACATCTGGGGACTACGATCAAGATGCGTATGCCATCCGGTACTTCGCTGAGGAGCTGGATCTTGAGATGGGTGTTTGCATTTCCTTTGCCAAAAGCATGGGTCTTTATGGTATGTTTTACCTGTGAATGGGTACCGATCAATCTGCTTTTAATATTCTAGTAATCCCCTCTCTTTTCATACGCGTTTGCTCATTCTCACAGGCGAGAGGACTGGGCTATGTGCTTTCGTATCACGCAGCCACAACGTCTCCAGTAACGTGAAGTCAAATTTGGCACAGTCGATCCGCGGCGAGATATCTAACCCCCCGGCGTTCGGGGCTCGTATCGTTACTGCGATTCTAGCAGACGATGGCCGGTCCTCTCAATAACGGCGTGATTTAACAACGATGAGCTCCCGGATTGCCGGAATGAGGAATCAGTTATTTGACGAATTGACAACACTAGGTATCGCAAGGATCACTCTTCTTTACCATGCCTTGATTCAAGGAACTCATTTTTTATTAGGTACCCTGGGCGACTGGACGAGGATAACACAGCAGAAAGGCATGTTTTGCGTGCTCGGTCTCACACCCGAACAAGTTCACCACCTCAAAGGTAAGTAGATAACCATGAGTCTATAGCTACACAACTGTATTATGCTTACACACATTCTGAATCTAGAGACACATCATATTTACATGGCCGAAAGCTCCAGAGTGTCTATAGCTGGACTTAACGAAGGCAATGTGCGGTATGTCGCCGAATGCATCCATCAGGTTGTCTCTCGAGCAGGAGAGTAGTTGAAAAATCCGCATGCTTCCTACCTATTGCTGTCTGCCGTCAAGGCTCATGTACAATCTCTACTTCGATGCTTGCAATACAATAACATTTGTTCGCGGAAGCGACTGCTCTGCTTTATTCTGCATTTAAGATCTCTGTAGCCAGAAACATATAATGAATTGAGCTAAGGATTCCGACAAAAGTCAGCAGCACAGCGATTAGCAACATTTGTCTCGAATACTTGTTTGAAGCTGGCCTTACGTAAATTATTCCTTATCACCGGTAATACCTCGAATTATGCCGTGAATGGGTAATGGTAATACAGGACGAGGTCCTGGCAACTTATGGGGTTTGTACCCGTGCATATGATTGATAGGATTCTTGTGCTATCTTATAACTGGATCATTTCACACCATCCACAGCTCCTGTTGCTGCTTGAGGATTTGTCCAATGAATTCACACTCCGATCACCTCCTGCTGGAGAGTCGGAATTGAGGTCTTATCTACGGAAACCCACGCCAACCCCGCATCATCTCTCGGTTTCAGGAGAGATAAGAACTTGCCGGCTGATGGAGCTCCACTACCCCCGCAAAATGGCCATCGTTGGAGCAAACTCTGATGTCTTGGACATCCAGGCGTCTTGTATTCCATTCTTATCGGGTCAGCTGAAGGGGCCATTTAAGGAGCGACGATGAGTCCGGGAATTGTAGATTCCCAACCCTAATATCGGATGAGTGTGACAGAAGGCAGTATGACCACCCAACCCAACGGAAAAAAGGTCTCTGGAGTCCCACCGAACGATGACGTGGAGCAAATTGATACCGAAATTCAGCCTGGCGAGATCAAGCATGGAATCACAGGAGACGCTGATCCAGCCCTACAATTTCTGGCTACAGAGGTGATCGAATACACGCCCGAGGAGTCCCGCAAAGTGTTGTCCAAGATCGATCGAGTTCTGATGCCTCTGCTTTGCTGGGTTTATCTGATCCAATTTGCCGACAAAACATCTTTGAATTATGCCTCCCTGATGGGGATCCGTGAGGACACACACCTGGACCCAAACTCGCAGCAATACAGCTGGGTGTCGAGTATCTTCTACGCTGGATACATCTTTTGGGAGTAAGTACCGTTGCACGTTCCCTTAATACCCCCTTGGCACAGTCCATGCTGATTTTGGTATATGTTTCCCACCACGTATCTCTTACGTCGACTGCCGCTAGGAAAATATACCTCATTCAATATTCTGATCTGGGGTGTCGTGCTCCTCTGTCACGTCGCAACCAATAGCTACGCTGGCCTCCTTTGTGTTCGGTTTTTGCTCGGCGCGTTCGAGGCAACAGTCACTCCGGCCTTCGTACTGTTCACCTCCTGCTGGTACAAACAAGATGAGCAGGCCAAGCGCATGGGGTTCTGGCTTGCTTGCAATGGCTTTGCTCAAATCCTGACCGCGGCAATTGCGTATGGACTGTCGGGTGTACAGACATCTTCCATTGCTGTATGGAAGATTCTCTTCCTCGTGCTGGGCCTGCCTACCGTCCTAACCGGCGCTTTTTACTTTTGGCTCATGCCCGACGATCAGATCCACGCCAGATTCCTGAGCCACCGGGAGAAGCTCATTGCTGTTGATCGCATCCGGGGCAACTTCCAAGGCATAGGTAGCCATACTTGGAAATGGGCCCATTTCTTTGAAGCCTTCCGTGATCCGCGCACGTATCTCTACGTGCTCTTCTCGCTCTTGATGAATATCCCCAACGGGGGCATCACGACCTTCGGTTCCATCGTGATTAGCTCTTTTGGCTTCTCCAGTCGCATGTCCCTCTTGCTCAACATGCCAATGGGGCTTGTTGACATTGTCTGCAAGCTGGGGTTAACATATCTCTCGGACAGGTTTCTGGATCGCACCATTCTTGCTATAATCGCCATCCTGATACCCATGGTGGGTGGCATCCTGATGATTGTCCTACCCCTTCATGCCAAAGCTGGCCTACTGGTAGGCTACTATTTTATCGGTGCTGCAGGCACCTCCTGGTGTTTGGTCATGGTGATGATATCCAACAATACGCTCGGCTACACCAAGAAGGCCACAGTAAATGGCCTCCAGATATTGGCCTACGCCGCGGGAAACTGGATTGGACCGCAGACGTTCCGCTCAACCCAAGCGCCCGAGTATTTTGATGGCAAGCTGATGGTTGCCATCATGTACGCTCTCGCAGCAGCGACCTTACTGGCTATTCGTCTGGTGAACATTTTTGAAAATAGGAGACGCGACCAAAAGGCTCTTTCCAATCCCGCAGTCGAGAACGTGGCTATCGGCACTGAGTTCTTCGACTTGACGGATTTCGAGCAGCCGGCTTTCCGCTATATACTTTGATCAGCCTTCCCACAGGTGGTGCAGGTTGAGGACCCACAGGATAGGTAACTCGTTTGTTTGAAGCGTACTCGACGTTTATTACTAGGTTTTATGATTGTCTGGGATAGCTGTGGCGGTTCCTGGAGTAAGATGTTGTTACAATACTTTTTCACAGCGGGTATAAGACCCTTCATGATTTTTTCATGGTCAGGGAGCATAGCTACATTGTCTCTTTCCTTTCAGCTGTGCAGGTTAGTGGACTTGACTACATCTCTGTCAGTTAATAGGTGAGCGCATAGGCGAGGAGTTGAGGAAGATCCTCCTCGCTAGGCAGCATTGGTACTGTGACTCATGAGATATCTAGATGTTGATTCATGGTTGATTGCGTTGCACTCCGTGACCATGTAACCAAATACTCGTGTCACTTAATTTTCTAAGCGCCCTACTTTGGTGCTGGACTGGGAATTGCGAGGACGACATCATGCTCAAAAGTCCGCCTCCGCTTTTCACTTTTTCCAAATGAGGCATAAAGCGTTACAAGATTGGAGATACATCCGTGCTACTTGAGCATAGGACTTCACGGTTGTGGTGGACGTGAGGTTGCATTCAGATTAGCGCAGAAAGTGAGTGAGGGGGTGGAAGGCCGGTGGAGTGAACCGATGTGGAGGGAGGTGGAGGGAGGTGGAGTGAAGTGGAGTGAAGTGGAGTGAATAGAGTGATGGAGTGGTGGAGTGACAGGTCTTACCTGCCGTTCACCCAACGGATATTCAGAGACTCTGGGATAGGCTTAGAAGAGTGAGAAAGCCGTTTTCAACGCTACCTTAAAGCCAGACTTTACAGAGACCATAGTCAGCATTGCACCTTTCCTGACGTTAAACGTTAATGCAACAGTTGGCGAGCCCGGTCCATTTCAAGCAGCTTCCCTTTCACTCTAGGAACAATCACCATGACAAAGACGCAAGTCAAGGCAAAACCCAAGATCGCGTTTGTTGGTCTCGGCGCGATGGGTAGAGGAATGGCTATACAATTGCTGAAAGATGGCTTTCCCGTTTGTGGGTTCGACGTCAATCCCATGTCGCTCGAGACATTACTAGCCATGGGCGGCACTGCTGCCTCAAGTCCGCGAGAGTGTGTTCAGGATGCCGATGTCTTTATCTGCATGGTAGTCAATTCCGTGCAGACAGAGGAGGTGTTTTTCACCGAAGCAGTTGGTGCTGTGTTTGGTCTGAAGAAGAATGCAATTATTATCTTATGCTCCACCGTTGCCCCCAGCTTCCCCCTAAGGCTTCTGGACCAGATCCACCAGCAGTTCTCAAGGCCAGATATCAGACTTGTTGACTGTCCTGTATCTGGTGGGGTGCTCCGTGCAGCTCAGGGCACGCTGACAATCATGTCATCCGGACCGCAAGATGCCCTAAAACTCGCTCACCCAACTCTAAAGCCGCTTAGCCAAGCGCTATACACGATCGACGGGGGACTCGGCAGCGCCAACAAAGTCAAACTTATCAATCAGCATCTCGCGGGAGTTCATATTGCTATCGCAGCTGAGGCAATGGGACTAGCCGCGACCGTAGGGCTGAATACAAAACAATTTTATGAGACGGTGCTAAAAGGTCCTGCGCATAGCTGGATGTTTGAGAACCGAGTGCCACGCATGCTTTGCGATGACTGGTCGCCCCACTCTGCTCTCAGCATCTTCGTCAAAGATATGGTACGTCAGCTCATCTTGCAACCTAGTGGAGGTGTTCCAGGTTGCTAACCGCGGTCTTAGCGAATCGTCACTTCGGAAGGTCTCAATGAGAACTTCCCGTTGTACATCGCCTCTGCCGTTGAGTCTCTCTATCAATTTGCTGCTCGGACTGGTTACTACAAGGAAGATGATTCTGGCCTCGTGCGAATCTTCACTTCTCAGGGTTTATCCCTAGTCTCTACGGCGACACATCAAAAGGGCTACACTTCTGACCATGAACGAAAGACGAAACTGATCTGCCAGATGCTGGAGATTGTTCACGGCATTACAGCAGTTGAAGCTCTTGCCCTCGGGAGCAAACTTGGCCTTTCACTCAATGCTCTAAACTCGATAATTTCGAATGCAGCAGGCGCAAGCAAAAGCTTCAAAGTAGTCGCTGCGACAATGATGGGACAACAAAGTACTTCAACGCATACTCTAATACAGTCGAGGGACATCCTAGTCAGTATAATCTGCCTTGCTCCGGTGTGGCATTTATTAATTCGAAGTTTAGAAGCGAACCATAATTCTCGCCCAGGACTACGGCTACCCTCTCCCAATTACAGCTACATCGCTGCAGCTATTGCAGCAAGGTGTGGCTCGTGGCCTAGGTGATGAGGGTCTATCAGCCCTTCAGATGCTATGGGTCCCGTAACCTTGTGATCCAATCGAGATAGCGAACAAAACGATATCGACCTCTCCCTCTTCTCGTGAAAGGTTTGACCTTTACGGAAAGCACATCCGTGATCATGAGCTTTGCGGAATTGGTTATTCTTCGAGGAGAATTGCATATCGGTAACCTTGGCTTCTCAGTACATCATAAATACTGCCTTTTCTTTGTAGCAGAAGGCCAATCAAGTGATGATCATATGCATCATCTTAGAGGCTGACAACATGTAAATAGGAGCAAGAAACTCAGCAGTCGAACACATGAGATATGTATACTGCCAATGGGATCTCAAGGTCTTCGTCCTCGGGGAAACAAAATCATAAGCCCTTTTCAATTTCAAGCTTAGTACTGTCTCGCCAGAGAGGGCAATCTCTCTGATTTCTCTCAAAGTCTGGGTGACCAACTTGACCATAAAGCTGCGGAGGTATCTTGATGTGTATCACTTTATCTTGTTACTTTGTCGGCCCTCTCATAGATACGAAGACTTGCAACATCCAGACTGATTCAAGTAAATATTCCTTGTTGCAGATACTACCTCCAGATCTAGTACACCATGAAATCTGTAAACTCCTCATCGGGAAGGTATGCCTGTTTGTTACCTTCCAACGTCCCGAGGTACCACGACAGATCGCTTCCATCAAACTCGCGGGCAGCAAACCCGTTTCCCAGGTATCCGAATCGATTTTTTGTCGTGTATCGAAGATGATAATCTTCCCAGCGGGGCTGCTTCATGGTTTCGAAGAAGTGAATTCTGGACCCCGGCCACATCATCACCTCGCCATCGACCGTGCCCTGCTTGAACCACGAACGACATGGAGATGTCCAAGCCGTGCGCGGCATAAACTTTCTGTGATGCTCGAAGAATTCTGCGACTGCCTCTGTTTTGGGCTCAAAGGAGGTGACACCCTCCGATGACATTTTCTCAAGAATCTGGAGAAAGTGGCGCGACAGGGTTTCTGTGATTGGGAGGAAGCTGCCGTGGCCATATGGGCCGAAGGGGCCGTTGAAAACTGTGAAACCATGATTAGCGTACCGTATCGCCAGGACGGATTCCCTGCGTGAGGTGAAGCTTACTGAGATAGTTGGGGAAGTTTGGGACCGTGATGGAAAGGTAGGTCCTCGGAATCTCCTTCCACTGCTCACTGAGACTGCGGGCTTCTCGGCCAATTGTAGGGTATGATGGCCGCCAACTGACATCAAATCCAGTGGCACACACAATCACGTCAACTTCATGCTCCACACCGTCGGTAGTCTTGATACCCTTAGGGGTGATCTCTGCGATTGACTGCGAAACCACTTCGGTGTTGTCGCTGCAGAGTGCCTCGAGGTATCCGTTCCCGGGTGTAGGCCTACGGCAACCCACGGCAAAGTCCTTGGGGACGATATGATCAGCGATATCGGGCCGGCTGGCGAGCTTGGATCGCATGTCTTTCTCCGCGTACTATTGTGGTATTCATTATTAGTCTCGCGGGCTGTTCTCCCATGCACCGCAAGCGTGATCAGATCGTACCGCTCTTGCATTGGCCTGCTCTTCCGAGCCGTTAAGGATGAACCGGAAGCGAGAGTTGAGCTCCGACTCAATCTTCTTACGATAAGCAAGATATTTCTGAGGATCATTTCGAAGTATCTCCTTCTGTTTCGGGGTATCTGAAAAGCTGTTAGCTCACAGTGCCATGGTTTGCACACTTAAGCGGGCCAAGGAGGGCTGACATTGGAAGTTCGTCCCTCCCTTGCCTGCGAACCGCTGACCAAAGCCTGCCGTCACCCACGAGGCGCTGCGGATGAAGCATTTCAGGGACGACACCACTGTATTGATTGTGAGAAGACAATCTCGAGTCAATTGTCCCGGCCAACTCACTTGGTTGAATGGTCGGAACAATCTGCACCGCCGACGATCCTGAGCCGATCACGGCCACGCGTTTCCCTTTCAACTCGACCTTGTCATCCCAATGCGCACTATGAAGCATTGGGCCCTGGAAGGTTTCTCGTCCTTGGATCGCGGGCCATTTCCACTTGCTATTCCCCCAAGACAATTAGTATCTGGCTTAGCCAATGCATCAATGAGATAGTGGTTCAACTTACTTCAAGACACCGGATGCGTTGACCAGAATGTGACCTCGATCCTCAAAGACATCTTCGGGGTTGTCACCTTTTTGGACCTTCACATGCCACTGTTCCTCATGTTCATCCCACGATGCCCCTACGACTCGGTGGTTGAGACGAATATATTTGTGTAAGCCGTGCTCGTCTGCAACTCGCTTGAAGTACTTCAAAATTTCAGGGGCGCCCGAGTAACTGGACCAGCTCACGTTAGTCAATCAGTTGGTTAAGAGAGAGTTTTGCCATTACATACAATGAGGTCCAGTCGGGTGAAGGCGCCCATGAGAATTGATAATTCACCGAGGGGATGTCACATCCACATCCGGGGTACCGATTCTCAAACCAAGTGCCACCTATCTCAGGGTTCTTCTCATACAGAACGAACTCGATTTCGAGTGTGCTCTGGTCGATATCGTGGGCGAAATTCAACGCGCTGGCGCCCGCTCCGATCACAATAATTCGAATCTTGCGACGCGAGCGACTTGGTTCATTGATGATCTCGTAAGGCTCATGAGATTGAACCTTCGCTGTGATATGATCACCGATAGAGCCCATGTTGATAGAAGGGAGTTAAAATGGAAGTGGCTTGCAGGGTCACACCTGAAATCTTCTCGGGTTGACCGAAAAGATAAATCGTGCAGTCAAAGGGCTACATGACCATTTATGGTTCTGAAAGATTTGATTTCTGGGCGCGGACTCTCCAAGGGTCTTGTGGATTATCTGATCCACATACGCCTCGCTTTTGGTTGATCACCAGTACAATCAAAGGATATCAATATTGACAGCTTGCGCAATGGGTGGAGCTCCACCAGAGCGTCCACATTGCCAGCCCCCGCCTCCACTGCGGAGCTTTCTCCGATTTCCCCCCTCTTTCAATCTCTCTTATCGCCTTATCTCCATCCAGCGGACGGAGGAACTCCTATCGTAAGCGTGGGGTTAGTTTGGACGATTGGCGTATATATCGTTCCACCCTAAGAACGAGAAAGAATGTACAACCAACGCAAATCGATCAGTTCAGCCTGAACACACACCGCATAAACATTGATCTTACACCTCTCACTTCTCACCTCCCATCACAATGCCCTCTAGTACAGACACGAAGCCTCTGCGCATCTCAATCGGTGAGTCTCGAGCCAGTGCTTCAGGTCACAATTATCATGTGAGGAGCCCCCAATGCTAATGTCGAGTACGGCGGCAGACCGAGGCGGGACCTTTACAGATTGTATCTGCAAAGTCGAGGGTGGGGAGGATATCGTCGCGAAGATCTTGTCGGTGGACCCGAAGAACTATGTGGATGCACCCACCGAAGCCATCCGTCGCGTGCTAGAAAAATATTATAACTCCACCATTCCGCGTGGAACAGAGCTGGACCTGAAAGATGTCGGTACGATTTGTGTTTCTCTCCTTATTTTAGTCGCAGTGCTCAGCTCCTTTGATAACAGAATGGATCCGCATGGGCACCACGGTTGCAACAAATGCCCTGCTCGAGAGGAAAGGCGAGCAGACAGCGTTACTGATCACCGAAGGCTTCAAGGATGTTCTTCAGATTGGTACTCAAAGCCGACCCCATATGTTTGACTTGACCATCCGACGGCCGCTACCCTTATATTCGAAGGTCTCGGAAGTCAGAGAGCGAGTGACTGTGCAGGCTTGCAGTGACTCGGATCTCCGAAGGATACAACTATCATCCCCTGGGCCTGCGGAACAGGTCATGGGAGAGTCTGGAGAGATGATCCATGTCATCCAGCCCCTAGATCTGGCCAGCACGAGACTTGATCTCCAGAGAATCTACGACGTAGGGTTCCGCTCCCTGGCAGTGTGTCTAATGCATTCATACAGCTTTCCGAGGCACGAACGTCAAATCCGAGATCTAGCGCTTGAGATTGGATTCGAGAATGTGTCACTCTCACATGAAACATCGGCAAGGCCAAAGCTCATCCCTCGCGGTAACTCCACAGTGGTGGACGCATACCTGACCCCGAGTATCAAGCGATATCTTCAACAATTCTCAGAAAGCTTCCCCAACATTAATAAAGGCCGCACACGACTGGAGTTCATGCAGTCCGATGGAGGCCTGGTGCCTTCGGCTAGTCTCTCAGGGCTCCATTCCATTCTGTCAGGGCCAGCCGGAGGCGTAATTGGCTATGCGCGGACCTGCTTCGATCCTGAAACTCGAAATCCGGTAATTGGTTTCGATATGGGCGGAACCAGCACTGACGTTAGTCGCTATGACGGCCAGCTGGATCATATCTTTGAAACAACGACGGCTGGAATCACCATCCACGCCCCACAACTCAATGTCAATACAATTGCCGCAGGCGGCGGGAGTATTTTGAGCTGGAAGGATGGCCTCATGTCCGTCGGACCGGAGAGCGCCTCTTCCAACCCTGGTCCTGCTTGCTACCGCAAAGGTGGTCCCCTGACCGTGACGGATGCCAATCTCGCGCTCGGTCGTTTGATACCTGAGGAATTTCCATCAGTCTTTGGTCCAAATGAGGACGAGCCATTAGACAGAGACGTCGTTCTCGAGAAGTTCGAGGAGCTAACCCAAATAATAAACCAGGAGACCGGGATGTCACTTACATGGGCAGAGGTTGCAGATGGGTGAGTGGTAGCAGAGTTGTATGTCAGTGTACTGCCCCGCTAATCTGTGCAATTGAAAAAGCTTTCTCCAAGTCGCCAACTCGGCAATGTGTGGGCCGATTCGGAGCTTGACCCTGGACAAGGGCCACGACGTTGCCAAACACCATCTCGCCTCCTTTGGCGGTGCGGGTGGCCAGCACGCTTGTGCCATTGCTAGCGATCTTGGTATACAACGCGTGCTCATTCATAAATATTCCTCTATTCTGTCTGCCTATGGAATCGGACTAGCAGATGTAGTGCATGAAGAGGAGCGAGCTTGCGCGACGGCGTTTGATGAGTCCACTATTAAAGCTCTCAATGATTCCGTGGACAACCTCGTCGAGACTGCTCGTCGCAGCAAGACGATGGAGCCATTCAACAATGTCCAAGCTTGCCGATTCCTGAACATGAGATACGATGGCAGCGAGACCTCCATTATGATCCCCTGGGATAGCCCCACAAGTGACGCGAAAGAAGCATTTGTCAATGCACATCATCAGCAATTCGGATTCACTCCGGTGAACCGTGCTGTGTACGTGGACACCATTCGTGTCCGGGCAATTGGGTGCAGTGCTTTCCAGGAAAGCTCCCCACATCTCCAAGCCAAGTCTGTCTTGAACTCTACATCTAATACAATGGCGCCCCCCCCGAGCTCGAGGGCTTCCACCTATTTCAACTCGCTGGGTTGGGTGGACACCCCTGTCTTTAAACTTGATACACTCCCTGTGGCAAGCCGGGTTCAAGGACCCGCGATGATTATAGACAAGACGCAGACGATCGTCGTCAGTCCCGATGCAAAAGCGACCGTCGCCCAAGATATCTTGATACTTGATCTCGAGTCACCCAACCCCAAGTCGACTAGCTCAGAAACCATTGACCCCATTCAGTTGTCCATCTTCCGGCATCGATTCATGGGAGTGGCTGAGCAAATGGGTCGTGTGCTGCAGAATGTCAGTACCAGTGCAAATATCAAGGAGCGACTAGACTTCACTTGTGCGATTTTCACGCCGGAGGGGGACTTGGTTGCCAATGCCCCTCATGTACCAGCCATGATTGGAAGTATGGCCTTTGCCGTCCGGTCACAAATTGCTGAGTGGCAGGGAAAGTTGCAAGACGGGGATGTGTTACTTTCCAATACCCCAGGTATATGATTCAGCTTACCCTTGCGAAGACCCATGTCAATGCCACTTGCTAACTGGCAACAAAGCCTATGGGGGGGTTCATCTACCCGACCTAACGGTAATTAGTCCTGTCTTCGACTCTGCTGGGAGGAATATTATATTTTGGGCCGCTTCCCGTGGCCATCATGCTGATGTGAGTGTCTTTTCAATTTGCAACTGCTTAATATCACACCCACTAAGATTCCTCTCGCTATAGGTGGGTGGAATACTCCCCGGCTCGATGCCACCAATGTCCAGGCTACTCGCAGAAGAAGGTGCTATCTTTAACTCACATCTCCTGGTTCGTGCCGGTCACTTCGATGAAGATGAGCTATACCGCGTTCTATGCGTGGAGCCAGCACGTTACCCAGGCAGTAGCGGGTCCCGACGGTTCCAGGACAATGTCACTGATCTCAAGGCCCAAGTCGCCGCAAACCACTGCGGTGCTCGTCTCATGCAACGTCTCATCGGGGAGTACTCCTTTCCGGTCGTTCAGGTACTTACCAAGCACCGCGCAAGAATAGAAATACAGTGGCTCACAGAGAATAGGTCTACATGGGTGCAATCCAAGATGCGGCGGAGCTGGCCGTGCGGACTCTGTTGAAGCGTCTTGCGCACGAGCGCGGTGGAGAAGACATCTCGGCGGTCGACTATATGGACGATGGCACCCCGATCAAACTGAAAGTGACAATCAACCCTACTGATGGGTCCGCCATTTTCGACTTCACTGGGACTGGCCCAGAGGTGTACGGTAAATGCATTCACCGACCATTCTGTCTACTTCGGACATCACTAACTCCCGCGGGTGGTAGGAAATTGGAATGCCCCGATCGCAATCTGCAATTCCGCGGTCATTTTCGCCCTACGCTGCATGGTCAACTCGGATATTCCGCTCAACCATGGCTGTATCAAGCCCGTCAAGATTATCATCCCGGAGGGCTCGCTCCTGTGTCCCAACCCGGAAGCGGCCGTCTGCGCCGGCAATGTGCTGACGTCGCAGCGCATCGTGGACGTCATCTTCAAGAGCTTCCGCGTGTGCGCCGCGAGCCAAGGATGCATGAACAATCTGACCTTCGGCAACGACGGCGAGGACGGGTTCGGATACTACGAAACCATCGCCGGGGGCAGCGGTGCCGGCCCCAGCTGGGCGGGAACCGGAGGCGTCCACACCAACATGACGAACACGCGGATCACCGACCCGGAGTCGCTCGAACGGCGATACCCAGTGCTCCTGCGACAGTTCAGTCTTCGTCGCGGCAGCGGTGGAGCGGGGAGGTACCCCGGTGGGGATGGAGTCATCCGGGAGCTTGAGCTGAGGCTCCCCATGTCGGTGTCAATCCTCTCGGAACGACGGAGCTTCGCACCGTACGGAATGGCAGGCGGAGAAGATGGCCAGCGGGGGAAGAATACCTGGATCACGAAGGCTGGTCGCCGGGTCAATGTCGGTGGGAAGAGTTCGGTCCAGGTTCAACCGGGCGATCGGTTCATGATCGAGACCCCTGGTGGTGGTGGTTATGGATCCCCTGAAGAGGTGGTCAACAAAGACAGGGACGAGTCGATGGTTATGCCCGCATTCATACCCGTGGCTAATGGTAGTGTGGCTGCACATCGGACTCTGGCGGAACAGGTTTAAAACTGTGAATCCACCGAAGTAAGAAAGGTTCGGGCTTGCCAAATCGAGGTCTATCTTGAGACGGTGGTTCTCAAAGCATGCCATCCAATCGAAGCTAATGTTATACTAGGGAGCAATAGTGGCATCTCACTGGATAGGAGAAACTCCTGGGTCATGGACTCTAGATACATGTCCGAATTTCAAAAGACGGATAGTTCCTTTAGTCGATGAGCATTGTGGGTGTGAAATCTTCCTTAGATCGCTTGTACCCGTGGCAGATATGGCAGTAATGTCTACTCTGCTCGCTGGAGATTGCTTGAATGTGAGATACCGGAGTCGCTAAGTATTGCATCAAGGAATCACAAACTGGTTTCCATCGAACTGCAACGCGATAGTTCAGGAACCAGAATGGGTGAACCAATAATTGCATATAGTCTATCTCGGACACCTTCCGAGTCCCGACCGATGCCCAGATAAGCTTGACATTGCCAAGTCGATCGATAGTTTCCCACGAGGACCCACAGTCAAGCCGCAACGGGGAGATACACGCATATATTCGAAGCCCGACTTAGCTCCCTTCAGTGATAACCACCTTGGCCCGAGATCGCCGCAGTACAAGGAGTCCGATCGTGGAGCACGATAATTGCGAAAAGGTCGCACAACAACTGCCTCGCTTCAAGTCTAGTGGCTTTCAAGAGATAGCAGAACAGATATAAAAGGTCATTCATTCACCAGGAACTCCTTTGCTTTGATGCCCACACAAACCATTGAATCCTTTCAAGTCACAACTCTCCTTTCCTCCGCCATATTGCAGTCACATCCATGCTTGCCGACGGGTATATCATCTTTTTACTCTTATCCTGGATCTTTGTGCTGCTGTTATCCGTTACCGAACCGGAGAATGGTCCTCTCCCGCCAAGTCCTTTCTGATCTGCTCGCATTTGGCCTTGCTGGGCGTTGCCTTGCGGGCTACAACGGGACTCACGTAACTTACATCCCGCAGTCCACCGAGTGGGACGGCGCAGGTACCAATCTGACCGTCACCTTTGACACGGTCAGTGCCGACTACATGAGTCTTTACGCACAGGACAGGGAACTCGCCAAGTGCACGGGGATCGCCACTGCTGTCTGTGGCTTACGCGACGGTGGTCGGCGGCGTCTCGACCGTTGTTCTCGCCGCGGAGGCTGGCGTCAATATCTACGAGTACATTGCCGCGATGATCAAGGCCAAGTCCACCGCCGACTCGTGCACGATCACCTACGGCGTCGACTCCAAATAAAGCTATGTCGAGGGCTACGCCTACGAGGCCACGACCTCCGGCTCGAACTGCGAGAGCACCGCGGAGAAAAAGACGATCCTAGCCGCTGTCGAGAAGTGTGCCACCGCTCTCAACGCCGCAGGCGCCGTCCGCGGCTGCTGCACGAGGACCCATGGAGGTACCTGGGAGGGTCACTTGCGCTTGACCGCGGAGCCAAGCGTTTACCCTGCTACCACGGTGACTTGTTGAGAGGAATGAGATAGACTGATACATGAAGAGCTTGCATTGAACGGGAAGGCAACGAAAAGGTTTGTATCCATGAAGAATGCAATAACTTATGTCTCTGCGAGTGTGTAGTATTTACCCTGACTAAATTGTACACTTGTAACGCTTCTCCTCCTTGACTTCTTTGTGTGATCCTCATCTCCTCCCTTGCACCACTCACATGTCCGAAGTATGGTCGATAGAGTAGATGATCGAATTTATCAGCACCTCTGGCCCGCTGCTGCCCCGAGGGATTGGGGCAACAAGGGTAAGCTTCCAGCATTTGCAGAACACAGACTTCGAGTGATATCTTGTCAGGCACGAACGTGTGTTTTTTGGAAATTGGGACATTGATAATCTCGGCCCGCAATCTCGGCCGACGTTCCCGGCTGTTTAGCGGAGATGGCCAGGCAAATAGGCCAGCGTCCTGAACATCTCGACCAGAAGATATATTCTAGCCAGTGCGTACGCAATAGGCCTTGGCGTAGAAAGAAATTTTACCAGCGATTTTGAATCAGAAATTAGGATGCTCAGAGCGCCGCGCCAAATTGACAAATACCCTATTGTGTCAAAGCAGCTTCCCAAAAGGTATGTGCTTGGTCTCAATCTCCTTCCTTGTCGTGGTGAGAATTCGCGCTGTAGTGCATTTTTGATGGTCCGGGGTACCTCCCATAGCTTTAATGTGTATAGAGCAAGGAGAGGGAGCGCGACTGGGAAGCAAGTGCAGTAGATAGCGGCGATACGCCATAGAAGTCTTACAATGTTGGAAGGGAAGACAAAGTTCCAGGCAATAAGATGAATACCACCAAACAGGGGCCCAGCAAGGATGACCGCAATTTTTGCAAGGGGTTCATGTATAGAGTTGGTCGTCGCGAGTTGTATCTCTCGGAGCATTTGGGGATATTGCTCCGGTGGGAGAATCTCCCAAAGCACTCGGCCTCTGACGGGTCTCTCAGGGTTATGTTGGTCGAAAGGCCTGGTGGCCTGATAGTCAACTTGGAGAATGGTAATGGGGACCTGAAAGCTTTGCATTCCACGGCTGATGGTCTCCTTCTTGATGATGCGTGGCTGGCGGACAAAGGTTCAATTTGCCAATATTCTTGCTCATCACACCGCAGTAGCCTCCTAGCCTCTGAAGCTAAGCATTGCCTTTTTTGTGGGCTGACGGGAAGGCATCGGGTCCCTAAATCATGGCAATGCGAGGGCTATCCTTGCATTCTGGTCCCGAGGACGCCCGTAAAATACTATCTGCAAAATGAATGAGTGAGGATCTGTCATCACGGAACTATTGATCTTGAGTCTGAGTACTAAGAATGACCCTGTCGGCTTTTTGCTGTCTGGTGATTCTGCTCGTGTGCAAAACAGGGAGAAACCAGGAAACCTAGGTACAAAATCCAGAGAAGACGAATAATAATAGGACAAAGGGAACATGAAAGGTTTCAATAGAAGGGAACAAAGAAGGCGGGCTGAGTAGAAAGCCATAAAACAAAATAAGAGAGAAAAAAGACAATCTAGTGTGAGTTGATCCCTTGTCACTCAGCAACCAGGGCCTCGAATGGCTGGTGACACAGTGGACAGTTTCTTGCCCCTGGATACAGCTTTTACTGTAGATCACAGTCTTGCCACAGTACCGTCTGGCCTGGCAACCATGCGGTAGTCTATGCACCTCATACTACGCTTCGCAGTTTGAATATCTAAACACACATCGCGATGTGGATAAAAAGGTCGCTGCAGCATCAGCTGCCGAACAAAGGGAAGACCCTCAATGGCGGGCAAGGAATCCTCTTCCCGCAGGCCGAGCTTGGTTTACAGAAGGTCAGTGACCTCGGCCCTAGGTCGAGCACGACATGTTTGCCGGCTGCCGTAGAAGGGAGTTCCAAACTTCTGTCTTCGGTATGACTCTTGGAGTGGAGGGTATCTCAGTCTGTCCTCAACCTGGATTTCAATGTCGTGGTGGTCGAGAAGCACTTTCACCACCTGAACCCGGTCCAAGCAAACAGCGGCAAACAGGGGCGTTCGGTCGATAATATCTCGGGGATTGGGGCTGCAGCCAGCCTGCAGAATGCGTCGCACAAGAGATGCATCGCCACGCGCGGCGGCCCAGTGCAATGGACCGCGGTGAAACTCATCGCAGAATTCAGGGTTCCCGGAGTCCTGCAGCATGGCCGCAAAGGTTTTTTGTTCTTTGTCCAAGCCAGACGCGGCTAAGCAAGACAGCCCCCAGAAGTGCGCCGAGACATTCGTATCTATGAGCAGGCGGGGAGCATCTGTGCCGTTTTTCAGTAGGAGTCGAGTAATTGCGACATGGCCCTTCCGTGCTGCAACGGTCAAGGATCTATATCCTTCTTTTTGCTGCCCCGTGTGCAAGCTTTCCGGTCAAGGAGCAGTTCGACAACCTTAATATTGCCATTTGCTGCTGCGGTGTACAAAGGGGTCTCCTAGCATATGTTCTGGTGGTTCACGTCGGACCCTGCGTCGAGTATAAAAAGTGCAGCCAGGGTATGGTCTCCCATAGTGAAAAGCGACCCGGGACCGAGTTGAACCCCAACCCCGCCTCTGGGGGCAGCGAAGAGTGCAGTTTCCTTACTGCGTGTCTGAGAATGGATGTACACGCCCAAATTGATCAGCTTATTAACCGTTTCGGCATGACCATATGCTGCTGCATAAAGCAGTGGTGTGAAACCCTCGAGTGTCTCGGTATTGATATCGGCTTTGAAACTAGCAAGGTACTGACCACGCTGCTGTTGCCACGCGCAGCACCCCATATTAGAGGTGTAAGGCCAAGGTGGTCTCGAGCGTCCGCCCAATCGGTCCCAGGGCGAAAGATGAACTTGTAAACTTGATATTCAAGACCGAGCAGCGCTGCGAGATTAATCCGAGGAAAAATGAACCCCGCCTCTAGACTAAACATCGCACACATGCACCGGGAAACCTTGAAATCATTCTCGAGGAATCTCATGAGAAGCGAATCTTTGCCCAAGCTGTTTCAAAACCGAAACTCATCTCGAAGACGAAGATACGTGATCTGGGAGTCTGACTAGTATATTTTGCGAGGAGGCTGCGAGAGGAGAGCTGTAGGGTTCTGGAGAGGAAAGAACTGCGACCGAGCTGAGTAGCAGAGTGGCTGAGTCGCGGTCGTAGCGTAGCCGCCTATGCACGCTGACAGAGATATTGCAATGCCACCATCGCTGAATGGGGCTTATCTTACTCAAACACCTGGACAGGTGTGCTACCTTGAAAGAGTTCAAAGCATACAATATGAGAATCTGGTTAGTAAGAATGATCTGCTGACCTTATGTGCCCCCGGATGGATGTATATATGCGCAATTGGGCGAAACCAAGAAACCTCGATTGCCAGTCCTGCATCCCCAACTACCGCCAAACCCGTGCGAGGGTCTCTCCATGGACGGGGCTCGATGGATATAAAAATCGATAATCGCTGCGTGTTGCTATGTTCATGGTTTCTGATAAGTACCTATCGCAGCGATCCACGCAGCATTTTCCGCTCCTGGCAGTTTCCTTGGATTGGTGCTCTATGACAACAAGTGGAATATCTTGCTTGATGAGACAGAGGAGCAACCGTTTTTAAGGTAATGGAGAAGACTCACAGTTGCGTCTGGCCGTGATCAGAGGGGTGACGATAGATGTTTGTGTCGGGCATTCTATATATTCAGGCAACTGCCATATTCTTGGAGATGACCACCATTTCTTGTTCGAGGATATCATCCACACGGCCCCATATGCTGGCGCAGGCCCATGGAATACGAAAAAAAGAAAGAAGAAGAAGGAGAAGAAGACATAGATGAGCAAAAAGCCAAGAAAAAAAAAGGGAAGAGAAAAACATACAACAGAAGGGATTCGCTGGTGGTCACCCACCCAACTACTAACCTCCCGGCGTGTGGCTTAAGTACGGCTGAGCGGACGGGAAGCCCTGTTTTCCACACCCTGTGGTCGTATGTGCTTGGACATGACTTTATAAATAACTTCCACTGCCAATTTAGCGGCCCCAGCAGACGTAAAAAAGGGCCCGAGCAAACCGGATTACCTCCAGGTCCTGCTCCACGCGGTATCCGCCTGAATGCTGTGGAGGACTGGAAAGGGAGGCGCCCGATGGAAAGGTCGCTGTAGTTGCGCAGCGCTCCGCAGAATCTCTGCCACCAACCCATCGTCTTCACTGTCGCTCAGCACCAGGGTCCGGAAACGAGTCAGGCGGACGAGGAGGATTGCTGTCCAGGCCCCCGCGTTCAGATTGTACAGATGGACTCTCCACCTGCGCTTGAGATGCGGTTGCTGGTTGCCGAAGATCGCGGTTAGAGCGTGTTCGATGAACACCACGGCTTCACGCTGCTGCTCATTGAACGTCCCATAGCGTCGCCTCGCGTTGGCAGATTGCATCCCACCGGACCTCGAAATGGCGCACGCGACCAGCGAGCGCGGGATCCGTCTAGAATCGCATGACTAGGGCTATATCCCGGGTAGTAATGGGATTCCCGCTAAGGAGGATGTCGGAGTCAAGTAGTGGTTGAAAGACATCATGGAACTGCTTAGAGCATAGGGACAGGGCCCGAACGGTCCTTGAGCGGTACCTTCCCTGATAGAGGTAAGCAGTTCATTTGGCAGCAATTCCATGATATTAGTATTTGAGCCACAGTGAGCAAAATGTACCTTGGAAAGAGTCCAGACAGCTGCCCCAGGCATCAGTCGAGTCGCAATTTTGGAGTACTCCGTAGGTAATCGACACATTACTGTCCATCCTTGCTCAATTACCTACAACCAGCCACACACTCGCCGTTAGATCTTGTCTCTAAATCCCGACCACTGACTAAAATCATCTTCAAGCAAAGCGTGCCTCGCAGCCTTGGTGGGGCCATCGAATCGTGTTTGTCTTGAATCGCCCGCTGTCGTCAAGGTTCTTTATCGCCCGGGGTCCAATGCGCAAGGCTTGCCTTCAGATGTGACTGCAGTTCAGGTTGATATTACCGATGAGGAGACTCTGGTGGCTACTCTCCGGGATGTCGATATTCTCATGTGAGATGCCCTTGCTGTCAGACACAGATCGTGCACAGGTTCACAGGCTGATAGATGGCCATTCTGCAATCAAGTCCCAGCACAATCCGATCAGAGCCATCCCAAAGACCAAAGTTCAATTGTTTGTGCCTTCCGATTTCGCCGTGAGATACAGCGGGCAGGGACTAGGAATTGAGCTCATCAATGACAAGATCAAAGTGGAAGAGGCAGCGGAGAAGTCGGGTGTGCCGACAACAGTCGTGTTGACCGGCGACTTCGCGGAGTTTGCGTTTGATATACAGTAAGTAGACCATGGGTCCGCTCTGTGGCTGGGCCATGGGCCAAACAAAACAGGGACTGGTGGCTGACATCTGTGTCCAGAGCCATGGGGGTGGATCGTAGGCACGATCGCATCATTCTTACGGGAAACAGTGCATCGCAGCCACTGAATCCCTGGTAAAACTCCGCTGGAACACCAATCCCTGGCTGCCGCTAATTGCTACCCTCGCCGTTTAGTACCCGTGAATATGTTGCAGCAGCCTTTGCGTCCATCTTCAGCACCACGCCTATACCCCAGCTTCAAAATCGCACCCTCAGCTTGTCAGAACTAAGACCGTATCTACATATCAAATCTTGATCAAGAAAGAACTATGGGTAGGGCAACAGAGGTGTTTATTTACCCAATTGGCTATGCTTGAACTACATGCTAATATTTTCGTAGTTGAATCGGTAGAGACTAGCAAGGTGACTCTATGGCATGCTATCACTTCTTGGGCGTTCAGTAGTTCGTGGTTGGTCCTGGCGGATGGTTTCTGCTGCCATGGAGCGAGCTTATGCCTAACGGTTCCACGACCTTTCCATCAAACAGATCGCATACCATCGGTTGTCGGCAAAATTCGTGGTTCTCGTTGCCTGAGACAGATACAAATCCCTGTTGAGACTGTGCTAAGTTGTCAACTAGAGGGGTGGGATTTACATAAAATTAAGCCACAGCATACCGATTTCAGCAGCCGGTGCATAGTAGCATGGTAGCTACCCCCATAGACCAACACCCAGTGTACTGCTCGAAGGTGTCAAGGAGAGTAGAGCCAAGCTGGCTGCTAGCGAGTGATTTGGAGTAAGATCATCGCCTAGCTTGTCTGCGCGCAGAGGTTTAAAGAAGCTTGTCCTTTGCCTATATCAAAGACAAGGTCGTGGGAAACAAGATATGTTCGTTCAACTTACACATTCGGCGGGGGTCTCTTTCTCGCTTGACCTCCACGAATCAATCTGACCACGTTCAAGATGTTCAATCTTGAGGAAACAGCTACGGAGGCAAGAAGAGGGGCAACTTTCGGGTTACTTAAGGCCCAGTCTACAGAGATCCTGGATATAAGGAATTAACTGCCAGCGTAATCCATCTCCTAACCACTCAGACCCCACAAGCAACTTCATCATTCACTCCCTATACCATTATGATATCTACTACAGCTCACATTTGTGAATGCCTTTTGAATAGCGTCGGTGCTCAAGGGTTATAACGGCCTCAACAACACTTCTCTTGTTCTCTCTATCTACCGCTCTATCGCCTCCTCTCATCCTCATCATCTCTCCTTCCTCCTTTCATACTGTATGTCAGCCTCAACTTGACAGAAATCATGAAGCTCTCCACATTGTGGTCTGTCTTCAGCCTCGCTGTCTCTGTTGGCGCTGCAGTGGGCGATCCTTCCTCTCTTTTTGATGCCACCGTCATCGAGGTGACCAACCACGCGACGAGCACCTCCTGCGTCACCTTTCACCCATTCGTCACACATACCTACACTATCAAAAATTGAACAACCGTTTCGCAGACTGATAGCAAGACTCCTTCTGTTCCTGTTGCTATTACGTCTACAGCCTCGAAGCCCTCTGATAGACCTGCACCTTTGACTCAAGGTGTTCTTTCTAGCACCAGTGGCCCTGTCGTCTCAAAGATCTCTTCGTCAACTGTTCCTTTTCCCGTGCTTCCTTTCTCTTTTTCCTTTTCTTTGCCAGGTATCGGGATATGGCTGCCGATCAAAAGCTCGTCAACCTCGAATCATGGAACAGCGCCGACTGGTGGAACTCCCAGCAGCAGGTCCTGGTTTTCTCCTACCGAGCCTCAGCCTCCTCGTGAAACGTCTAGTGTTGAACAAGCTTTCACAAGTAGTACCACCGACGTAACAGGGAAGACCAGTTCCGTGCAAGGCAGTGCTAAGCCCAGTGAGGGCGCGACCACCGGGACCACGCATGCTAAGATTACAAGTGATGGGACAGGGGTCATCAGTACTACCTATACCAGAGCAACAAGTGTCACAGACTCTGCTGGTGTAACGCTTACCCAGCCAACGTTCATGTCTCTCAGCCTACCTCCAAGCTCTATGATTACCTCCAGCGCGTCCGTCATCGCCGCTCGCTTCCACAATATCGTCCTAATTGTCAAATTCAGGGAAGGGAGCCCTGAGCCCCGGCCAGATAAACAACTCATCGATATAGTCAAGAGAATAAAGGATGATATGGCTGACCTGGCGAAGAACATGGGTGAGAAACTCCCGAAGTGCAATCAGAAGAAACGCGGTCTCTTTGACGGTCTTATGAACTTCGCCAGAGACACCACCGGCCAGATTTTGCATAAGCTCGGTTGTCTTGAGAACAAACTGGATGAACTTGTGGATAGGGTCAAGAAGAAGGACATCAAGGGCGTCAAAGACATCGTGAAGGCTCTGGACATTGAAAGGCCCCCTGATGGCCCTGAAAGCTCGGTGACTAACGGACCTGACAATGATCAAAGAACCTCCAGCCGCTCGTCCTCGTCGTCGTCATCATCCTGTACACTGCAGTCAACCGCACACCATGTCACGATTCTCTGCCAACCGACCTCTATCACTACCGGTGGCTCGACAGTTTCAACTACAACATGCACCCGGACAACTGCCATCACCACCACGGGGTGCTCTGTCACCGCAACGACAACCACTATCACCAACACGCCGAGCTCCACCCCGACGAGACGCCTGTGCGCACAGGGTGAGTGCGGTGCTTCATGCTTAGCCGGGAAGGGGGGATGGGTGTCCATATCATCAGTGGAATGTGCCTCTATCCCAACAAGCATCGTGGCAGCACTGCCTACAGGCAACGGGGGGACCATTTATCGTCGGTATGTCTCTGCTGCCACGGGCACAGGAGTCAAAGCATCCAATCAAACCTATACCTTTGTCAAGCGAGCCCTGAAGGATCTATCTGACGTGGACCCGAACCAGTATCTGTCAAAGATCAACCACGATATAACTCAGAAAAACCAGTGGGCTAGCCAAAGCGAGCCCGTGACGGGCAAATGGTATCGCTGGCCAAATCTGCAGTCGGCGCTCGGCGTGAAGGGCCTCCACGGATGCACTGTGCTGATGATCGTCGCGAAAGATGGCGTCTACCTCTCGCACATCTTCGAGTCCCCCATCTTCCGCACCCCTACCGAACCCGATGTCGCTGATAATTTTTTATGGAGCAAACATTTACCGCACTGAGTACCGGGCGTACCGGGCCTGCCGGTCAGGTTAACAATCAGATCGAGCCCCTGCAGGATCTGTGGGGAACGGACGCGAACCCCGGTCCTCTGCATCGCACCAACAATCCCCAGCTCATCATTGTCACTCCCTTCTTGCCTGAATGGCAACCCCAGGAATATATGTACGCCCGCCGAGTCAAGTGGCTCGCCGCCCAGTTCAACCGCTTCCTCTACTTCCCCACCGGTGAAGCGCCCGCAGACAAAGCCCCGATCATCCGCGGATACGAGCCGACAGACTTCTGGAAGTCCAATAATGACGATTCCTCCGTGGGGAAAGTCGTGATCGAAGTCGACAAGTACAACAGTTTCCTGCAGGCGGGTAATCACCTTCTCGCTGTGGGTCAGTGGCGGCTGTGGCTGTGTGGGCAATATGTCATGGATTACGACTTCTGGGATCCGGCGGCGGTTCTTCAGCCCGTTGCTCAGCCGCAGGGACATATGCAGCGGCGAGATCGGTGCCCAGGGCGTTTTATTTCTGTTTATCCTACGCTGGTGACTTCGACAAAGAGTGTCGCAGCAAGCACGACAAGCTCGTCTACTACAAAGTCGGCAACAACCACGCCGACACCGCAGATAAGCGATCAGACTTGCCTCCCCAACAGAGACTTCTACCAACCACTCGACTCCCACGTCGTCGACACTGTCGTCTCTCTCTGCTGGCGCGGCACCCAGATCCCCTCCATCGATTTCGAGATGGGACCCGACAGCAAACCACTCACATGGTCCTCGGGCAGCCCCACGCTGACGAACTGGCAGTACCGCGTCACGATCACCTGGGTGAAGGGGTGCAAGGGACCAAAGCAGAAGCCAATTGCCCCGACCGGACAAGAAGGAACCAAGTACACCTGCGAGAATATTGTCAAAGATAACTTCAGCAAGTGCGTGGTTGATCATCGAAGCTACGGTGGGAGTAGAGTGTTTGGGTGCTTGGAGTATCGGGGTTGGATGGAGTATTGATTCCTAGGCCAGATTCTGGGTATCCTCACCTGAACTGTGGCTGGAAGCTCATGTCGGCTTACATGCTGTCAATCACTTTGTCCTTCTATATCGCTCTCTGTATTCTACACCTAGCAGACTTACGAGTATGGATGGTTAACATGTGTATCTTATTCGAATGATATCTAGCTAAGAGCATAGGTTCTCCATTTCGATGCCTGAAGCCTAGGAATAGCATACGTTCTGTGAGATAACCCAAGAAATTTATGAATGGCGGTAGAAAAGATAACATGATATATCTCACAACAACAGTACTATAGCAACGACGTTGATGTTGCAGGGAAGATGTCAATGTCACGGCCAAATTGAGACTCCAACTGCGGAAAGCCTTCCGCCCTGCTGAATCAGCCACCCGTCAGCTCTGACTCACCAGGCCCTAAATTCACTAACTAATCTCACTAATGAAATGAGCTGGAGAATTTTTACTCTCCCTTGACATAACTCCCACAGTAGATGAGTACAATATTCTCTAGCTTTCTTTTTCCAAGATGTCTGAATCCACTTCTCCCCTTGACACCAGTCCAGCCATCCGACCGACCCACACCCCCTTCGCAGGCCGTTTCGTGCGCGTTGAACCCCTAGCTGAGCAGCATGTTGACGATCTATACCACCACATTGGCCTGACCGAACACACCTCGCTTTGGGACTACCTCCCCTTCGGGCCCTTTGCGGACAGGCCCGCCTTCACACAGTTCCTCGACACGCTAATCACTCATGCCGACAGCGTCTTCTACGCGGTGGTCGACCTAACCCGCAACCAAGCCGTCGGCCTGCTCAACTTCATGCGCATCGACCTGCCCAACCGCGTCGTGGAGATCGGGTCGGTGGTCTTCTCCCCCTTGCTGCAGCGCACGACGGCCGCGACGGAGGCGTTGTACTTGCTTGCGCGGGCGGCATTTGAGCAGTTCCACTTCCGACGGCTGGAGTGGAAGTGCAATGACCTGAATGCGGCGTCGAAGCGGGCGGCGGTGCGGTTGGGCTTCACGGCCGAGGGGGTCTTTCGGCAGCATCTGATCGTCAAGGGGAGGAACCGTGATACTGCTTGGTTCTCGATTCTGGATGGCGAGTGGCCCGCGATAAAGGGGGGCTTTGTGAAGTGGTTGGACCCGAGCAATTTCGATGAGGAGGGGCTTCAACGGGCGAGGTTGGAGGCTTTGCGCGGATTGTAGGCAAGGGTCCAGTCCAGCCGTTCTCCCTTTCTGTTCTTGTTGAACTTAGAGGCAATCTCGGCTCGGGGACAGTGGCAACCGTTGGGGAGAATCGGAGACTCTGGATTAGATATGGTGACATTGGCACTAGATTGATAGGTTGCATCGATTTAATATAGCATCAAATTTAACCCCGGTGGTCTTGGCAGGTGTTGGTAGACGAAGCCCTTCACAATTAAGTGTGACGCTATACACTCCACTTATTATCCATTGCATGTGAACTTCTGTCTCTGCATCTTGTTCTTTTTTTATTTTTATTCGTTTCATCTCTTTTCCTCGGATCTCTTCTCTATCTGCGGTGCTGACGGGCCAAAAGCTGTTCCTCCTATCAACATTTAGCTTATCTTGCCGTGGAAACCTCGGCTGCACGAAACAGCCTATTTTTGCTAGCTTCTCCACCAGACCCTGAAAAGTCCACCGTCCTTCGTCCCTGGCGTCTTGGCTGTGCCTAGCCGTTGGCGAAGTCTTGCTATGTCAGCACGTTAGCTGCGTTTTATCTCTAGTTAACCCCTCACGCATTGAGGCGCACGGCACAATTGGTACCACATATTGGCATGCAACTCGAGAATTTAGCTCGACGCTTGACAAAAATCAAATTACAAACTATAGTACATCCCTAATATAGGTTGCAAGAGTTCTAGCCCCTCACTAATCTAGTCAACGTGAATCCGCCGCAGACACCGGTCCGAATTGCCCGTAAACGAGCTGCGCGTATGCATCGTCGTCACATTATCGCTGATCAGCCAGTCGCCTTCCTCCCAACAATGCCAGTAGGCCACGCGACGATCGTGCAGCAGGCTATCGAGGGTTTGGCACAGTTCCTTCGAGTTGGGCACATCCTGGATGGTAATTTTGGTTGGGTCGAAGACCGTCTTCTCCTGCGGCCACGGCTCGTGGTAGCGGAGACAGGGACGCTGGTGCGCAAAGTGGTCCACCACGAGAGGGAGATCGATGATCTTGGTGTGGTCAAAGGAGACAGTTTCGACCGTCCAGGACAGAGTGCGCAGGTGTTCGACCGAGTATTCAGATGGCAGATAGTGCCAGACCAGGTGGGAGGGGGAGAAGAGGGTGAATCCGGTGTCTTTGGGCGAGGGGGTCATTCCCGTGAAGAATTGGAATCTGTTGCAGTGGCCATAGGATCAGTATGGCTGTTCGTTAAGACTGTAGGCGGTTACTTACTTCGGAGGACAGGATCTAACAACCTCCTGCCCATCTGCATTTTTCATCTTGACAATCTTGAACAGGCCATCGTAGTGGAACGGCATCCACTCCGACGACAAAACATTGTTCAGGCCCTGCGTGTCTGTGCCGTGGTCCTTCACCTCGAGGATGAGACCGAATTTCCACCCAACGGGGGTTCCCATCTCCTCGGCCTTTTTGACGAAAAGCTCCCGGTCGCGTGTGTCCTGAAACCCCCGTAAGATAACAGGAGAGTTTTCTTCTGCCAGAGCGCGAAGCTTATGCATGTCCACTTCTGCGCAAGACATGGGTTGCGTAGGTCGGATGATCAGGCCACAAGGGTACTGAGGCTCGATTTCCACGGGTTGTGGCCAGGAATATAGTTCTGACTTGTAGCGGTAAAGCCATGGCTGTCCTGCCTTGTGAACCAATTCAACATCGGGGTTGTGATCGAATGACTCGCGTAGGCCATATTCCACGCGGCCGTCGAGGGTGAAGCACGGCGTTGAGTGCCAGGGTGTCACACAGTGACGAGCCAGAGGCAAGACCTGAACGGAGATTTTGGCTGAGCCGCATGACGGGTGAATCGACAGACGAACATGGTCCGGATAGTTTTTCTTGATCGCCTCTGCGAATGCCTGGATGCCAGATCCCAGGTTAATCGCCAGCACACGGTGGTCCAGGGGCGTGTCTTACCTTTCCACGAGCGATCATCTGCTTAGCAATACCCTCGAGCTTCTGTTTGTGAGACTTCTTTGACACCTCGCCCCCTTCCACAAAGGTATGTTCCAAATCCTTGGTCAAAAACCTGATATATCCTCGGTAGGTGGTGCACACATCTTCGTCGGCCTTGATACTCTCGACACAATCGTAATCCAAGGGGGTGAAATTGTCGATCAACCGCTGACGAAAGGCGCCTGCCAGCTTTTCGTAGGTGGTAGCGTCGAGGGGAGTGTCGATCTTCCAGTGGACGAGGTCTCGCAGACGAATGAACTGGAGGTGTCGGTAGCCCTGCGTCTGGACCATTTTCCGCAGCGCCTCGCCGTACGTATAGACCTCCGCGTCGGGAACGCCTAGCAGGTCTACCCCCTATGAGTCTTATCCAAGACCAACAGGTCCATAGAGAGTTGCGGTTAAGCTTACCATTATACACCAGACCGTCGGAAGCGATGGTCAACCTAGCCCCTGGTTCGTAAATGTCCGCGATCGCCGCGCATAGTCCGTTGAGATGGGCCAAGGCAAGGTCCTCCCCTTTGTCCGGTAAAGTCCCAAGAACTTTGTCTTTTTGATTAGGTGACTTGAACGGAAAAGCAGGTAGGATCAAGGAGACTGATTTGCCTGCTCTCACGCGAGTGTAGATCAGGGATAGGAACTTCAGAGTCCCCTCGTCGCTCCGATCCACTAGCGATGCTGGGACGGGCATGCGATATCGGTAGATGATGCTCAGAATCTCCCACGCCTTCTGGAGGGTAGTCAGGTCGAAGATCGGCTCGGCCCCGACCGAGGTAAGGGTCGATTGAGCGATGGGAGGCTGCACCATGACTGCGCTCATCTTGGTCGATCAATATTAGGCGATTCGAGGTCGAGCGTTGAGCAGTTGGGGATGGTTTATATTGCTAAAGTCCGCCCTTCTCGAGGTCCAGCGAGACATTTAAAGTCATATGAGCCTGTCAAGGAACCTAATTCTATCCCAACGCTAGTAGTTCCGAGTATTGCATGAGGGTGCACTATCAGCTCAATTCCGCATTCGGAAAATATGCGACTTGGTCGGAATTGCATTGACTACCTTAGTACTTAGACCAGGGGCTCGCTCATGCAATCACTCCTTTAGTGGATGCAACCTCGTCTTCAACTTGATCAGAGTTAGAAGGGTTATGGTACGATAGGAAGATAGTAAAACTGGTCCAAATGCGTCTCGCACCCGTGCCAAGCCAAGTAGTAGGGCTGGGCTGAAGAACTTGGCAGCCTAATGGTCGATATCCACTATACATCTATTAAGTAAGTATCCCAAGTGGAACCTGCATTACTGAACTGAAAAAGACGCAAATGCCCGATTCGCACTGCTGACGCAGGGACCGATGCTTCATCATTCGCTCTAGTTCCTCCCATGGCCCACTTCTCGGCGGAGACTTTTCACTCATAATTCTCCCGGTTATTGTTCGCCTTTCATGGCTCGTGCTTCTTCTTCCTGGGCCATGGTCTGCGCGCTGGTGGCGCCATTGCTTTTAGCATTTCTTAGCCTTGCGGCTGAGACATACCTAATCTATGTTGTTCTCCTGCAATTCAGACGCATTTCTAAGCGCGGAATTGATCCATGTACTGGGAGGTAGCTAGTCGCAATGCTTGTCATCTATTCTGCATCTCAGGGGAACGAGGGTACCAGTTCCGAGCAGAGAAGCATGGCGCCACGAATTGGAATGGATGCTAATTGTCCGATTCTCTATTCACTTTTACGTACCCCCTGATCCTCGTCTGATTTAATGGGAGCTGGACCCCTCCCTCGCTATCCGTCTTACCATCTTGGGACAAAACTCCTAACGACCTCACGCAAACATGGCAAAGGAAACACCATCG